AGAGGGAAGGCAAGGCGTTTCTAGAGTTGATAAAGGACTTCTATAAAAATTACATTCAGACTCAATTGATTAAGTACGTGAAGAAGATGAAGGTATCAGGAGATCCATAGATTGCCTAATCTAAACCAATTTTGGAGAAGATATTGAATTAGAGCAAGAGTCGCGTACAATCATTTCCACTGTACATATTCAGGATGAAGGAGAAATCAGAATTGAAGGGTAGTTTGGACTTGGAGAAGGAATTCCAGTAGTTGATCAATCAGGGTTACAGGAAAGTGTTGAAATAGTCGAGTTATGAAATCTTCTTGGGAGATGACATCAAGATGGATGACATGGATGATCAGATAATGGATGATGAACTCAAGAAGAATATTCAGTTGTTGAGTGAGGAGGATGCAAAGAGTCTCATGTAATAAGTGGATTTGCGTCTGTATTACAATGAAAATATGTTGAATCACATGGATCATCATGTTCAAAGTTCAGATTTGATCAGGAGGGTGAATTACTTAAGGAGGAAGGACAATCCTTCCATAATTAAGATGGTTGCTCTACTGTCCTTTAAGTGTCCGTTCATATTTGAGAAGATGTATTGTTTGCCCGGGGAAGAGTTGCCGTAAGAAGAGAAGGGAACTGAGAACTTCATCAACTAGAAATTGGAACAGTTCCATTCCAAATTGATAGAGTAGCAATGGAAGAAGAATGAAATGCAAATTGATTTATACATGCTCATCAATGGATACACAAAGATCTATCAGAAATTCAATCATTAATACCCAAAGATAGACAGGATTTTATACAGAATCTCCGTGGGATTTGTGTTGGATTGGATGAAGATAGATGGGTTCATCAAGTTCATATTGGCAAACAGCAAGATATATTATTTGAACAAATTGCATGGGTTCTATGTGTACGACAATTAGCATGTACTATAGAAATCAGAATAACTTCAACTTTCCCTTTATATAAATTTGCTCAGTCAAAACGAAGTGGTTGACTTTAAGAACATTATTGAATTGGAGTTGGATGAACAACAACAGGGGTCGAAGCAGCTGTCTCTGGTTGCTAATCTATTAATAAATAGTCCGAATATCGATCAGTTCTTACAAATATTCTAGTTGAGTCTCTTGGAGACTTTGAAACGAGCTCACAAGAACTTTATGGCGTATGAGTGGTGGAACAAGATAAAGATGAACAACTAATTAGGGGCTCAAGACTTGGCGTTTTTGATTCCCTATTGCTAGTAGATCCAAACGAAGGTATGTTATGCATTTTTAATGAAAATAGAAATTGGCTAAGGAAATAAGATTTGAATAATTGGACAATTCTTATAAGGTGAAACGTCTGCCTGTAGAGCAGTTGCTCCTGAAGTTGCCTCAGATTTGCTATGTGGTGGACAATCAGAGATCCATTCTCATAGTGAACAATACTCAGGATGTACTTTATTTGATTGATTTGATGAATGGGATGATTGACAACATTAGAATCCTGTATTTGATGATGGACAATCCGCATTACGACCAAGAGAAAATGATCAAACCACATTATGATTGGTGTACTAAGCAAATAAAGTAATGTATGGATGAAATGATTTGAAAATTTATTTAAAATTTAATGTTCGAAAAAGAAATCGTAATCGATGGCAAAGGACATTTGCTAGGTCGTTTAGCCTCATACATTGCCAAAGAGTTGTAAAGAGGTTAAAGAATCGTTGTCGTCAGAACTGAGTTGATTTAACAATCTGGTATCGCTCTCACAATATTCTAGGTTCTCTCTTCAGAAACAGAGTCATCTTCGAAGAATACCTTAATAAGAGAATGGCATTCAATCCAAGAAGAGGATACAAACATTACAGAACACCTTCCAGATGTTTTTGGAAAGTTGTCAGAGGCATGCTTCAATACAAATCCAAGAGAGGAGCAGCCGCTTTGGAAAGATTAAAGGTCTTCGAAGGAGTCCCACCTCCCTATGATACCAGAAAGAGACAAGTCATTCCAGATGCTATCAAATTGATCAGACTCAAGAATCACAGACCATTTTGCACTTTGGGTGACTTATGTGCATCAGTTGGATGGAATTCATAATCTGTTGTTAACAGACTTGAAGAGAAGAGAAAGCAAAGGTATCGTGCATTTTAACACTTCAATTAGAGGTGCTGCCTATTATAAGAGAAAGGTTGCCAGAGAAAATCTCAGAAGAAAAGCCATCGGAGCTAAGGAACTTACTTCAATCAATTAGGAATTGGAGAAGTTGGGCTATTGATAACACATATTATAAAAACATGTACATTTAATTTAGTAAATTCAAAATTTAGAATATATTCGATTCATTTATTATATATATATATATGTATCTCTTGTTTAAAATCATTATAATTGTCATTTAATATTAAATTTCTATTTGGTTTCTTGATCAATTACTCATTATAGAGGGCATAATCGTTAATTAAAATTATTGTATCTCTCCATATAATGATCAAATACAAACAAAAAAAATAGACTCATTTATTTTTGTTTGTATTTGATCATTGTATAAGAATGTTTCTATCATCCTTAAAATAGACTTTGATTTACTTTTAAAAGAACCTCATATCCTTTATAGAGAGAGAGTCATTGTGAGCATAGCTTTTTGGATTGAAATTAGGATATTTATATATTTGTTTATTAAAAATATGAATTAACATTTATTTCTTATATGAATTAACTCTTTTTATTCATAACCATTCTTGGAATCGTAACAGCCATTCCGAAGAAATTTATGAAGATTGACGAATCAAATTCAATTGAAATCTAAATTGAAGTTAACGATTCTATAGATAATTAGAACAAAATTACATAGAAATAGAATGAAATTATATTAATCGATTAGATCACTGATTGGGAACTGGCAAAGAAAGCCTTTGTTAACCAACTTTAGGACATTTATGATTATTGTTAAGTTATCCTACTTAATCAAGAATTGGTTGGATTCATTTTAGTTTTAATTATTAGCTACTCGTTTTATTTGATGATTAAATAAGAAGACATTAAATTAAAGCAAAAAAGCAAGAACACACAACAACAGCAACAAAGAAAACTCAATAGCAATCCATAAACTATTTAAATTCTTTCGGATTCCCTTGAACACAAGAACTAAGCCTTACCACAAATGTCAACCATACATGGCTCAATTTGTTATGCTGAAAGAGTGTTTATATTTTTACAATATTGTATTTAGAAATAAAACCATTGATGACTTGATTGTTAATGAAAAAGGAGTCCTCCAAAGGTCCAGCTCCCATCCACTATTGAATAAGCAAGATCAATCAGTCGAAGAACTTAATTGCCTATTGAGAGATATAAACTGAAAGAAAACAAAATTCAATTATAATACATTTCCAAGCACATTTCATGCTTAATTTCATAATCCTCCACAGTTATATGATCCTTAAACACCATATGTTATTTCTATAGTCTGATCTTCTCTGGTCTCACACCAATCTTGGCAGCAATCAATTTTTTGAGATCTCCAATCTTGTCTTGAGGACAACACTTAATTCTCTCCTTTTTGCCCAACCTGTCATTGACCAAGATTTCGATCATCCTGGGTGCCTAAGGATTGTTAAGTAAGGAAGGATTGACTGGCTTCACAGGAGCTACTATGTTCTTTTTCATGAACTATGATAATGGAATGATATTGGTACTTAATCATAAATATTCAAGGGGACTTTGACTTTGAGTCCAGTGTATCCAACCTTCTTTTTCCACTGTTCTAATTTTTCTTCATCCTCTTTCCTTTCTTTTTTGATTATTTCTAAAACATCTAATCCTGCTTACACTGACTTTTATCCTATGTCTATTTTATCTTTTCTCCAATCCTTAGATTCATTCTCAACATCTTTTGATTTTTATTTCTCAGATTTATGTTTCTTTTTATCATGCGATCTTGATCTGCTTCTACTTTTGTGTTTACCCATTTGAATAAAATTAATAATTAAAAAAAACTATATGTCATTCTAGATTCAATGCTATTCTCTTCTATCCAATCAATTCCGATTGCTCCTTCTCAAATTCCTCCATTCTTTTGAGTTTATTTTACCCCTCAATCAGCCGTTCATGCATCGCTTAAATCTTTTGGTTCTCCTTCTGCAATTTCATTCTAATTTATGACTTCAATGAGATGATCTCCTCCAAGGCCAATTGCAATTGATTTATGTCTATTTTCTATCTAAAGATTTCCCGAATGATTTTTAATTCTCTGCAATTATGAACCTAACAAAATCCTTGTGTGTTTTTATCCGAATGTTCAATAATCTCATGAATTGTTTCTGAATTACTACTCGTTAAAGAGGCGAATGAAATATCCGAGAAGTCGTCCTCCTTCAATATTTGTATTTGTTAAGGAGTTGAGTCTGCTTGGAATTTAGCCTTAGTCTAAATACTGCACTCATTCTCACTCGACTGCTTGCTTAATTTCTTAATTGTATTTTTTGATCTTGACTAATCACTTATCTTGGATAGCGAATTTTTATGCATGCCTATCAATTACTGCAATCGTTCCTTGTATAGGGAGTAGTCCCGCTAAGAATAGCCCTTTCTCCAAAGTTCAATGACTTCCTGCGAAAATTCTATTAATCTCCTATTCAATTTATTAAAATCTACTTTCAAGTCCGCCAACTAAATAGTTCTTGTCATTACAAATACCTTTTCAGCCTCCATTTAGGCATTATGAAGTTAATCCACAACCTTATTGATCAGAGATATTCTTAAATTGCTATCATAAAGCATCTTTGTATGAATATTAAATTTATTTCAAAATAATATAAGTACATCTTCAATGCGTATAAACTATCATTTTAATACTTATATTAATAGTATAATTTTTAGAATAAAATACTTTGTGTTTATTATAAGTTATAAATAAAATATTGCGAATTTAAATGCAATTATTTCTATTAACCTGTGATTCAAAAAGAAAAAACAATGAAAATAATCTTTATTAATTAAATATTTTTATTAATACTCATGGATCAATAAAATAAAAACAATCAAAGCAAAAATGAAAAAAATGAATAAAAACCATAATAAAATGATGAGCTTATTCTACCAAAAATGCCTACATAACCAAAAATGCCTAAAGAACCAAAACGGCCTATGATAATGAGGATGCAAACTGGTAAAGATGGAATGAACTTTGAGGGTATGGCTGAAGAATCTGAATTCAAGGATAAAGTTTCAGAGGCAGTTAAAGAAGTTCTTCTATTATAGTGACAAATGAATTATTATAATAATTTACATATAGAAAATTTAAAATCACATAAACTTGTCACAGGCTCCGATCTGCTTGTATGAATGTAATCTGTAATCAAATTCCTAAAAAGCGACATAATATTGGCGAATTGATTTTTCAAGAGAAGACTAGGATTCTGGGAATAATGTCATAATCTTGTCATCTATGGAACTAATAAATAGAATTATTTTGAACTATTTCATTATTAGCTTTAATCATAGTAATACCTCGGAATTAATGATAATAAATATTAATATTAGAAATTAAAGCTTTGATCAATTTTTAAAGTTTATTCAAGGATATATGTAAACAATATACAAATTTTATTGGATCATTTACAGAAATTCGAGTAGACTCTTTGCATTCTCCTGTCTACTTATAACAATGGAGGTAATTTATTGATTTTAGTAGCTTGTGAATTCACTTTTAATGGGGATTCTGCATTTGATGTCGGAACGCTGTTATTCCGAAATTTGAGTAATCTGCAGATCCTTACATCGTTATATTTAAATGATTAATAAACAGGGCTTTTCTTAAATTTATCATCTTCCGATCTTTTTGTCTTAGACTCCTGTTTCTCTTATGCATACTCTTGTTTATCTTATGCATCGATATATTCTGCGAATGTGGATAATTTAAACTAATTTTCGGCATTTCTTCTTCTTTTTTTGGTTGTATCAAGATGGATCTTAGGGGTTCCCAAATAAAGGATTCTGGTTTAGAGATTTAATTTTAATTGTTCTTATCGATGTTTTTAGTATCTCAATAAAAAAATAATGAGGATTATCTATCTTCTCCATAGTTTTCTTATTCCTACTTTCTAATGCATTTTTATGGAATGATAAGGCAAGGATAGAAGAATGTGCGAAATTCTTTAATTCAGATGACCTTCTTAAGAATTTTGGGAACTTCTAGATCTTACATAGTATTTGATTCTATATATATCTGGATGAATACTTAGAGAATTTAGAAATCTTATCGTTACATTCAAATAGCTTATTTAATTAAGATTACAAAGGTATATTAACTTTTGACAACTGTTTTTTGATAATAAAACGTGATTTCTGGTTGTTGCATCTTAAATTGATGGAGGATTTATTAAATTGTTTCAAAAACTGGTAATCCAGATCCTTCTGGTACTATTATCTCAGCTTTCTGAACATAATAATTATAAAATAGAATATGAACGTAATATATTATTAATGTAGTAAATTTTAATCGCGTCAGTCGATTCCCGTTTTCAGCTCTTTAAAATGCAAAGTGCAATGTATCATTTTGGTGAGGCAATGTGAAAACTTGAAATTTATTAACAAGTTAGCAAGTTGTAATGATTTCTGTGTGATATAAGGAATTTAGGATTAAATTTCTAAGCTCCATTAACTGAAAATTTTACATTAGATCGATTTAATTCAAGGTATAAGATCTGTTCATAATTTGATCATTTTATTAATTCATTTAATTTTTAGAAATCTATTATGTTTTTATCATCTGAACTATTGAATTAATAGAAATCGTTAAATATATTTAGTAATTAGATATGAAATTTCACTGATCTTTTTTGAAAAATATAATTAAATTGAAAAAAATAAAATAGTTTAAATTGAGAATTAAAAGAGCATTTAGTTCATCAATTTTGATTAATATTAGTGTATCTAAACAATTTACAGATCCTTATTGAATTAATGCTGAATAATTGAAATTTTGAAGATGCTCTTTGCTTCCTTCTTTGTACTCGTTTAGTTATGATTTCTATTAATTATATTATTAATAATACATTTAATTTACATAGAACTAGTAAATGTCATCACTCTTAGATTTTGGATTTAGTTTTAATAAGAATTCATTTATATTCAAGTTGAATAACACTCCAATGTGATATTCTCAATATTATGTAACAAAGAAGTAATAAACTTATTTATATATTATTGTATTGTACAATTATGTAAATCATTAGACTTTTGTAATTTCTGTTTTAAGGTTTGCAAATGAATCTACTGGAACATGCTATGCAAGGGTATAGTATTTTCCTTTTCCATCATCTTCTTCCTTCTTCTTTCTTTGGAGTCTGCATAGGATAAATCAATTGAATATACCTGACTCTGATTCTTCTTGGCAAATTGCGGATTCCTGTCTTCCAAATTTCTTCGTTCAATTGTGGATCAACTCTTACATCTTCTGTCAACATATTTTTTTGAGCTTTCTATTAATCTTGACTCACATACCAAATCTAATAATGTGACTAACAGCACGGGGAGCCTTTCTCTTGAATGTTTCCTTGTGAACAGCCTTGTGAAGATTAATAGTATAATCTCTGCTCACTTCGCCTAGTGGATTTTGCTTTCCCTTTTCCTTTTTGCCCATAAATTAAAATAAAATCTTTGATATATATTTAAAAATTAATAGAGTCTTAAATAGAAAGACTGAGAAACCTTTGATTGTACAAGAAGTCATTCAAGGTGAGTGTGGGAATCATCGAATATATAAGTAATAAACAAACTATTCATTTTTCAATCTACTACTTGAAGTCCTTAATTTATTATTCAATGTGTGAGATCATTTTCTTTTTATCCTTCCTTCTGAAGAATGTCAAAATACCCAACAACAATGATTGTTCCTAATCTAGGAAATAGATGTGGAACAGACTCTAGATCCCTGATTGCATTTCAACATAGTGAGTTTGAGATACAAATAAACCAATGGCGAATCCCATGGCCAATCCTGGATATATGGAAAACAACTAATCAGAATACAGCAATCTCTAGATAACATAAATTATCATAGTAGCAAGCAAACTAATGAAGTATTGATTGAGCTATCCATACACTTGAGACATTTAAATCATCCTCTTCTGATGCACAGGCAATATCATTCCATTCAACTACTCGACTATCTCGATGGCTTGTTTAAAGGTGCAATTCTTAAGCGAAAGCTAATTATAGGATTGAGTGTGTTACAATAGTGGAGAATTGATTCAATGAAGAATAGTGATTGTAATCCTGCAAGTATAATTTCAACTTTAGCCTCTTGTTGATCATACTAAAGAGATTCCAAACATTAACAAAATAATCTGTGAAGAAAATGATTGAGCTTTAAGCTACTACACTTCCCAAATTATAAATTAATGTTTTCTTTTGAGGAATTTTGAAGTTTTGTGTTTAGTCTAATTCATTCTATTGAATTAATGCTAATCCATACCATTCCAAAAACAATGAACTTGTAAAGAAACTCAATAAATTATCAATCAAAAAATAACAGTATCTCAGTGAGATTATTAGATAAATGCCCAAGCAATATTGAGTAAAGGATAAACCATTCGTAAATATTTGATTATGATTATCAATATTTGGTGGAGCTAATGTAGCCATGAATGTGTAAAAGTATGTTATGAACATTAAAAACTTTAGAAAATTGGTGAATATCAGAACTTAGACCATCTTCTATGATTTTTGAAATTTCCTCATCAATTTCAATCCAATAAACAATAGTTTAATTTCATTATTCAACTTATAAAACAAATAAGCCATAATATAGAAAACCATCACAAGAATGATTGACATCAATAAAGCCAATGTTGGATTTGGTTTTGATGTATGCTCCAAAACAAAAGCATAATCCACTGTCATGGTAGCTATTTGTCTATAAATAATTAAAAATGAATTTACGTATCGAAGGATCCTATGTTAATCAACTTGATGAACTTATGAAAAAAATAGACTCCTGCAATTCCGATCAACAGAATCAGTAAAACACATGAAACATATATTTTTTACATTCTTACCTTTATCAATTTGTCCAATATCACTTTTAGAAATATAGTCACCAAATATGTTGCAAACACTGGATATCTCATCACCCACAAATCAGAGATGCATGATTAAATCAATTCAAAATTGTAGATTTCCGAAGTCTAATAAAAGTAATTCATAGTCTTCGGAATACAAATACTGTATTAATCTAAATTATGTATATGGATCAATCTACATCTGAAAGTCGAATATATTATGAAATCCTTGTTTGGATCTGATATGTTTATCAGTGAATTGCATGTCTTGATTAAATGGTTACTCAAGCAATCCACCTACTTCTGTTCGTCATCTGGACATTGTGATACACACGCTCTTTGGTATAGGTACTCTTTCATAGGATTATTCAAATAAATGAAGGGGTAGCTTTCTGCTCTACCGTAACCACAAAGTGTGCCTAAAATTTAGATAGAATTATTACCATCCAAATCAATGCCTTTGTTCCACCTTCCCAAATACTCATATCCTTAGTTATTGAGAATATATGTACAGTATAAGACAGTTTAGAAAACACTAATCAGAATCAAGAAATAAACCCACTTGATATCTCTTTTGAAAAATTAGTTAGATTTGTATTAATTGAGTAAGTTATTCCTATAATCTTGATATAGCTTACTAAAAATTAGTTTAAGATCTATCTGAGCTATGAAACTCTCCATTATACACTGCTTATTGATATAATCTCTGCTGGAGATAAGTTTTACCTGTAGAATCTATTAGATGATGAGCACTATGATTTTATAATGTAAGTTGAGGTTCGAAAACGTGAATTGATGGTGGTGTTGATCGATTTTAATTTTGGTTATGTTATCTTTACGCATCTTCTTGTTTCTTATCAGTTTCGATAACCTTGATTAAATCAATTTTTGTTTGCTTATTGTCTGAAATTTCGATAAATAAATTATTCCCTGATGGAGTCTATTGAATCACTGTTTTTTCTTGAAAGAGATATTATGATGAATTTTCGAATACTCTATTAGAGATCTCTTGCTCTACGATTTATTCGGGTTGCATTCAAAAATATAAACTCTCTAATGAAAATTAAAATATTGTTATTTATTCATTAATTTGTAATTCCTGTGCTATTAAACAGTTATATAGAATTTTCATTTTTCATAACCCATTAATAAGATTGAATATTATGAATGTGCAGCATTGATGGCTGGAATCAAAAGTAGATGGGGGAAGTGGAACAGATTAGGAAGAACAGAGCAATAAATATTTAAATTTAGAGATAACACATTGAATTGAATAATTATTTAATAATTAAAAGTGCAATTATTTAGTTCTTTGATGCTAGCAACAAATAAAATTAATTCAGGAGAAAATATGCTGCCAATATCGCAAAGAGAACAGCGATTATAAAATCAACAATCAAGTGCTATAATTCAATTCTCATCTAATCCTAATAGCAATGATGATGCTACCATTTAAACTTCCAAGTTGAATAAAGGGGGTGAGACATTACAATAGCATTCTCATCAAGTAGAAACATAACATAAAGAAGGTTTAAATGATCACTAATTCGAGAACTAAAACATTGATTATGATTCTGCAAGCTATTCTCATTTATAGATCGCTGATGAGCAGAATAAATACAACACAAAAAGACTAGATTCACAACAGGCAGTCAAAAAGGAAGATGTACAAATTGAAGTCAATATTCCAACTCATAATATTTAATAGAGTGATAGTCAGAAATCCATTTCAATTATTCGATTTGATGACAATTCCGAAGTTAGAAACAATGGTAAAACAGGTAAAACTTAAGTTAATATCCAGAATCAATACCAATTGCACACTATATCCTGATTCCAGTTTATTAAAGAAAATAGAATTTTCAAGACAATAATCCATAAGAAGAATCAGATTTACACCCACTTGACTAAAATCCAATTTGCCCTATTTGCAGTTCAAATTTTGAAAGAATCGTCAGACTTCTAGAATGCGAACACATGTTTTGTGAGTATCAATTTATCATATTCCAAAGGAGTTGCTACAAAGAATACTTAGAAGACAGAATCAAAATTGCAAAAATACATAACATTCCCTGTTTACAAGAAGGATGCAACGTCATTTTCTCAGAAGATGTCATTAAGTCAATTGTGAGTGAATAGAAATTCCAATTATATTTGGTTTTCAAGAGAAAGTATGAAATCGAGAATGATCCTAATAAAAAGTGGTGTCCAGCAAAAGGCTGCGATCGCTATATTGAAAAAGACCCAAAAACTAATTTGATACAGTGCGAATGTGGTTAGTTAGTCTGTTTTAATTGTGGCCAGGTTGCCCATCAAGGAATGCTATGTGAAGTATACGTACTTCTATATTTTAGGATGCAATTTAAGGAGATTTTAAATAGGCTTTGGCTAAATATTGTATAAAGTATTGTCCAAAATGCAAATCCCATATTTAAAAAAATGCTGGATGTAACCATATGACTTGCGCAAATTGTTCATTTCAGTTTTGCTGGGTTTGTTTGTAACCCTATCATGAATATCACTATCGATATTGGTCGATCAGGGGATGTGCTAGTACTTCATTCAATTGATTGTAGTTTGGTCCAATGGTCGTTTTAACACGAGGAAGGAGGTTCCAAATCCTGATAAGATGAGGAAAATCTTCTTCATCCCCAGAGTGATTCTCTATACATTTAGATGCCCTGTTCTGATAGTTAAGTTGGTTTTGAAATCGGCCTGCAAGTCTGTTGTGAAGCCTTTCGTACTACTCAATAAGAAATTGTGCAGATCATCAAGGCCCAAATTTTGGTATTAGATTGTTCAATATTAGTCTTTTTGCATGCATTTATTTTCTATTAGGAGAATTATTAATCTTGTTAATTGTAATCCTTGTCTTTCCTTTTTTTTTGTTTTATCAATGTGGCAAAGAAATAAAGTGGCTTTCCATTAAGGGTTGTGCCTATTGAATATTTATCATCTTTATTAATTTACTATTATTTATTCTAAAAATATCATTAATGGGGAATTGTTGTGGAGGTCATAATTTGGCAAATGCGAATTTTCAGATAGCGAGTTACGATTTGTAATTCTCAGACCCCTCGAAATTTGACTTAGTGCTTCTCAATAAGAAGGCTTTGTAGATTTAGAGTATGTTTCAAAATATATGAAATCTAAGAATTATTCAGAGGTTATGTAGTAAGAAAGAAAATGAAGAAACAACAGACAAAGGCATTGGCACAGACATCGGATGAGAGTTTCATTTATCAATATAGATCGAATCAGAAGGAAAATTTTAAAAACAAGCAAAATGTTTTAAAATTTAACATCGATGGTTAATAGCATATTCCTGTGTTTAATGTAAAAGAAGTTAATATCAGCTCCAAGTACTCAGATAAAATTAAAACTGTAATAAATGATCCTTCTATCAAAGGTTCTTGATAAGTTGGATCCATTTAATTTCGATTAAGATGCCTAGTTTTCAGAGTACCCGTTCTCTAAACCACTGCTGATAGGCGATGTTATATACGAAGGTCAATGGAACAATTGGTATTAGATTTTAATTTATGAAGTTAAAAACACGGGAGAGGAAGATAGTTTTGGATTGATGGGTCATATTATGAAGGATATTGGTTCAATAATTGTTAACATGGCAAAGGCAGGTTGTTATTGGCTCAAGGAGACATTTATGAAGGGGATTGGAAGAATGATAAAGTTCATGGTTTTGTAATTGTATTAATTATTAATAGTAGGGTACTTACATTCATTAGAATGGAGCTAAGTATTAAGGCAATTGGGAGAACGATAAGCAGCATGGGAAGGGTAAGGAGTTCTGGCCAGATGGAGCTACTTTTGAAGGAGACTACAAGAATGGATAGAAGAATGGTGAGGGGATCTTAAGAGAGGCTGATGGATCGGTTTATGAAGGAGAGTTTTAGGAGAATAGGTTCGAAGGTCAGGGAGACTATAAGATTGTCGGTGGGAAGAGATACGTTGGACAGTACAAGAACAATAAGATGCATGGAAAGGGGGTGAGTTGGTATGTTTATATTTATAGACATTTTATTGGAAAGATGGCAAGAAGTATGAGGGCGACTATGTCAATGGCGTGAAATAAGGATATGGAGTGTTGTATTATCCGGATGGGAGGGTATCTATAAGATAAATTTAAGATCTTTAAAGGCTATTGGTAGAATGGGAAGCAGCATGGTATCGGGATTTATATAGGGAAATCAAAGGTCGAGAAGGAAGGGGAATGGATTGATGGGAAGCGAGTTCGATGGATTAGGAAAGGAGGAGAGTTTACGATTAATGAATCTTGATTAATAAATTTTTCTTTGGAATTTTAAGTTAATTATTTATAAGGGGATTTTGATTAATTCTAACTCAAATGATATTTTTTGATCATTCGATTAAGGGATCATGAAGTAAGAATGATTTAGTTGCATAATTTATATAATTTAATATAATTTTTATATAAATTACTGCATAACAGATTATGGGAAGTTGTTGTACAGGATAATAAGCATGGTGTGGTGATCAAAAAACATAAGTTAATTTGGGAGTAAATCAATCATAAGATCCAGATAAAAAATTGGATGAACAGTTAGATGAAAATTTAGTTAAGGAAAAGGCTACAAAAATATAAGGTAATTTCAGTTTGGAATTATGAATAGCACATATAAGAGGTCATAAGGCGAGAGAAGAGGTTAAGAAAATAAAAGAAACCCAAAAGAGTTCGGAACAAGTTTCAGATAAGTGCATTAAATAAAGTCTTGAACCTAAAAGAATGGAAAACCATCAATAATAGGAAGAAAAGGCATCTGTGACAGCGAAGGAAGGTGCCTATACAAAGGGTCCAGAGTAAGGTGCTGGTGCTAATTAGCATGCTCCAAATGATAGAGTAAGAAAAATTGAAAGGGTACCTGACTTTTTGACAGATCGAACTAGACAAGTATATTTTAATTATACAAAGGTTTTGGAGAGATTGGATGAGTTTGTTTACGATTAAGATTAAGAGGAATACAAAGATTTACCACAACTGGGTCCTTATGAATTTGAGAACGGAAGTGTTTATATAGGTTAATGGAAGAACGGGTATATTTTTGCATTTATTTTATCTAGATAGAGACACGGAAGAGGAAAACAAATTTGGCAGGATGGTTCATTGTATGAAGGCTACTGGTACTAAAATGTAGCATGTGGCAAAGGCAGATTAATTCATTCTGATGGTGATATTTATGAAGGAGAATGGAGAAATGACAAGGCTCATGGTTATGTAAATTATTTAGATGTAATGTTAGGGAAAATATGTTCATATGGATGGAGCTCAGTATATTGGGCAATGGGAAGATGATAGATAGAATGGGGAAGGATAAGAAATTTGGCCAGATGGTGCTAGTTATTAAGGATAATATAAGAATGGAAAGAAAGATGGTAGAGGTACATTTAAATGGGCTGATGGTTCGATTTATGTTGGAGACTTCTATTAAAATAATATTTAAGGACAAGGAGAATATAGTTGGGAAGACGGTAGGAAATACGTTGGAGAATGGAAAAATAATAAAATGGATGGCAAAGGGGTATGGTTATTTATACAAACCAAAGGTTTTTACTTGGTTGGATGGCAGAAGATATGAGGGTTAATATAAGGATGATAAAAAACATGGTTACGGAGAATTTAAATGGCCTGATGGCAGAGTATGATTTTTTTAAAGATTATCAGGTCTATAAAGGAGACTGGTCAAATGGCAAATAGCATGGCAGAGGAATCTACATAGGTTCATCAAAGGTGGAAAAGGAAGGAGAATGGTAAGAAGGTAAAAGAGTAAGGTGGATTAGAAGAGGAGGCTAACCAATCGAAGAGGGAAATTGAAATTCACTTTTATAACAGTTCCCTCACAGAATTTTTTTGTTTTAAAATCTCTTATTATTTATTCAAAAGATTTTAGAACTTTTTCTAACTTCTGATTTTGCATCCATTTTCTTTTAATCCTATGCTGCTTTATCAGCTGCTTCAACCTATGCTAATTATCTTTTAAGATCTGATATCTTTTATTAACTTTCCTTATAATTTTTTTCTAAATTTGTGTATTTCTTCATCCAAGTTTCTACTTCATTTGATGCATAAGTAACTTTTTCTGTAATTATAACTTGATATTCTTCCTATAGCTCTTACAATTTTAATCTTAATTCTTTCATAAATTCTTCATCGTCAGATATCTTTTTTTCTAATTCTTGCTTTAAGTTTAACAAGTTCTTAACCTTTGTGTCATCTTACACTTCTTGTACATTTTCCTCGATAATTGTGCCATTGTTCTTTTTAATTTGAATTTATAACTCTAAAATTTATCTTTCCAAAGCTGCACATTTTGATTTCCAAGGAGCCTCAATATCTTTTAAAATCGATTAGAACTTTTACCATCAGCTTTTACTACTTGCAAAGGTCTCTCTATATGTCTAAATTCCTAAGCCTACACTTAAGGTTACGATGACTAATCATAGATTAATTATTAAATTTACTTGTGAACTTTGACCAACTTTTTAGGATTAATTTGTTGGTCTAATGGTTTTAGGATTTGACATGTTTATGGGGTTTTATTGTGTCTATCTCGTTGGTATAATCGGACTTTATTGTAATTGTAGCTGTTTCATCTGTTGTGATTGAGGTGATCCCTAAAAACTTTTTAACACAATAATAACCATTAACTATCTTTATTAAGGAGATATCATTTAACCGTTGTTATAATTTGGAGATTACTAAAATTGTCTTGGAGATTGAACCTAATGAACATTTTTATTTTTCATTACAAACTGATTTTATCTAGGTGAAACCTGGAACTGATTAGTTTATTGACCAAATTGTTATTGCAATCTAGGATCTGTTGAATACATCAAATAATAAATTTAATAAACTAAATACTATTTATTTTTTTCATATCATTTAAAATAGTTTGAAGGTTGAATATCTAAAACAGCAAAGGTTATTTAACCAATTCTAACAGTGTTATATGCTGAGTTATTGAAAAATCAACAGATATCTATATCTTTATTTATGAAATATATAACACGTCTATAATTTATTCTAGAATTTTAATAATTATGTTGAAAATCATTTTCTTAGCTGTCCTGTGCTCATTTAGTGCAGCGTTGTTTGAGAATTCTTATCTCATTAAACATGCCAATAAATTAGAAGATTTTAGAGCGATTTTAGAATCGGAATTTGTTTCACTTGTTTATTTCTATTCAGACAAATGCGAAAATTGCCAAAGAGCTGCTTCACTAATAGAAAAAGTAGCTGAGGATTAAGAAGGCATAATAAATGCATATGGAGCTAATTGTGATGAAATAAATAAGGATCCTAAATCTAAGTATTATACAATCTAAAACTAGCGATTAATTACCATATTGCAGTTAAGATGTGATATAACATCTACCATAAATTACTTTCTTTGAGCCACCAACTCAACCAATAAATCCGTATACAAAAGAAAAGATGATAGCTACAGAACACAGATTTTAAGGAGAAGCCACTCCATAAAGTTTGGGATAATATGGATACAAATTCATCCCAAATCATGTTATTAGAATTAATACGTTAGAGGAACTCAAGAAATTTGAGACATCTGATCCAAAATTGAATAAAGTCATTCTTTTTACAAAAAGGAAAGAAACTTCACCTCTACTTAAAGCCATGAATCTACATTATTTGGAAAGAGTCAAATTTGGAGAAGTTGTAGCAACTCCAGAAACATAATCTCTATTAGACGAATTTGATATCAAGGAATTGCCACAAATAGTGGGATTAGAAAATAATGGAGATAATACTTATAATAGAGATCTATTTGATGGTGATTTACTATTCAAACCAATTAAGAAATTTGTTAGGGGATTAGCTGCTAAAGATAGAATTCCATATGAACAAGTCAATGAATAATCAACGAAGTAGGAAGAAAGAAAAAATAGAAGACAAAAATAAGATGATTAAGAAAAGAACAATGAAAAATAAAATGTGATTACACCTACTAAATTAGATCAAAATATCTTAAATAAATAGCTATTAAGAAATGATAAACCAGCATTTGTACATGTTTATAAAGAGACACCCCATAAGGCATGGGAGGAAACCATAAAAAAATATAAATCTTTATTTGATTATTATGAATTTTAAGTTAATACTCAAGAGGATGAAGAATTAGTCAAGGAGTTGCAAATTAAAAGTTATCCTAGTATCAGATTTTATCAAGTAGGAAATACAGCAAAAAAAAGAGCATCCAAAATATCATTTACTAAAGAGTATTCTTTAGATGAAATAAATAAAGACATATAAGAATTAGTTGATGATAAGACTATTAATATTAATGAACAATCATTGTAAATGTAATTGAGCCAATACATTGGTGATAACAACATTGTTGTGCTTTATTTTTATTAGACTCCCCAAGTTGGATTAACTTACAGAGTCTTGAGCTAATTGTAAGAATATCATGGCAAGTATAAATTCTTGTCTTTTAAAAATGCTTCTTAAAAGGTTATTGATTAATTTTAGATACCTAATCAACCAGCAATTACTATAATCTTTAGAGATGTCAAGGATAAAAAGGAATTAGAAGAAGAACTAAAACCTGATTAAGTAAAACAAGCACTATTTACAGGAAAGCATGGTTATGATGAAATTAAATCATTCTTAGATTCAGTATAATAATATTTAATATTTAGTTTGATGAATCTAAAAAGACATCCAGCAAAAAGGTTTAGGAAATACATAATTAAGAGTAATTAGAGGAATATTGTGAAAAAAAATAAACATTATGTTACATTGCATTATTAAATGGTGAACATAAATAAGTGAAACATGATGATATTTTAACAAAATGGGAACATTAATTGGAAGTGCTTGATAAAATAAAAAATATTCATGGAGCAAAATAAGCATCTTTTGTTTTCATTGATGCTTCATGTCATGATGAATTATTATTAAAATTTGATATTTCTGATGATACATTGCCTAATTTCGTCGCATACTCTAGTAGCAAAAAGATGTAATTTATAAGATAATTTTAGTTATTCCAAATTAATTGGAAGATTCGATTATGACGCTCTTAGTAAATTTATTGAAAAATAATATAAGGGATAGTCTAACAATATTAATATTAATTCTATTTAAATTATAGAAAAAAATTGTGAAGAGATATTCCAAAAAAGAAAAGAAGCTAGTCAATAATCAGGTTTATCAGATTTTGATGAAGAAATCCTGAAAGAAATTTTGGAAGAAGAAAGATTAAAAAGGAAAGAATTAGAAAAAGAATTAAAAAAAGGAAAGAAAAAAAACAAAAAGTCTAAAGATGATTTATGATTTTAACTCGAATTTTTATGTTGATAATTGTTATAAATTCTAAAAAGAAATCCTATCTCTCATTTCCTATAAAAATTAAGGATTTAACTTAGAGCTTAAAAACAATAACCATATGATTCTTAAACAAATTTCATAAAAGAAAGTTTGAATCATTACTTAGATTACTTTTTTAATTTAAAAAAAATAATACCAATTTCATAAAATTAAAAGTAGAAATACTTACATTTATAAATTCATTTCTTCTTCTTTTTTTGTCCCATTGCTTCTCTCAATTTTCTATCTTGCCTTTAAAATATTTCAAGGTTTTCTTTCCACTATTAGGCTTAATCAAAATCTCTCAATTTCCACATTAGAACATCCATTCTGAAATTAGCATCTGATGGTAAAGGATATTATGCCAATTCTAATTTGATTGGGAAGTCTGTCATTATGGATATCAACCTTTGATTATCAAACTTAGATATGAAAGATTCTTACTTTTAATTCTTGGTTCCAAACCCCTTTAATTATGCTTTTAACTGATTTAACTTCAGATTTTAGATCGAGGCCCTTATATTTTCTATAGCCTTCTCTTAAATATCTTCCTATAGCTGCATCTGTAACCTCACAGACTCCTCCAGCTACAAAATCTGAGTATGGAAGATGCTCAATATTAAAGTATTAGCAGTATTTTTTATCAGGCTTGAATGCACATTCCATAACCCATTTATTATTTAAATCAAATAGAAATTATTTTTCTAAAAAGTCCATTGATTTATCACCAAATGTAGTTCCATAAATACAACCAGGTGCTAATAAAATAATGACTTCTTAAGGAGGGTTTTCAAATATCACTTTAACTTCACCTACATTTCTTCCAACAACAGAATTAGAATGAAAGTTTGCGACTAGTTCTAAACGAGCATCAATTCTATTCATATTTAGAATATTCATACTTATATTTTCGACCATAATATTAGATAATGCAAACGGGAGGATGATGACTAATTTATTCGCAATATATTGGACAATTATCGAAATAACCTTAAAAGGTTTCTCCTAAAATGGGATTGAAGGGCTAGCAATATTTATATATGGATCTTACCTTTTCCATAGATAAGTATGAAAAGATAAATCCAAAAGAAAATGCTGCACACTATTTAATCCTATAAAATTTATCTTTCGAAATAGCAGCATCATCTAAAAACACTGGAGCAAAGGCCAAAGAACTACATGCTCTTTCAGTATTAGATCTGGATTCGAATATTGTTACAGGCATTGATATGCTTGTAAGAGATCTTCCCATTAAAAGTGAAGTTCCTTTAAAATATATCACTTAATACCTATTCTAGCTAATAAAAATTTAACCACACTTTTCTATGCATTCACTTTTACTTCATTTATACATTTCAGTCCGCCATTTTTTTCATCTCTCATAAAATCTTTTCTAAAAATATAGTGTCCTCCTTCTTATTCTTTCATATATTTTCTATTCTATATTAATTGAATATATATATCTACTTTGAGATCTGACTCTAATGGATTCAAAATATGTTCTATATCTATGGCAATTTGACAAAATTTTCCACTGAAATAAGCCTACATCTTTTTTTCTACCCAATCTTCAATATTTTCGATTGTATCACTTTAACTTTAAATTTAGTGACTCTTGTTCGTTGGCTATCTTTAAGTTATTGAGTTCCTGACTTCCATCACACTTTAATCAGAACTATTTGCTTATTGATCCTATTATCCAATAAACAATTTATCATTCATAGCATCAATATCATCCTGACAATCATAATATTGAGTGAGGTTTCCATCAGATCCCTCATTTTTAGGTTCAATTTCATCATTTTCACAATCATCCTCTATTTTCGGTTGTTGAAATAGGATATTTTATGAAATATTATTTCCAACAACTTGAGAAGATTCTTAAGAACTAGAAGTTTTCTTTAGCTTCAATTATTCTAACGTACCTTAAGAAAGATTATTTTAATCTACTTTTCCTAAAAGAATTTCAGAAGACTTTGCTGATTTTTTCATATTGATTTACTATTAAACTTATTAATCATCCTCTTTCAAATTTCCAATTTATGGAATATTTTTATCCTTAGAAGGTAGTAACATTTAATTGGGCGATGAAACTGGAATTTATTAATTGGGACCCTAGAGTGGGGATGAGACAATTATAGGTTATTGAGAGTTTGGATTTTGAATTGTTTATTTTGAGATATCAGCTTACTAAGCATCTTTTATAACTTTTACTTTTGACTTTGAAGTTAAAAATTCATTTTGAGGACTATTATTTGGATTTATGCCTTAACCTTAATCCTGCATTAGTTGTTTATCAGGATCAGATTTTGATTGCTTTATTATATTTTCAAATTACAAAAAATATTGTTATGAAAGGATTGAGTCTTCTTCAATAAAGGCTAACCCATTGTAACTCTATTCAGTAAATAATACAATATTTGTTTGATTGTTTTCGAATTAAAGACCCCAAACTGCGAATTTTAACAGTCCTGAAACAGTGCCTTAATGTATTTTGTGATCTGCTTTTTTTTCAATAATAATTTTAGTATTTTCTTTTTTTTTAAATTCAACCACATGTCTTAAATAAGTGAATTCTCTTTTGAATTAAAACCAATTTTTGATTAATCTTATTTCAGTTATCATTTGGGATTTATCAGATTTGAAATCTTTAATTTAAGTGTATTCTTTGATGTTGTGCACATTCCAATCATACTAAGATTGAAATAATTGGGTTTGACATTTTGCTATGCCTAAAAAAATATCTAAGGAATATTACAATTTCCAGGTAAAGTAATAAAGACTTTGAAATTGAGTTAATTGTTTTTATTTCTATAAATCTTCACTATTTGATTTTGAGTGAGTTCATACTATTCCAATTAGAAAGATTTGGATCTGATATTTTGAATACTAGATTAATTATAAAAATATACGCATCTCGAATTTCAGGCATTTCAAAAAATTGTGGAATGTCGTAATCGTAATCTCTTAAGGATGCTGCATTTTAATAAAATTTATCATACAATTTGGTTTAGAAGATAAATTAGGCTCGAACAAACTTTAAGTTCGAAGTTATTATCCACACATTTTTTTTAGGAATAACATAAGCTCATTGGCAAATTTCTCATTGTCAGATCCCATTAATATATTCTTTTCACCTATTGTAGAAACCAATTCAAATTAAAATCTATTATTTTTTCTTTCTACATTTGCTATCTATCAGGAATGAGGAATATATTTTACTTAATAATTAGCTAGATGATAATTTTTATTTTATTTTGAACTTTTTATTGAAAATATTCTAAGTTCTTGATCTAAGATGTATTTTTTTGGTTGCCAAAGACCAAAGGTCTTGCCTTTAACTAGGATCTCCCCTTCCAAAAGATAGTTGATTTTTGCCTTATCCATAAATTAATAATATTTTTAGGGAGATATTTTGTATTAAAATGGATTTTTAATGTAATCTATTATTCCACCCCTGTTTCGCACTTTACATCATATAAATTTATTTTAAACTAAATATTGTTTTTTTGTTGCAATATGATAATACAACCTAAGTAATCGCAAAAGATGGCTGACACATTCTCCAATAGCAAGGACTTTTACTCCTTTCATCAAAAATAACTCACGGTTCAAAAACCATAAGCACTTCGTTTGGAACATTGGTCTATCTCACAAAGAACTAAATTTCAATCTATCAAATACAGAACAAATTCGGAGATCCTGACTGTTTTTATCAATAAAGGACTGCTGTAGACCTAATAAAAAGTATCGTCCTAGAAACATTATGAAAATTCTTCCAGCATTTCAATTAAGTAGAGTTAAGATGAAAGAGTAACAAGAGAACTTTTACTGTCATAATAAGCTCTGTAAACCATAGAGGATATGGAAAAAAGTAATTAACGATAATTAATTATTTAGGTAAGAAAATTCTTCCACCATTAAGTTTGTATGCGGATAAATTAATACTAAAGGAAAGGCAGAATTAATCTAAAGAAAAACTAGAAACCTGTAAAAATTCCATAAATGAAACGTAAGAATTAAACACTATAACAAGTCCAACTTTGCAGAAGACGGTGGCAAGGAAAAGTAGAGGATTCATTCAAGGTGAACACAAGTATATTTATGAGAGTGAACTAAATGCTCATAAAATGGGAAGAACTTCATCTACTCCATTGATGCAGAAATCAAAAGAGGATAAAGAAGAACAAGCAACAAGTAGATCTGGAACTCCTTAAAAAGAAACCCCAAAAATTAGTCCATTAAAGCATCCTTAAAAGAATTTAACTAAGTAATTGAGCATATAGACACCTTAATATAAAGTGAATAAAGAGAAGAAATTTCATTCCGGTCAGCATTTATCATAATAATAATAATAATAAAAATAATAATCATAATAATATTAATAATAATAATAGTAATAACAATAATAATAATAATAATAGTAATAACAATAATAATCTATTTAAATAGACAAAAAATTTCTGCCAAGAAAAAAAAAAATGTCAATTTCCAATAATCTAATATAGTAGTAGAATCTATAAAAGGAGAAACTCACTCTACGTCACACATCTTATCGCTGCTTTTTGAACAAGATTAATTTTTCAAATAATTAATGCATCTGTTCTCCAAGCAAAATGGAAGTTCCTACCTATTATTATTATGTGGGTCTTGGAAACAATGGAACTTTAGTCAAAAATATATTCAGATAAAGATGGTGGTGGACAGAAGTAGAGACTTTAGATACTAACAAAGTTAATATGTCTTGGACATAATTGAAATAGAATATATGTATTGAATAATTACATCCATATTGTATGGACTCAGGAGCTTAGAGTTCAGAATCTTTTATCTTGAGTCATGAGGAAACTATTGGGGATATAAGTGATTCAGACATTGATGTAAAATCAAAATAATTAAGTTTAACTAATGGAATGTAAAAATAGTAAAACTCTTCTTAGCATTAATAAAAGAAGCCTCCAAATTATTTTTCAATTAAGAGAATATTAAATGCATAAGACTTATAGAAATTGTTAAATTATATGGAGGATACTAACTGCTATGATAGCTCAATCATTTTTAGTGATTGCTCTGAAAAGTTGTTAAAAGATATTAAATAATATCACACTATTCAAAAACTTGATAGTTAAAGCCAAAGGATGCACAACCATATGGAGGACAATTGGCATCTGGGTAATAAGAAAGCTCTATTCTATAATATGAAACATTACTTTTAAATTATCAAAGAAGATTATAACAAATTGCTTCCTGTAACCTTTCATATTCAAAAAGGGTTAAGTGATATTGAATATTCAAAATTTTTGGATTATTATAACAAAAGAAATGAAGAACTTCGTGACCTTGAAAAGAATAGGGATAAAAAGGATAAAAAGAAACCACTTCTAAATTTATGGATAATCAAACCAGGAGAATTGACTAATAGAGGCTATGGGATTACGGTTTGTAATGATTTAAATGAAATAAACAAGATAATAAGTGAAGAAATTTAAGAAGGCAGATAAAGAACTTATATAGTTCAATAATATATTGATAATCCCTTTTTGTATAATAAACGAAAATTCGATATTAGATGTTATATGCTACTAACTTCTTAAAATGGAATATTTAAAGGTTATTGGTATTAAGAAGGATATATAAGAACATCATCGAAAGAATTTACTACTAAGTGCTTAGATAGATTTGTACATCTAACTAATGATGCTGTCCAATCAAAAGATTAGGACTATGGTAAACATGAACCAGGCAATAAGATTTCTTATTTAGATTTCTAAAGATACGTTGAATGTAATTATCCAAATTCTAAATTTAATTTTTTTGTTGACATCTATCCCAAAATGAGATCTGCAGCCTTGGATATGATGAAAGCTACCTATGGTAAAATAGATCCCCATAGAAGAATTAATAGTTTCGAAGTACTAGCTTGTTAAATATTTAGTTATATGGATTGGATTTTATGATTGATGAGAATTTCAAATTGTGGTTAATTGAAGCTAATACCAATCCTTGTCTTGAGTAATCTTGTCCTCTTCTTAGTAGAATAATACCAACTATGGTAGAAAATCTATTTAGGATCGCTGTTGATCCAATTTTCCCTCCCCCATTTTTTGAAGAATGGCCTTTAAATAAAAAACTATTTATTCCTGATAATGTGATCGAGAATAATAAATTTGAGCTTATTTTCGATGAATTAATAGAAAAGAAAAATATGCTTAGTTTATTTCGAGATAATAAAATTGAATAAGAGTGCTTTGATATTGAAGAAGAAGAAGAGGAAGAAGAAAAGGATTGAATATATCGTATAACTCAGTTTTTATAATATTTATTTTATTATAATTTTCACTTTAAAACTTTTGGATAAGTAGATTTTTTATGTTTTAAAATGATGTATATGAATATTCATTTGAAATCTATGAAACATCATTATTGAATTCTATAAAATTTTTTCATGATGAAATTTATTTATAAAATAATAATTTTCTTAAATGTAGAGAACGATTGTTTACTATGCGTTTAAAATAATGGATGGCCTCTTTGTTGGAAATAGCCGTGCGCCATTAGTATAAACTATATTTTTATATATGATGAGGAAAGAGAGTTTTTGTTGATGAACAAAATAAATTACGTAATTAATTGTGCAGCCTCAGAACTAACATATAATGGCGTCGGGAACTGCCTCTGCTTCTATTGGAGAGACTCAGAAGAACAAGTAAAGTATTCAATAGATTTAGAACATTGTTACAATTGAGAACATTGAAAAAATCAATGAGTTTATTGAAGAAGCCAATAATAATGGGGAAGGTGTTTTGTTTTTCTCGCTCAGGGGATAGAGTAGAGCTCTAACAGCCTTGACAGCATATTTAATGTACAAGTAAATTTATCACTGAATTTAATAGATATAGTTGGTGTTTGCATAAAACACTTTAATTCTTGAATACAAGAAGGAAAGACTTTGAAATTAGTAAATAGTTTCTAAAATAATTAATCAATTTCTAGAACGATCATTTTAAAGGGAAAGAATTAAGTAAGAAATGGGAAAACATTGAAGAAAATTAAGAAATTTAGGTTATATAAAATACTTATTTGAATTCGTTACAGCAACCTCCGATAATTTAAAAAACTATTGCAAGTTTTTCAAACCCAAATGGAACAAAACAAAATGTAACTTGGTCTATAAACTTAATCTAATAAATCTAAACAATAGAAGTAAAAGAAGAAAAATAACACCTAAAAGAGTTGAAATCTATTTTAAAAGGTTCTTCTAAACTTTTAGTCAAGGACTAATAAATAAGATCCATATCAGTAAACGATAATTCAAAATTAAGTTTAGAAGATTTTATTATGCAAAATTTGTTAATCACAAAAAAGTTACAAACACCCAAAATTAATAGTTTTAGTTTTGAGAATAAGGGAAAAAAGAAAGACTTAATAGAAGGAATAATGTCTTAGCATAAAACCAGACCAAAACGGCCATAACATTTTACTCCTGAAAGATAAAGAATTATGTAGAATACTAAATAGATTATGGATACATACCTAAATTCGCAAATCAATAATATGTATTTAATGAGGGGCAGATCCATCTATACTCCTTAGAAAGAAAGAATAAGAGCAGTTTCCTAATAAAATTAAAGTCCAAACAAAACTCCTAGTCTATCAAAGTAATCTTTTTTTATTGAAAATCAAAATGTGAACTTTATGAAGTGGAGTTTAGCTAAAAAATTGCCTTAATTTAAAATAAAATGATTCTTGTCATCATTCTTTTTATGTGTTAATGTTGAATTACAAAATTTATTAATATATTTAATTTTTATCAATCAAAACTTGGTTTATTGGTTCTGCTACTTTTGATTTCAGTGATCAATTATCTACTTGTGGCAGCTTATCCTTTTTTTGAACTTTATTTTGTCGAGACTAATTTCAAATTAAATATATACCCCCAATTTTTTTATCTCTCATATCCCTCATTATTTAAAATATGTCAATACTAGTTTGTAATGTATTTTTTCTATTTTACAAATATCAATACTTATCTGACATCTTAAGCTATTCCTGGCTCATTTTATGAGATTCCTCTGATTTCAAAATTTCTGATTATTTTCTTGAATTTGGATGGGGCTACATAATGAATCCAAATAATCTACAATAGCTTAATTTAGATATTACTATTTTGATTTCTTATTGCCCCCTTTTGGAGACATTTGTCTTACATCTTTCTGCTTTTCCCCGAGAGAAAATAAGAGACTAGCATAAGACTTTGAGTTTTCTTATTAGGTCCCTATTTTTGAATTTAAGGTTTGTTTGAATTTTTGGGTAACTTTGCCATCTGGAGATTATGTAGAATAGGATTCTTTTCTTAAAGCTTTATTGATCATATTCGAACAGTTAGTTAAGTCCTATTTAAACGATATTAATTCCCCAACTGAAGTGCTGTTTTTAGTGCTATTTCTATGAATAATATCTTACTGCATTTTATTATTATAATTCACATCCTCCTTATAAACTTTATTCTTTTAGAGGTTTGTTAATTAAAGCTATTGTTATTCACCAACTGAACTATAATGAGCCAAAGGAGATATAATTCGATTCTTATTATTGATAAAGACTTCTTGTCTTCTCTCTCCTTAGTAAACATAATTAAGGGATAAATTGAGAGGATATTTTTATGAATTTAAGAGACTGGTTCTACTGTCTTTACTAAGGGATTGCCCTCTATTTTATGATTATGGTTGGAGCAGAGGAGAATGACTTTGCTATAATTTATGAGTGTCTAGTAGTAAATTTGGATTGATTTGCAAATACTTTTGCGTTTCTAAGATTTCAATCTATTAATAGAATAGATGTCATAGATACATACGTTATTTTGCAATTTCAAAATTTCATATTGAAGTTTTGCATTTTCTGATGTTTTTAAGTTCAATTTTTGTAACAAATATACTAATTTATCATTCATAGACAATTTATGAGGTAACAAATCATTGGAAAAGTCTGTGATGTTATTTAGATCAGCGCTTTTTTTTTATTCTAAAATTTAAATTTTGGATTGTAATAGCATATTTTCTTAGACAAGAGAGCAATTCTTTTATTTCTGTAGAAGTAATTCTTATTCTAATTTTTGATTTTAATTTTAAAGTGATTAGATCTAAGTTTACAAAGATGTTTCAATAGCATTTTTCTAATCATTTAATTCCTTAATTTGTTTAATCAAATCATCTTAAACACTTTTGGGAATGGTTTAGTTGTTATGCTGTTTAACAAGTGTTTCTTCAAACTCACTCTGATTTCCATGATTAATGGTTATAGGTTATTCAACGCAAAGTTACTTTTTCACTAAACAATTTAATTTTGAATTTGTTACAACTGCTGAAACAACCACCTTTTTGAGGAAAGCTAAATTTAGTCAAGTTCTTATTTTAAGGAGCTGGAGGCTCTTACATAATGTCTTTAGGACTTGGGTGAGAATCGATTCTTTAATAATTGGATTCAGATTAGCCAGAATTGATGCTTTGGGGATGAAACTCTTCAAATTCAATATATTGTATAGGATGAGACTCTTAAATTTCATCTTATTTTTGATCACTAAATTTTGGATTGTATTGAAATTCTTGAGATTCTTGCAAATTGAGTGGTTGAGAACTAAAGGATTTGGATTCCTTAGTAAAATTGAGTTCTTGGTTTTCAACATCTGGTATGTTGCTACAGAATTCTTCAAAAGTGTCTAATTCTTAGATCTGCATAGTAGATGAATAATTTTACTTATTGTTAGACAATTTTGTCCTCTTCAGAGGATTGGATGATCAGATTAGCTGGTTTCCTTTGTTTGAATAATGGTTACATATTCAATTTTAAATTGTATTTTCTTAATAATAAAAATATCGATAAATTAAAAAGTATGTGTCATAAGCAAAGTTTACAAAAGAATTCGGAATCATCCAATTGTCCCTCTTTTAAACCCACACACTCTAGATGGTACCATTGATGACACGAATCGCACTTGTTTAGATGTATTCATTTACCTATATATATTTTCTATCGGGATTGACCGGTTATTGACACGAACAGAACTTTTAAAGTCTTTCTAAACCTTAAAATTATTTTTTTTCCATATCCCAACTTAATCGGTTAAAATAAATAGTAGATTCAATTTCATCAAGATCCACGTATTCCTTACATGTGAAAATCTAACACGAGTGTATCACAGTCTAGGCCAAAATGTAATCTTCATGTTTAGTTTCAAACAGCTCCTATTCTGAGACCCATTCATTGCTTTTCGGATGTGATTTGATCACTTCACTTTTTCTCATATACCATTGCACACGACATAAACAAATAAGTTTAAGTGTTGTTGGTTCTTTTATTGATATAATTTATTTTATGGTCCCTATATAATCTTCATCATGAGCATCTCCACTATTAATTAACACAGTCTCTCCCAACTTGATAATTTTCTTCTGAACCTTAATACAATCGTATTCCTCAAATACACCTTTGGTTTGTTTGGCCATCTTGATAAGGTGTTCCCATTTTTAGAATTTGTACAAATCTCTAATACTAATCGAAGAATGTTTCGAGATTTGCTTTTTAGTGATTGTAGAACTCTCCCTAGACTCCTTTTAGAATTTATTCTTGTTATATATGGCTTTTTTGATCCAATGAGAATAGTTCATATTTATATTTAGATCAGATATTTATTTGAATTATACTTTAATTAAAAATTCAATTGGATATACAGCTGCTTTCTGAAATATTTATGACATCTTGATCTTTGAATTGAGGCGAACAAAACAAACTCTTCTATTCTTCTTAGACTGTTTCTAAATTCTTATTATTTTGACTTAATTCCAAAGGGTGATTCCTTGCCTTCAAATCACTGAAGTGCATCATCTCCCTGAAATTCAAAATCTAACCAGTTTCCTTTGGATCACCCTTCCCATATGAACCCACATTTTACTGATCATCCCATAAATTAACTTTTTTCACTGACTCCATCAATTAAGATCGCTTATCTAAAGCTTTTTTGCAAGTTTCTGTATCTTACAAATATTATAGATATTATAAATTTTCCAACTCATTCTTCTTCAAATCAGGGGTTTCCAACACCATAGTCTGATTAGATTCTATTGACTATTAAAAAAACCTAGGTTTATATTTTAATACTTTATACTGTTAAGTTTTTGATGAATTATTCGAGATTTTGTTTAATTTTGATAGATTCTTATCACTCACCTCTTTACATTATAAGAACTCCTCATTCATTTTTTCAATACTTTATGGATCATCAATGTTCTCAAATAATTTTCGAAAAGTGCTCTTCTGCTTTTAAATTGCATCTGAACTGATTTATTATGTATCCTCAGTCTTAGTCACTGTTCTTTAAATGGATTATTTCATTTATCCACTAGCAGGACTATGAGGAGTAGATTTGGGTGAATTTTACTCACTCATCTAATTCTCTTAATAGTGTTGAGATTCTATCAATTATAATTATTATTTCTCTTCATGGAAACTCTTTTTAGCCTTATATTCCTGTTCTACAGTATTCATAAACAAATCTTTATTTTCAAAAGAAACATAAAGGTTGTTATTTTTTGGTTATTGCAATTTTTAATGATTCACTTGAATAATGTTGTCATCAATCTATTTTTAATTTGAATAGAATTATCCATCTTATTATTGTGACTATGCTTCTAATCCACTACTAAAATTTGTACGAATTCTTTATTAAGACATAGATTATTAAAATGGCATCTCGTTATTTTCAGTTTTTTTGAAAGCAGATGCCATTTGAGTGATCTTAGGTTAACTAACATTTTAATTATTACTATTTTAAATCAGCAATCGTTTTTCATCTTATAATTAATAGCTATTATATATGTAATCAATCTATATACTTTTAAGCAATTAAAGCGATTATGGGTTTAATGTCTGGATTTATTTGGTGTTTCAATCCAATTGTAATTGAAAGCATGGATTGTGTAAACTCATTCATCTTTACTAATTCTATTTAATGATTATCCATGATCTTTTAGAATGGCTCCATTTTTATTGTTTTTAAAACTGCATTCCAGTTGTTTTCTATGTCCTATCTTATATTATTTGTTTCTTAATGATGCTATTGTAAAACAAACAATAAGATTGATATTTATTTTAAAGATTCTTACTATTACATTTATAGAGTAGATATGCAATAATTGCTGGCTTCATTCAATAAGTTTTAGAGTTCTAATCTAGATTCTTCGCACTTTCTTATTTAATTCTCATACCATTCTGTTATCAATTCAATTTGGAGTTGCATCTATCCCAGAATGTCTTATCTTAGAGTTTAGGACGCATCTAACTTTTTCAGAAACCCACTTAGTTATTTCTCCTTGAATTGCATTTCCGTTTAATTTGCATTGCCATTTAATTCAATTAATTTAGATTAAAATGTAGGTATCTGGGTCTCAGAAGATTTAATTTTTAGTTAGTTAATTTCTTGCACAACTTTTCCTTAGCTTGCAGCTTCAATGGCACATTAAGAACAGTAATATGTAAGTTTAGAACATTCTTCTACCTTATACTTGGCTCTCTTATTTCTATGATTTGCACAGGTCTTTGTGGGTAATACATTTTCCAAATTATCATTTGATCCAATTAAGGGTGAATATTAACTTAGTAATTTTCCTTATTAGAATTTATTGCCTAAGCTTTCATCAACCTAAATGTCTATTCAATCTTATTACACTCTGCTACTCAATTGAAATTTTAGAATGAAGGTAAGTGCTGGGAGTACCAATATTCAAAATTTTCATATCATTTTCTCTATCTTAATCATAAATAATAGCTTTGATGGATTATTCTTTGTTAATAGATTTACATTTGCTATACTCAGTATTAAGAGTAGTGGTGGTTAATTTAGTAGGAGTGTGATTCGTATTCTATTCTAATTTCCTTACAAAATTGGATTTACTATTGCTGGAGAGGGAATTGGTTGAGGAATGACTTTGTAATTTGAGAGGGCATCTTTATTGGAATTGTTGTGCTGAGCTATACTATCCAACTTGTTAATTAATCTTTAATTTTGATTCGGTTGAATTCTTGGCCTGGGGGATTGCTAAATAGTAAATTGATATCTTCTACCTTATTTATCGAATGTAGTTGTTACAATGCTCTCTTATAAATCGTGAGGACTAGGAGATTTGGGGATCAGTCTCTATTTATGGGATGCATCATTGGCAAAAGAGGCAGGTCTTCTTTATTGTTGCTCATCATTTAATTGTGATTGATTATTGAAGGAATTGGGAGATTAACTTCTTTGCTTGTTAAAATTAGGATGCTTTTCTTGGATTTGCTCTGTGATGTTATTGCTCTTATTTTACAATTACTTAATATTGCATTTTTGAGTTTGATTTTGCTGTGAGGGTTTTTAGGATGGTTTTAGTATATAATTGTTGAATCTTTAGGATGGGGATTCTTCTTTGTGTTTTTCGTTGGTTTGCTTATTAGAACTTTTTTCATTTTATTATTCAGACATGAGGTTTGAGGGTTTTACCTTCTCCTATTTGGTAGAAAATTATTGAGCCAAGAACTATTGGGTTTGATGCTGTTTAAATAGTTGTTACATCTAGATTGACATTTTCTTCGACAGAATTTCAAATTCAATTTTCTAAATTTAATAATACAAACAAATAATCTAAATTATTTATAAACTATTATTATGTTTGGATATATTATTTGAATTCTTTAATTCATTGATTAAGAATAAATTCTTAATTTACGATAACTTATTTGTTGATTTATATTTTAAAATACTCAATTCACTCCAAATTGTTTATCATTGAGTTGAAACCCAGAAATGATAGATTATCATTAATATAAAATTGGATTTATAATAATATAATTATGATTGATTAGGCCATCTAATTTTATTATGTCATGGAACCGCCTATTTCATTTCTTGAAATTTTAAACTAACCTCTAATAGACAGCTCGTCCAGAATGAGTTACTTTAAAATGAAGTATGCTCGCCAATCAAATAAATTCAATAAGCTGAGAATTTGTACAGAACAAAATTTAATATCCGACAGCCTAATGATAAACCTCAATATTTAAAGTCCCAATTTCAAAGTCCATCAGAAGTTCGACTACAATCAGCACGAACTAACTATCCATTCTCAAATTATAACATAACAGGCTACTCCAAAATCGTCACGATCAACAAGTCCTCTAAGGAGAGTTTATTTAAGTTCTAGTTTAGTAGCTCGCAGACAATTTAATGAATATGTTAAATGCAACAGATCCCCAGACCCTTATGATATTAATAACTACACTCAAGATATTCATCAATAGAGGACTAAAAAAGTGAAAAAAAAGAAAACCGACACTTCTGCTCTCATCTCGAAAACAACATATCATTTATCAAAATATGGTATCTGATTACTCATTTAAATATATTTATTAATCATTAAAATAATTAAATTGATGATTATCCTGTCATGATTTGATATTACACTGTTGAATATGTAATCATGTATTTAATTAAATTTATTATTAGTTATTTTTGATATCAATAAGTAAGTATCATATAAATTGGACGTATAGATATGGTATCTATTCCAGACTAAAAAATATTAATACATAGAATTATAATAATCATTCTTTTGTTTTTTAATTAATCAAAAATATATATATTATATTAAGTTAAATTGAATTGAATTAAATTATTCTACTATTTATTGTATATATTAAAATAGGCTACTCCAAAAAACATGAAACCTTTTAAATTAAACTCTTTAAATTCAGATTACAAATATAAACTGATATAATAACAAACACAGACTCATAAATAGAACTTTCTTAAATTTTTATTAAATTCTTTGATTAGAATACTCTATTTGTGAGAGGTAAAACAGAATCATTTGAATACTTAAATACAATCTTAATTATTAGTGGGAAGTTCATAGTAATAATTTGTCTTTAATATAGTTATAATTTGTATATTAAATTAATTTGGTCTAATTATTAATAACTAATATGCAAATGATTACAAATTACGATAGTGAACCCTTCTAATTGATAAATACGAAGAGACAAATATTTGGTGGAGAGTCGGATGCTAAGATGAGACAAATTTATGAAAGAAGTCCTTCATTGGAGGAGATAGATGACATGATGGATGATTAAGACAAAAGTGCTAAGTACTGTTCGTAAAATAGTAATAGACCATCGTCGTATAATTTGAGTAAGGCCAACAGTAATTACAAGCATCCAACTATAAATATCAAATATATCGTTGCAGATAAAAGAGAAACTTATATTTTCAACAATCTGAATTTTGATTAGAAAGAGCCAGGGTATGACTTGATAAAAATTGAATAGATTTAGTCCAGTTTGGAAGAACGGAAGCTTGAAGATTATCAGATTGGTTGCTAGATTTTTATATTAGTTGAAAACTAAGGCAGAAACTCTGAAGTTAAAATTAATGAATCATCATATATTCAAATACATAGATGATAAAGCAAGTGACTTTAATGAATTCAAATCTGGAAAGACTATAGATGATCATTCCTTTAAAAATAGAATCTGTCGAAATATCAAGAAGACGCATGCAGTGTTTTCTGCCATTAAGACTATTTTAGAATAATTATTTAGTAGAATAGGAGTTATTTATCCTGAGAGCACGTTCAAGATTATATGGGATTCTATTGTGGTTTGTTTTATAGTAATCAATATATTCTTCATCCCAATGTCTTTGAGTTTTGAGCTGGACAAATCAAGCACTTTAGTTTGGTTGTTCTTTGAAACCATTCCAAGTTACATTTTCATAGTTGAAATACTCCTTAATTTTAATACTGCATATTATAATCATGGGGTAATTCACACAACCAGGAAAGAAATATTTCATCATTACGTTTCTGAAAATTTCTGGTGGGATTTGATGATATCCATACCTTATGTACTATCTTAATTGGACATCCCTTATATTTAATTTGTATTGTTATTAAGAATTACAAGAGTCAAGTCAATGGTTTAAAATGTGGAGGATATGTTAAATGCTAAGGAATCAGTTTAAGCAGCAGTGGAATTATCTAAACTCATTTATTTTATTATATTCGTTGCACATATGTGTAGTTGTGCTTGGCATCTATTGGGTAAAATAGAAGTTGATGTCTATGGAGATACTAATTCATGGTTGATTCATTATGGTTATTATGATGAGCCTTGGCACACTCGATATATAGTAAGTATCTATTGGAGTGTGATAACAACATTAACAGTTGGTTATGGTGATATTGTTCCTTAGACTTCCATTGAATAATTATTTGTAGTTATTATTGCTATGATTATTTGTGGTGTGTTCGGATATTCTATATCAACTATTGGAGAGATTCTTAAGAATTTGGAAGAGAAGAAAGGCCAATTCAAGTAACTCATGAAGGAAGTGAACTCATACATTAAAGAGAAAGAACTCAATTTATAGTTATCCTTAAAAGTTAGAAAATACTTTGAATTCTACTATCAAACCTAACAATCTCAAAAACGTTCCTATCAAACTTTACTTAATAATCTGAATGAATAATTAAAATAAGAGATTATGATAGATCTATATAAAAAGATTCTCATTCAATCCAAGTTTATCAATGATACTTTTAATGAAACTTTGATTAATCAGCTATGTTAGAAGGTTCAGTAAGAAAACTTTGGTCCTGGAGATGAAATAATTGATCTTAAGAATAAAAGTGAAAAAAAGTTGATTTTCGTATTGAATGGACAAGTGGATAGTTATTTTCATATCTAAAGAACTCAGAAGGAAACATCACATTCTGTCAATCAAGGCAAATTCTCACGCACTTATAAAAAAGGTGACATCATAGGTGAATTTGAATTCATCACTAATAATGATTATTCTGTGTAATACAAGGCTATTAAGTTTACTCAAGTTGCCTTCATTAGTAGATAAGATTTACTAGAAATCATCACCTAAGATAAAGAGCATCTGTATAAGTTCTAAACACTCATTGATTCTCTAACCTACTCTTAGAAATTAGGAAGAACTTGTGAAATTTGTAAATGGACTCACTTATATTAGAAGTAATTATAAAATGTTTTATTTTATTTAAATTTAGTTGTCCATTTACATTCTATTAGCCAAACATTTGGAAGATAGTTCGACAAGCTTCTGCTTCTGTTAATATCAAGCGCATCTCTTTTGAACGTAAGTCTCGTCAAAGATACAAAACAATCACAAATTCTCAGATGACAATAGCTACAATTCTCGACTTTATGATAGTTCATAATTTCATCTAAGAAGAGTAAACTAATTACATTAATTTAAGTTTATTGTGTAGTAAAACATTAAAAAGATTAGGATTCAATAGTAACCTTAAAATTAGTTAGAGAGAGATACACGAAATTAGTTCAGAGTCCTCTTAATCTTCAAGTAGTAAGGAATCACAAGTTTTGCGTCATGAAAACCATAAAAATGGATAAATCAAAAACAAAAGAACCTCTTTATAATCTTAAAATGATAAAAATGATAAATTTGAAAAACTTAGAACTAATCTAAATATGAAGGAAAGCGTTCACAATAATTTATTAATGCCAATCTTATAAAAGATGAATTCTATTGGCTAATTACCACTTGATGATCCCAATAATTAAAGCTCTACTCCAAATGCTAAAGTGTTTCCTTAATTTTACAAGAAAAAACCATCTATTTCAACTATAAAACCTATGTTAAAGATCGATCAAGCTAATGAAGCTGACAATAATGAAGATACATTGAAGATATTCTCATTTAAAAAAGGGTCTGAAAATTTTGATGATATGGATCTAATGATGTAAGAAGATAATGATTTTTATCCTGAGTTTAATGTCTTCAAAGTAATAGATACCTATAATAAGTGCAGAATAAGAAATTTGAGTTTTAGAAAAAAAAGATAATTTCATGAAAAACTTAAATCTATAAGATTGTAAAAACAATTTAATTTAAAAATACTGACACCTCATTCATCATAGCAAATTATTTGATTAATTTAATGATATCAATTTTTGTTTATATAATATTGTAAAATTTTTGAAGATTATTATCATTTATTCTATTATCACAGTTGTTCAAATAAGCATTCATTTTTACAATTAAATAATTTAAGAAATCTACCATTATTTTTAGAAGGGTGAGATGATTATTTCTATAACAACCAATATTTTCTAAAATACATTAGTATATTATAATATTAAAATGAACAAAAATAGCTTAATAGAAAATAATTTCAGCTTAAAATGCTTAAACCACTAGAGAACTTAAGCAAAATATTTTTGCTACTTACCTTAATGTCAATAGCATAGAATATTTTGTGAGAATTGTCTAAATGATTTTCATTCCCAACACTAAGAATCAATAAGTCATCTATCAAATTTGTTCCTATTACTTGATGAAAAGTCCCAAAAGGCAGAATTATCCTTGCAATCATATTACAATTAATTCAGAAGTCTATAAGAATATTTTAACGTCACAATTAAAGGATTGCGATATATGTTTGGAGGGTTGACTTCAGATTTATTAGATCTTGATTAAAATCAAATTGTCTAGTTTCTTGATCAATTAATCCATTTCGATGAAATAAACTAATTATATAGAGATTAAGTAGAGAACAAATTACTCAAGATCTTAGAAATTCTGAATCAAATATTTTCCAGGTTACCANTTAAAATTAGTTAGAGAGAGATACACGAAATTAGTTCAGAGTCCTCTTAATCTTCAAGTAGTAAGGAATCACAAGTTTTGCGTCATGAAAACCATAAAAATGGATAAATCAAAAACAAAAGAACCTCTTTATAATCTTAAAATGATAAAAATGATAAATTTGAAAAACTTAGAACTAATCTAAATATGAAGGAAAGCGTTCACAATAATTTATTAATGCCAATCTTATAAAAGATGAATTCTATTGGCTAATTACCACTTGATGATCCCAATAATTAAAGCTCTACTCCAAATGCTAAAGTGTTTCCTTAATTTTACAAGAAAAAACCATCTATTTCAACTATAAAACCTATGTTAAAGATCGATCAAGCTAATGAAGCTGACAATAATGAAGATACATTGAAGATATTCTCATTTAAAAAAGGGTCTGAAAATTTTGATGATATGGATCTAATGATGTAAGAAGATAATGATTTTTATCCTGAGTTTAATGTCTTCAAAGTAATAGATACCTATAATAAGTGCAGAATAAGAAATTTGAGTTTTAGAAAAAAAAGATAATTTCATGAAAAACTTAAATCTATAAGATTGTAAAAACAATTTAATTTAAAAATACTGACACCTCATTCATCATAGCAAATTATTTGATTAATTTAATGATATCAATTTTTGTTTATATAATATTGTAAAATTTTTGAAGATTATTATCATTTATTCTATTATCACAGTTGTTCAAATAAGCATTCATTTTTACAATTAAATAATTTAAGAAATCTACCATTATTTTTAGAAGGGTGAGATGATTATTTCTATAACAACCAATATTTTCTAAAATACATTAGTATATTATAATATTAAAATGAACAAAAATAGCTTAATAGAAAATAATTTCAGCTTAAAATGCTTAAACCACTAGAGAACTTAAGCAAAATATTTTTGCTACTTACCTTAATGTCAATAGCATAGAATATTTTGTGAGAATTGTCTAAATGATTTTCATTCCCAACACTAAGAATCAATAAGTCATCTATCAAATTTGTTCCTATTACTTGATGAAAAGTCCCAAAAGGCAGAATTATCCTTGCAATCATATTACAATTAATTCAGAAGTCTATAAGAATATTTTAACGTCACAATTAAAGGATTGCGATATATGTTTGGAGGGTTGACTTCAGATTTATTAGATCTTGATTAAAATCAAATTGTCTAGTTTCTTGATCAATTAATCCATTTCGATGAAATAAACTAATTATATAGAGATTAAGTAGAGAACAAATTACTCAAGATCTTAGAAATTCTGAATCAAATATTTTCCAGGTTACCATTACAAGATATAGCATATCGGATACCATAAGACGTAGCACAATAACAATAAAAGTATTAGAATTTTGGTTAAATCAATGAAATATATTAGGTATGTAATTAAAAGAATAAGGACTTTATAGTGAGGCTATGATCTAATTTGATAGAGTACTTGAGATAAGTCCATATAATATAAATGTTATGTTTGAAAAAGGCATATTATTATATTAATATGTAAATAGGAGAGTGTTTAATGAAATAGAATTAAGAATATGAAGCATATCTCAAATATAAAGAAATAATTGTCTTCGATTCAAAACATTAGAAAGCTTTATGCAGAATAGGTTAATTTCAACTTAATGTTAAGGTAATTACTTATTTAAGTGCAATAAATATAATGAAGCATAAGAGTATTTTTCTAAATGTCTATGCATCGACTAAAATAATTATGAAGCTCTGTTAGGCTATGGTAAAGTTGATTAATATTTAAAGCTGACACTTTAAGATTATAGAATTAATTAATATTGGCAAATTATAATTATGAAAAAGCGATTAATATCAATAATTAGGATTATCAAGTGTTTTATGGAAGAGGTATACAGAAAAATCTTATGTTAAAAAGGGGAATGCTTAAAGAGTTTGAATGATTTCGAGAATTCCTCAAAAATGTTTAAAAAAGCATTAATGCTAAACTAAAACCATTTTGAGTCATTATTCAGTTTAGGTGATAATAATGTGTTATTTTAGCGGATTACTTAAGATAAGTAGATAAGTATATTGAAGCTATAGGATATTTCGATCAGGCTTTGCAACTTAAACCTCAGAATCCAGAATTATGGGAAGGAAAAGGTGATTAAAATATGTATAAAATTAGCCTTTTGCTTAATGGAGTTAAACGATAATGAAGAAGCAGTAAATTGCTATGAAAAAGCACTGAAATACGATCCTACTTCTTACGAGGCTTTGAAAGGAATGGGTTTATGAAATCAATTAATTTAATAGGTTTCAGCTTACGAAAGTTATATAAATGTGACGAATCAATAGTTTTTTTTGAAAAAGCCCTCGAAATTAAACCAAATAATGTATATTCATTAAAAGGAAAAGGTCTTTAACCTCTATATTAATAGCTGAGTGCTTAAGATTATTGGGAAAATGGGAAGAGGCCTTAAAGTATTATTAATTGGTTTTATCTGTTCATCCTGGCCAACACAGGGCTATGTTTTTCAAATGTATAATTAAATTTAGAGGTCATTTTAGCCTAAATGGAATCAACAGTGACAACCTTAAGATAGCATGAATAAGTGATTTTCATTAATCCTTAAAATATAAATTCAATTTTTGGAAAAGGTTGCTCTTTCTATTATTATTATTTAGCCGAGTGTCTAAGGATGCTCAATGATTTTGATGGAGCAATGTAATTTTATGTAAAAGTCTTATAAATTGATCCTAATCATATTAATTCCTTGATAGGATATGGTAAACATAATTGAAATTTTAGGCTTTTGCTTAGGATACCAAAATAAATTTAAATAGGCTTTAGAATAATATGATAAAGCCTTAACTGTGAATTAATACTCAACAGATGCAATGTGGGGGAAAGGTTAAATTTCTAAATATCTTAGGGGAATGTTTAAGAATGTTGATGGATTTTAATAATGCTTTAGTTTATTATGAAAAAGTCTTAATATTTGATCCTAGCCATTACGTTACATTAAGTGGAAAAGGTAAGATAATGTGTAAAATTTAGGTGATTGCTTAAGGATGCTTGGTCTGTATCAATAAGCTATAGATGTATATAACTAGGCACTCTTCATATAAAGTAACTAACCAAGTTTACTATATGGAAAAGGTATAAATAATTATTAATTCAGCTGTTTGCTTAATATCTCAAAATCATTTTGATGCTGCCTCTGAACTGTTAAGATAGGCAAAAAAAGTTGCACCTCCAAATTTTTATGTAGATAAAGCTATTTGTATTATTAACTTTAAATCATTTAGAATTTTGTGAATTTAAAAAACAAATCTTAGAAATATGTTTAGAAGTCATCATAAATGAGGATTCAACAAAGATTGGTTGAATATAATTTTAATTTTATTATAAATTTAGAATTAAAATTAAATTTATTAATTAATTTTACTGATCTAGAAAAAGGAGTAGCAATAAAAACTAGAATAAATTTGTAAATTTTATTATTACAACCTTGTAATATCATTTCAAAATTTGATAAATGTATAAATTTATATGATATTGGATTTAAAAATAGTATATATACAAGCAAAAACTAAATATTGATTTACAGTCTTATATTATCATACTTTAATTCTTCTTTAGACACTTAAGTTAGCTAATATAGGAAAATTTTAGGAGGAATAATTGATCAAATCAGGATAGAGAACCAAAATATTTGGAAGGATCTTTTATTTTGCATGACTCAACATTAGACGTATACACAATAATTAAAATTATATATGTATTTGAATCGAAATGTGTAAAATAGTAAGAATTATTCATGGAGATGTTAGAATGTTAGTATATATGATAAAAGTATTCGAAGAAGCAATATAAATATCATTCTATACATAGGAAGCAATTAATTGATTATTAATTTTTTTATTTATTTTGATACCCTGCAGTTTCTGTGTCTATTTTAATAATTTTTTTATTTAATTAAAACTCTTTTTGAATTAATTGTGATTGAGGATAATTAAAGTATAATTTTTTGAATTTATGATTTCTAACAATTAAATCTCCTACTGTAAAGTGTAATAATGGTATCTTCTCTTAAAATTTTGATTTAATTTAATCTAAAACTCTATTACGAGTTGTATCAACCCATTTATATACTAAATCCTCTTGTTCTTAGAGTAAACTGGAATCAAATTGAATGATGTTTTTATTAAATTCCTCTTATATTGTAGATAATTTTGTTAATATTTATAATTTATCCTGATATGACTCCTCTTTTTACATAAAGTAATTATAGGCATAGGTAAGGTCTATTGATAAAATTGTAATAGGTTTTCTACTTATAATAACATTTTAATCATTGTAGAAGGAAGTGCAGATATCAAAGATAACTTTAGAGTCGAATTGTTTTGGGTTTTATATTTACTAAAATATGAACAATATGGTTTCGACATCAGTTCCATGTATAGGCAGTCTGTATTAAAATTGATCAGCAGGTATCTTAGGAAAAGTATTAGAGATGTCAATTGAATCAAACATAAGAATTTTGGTTATTTTGAATTTACTAAAATCTCTTAGTAATCTATTTAGTTTAATACCTCCACATTCTATTTATTGAGATTGCGATTTCGATATATAGATTGCATCAAAAATGTATCCATTATCAGATAAATATTTTTACCACACTAAAGCAAATGTCTAACTTGTAAATAGGAGAACTATTAGATAAGCCTTGGAGAGTCTAAGAAATATATACATATAAGAAGATATTATACATTCTTAGAGTGTTTTTGAGATCACTTCTTAGCGTACATGGACAATAAGGACTATCGCATTGTTCAATTACGCTACCTATTGAAAATGAATGGCAGATTTTCAGATCAGTTTTATGATCCCAAAAGTTCCTTTTTGATTGCAATAATAAATCTAATCAATCAAATTTGTAGTATACTTTCAAAATTCAAAACAATAACTTTATCCAAGTATTCCTCTCTATTATTGATATTAAGAAAGAGGCATTTGATCATAATACCCTTTTGTAATTCCTCATATTATTTATTTAAATAACGTAATTAGATTGCATGTTCTAAACTCTTTTGTTTCTTGATAACAGGCTTAGCTTTCAACTGCCGACTTTGCAATTTCATCCTAACTACTTATTAGGTTGATGACAATTGTGGCAAGATCTGCTATTCCTTTTGCATAAGCTTAAGATTAGTCATGTATTTCTTATTAATTTCCTTCCTATCCACTTGCTATATTTAAGAGTCCTCGATATTTGTGTTATCACAGGTTATTCTCCTCTAACTAGGCATCTGTTGGACTGAACTTGAAACAAACACTTACTCTTCAGGTTCAGAATGTTTGCTATCATATCTCTATTTGTTTCTAGTTTCTAAAATGCTAAAATTAGCATTTTTAAAAACAAAATATCCTCGATAAATGTTTTATTTGAAATGAGTATGCTTTGTAAAGTAAAGGGAATTCGAGATTGCATTATTTTACATATTAATTTTATTATAAAATGTGAATTATTTCAATCAGGTTTTCTTAGTTATGATGAAAATAAATCTTATCTCTGTTATTATTTTTATACCTAAGTAAGAACCATTTATTTTATGATAAAATTGTTTGGGCTTACTGAATGTTTTACAATATCAATCCCACTCCCAACTCCTTTTAAAATACCTATTTTTTGTGAATTTTAACACGATTTTGCTAAGCTTTTCTTTAATTAAAGTTCACCTTAACTTCTCCTATCTGTCAAACATAATTATTATTGATGAGTATCCTATTAAGGTGAATGTAATTATTTTCCTTCAGATTTATTCTTTTTGTGAATTATTTATATTACTTAAATATGGATAATGTAAATTACATTGCTAATTCTGTTAGTTTTCATTGACGTTAATGTTCTTATCTTAACTTGACCTAAATCGAAAGTGAATATTTGGTTGCATCGATTTCCTAATAGTTGAAGAATCTATATTTTTTTGACTTTATTTTTATGATAATTATGAAACAGCTGAATTCTACTTCGGCATATTGATTTGCAATTCATTTTAAGCTCCACTCTATAAAGTAGGACTATTTCTATTAAAGAAGAAGTTTTTGGTATCAGAATTAGGTCTCTGAGTTTAAGCCCCATTTTTCCATTTTAATTCCTATGGAGTGGGATTATCATCAATTATGATTTTAGAAATCTATTTAAGATTCAATTTGCCTAATTATTAGAATTAATAAAGTTTACTTATAGATGCTTGTTTAGTCGTCAATACTTATAATTCATTATTGCATTTTATTGGAGATGAAATTTGATTCTAATTTTGAAGCCTGATAAGTTGATGATTTGATTAAATATTAAGCCTGAAATCTTTTAACTATATTTGAGTTGTTAATTTAGGTTACACATTTGTTATATATTTTGGACTAATTGATTATTTTATTTCATAATTTTAATCCACTCTTGCATGATTAATTTATTGTTTTTTCTATGGAGAATCAACTTGATTCCTTATATTGATATCACTTGATATTTTATTCAATTATACAAGTTCTGTATTTTGTTTTGAATACTGTGAACCCAATCTGAGTTTATTCTCATCATCATTCTACTTTTAAAGAAGGCTGAAAACTACATTTGGTTAGCTCAGTTTTTTGGTTTATGTTTAAGACACTTTATCTATTTGACTCTTTTAGATTTATTAATTGAGATAAGCCTAAAATTTATTCAGTTCTATCTCATCTCCTTTCCCAGTAGAAATTAAAAGAGAAGATTATTCCATAGTTTCTTTTCCTAACTATTTACAAATTTCTTATAATGTACAGGATATGTCCATTTACTTTTTCTAGATTTATGTTGATGATTTATTCAACCAACTCAAATCTTTTAAAATTAAGGTATTCCTAATTCCTTTATTATGGGCCTGGGATTCTTAATCTTTATGACTCTATTATGAATTCACAAATGAGGGTTTATCTCCAATAATGCATTGTGATGATCCATTAGGATTTTTCTTCTCCTCTTGCTCGACTAGGAGAGCTATTCTATAATACTCTTGTCTGCGCATCTTATCATAGTATTTATTCAACAATTATATTATTGGTTCCATAAAGAATCGTGGTATATCTGTATGAAACTCTGTTAAATAGTTCAATTTACTTTATAATATTCAGCCAACAACTGGAATTTCTGTGGATATTCATCTTCGTAACAGTAGAACCTTTTCAAATATTCATCCTTAAATGAAACTACACACTTACATAATCATCATACCCAATCAAATCTTTATACCGTACAACTGCCTTTGATGAAACATCTCTGAGGATATCATTGATATCTCTTGTGTAGTAATAATTCTAAGATTGGCAATATTTTTTAAAGAGGGTGTTATGGATCCAAACTAATGAGTTTGCTATTATATGAGATTATCTTATTCTATTTAATTCTTCAACTGCAACTTCCACTTTCAATTTTTTCATGTTTTTCATTCAGATTGCTTTATATATTTATAAATGCTATATACGAATAATTTTAATCTAAGTAAACAACTATTGAGATTATATTTATCCAATAATTAATTTTGGATATAACATAACTAAGTGTGATAAAATTAGATCTTTAGAAATTATAAGAACATAACTTTGATATCTATATATGAAAATTATTTATAAAAAATGAATTCTTCTGTTTTTTAGTTATAATGTTAGGTATGTAGTATGTAGGTATAAAATTACATACCATTTCAAACAAAGAAAAAGAAAGAGTTTCCAGATAAAGTAGTCTGTATGGCCCTATTTAAAAAGCAATTTTTAAATCAAATATTGGTATTAAATTTGGCTATGGTAAATGGATAATAAAGTTCAAAAAAATTATAATTAATTCAAATCTATATTTCAATAAGAATCCATTCTTAAATGATTTAAATTATTTATCAGGTTCAAAAATTTAATGCCTAAATATTTTAATTTCTTTAATTTTTGAATAGAATTTCTTTATACAAAATACATATTATTATTAATAATATGTATTAAAATTCTGGCTTGACTTATCATAATGTCGATTCATATATAGAAACTGAAGGATTTTTTTGCTTTGAACAATTTTCAAGACTTGATCTGAAGAAGAATAATTGGGAGGATAGTTTAAACAGCTTGACAGATGATTTAATTGCTCTTAAAAGTGAATATGTAGATTTAGAAAATCTAGAAATATTCATTGCTCTCCTGGAATTCTTAGAGAAGAATATTCAAGAATCAGAAATAGGGTCACCTTATTATCAATTAAGATAAGGTATGAGCAAAACTTCAATTAATAATTATATAAATGACATGCTTGATAATATACAAAATAGTTTAACTTGTGATTCCAACGACTATAAAGCAATAGACTTCCCAGGATTATTGAAATTGGAGGACATATTTAGCTTTTTAAAAGAATCTAGATTTATTAAATCCTATTCAAAGAAAGTAGATTAATTGCTTTAATTGTAAAAAGAAAAGAAATAGCAATAGATTAAAAGGAAAAAATGACCAATCTTTGTGTATATATGTTAATAAATATAGCATTCAACCAATTAATTTTTAAAATTAACTCTTTTTTCTTAAACTATTAACCATCATACTTGGTCTTTATGCTTACAAAATACTGGATCGAATAACCATTTTATTGGTTTAAGTCTTAGTTTGTGAACTCTTCATAGAAGGAGGTATAACATCATTCTTTTATTATTATTATTATTGTTGTGATTATTATTATTATGATTCTAATTATTTTTTTGTATTTTATTATTATTACTATTATTATTTCTATTGTTTTAGCTCTTCCTCTCTTATCTTATCTCGTTACTATTTTATGCATCTTAAAAATTTCATTAACTTTTCTCCAAACTTATCACTTGCATCAGCAGGATTCTCGCATAAATATTTAGCTGTCTTTTTATAATCTGTGTCCAATTTTTGTATTTTTAATTCCAAATCTTTGGTCATTTCTTATAATTTTGATTGAACATCCTTCAAAGTATCAACAATTTTATCATTTTCATCATTTGATTTGCATTCGATAGCTTTAGATACTGTATTCATACCTTTTTTAATTTCATTTAAATTTGTGTTCAATTGAGTTATTGGTAATTTGGTAATGATATCGAATCTTTCCAAATCTATCTCTTCATTGAACTTAATCTGCTTAATAACATATTGTAGAACATTAGATTTATTATCTGAACCTTTCACATCTGTTAGTTTTTCGATTTATTCCAATTTGAATCCCCAAGCTCCTCCTTTGGCAGATTAACCATTAAGATAATTACCAACAGCCAATGAGTATTCAATCAATTAAGTAACCCACCCCATGGCAAGTAAATCATTAAAAACATCAAGTGAAGTAATTTAAGCATCTAAATCTGTCACATATTCAACGTATTAGCAGGAGAATTTAAGGGCTTTAATTCTGATAGAGAATCCCTTTAATTGGGAAATCTTCAGGATGTATTTCTCTGGGTTGCCAAGCAATTCTTTATCTCCATCAAAGCCCTGCACAGTTCCTATTTCATCTTCTGTTGGTGTGATTACATCTAAACTTTCTAGTGTTGGTAATGTAAGGATTTTCTCATCGCATTTAATCAAGGCTTCATATATTAAAGGTGGAGATATTTTCAATTTCATCAAGACTAATTCCATATTCTTTTATCTCTCAGGTTGAAGTAGAGAGATTTTTTAAGGTTAAGCTGATTGAGATTTAGAATTCGTATCTGCTTATTGAGCTTATTGTTTTTTTGAAAATTCTTTTTCTAAAAATTCAATATCCAATTTCACATCTAAATCTTTGATATTCTCGAATATAGTATCTTTTATTTATGCTTTTTAAGTGATTATCGTCCATTAAACAGGTTTCATAGGAACGCTGGGATTTTATTTTTATTTTAAGCCTTAATTTTGTGGAGGAGCTCCAAAAGGGGGAGGTGGTGCTGATCCTCCAGGTGGTTATGGAGCTCCTGGAGGAGGAGGTGGTGGAGGACCGCCTGCTTTATTGCCAGGAGGAGGTGGTGGTGGAGGGGGACCTCCAGGTGGACGAGGTGCTCCTGGAGGAGGTGGTGGAGGGGGAGGTCCTGCTTTCATGGGTGGTGGTGGAGGAGGAGGAGGAGGTGCTGCTATTTTTGGAGGAGGAGGTGGTGGAGGTAAAGGAGCTGATTAAACTGGAGGAGGTGGGGGAGGTGGAGGAGGAGGTAGTGAAGAAGTATTTGAAGGTTATTGGGGCACTTATTAAGAAGTATTTGAAGGTCCAGCAGCTTAAATTGTTTAATTAAGTTTTTCAAGATTCTTAATTTAATTCTTAAGTTTCTCAATTTCTTTTGAGTTCTCAATATTTTGAGCTTCTTTTAAGATGGTTTAGGCTTTGATGTTTTCTAATTCTTTGGTTAATTTATCAATTTAAGTTAGATATTCTTATTATAAGGAGTTGGTTTGAGTAATTTTTTCATTTAGTTTGATGACTTCTTGTTCTTTTGAAGTGAGTTGCATTTGGGCCTGTTTTTAGCCCTGGATTATTGATTTAATTTATTTTTCTAAGTCTCTTATTGATTGCTGTGCTTTTTCATAATCCTCATATATTTGATCATGTTTAGGAATCTCAATAATTTCATCATCTTCCTCGTCTATAAGCATTCTATGGAGAGCTTATTCACTCAGTTCCCACATATCTCTAACTTTTAGATTTGACATGAAATTTAAGATGGATAAGAATTTACCATAGGAATCAAGTTGTAGGGATTATTACTTAACGATGTCAAAAAGCTTTTGGTCTGAAAATTCAATGATTTTGGAAGGTTTTCTTTCAGAGTCAAATTCGAAGTTACGAATTTCCTTAATGATTTGCAAGAGGTCTTAAATAATGAAGAGTATTACTTTGTTGTTATAGTTGAAATGATGCTTCATCATGTTTTTCTAGGTAAAATTGTGCCTCTCCTTCTTGAGGTAATTGGGTAAACTAAATATTTTCAGATTTAGTTTGATCTTCGCGTGATTCATTGAACAAAATGGGATTCTTAATGAAGGGCGATTTTTGTTTAAAGAAATGATCAATATTTTGATATTTGATCAACTTATTTTGGATGGATTCATATGTACAAGCATCAATATTGTATTCATTGATTCTTTGTTCAATGAGCTTAAGGATGGCAGCAAAATTGTAAGGAGAGATGACAGAGGATTCTAATTCATTTCTAATGTGAGGTTAGATATTTCGTAAGAATCCCAGGATATTGACTACCATCATGATGTTATCTGATTAATACACAGTTCTAACGAAGATTTCAAGTCGATATTTTAAGGAGTGATCTTAACGATAGGATGCGAAGGATTCTAAAATATCTTCAACATTATCCTTATAAATCAGACCATTTTCACCAGCAAAGATTTCTAAGACTAAGCAACTCATTTCTATATGAACAGGGTGAAAATTAGCAAATATTATTCTGAAGGCTCCGGGAATGGAAGATAAATCATCGCTTGCTTGTTCTGATTGATTAATGAAATAGATGAATCTAAGGAAGGCAACACATAACTTGTAATTTTTAGTTGATCTTGCATTGAGTTCACATTGTTCTAAGACTTCTAATAATTTAAATAAACTACATATAATAATTATAATCAAATTACCCTCGATATATAAGAAACTGATTCCATTCATCCTCCTCTGGATTTTCCAGTCTTCTTTGCAGATTTTGCAGGGCAATGGTAGATGGTTTAGCAACGCATTCGTCGACGAGATGTTGTATCTCTGATTTCTCACTTTCTTCCAAATGCGGAATTATATCAGATAGTTTTTCTTTTTCGACATTATGTCTATGTATTAATCTCCACTTGATTTTCAATGGCAATTGTTCAATAATGTGTTTATCTGAAGGAAGCAGGATGATTTCATCTAGAAATTTGCGAAATTCTTCTAAGACTAGTGTTTTTTTATTAGGCATTTTAGGAAATGTGAAATTGCCTTTCAGATCTTCATAGGTGATTGAAATGGTGCCAAGTTTGTTAATGATTTGATACTCAAAACTAGCATCTTTGGGGATATTATTTCCCATTTTTTATAAAATATTTTATAATGTCATTTGATTTGATATAACTCTCTAAGTTTTGGATCCTAAAGTTCTTTGTTTATTTCATCTCTCATTTTGAACTTTTGTGGTTTACCTGTTACAGTATATGGAAAATCATTGACAAATTTGACATACTTTGGAATTTTGTAGTGAGCAATCTTTTTGTGACAAAATTGATAGACATCCAATCCAGAAAGTTCTTCAGCTCCCTTCTTCATTTTAATCAAGGCGACAACTTCCTCTCCATATTTCTCATCAAAACAACCTACTACTTAAACCTATTCGACTCCAGTCATATGAGATAAATAATCTTCAATCTCCTTTGGATAGATATTCTCACCACCTCTTATGATCATATCCTTGATTCTGCCAACAATAGCCACATACCCATTTTTGTCCATGGTGGCCAAATCTCCACTGTGTAGAAATCCATTTTCATCGATAGTATTTTTAGTGGCCTTTTCATCACCCCAATATCCTTTCATAACAGCATATCCCCTAGAACAATATTCCCCTGGTGTGTCACAAGGTACAATCTTTCCATTTGAATCAACTATTTTCACTTCCATGTTCATTGGTAATCCAACTTTGCTAGTTTTAATTTCAAAGGAATCTGATGTTTTAGTCTAAGATGTAACTGGACTTGTTTCAGTCTATCCATAACAATTTGAGATATCTTTCACTCCCAAAACATTGATAATTTATTTCATCAATGCTTCAGATGCCAAAGATCCAGCAATTAAGCCAGTTCTCAATGTAGATACATCATATTTTGATGGATGTCTCTCATATTCATTCAAATACTCAATAAACTAAAGTTATTAATGAATGAAGATACCATTGTTGGAACTCCGTAAATAGAAGTGCATTTATAGTTTGTGACTGCTTCTAAGGTAGCTCCAGCACTAAAGCCATCACTTGGATAAACCATAGTAGACCCGTAATTGATACATGCCAGATTACCCATGACCATGCCGAAACAGTGATACAATGGCACAGCTATAGCTACTCTGTCTTTTTCTGTGTAATGAACTCTTTCGCCCACATATTTTCCGTTGTTCAATATGTTCAAGTGACTTAAACAGGCTCCTTTTGGGGCTCCTGTGGTTCCAGATGTGAATTGAATATTAGTGATATCGTCTGGATCTTGTTTTGACATTCTTTACTCAACTTCATTCAAATGGGAGGAACCATAAAGAGAGAAGAGTTCTTTAAAATTAAAAAAACCTTTCTTGTGGATGTCATCGATCAAAATGGTGCCTAATTCTATTTGATATTAATACTTTTCAAAGTTGGGATTCTCTTGGAATTAAGGTGGCCAGGTTGATCTAATTCTGGAGCCAGTTCCTTGATCATATTCACATAGTTAGAATGCTTGAAAGTAGATCTTAATATCAAGGCTTTGCATCCAACTTTATTCAGAGTATATTCTAATTCATTGGTTTAATAGGCTGGGTTAATATTCACTAAAATCAAATCAGCCATTGCAGCGGCGAATTAAGTTAACGCCCACTCCACATTGTTTGGTGAAAAGATGCCTATGCGATCCCCTTTCTCCAATCCGATAGCCACAAAGGCAGCAGCCAATTCTTTTGATCTCTTGAAGAATTCACTGTAAGTCATCTGAACATCTTGCAATTAGGAAGCCACCTGAAATCCATATAAAGCTTAGTTACTGCCAAATTGTCAGGGTATTTCTCAGTAATATCGTGTAACTGCTACCCGACAGTTTTATAAGTTAATGGAATGTTCGAAGCACCGTGAAAATAACTCTTAGCGTATCTTATTCCCTTGAATAGCATAATAAGAATTAATAAAATTGATTTGCATTACTTAACAATATGAAACTTAAAATAACTAATTGGATATTAAGTAAAGCCAATTAGTTCTAGAATTTCTTCGTCCAAGTTGATTCAACTAGGCCATATTAATTAAATTTCATGTGTCGCAATATCATTCATTAAGATCAATTTGGCATCTCAATTTAGTATACAATTGAAACAAAATAATCGATAAATAACTAAAAACGGAATTTTGTAATTATTTGTAAAGATTTAATAAAAATCTTAATATAGATCATAAAAGCATTTTAATGTTATGCAGTCCAAATAAGACAAATAGAATACCTCCACAGAGATGAATCTAAATTAAATCTTTTAAATATAATACGTATTTTTCAGAAATTTTTGATGAGATCATTTTTCCTCCAAGTACTGCTGTACTTGTGCAGATAAAGTGACCAAGCAGTGCACCAACTAGTACTACGAAAGTCTCTTCAGTAGCCAATGCAATGGTTGTAATCTGACTTCTGTCTCCCCATTCTGCTAAAAAGGTTAATGCAATTGCAGCTCTCAAGACTTCCAAGTTTGATACATTCTTTGCATCTGATTATTTGCTAAGCTTTGACTTGACCTTATTCACTTCTAAAGCTGCCTCCTACTCTTCATCGTCATTTTCATTCTCCTCTGAACTCCAGAACTCCCTCAACAATTTTTATCCAAAATAAAAAAACATCGCACAAGCTATTGCATGTGTGTAAGTTGGATTCAAAATTTAAGGTAACAAATATCCAAAGAAGCAAGACAATAAAGTCATCAAGACCATTGCTGTGTATGAACCCAAAAATACCAAACTCATTGAATAAGTCATTCCCAAAATTGCTGTAATGAAGAATGTCTATCATATGTATTTCAAATACCTTATCTCCTATTTCTGACACAATAATAGAGGAAAATGATGAAGCAAATGGAGACAATTCAGAAAACAGCATTAATTAATTATTATGAATATAAATTAAAGTTTTATTCGTTTTATCCCTTGTTTTTAAGGATCTTGAAGAATACAAGGCTCTTATTCAGAATACAACGCCTGCCAAACCCATTAAATAGGTTAGTAACGTCAAATACACCAAGCCACCCTGCTTCAATTATTTGATTGCAATTTTAGCATTAATAATACTTGCATTTGTGTCATATATTCTTGTTGATATAACTGGTTATGAAATCATGCATCTTCCCTTAAAACCCACGAGTAAATCAAAAAATATGACCGATTAGCAGCTCATCCAAAATAAGGATAATCATAATATGATGCTATGGATTATAAATCCTAATTGGGTAATTAATCAAGGAGATGATACTAATAATAATAATGAGGATCATGGGGTTCACAATGAAGTATTTATGGATGAGAATTTCTCGACTTAGGATGAAATCAATTCAATACAGAAACCATAATTTGAAAATCAAAAAGGGAAGTATAAATTGGGGATCAATCAGAAATTGAAGATTATATATTTAAATACCTAATTATGATTAACTACTTTAATAATATTCTCTATTGTAATCAGGATTTGCATAATTAAACCAAAGATAGATGACTCTTAATAAAATTCTGTTGAATTACCCAATAAAATTAAAATCTATTGATCTAAGATGATTCAGAAAATGCAGAAATATATTTAAATGATTTTAAAGGATATTGGTAACCTTATTACTTTGTTAGATTCAATTAATGTATCATTACTGTCAAAGAATAGCAAACCTAATATTTCATTTAAACTTAATCTGATCGAATTTTAGCTACCCTTACTGAATTAAGCAAAACCTTTGCATCGGATTCTCCGCAAATAAAATGGATAAATTACGAGAAAACTCCTTGAATAGAATTGCTATCTTTATTATCTAATGAAAAACATCCGCACTCTTCTATTTCTCCCAAGGCATCCTCATTTTAATTACCTCTCAATTAATCAGCACTGATTGTCAAGGGTAAATTTAATTCAGATTAATTGATGGAAAATATTGTACAGAGTGATATTGTTCTATTAAGAGGTGCTGATGTATAGGGGATAGAGAATTTTGAAATTATTAATTAAGCTGGTAGCATTATTAAATGGGACAATTAAAAGGATTTATATTCAGTTAAGATCATTTAAGAATTAGAAGACAACAGAAATTTGAATGTTATAGAGTATTATATACAGATTTCTCTTTAAAAATTATAACATAAACAATAAATTAGGTTTAGTTATCAAATAAAGTGTGATATGAGACCAAACTAGCAAACAGCCTTATCAAATCTAAATAGCAATACTTTTCTAAGATGAGATGAACTATGATTAAGGAGAATTCGTATTTAGGATAAGGAAAATCATCATTAATTTTGCTAAGTAATTGGAAATACAACTATTAAAATTAATGTAAACAATTGATAGATAAATTGTATCAATTCATAATTTACAATTTGACTACGATTATAGAGGCTACAATTATAAGGAAATTGCTAAGAACCCTAAATAAGATTTTATTTGAAGAAGTACTTCATTATAAGTTTATGGTGTAAATAGTACCTGAATCTTTAAAAACACGTTAGACAACATGCAATCTACAAAAATTTAATCATAATTCTGAGTGATTCTTAATATCATACTGAATATAATTTTCTTTAAATATCATAGGTTCAGCAACATAGGACTTGTTCTTTGTCACTTAATTAATTTAGACATCAATCTGAATATTATTTCTTATTCTTTAAAAGAGATTAAATATTAAACTAAATAATTTATTGTAAAAATTGAGGAAGATATCACCTATGTTTTTCCTTAAGTTAATAATTATATTCCTTAAAATTTAGATTTGTTGAGTATACTGAACGATTCTAAATCAACGATCATGTTTAAGTGGTTGCGGATGCCTCAACAAAATTACAAAATCTTAGCTGATATAATTAATCTAAATATGGATAAGATGCCATTAAAGTATGATATGGAATTAATGTAAAGTAAAATCAATATTTCTAAATTCATTTCAAGGTTGGTAAGATTTTTAATAATAATTATTGGGTTTATTAAATTTTTAAGTGCAATTTCAATTAATACATGTTAAAAATATCTTTTTTAGTTAGCATCGTTTGGGAATGATTAGGATTTTATTTTTATACTATATTACGAAAGGAAATAAAATTATGCCACGAACTTGATGTTGTTAAGCTCAACTAAAATAAAAGAAATGAAGTTTGTTACCTATTTAAATTTTAATATACGCTAATAAAAGTAATTTCTATATTAAACTACTTCACGGAATAAATCTAATTAATTTTATTTTATTTATTATCAGTTTTTCTTTATTCTTAATCATCTTATAATTATTCTGCAAAATACATCCAATTAATACCTTTTTATGACATGACTTCATCAAGAACTTGTTTTGTAAGAACTTCCTTCTTATTTTTTTCTAAGCCAATAAAAATGAACATGTAATTAAAATAATCCCATACTTCCCCTATATAAGCTATAATTTATATGGTAAATAGGAATAAATTGAGTGAATCGAAGCAGAAATATTAATCAATGAAAATTACATAAAATTGGCAAAATTTTTTTTTTCAAATCGAGAATATTTTAACTATGCACTCATATATGTAACACCCAGGTACAATAATCACTTATAATATCAATTGAAATAGATAGTTTTTGATTTTGATTGGTTAGGCAAATAAAAATTGTCTCCTCATGCAAAAAAAAAAAATGTAGAAATTTGGTAAAAAAGGCAAAAATATGAACATGCAGAGAAAAATTATATAAATAATATATAAATCTAATTAGTCTCTGTATTTTCTTTTTTTTATGTTCATATCTAGTCAGAGCACATCCTATAACTTCTTCTCGAAAATAACTCTGAATCCATTGTTAATGAAATTCTTCTTTAAGATTTTGGAGGAGTTATTGCTGAGTCTAAGGAATACAATGAGTTTCGCTAATTAGAATGCTTTTCGACTTAGATCAATTAATTAATCCCTAGTTAATCCAAATATGACACAATTGACTATTCAACATCATTTGTAATCGGAAGCCAGCCTTGAGTAAATTATTCGCCTTTTGTTGACCCTTCATTTGATTTCTAGAATTAAGGTGATTGCATAAATATTTTTTTTTTATATTTTTAATTATTTCACATGATTTTGAAATGAATTTACTTAGAACAATATGAGTTTTCTAATCCAAATGTGATAAATAAATTTCTATGTTTCTATAAAGGGATTGCTTTAATTTGGATGGGAGATAAAATGATTCATCAAAATATTTGTGCATATATCCTCAAAATACTCTTGAAAAGTTTAATCTTTTTATTGTTTTGCATAATTTTATCTTCTTAAACCAATAGAAAGCTTTAAAAGCTTAAATCTTTTCAAACCATCGACAAATATAACTCCTTAAGATTCTAGTTACAAAGGAAGACATCTGGATCATTCTAGTGACTGTATTATGATTTTATGATATTTTGTAAAAGATCAATTTATCTAATTGTTTTTGTTTCATTTAGATGATGTTTTCCTTATCATTTCTCTCATCTCTCATTATCTGTACAAAAGTTTATCAGTAATAAGTCAATTTAGAGATATTGGAAAGACAACACTTTTTTAATTTACAATTTGTGATTTAATAATTATTTTTACATATTCAAAATCAGATAGACAATGAGGTACTAAATTAAATATTGACTTAGTTATACTTTGATAAACGGTGTGAACAAGTAGAATATAATAGAGTAAATAAATTATAGAAGGGAATAAGAGAGATAAGCTCAGTTAGATAAATATTTAGACAGACTAAATGTATTGGGATTTTACATTGAATTATTACCTTCGATTGAACCACTGTTCTTTGTTGAGAAGTAAGGATTTTCGATCAAAGAAGCTTTGTTATTGACAAGAGGCAGATAATAAACACGACCAAATAATGAGGAGATTTAAAGGTTATAAATTGATGCGGAGTCAAATATTCTAAAACTGGATTATCAAAATGTGACATTTTAAGAAAGCTAAAGTTACACTTATATCATTATTCTTGGTCCACCGAACAGAGGAAAAACCACCTTTATCTTTAATATAATAAATAAAGTCTTCAATGTTTAATATTATAGTCTGTATAGAGTGAGAAAGAAGTAAGATGAAACAAGAAGATATTATGATGAATATTGCATTTAAATATAAAACAAGAACTATGTGTTTGTGGATTTTAGAGGAATTGGAGATTCAAAATTGGATTTTTTAGGTTTGGATTATAGTGGAAACTCAAATATCTATATCCAGATTTTGGAATATATTAAAAACAAGGCATTGGCTGCGATTTTTTATGTGAATTCTTCCTCCATTAATCGATTGTCAGAAGATGAATCCTATTGTTTATAGCGTTTCTTCGAATTAATTCCAAAATCCATCATCAGCCAAAATAAATTCTTTTTGGTGCTTACCTATTGCACTGATAATTAACCCAAAATGACTATTTATGAACAATCTAATTCTACTCCTGAAGGTTTGAAAGTCCTTCTAAAAGATTCAAACTTGGCAGATGAAAAAAAGTTTTGGTATGGCATCAATAATAAGCCTCTATATGAACCAGTAATATATTTTGATGGTTCAAAATAAGTGTAAAACGAGAAGCTTGATGCATTAATAAAAGATATAGAATAAGATACATTTTTAGAACCAGAACAGAATTTGAATGATGGAAATTAATTGGGTTCAGATGAAAGAAGTGAAGATGAGGAATAAAAAGAAGATCAGCCTGAAATAAAGGAAGCACAATTAGGGAAATTCTAGTTCAATTTGATGTCTAAAATAATAGAAGAAATAATTTAAAAGTTGTAATTATTAAACAATCGATAAGATAATGATGCCATAAATAGAAATTACTTTAAGAATAAACTAAATTTTGAGAAAAATATAATAGAGTTATTAATAGCATATAGATTAAGCACAAAAGGATTAGCAATATAAGAAGTGAACATTTAACAATTTCAAACTACTTATTTATTGTATGAATAAAGAGACTCAAATGAAAGAGAAGCATTCAAAATAAAACAAGGATCTAGACTTCTTTTATGCGAAACATGTAAAATTAAATGTCATGTTAATTGCCGTTTCAACAATACTAGCGAAATGGTAGATTAAAATAATATGTGTAGAATGTTTATTTTAAGAAATGGAAATTTTGAGTGTAAAAAGTGTATAAAACATGGGGAGAATTAGGGATGTCAACCTAAAAATCACACATTGGTTGACGAAGCAGGGGAAATTAAAAAAAAAATATAAGTTTCATTGATTATCTCTAATAATTATGATCTATTTAAAACTAATATGCCTTTGAAAAGAAAATCAAAAGCAATATATCGACTCTAATAAACAGCAGCCATTAAAGCAAAGCTCAATTATCAAAATAAAATTGATGAGATTAGAAACTTTATGGCAAACAAACCTAAAGATGACGATTGCATAGCTGTTGATTTACATTAAAGAGCAAAATATTTGAATGCTATGATGACCTAATTAAAAGAGAATAATTAAAATGGTGATGAATTTTATAAAAAGTTAGAGGAAGTTAATCAAATTTACTAAAATTTATTTTAAATTGATAATACTACTTAAGTGCCATAATAGCAATAGAGTAATATTAGACCTGAATTAGATATGGATGAATAGAATATTTCTTAAATGAATAATAATAATACATTTAGGCAATAATCTCTGAATTAAAACATAATTAATCATGAGAACTAATTCTCACAGTAAATGATAAATGGATCTCCCTTGAAAAATCTTTCTGCATGCTTCAATATTGCAAGTGAATAACAGCCATTGATTTCTGATTCATGAAATGCCATAAGGTAACAATGATTCAAAAAATTCATTATTTTAAATTAATTGATCTTTCATCATAGTCATAAATTATAAAATCGCTTTATTTCCATTGACCTAACCAAAGTTCCTGCTGAAATGTAGGGTTTTTTTTTGATTAAACAATAAAAGGCACAATAATTTTAGGCAAATTTAGCAATCAATTTTTTTTATATAATTGAAAACTTAGTAAGACAGTATATTCACCAGAAATTCAAATACATCAATTATTCATCATTATAATATATATTAATTACCAAATATAACTTATTCATGGATACAATAAAGAACTTTGCCAATTCATTTGTAAACAGAGACCAAAAGAATAATACAGAGGGAAAAGTTGTTCCTTTGGAAGACAAAGACAAAGAACCGTTATCTATAAAACGTCCCTTGGTTAGGTAGCTATATAAGTGGATGATGTAGTATGGCTGATGAACTACAGATGGTGGCGAGCAAAGGACTCTAAAAGATAATTTAATAGGTGGACAATGCAAAGTCTGATGTAAAGTAGGGTTTCTCATAATTGGATGATAAGTAATTGAAAGTTGGACAATAATAGATTAAAGATGATGTTGAAGCAGTATACACAGTAAATTAATGTCTGGGCAAGATCAAAAGTGATATCATCGGTAATCATTGTGATTGAGAAATTTCGACCTACTGTCAAAGAAGGACTCAAAGATCCTGATATGTGTTAGTGCGTGAAGAATTTAGTATTTTAGACAGTTATTTTAACAGGTTGATGATACTGTTGATGCAACTTGGCCAGAAATAGTGGATGAAGTGAAATATCAATTAATGTTGCAAATGGCCGATCCTTACATAGAAATAGAGGAAAAAAAGCAATCGATAATTTGCTTATACCCCTTTATTTGGATTCGTAATTGGTATCTCTATGCAAATTATCCATTTGACAGAAGCTCTTGGAAATAGTATAAGACTATGTATTTATACGAATTAATAATTTAGATCATATTGGTTTTGGTATTTAGTCTCGGCGATTCCATTTTATGGTGTTTCAGAATATTTCTATGTTTTTGATTTCTTCATGATTGATAAGGGTGATGAATACTAGTTGGTTAGTTTTATTTTAAGTTTCAAAACGTAATTTAATACGATACATATAGGATGTTTTTTATTACTTAAGGAGTAATGAAAGCGTTAATCGGATATTTCATGCTTTACGCTTGCACAACTATGAATTATATTGATAGTACTTAATAAGAAGATTGCACAAGGAAGGGACCAGGAGCTAGCATTGAAGTCTTTTCAGAAGTAGTTGGATAGATTGCTTAAGTCGTTCTTATATGGGTAGCCTTTTTCCTTTTGGGATGTTCTAAATAAAAAGGAAAACCTATTTTTTAATATGACGACACTCCCCCAGTTAAGGAAGGATGTTTTGAAAGAGGAGCTCGTCTAAAGTACTTTATGTTTTGGGACCTCTTTGCATTAGGAGCCAGCATAGGACTGTTTTGGTTAGTGTATATGACATAGGACGCTAGGCCTAATTTTGATAATTCTGGAGATTTTGTAATTAAAAAATAAGATAAAAATAGATTTACTTTACTGAAATTTGCTATGGAATGTTGAGTTTTCCATTTTTAATTTTTAATATACCTTTTATAAATGGAAGATTGACAAAGGCCAAAGAAACAGCATATGATAGAAAAGGTAACTGTGTACCTGCAATCGATGGTTTAAGAAGAACCTTAAAGCCTAAATAAGAGGAGGATGTAAACCTTTTATTGAATACTTTGACAATTGATGTAGGAGAAGTGTTTGATGGTTGATTTACTAAATTTTTTATAATTTATTATAAAAAAAATTATTCATTTATAATGGAATCCTAAAGAAAAATATAAATCTAATTCAATTTAACTCAGCTCAGAAATGAAAGAAAGTAAATAATACAGTATAAAGTCTACAAAATTACACTAGAAATAGTAATTAATTACTTGGAGGAATTGGCTTTGATTTAAACAATCAAAAGAGGATTTTGAAAAGGAATTCTTACTGAATGATTAAATCTTAAGAATAGAAGTATTCTGAGAATTGAATTCAGAAATGATAAAATGAAATTGAAAAAGTTTCAAAAGGAAAATATCTATGAATAAGTTTATTAATCTTAATAATATGAGATTTTTAATTAGAGAATTATATTTATTAAAATTGTACATGGATATAATAAATTAAGATAAGTTTTATTAAAAAGAGGTTGGGATTTTCGGGCAGTGTCCCAAGAGGATTAAGGGAAGATTATTAAGAATATGAGAATTTAGAAAAAGAGTTGAGAAAAATAATTTAATGGTCTTTGAAATACTATAATAATTTATAAATTAGAAATTACACATTCTAAACCAATTTTGCTTAATGGTCCACTGGATGTAAAAAGGCCTTTTGGTCAGAGCCTTATGTATCTAATGTACTATAGCTCCAGGAGTAGTAAAGAGATCTGAAACTTTCAGTAAGTATATGTAGGAATGTCAGTTTTTCCTTTTTTGGAAAATAATAATTATATGTTAATGAATTTTATATAAAATCATAAGTTAAAAATGGTGGATTTTAATAAAGTTTTTGTTTATTATGTAGTGTTCTTGGTTTAAAATAAAATTAATAAAATTAATAACACTGGTCGTTAAAGCAATTATCTAATGAGGGTAGTGCAAAAAATACATTATCTCCTTATTTTAATAAGGAATAATCAATCAAATTTATCATGCTATGATGTTATAATAGTCAAATTTCGTGATTAAAGACTGTATTACTAGTTTTTTGAGATTTAAATGTTTTATTATATTAAATATAGTATATTAGTCAGACAACTAAAAAAATATTCATTATTTTCCATTAATTCCTAGTATCCCTTTAACAGTGATTTTATTCTTCTATACAGTTTGTAAACCAATTCTTTGTTCTCCTGGTTTAGATATCCCTATCACAAAGTTATGATTTGCTATTTTCTTAGAGCAGAATTCATTTTCTGGTAAACAATGAATTCTATCTTCTAAATCAGTGTCTTAAGGATTGTTCAAATTTTAACACATAGTTTGCTATGATTCTTCTTCTTTATATAAGTAACTCATTCAAATTATTTCGAACTGAAGAGAAATTTTTAAATAAATTAAAAATGTGAGAAAAGAGTATATGATTATCATAAATAATAGAAAAAACATGAAAATTAAAAGTACTACTAATTTAAATTTAGCTGATAATTTCATTTTCAACGAGAATGATCTGAGGATGAATTGCCCCATTCTAAAATTTACTCATCATATGGATTTATTTGTTAATTTTAGGTAATTATGCTTTAGATGATAGCCATTCTGAATAAATAATAATTTTGTTTTATTTCATATCTTATTTAAGATTGCGATTGGATACAATAGACAATACATATGAACTTTATGTATCTTTAAAATTTAAATCGAGAGATTTTCATTATAAAATATCTTAATGATTTTAAATAATACTTCTTTTGGTCTAATTATAGCAGAGCCAATTATTCTCAAATGTAATTCGATGACTAAAGTTTTATGATATCTTTCTTTATATTTCAATCAATAGTAGATCAGATTAGTTTATAAATATCTAAAATGTTGATATTAATTAACATTAATAGATTATAAAAAGTGCAAATTAAAAAAGGCAATTTAAACTTTATTCTTTATATTCCTGCATAAAATAAAGGGAATCAATAAACCCTAAATATAAAGGATCTTTCTCAGATAATTTTTGATATTTTTGTATTTATAAACTTTTATTGTAATAGAAGCTACTTGTAAAAAAATGAAATATAAGAGAGGTTTATTTACTTTTAACATTTTTCACATTACTAAGATTCTGTACTACAATGATTTCCAGATATTATTTAGTTAAGTTTGAGATCAACTTCAACAACTTTTTGATATTTTGATAAATTTAGTATAAATTTATCCACTTAAATATTTGTGAATTTACTTATTATTAAAGTATTTCATGATCGTAATTAATTATTAACTGCGATAAAGAGTAGGACGTATTGATTTTTCAAAATCTACAAATGAAATGTGGATAATATATGAAAAATCAATATAATTAATTAAATTTTATTTATTTTCATGTTGAATAAATCGAGATCAAGACTACCTCCTCAATTACTGATTACTCCGAAATATGATGAAAACCTTGCAATTTGCAAAACGTAGGAGGACGTCACGAAAGAACATAGAAGAAATACTAGCTACTAATAAAGACCTAGATAATAGAAATATAATTTTCAGTTGTGCCATTAGATAGGAAAGGGACAATTCAGTAAAGTGATGCTTGTCAAGTAATTATTAATAATATGTACAATTAGAAATGCAGGTGTTTTATATGCTTTAAAAATGATTGACAAAAAACTGATCTAAAAGTGCAATATTGCATAATAAGTTTAAAGAGAAATCGACATTCAATCATCGATATAACACTAAAACATAGTTAAAATGTTTGGCAATTTTCAAGACAATGAATATGTATATCTAATAACAGAGTATTGTGAAAAGGGGAATTTATACTAAAAATAATTCTCTAAGGAGGAGATTAAGAAAATAATTAAATAGGTACTGCTTGGAATTCAGTATCTCCATTCAATGGGTATAATGCATAGAGATGTGAAGCCAGAGAACATCTACTTAACTTCGAATGACACCATTAAGATAGGTGACTTTGGCTTCTCCAATTATAGAGGTCGAAGAAAGACTTTCTGTGGTACTCCTGAATACATGCCTCCAGAAATTGTGCTATCTTAGACTAATAAGAACTATTACTTTGGCTATGATGAAAGAGTCGACATTTGGGCCATCGGAATCTTGTTGTTTGAGTTATGCAATGACACAGTCCCTTTTAGAGATGCTGATCGCAACAGATAGCAAGATAGGATATGTAGGGAAAATATACAATTCAAAGAAGGGGAGGATAAGGATCTTATCGATTTCATTCAAAAGTGTCTGAAGAAGGATCCGAATCAAAGAGCTGTAATATAAGAATTGTTGCAACATCCTTACTTATAAATTTGATAATTAATTAATTTCATTAAATTTATAAAATTACTGATATTTTTGGAATGAAGACAAGCTCCTATAGATCTAGAGTAGACGCATCTAAATCTGATGATTTGGATAATAAAAACACTCAAGTAATGCTTACACCAATTAACATAAGAATCTGATCTAACTAACCTCTTAGGTAGAGAGACTTACTCAAGTATTAAATATGAAGAATAATGAAGTAGAGATGTTGAGACAGTAACTTGATCTTTAAAAATCATCTGCAAATCCTAAGGAGATCGAAAACTTGATTACTGTACATATCTATATCAAATTATTAGACAGTTGAAGAGCAAACTAAGGAGATTGAGAGATGGGCAGAAAAATACAAAAAATTACAATTACAAACCTAATAATTGGAGCTGAAGAATACTGATTTAGAGAAAGTTATTAGTTTGCTATAAAATAGTACTAGTAGCTCATAGTACATCAAATCTAACGATATTTAATAATCATCTTAGAGGGATGCCTAATCCAAAAGGCTCTATCAAAGTAACGTCAGAAAAGCGGATGACTTGTCCTTGAATGAAGATTTGAACTACGTTAACACTCAAAATCCTTAAAAGAAATAAGATGAAATAAATCAATTAAAATTCTAGCTTTCCTAAATGTAACAGGAACTACTAAACGAGAAACAATTACATAGAGAATTAATCGCTGCAGAGGAATCTAGAATAAGAGAACAAGAAAGGAGAGCATTTAATCAATACAAATAGGACACATAAAATTAATTACTTTTATATCAAAACTAAATTAATGCTCTGCAGAATATGTTAGAGAATTCTCAAAAGAAGGATGTCAATAGGTCTTAAGTTAAAGAAATTAACCAATAAATTCCTGAGAGAAGCAAAAGAGTCGTGAAATATGATGATGAAGTTCAAAATGTATAACCAGTCACTAGAAAGTCAACATCATAGAAGCCATAGAAAGAATAAGTCAGCCAAGTGAAACAATAGAAAGTGGACCTTCTTCCCATTTATCCATCTCAGACATTTAGAGTAGCTCCTTTGGAGAACAACTCATTTTCTTTAGAAGCTGCTCCGGATGAATCCCAACTGAATTCGAGCAAGATTAATTAAATCTAGGAGCAAATTAATTAAACGATGGCTCAAATTGAAAAATCAATTATACAGGTGGATATGATGAAACAGACTAATTAAGTGCATTAGAAGATATTTCAAGAGTAAATCTACTCTTCCACTTCTAATCATTTAACAAATTCTTAACCTCCCCAACGTCAACCAAGTCCTAAATACTCAGATAATTTGAATTCAATCTCTTACGTCAGCCAGTAATCAAACAATTTCAATTAATTTAATTAAAGATAGTATTTTTGATATTTTATGTATGTTGGGTTTTTGAATCATTTGTAAACAAAATTTAGTACTTCATATAACTGAATAACTAAAATAATTTTAATATAATGGGTGTGGCAAATGACTCTAAAATATTTCAATTATTTGCTATAATATTTATTATTGAAATAACACTCAATATATATCGTAAAAATTATTTTAATAAATCTAAAAATTATATTATAAAAAAGAGTATTGTGGGAGTTATATTAACAGAATCTATTTCTGAGAATAATTAAATGTCTACCAGAATGATTGGGAGTGAAATATATTTCTCAGAAAAAGAGTTATCACTGAAGTTCAGCATGCCACTGTTCTTTTCTAATAACTGAACTTATCTATGTAATTGGTGAATTTAATACATATAAAATTTATTTTATGTTATTGACTTACACAACTGGAGGAAGGTAGTTTTGCTTATATTCGAATAATCAAACAAAATTAGTTTTAAAATAGTTCATATATATAGCTAATTGCGAAGAATTAAAAATTCAATAATAAAATATATGGATAATCTTAACACATGTTTAATGATGCTGAATGTTTAAAGCACGTAGGAGAGTGAATGTCCAAAAGATGAATTGAATGATTCGATAGATCTATATATGGACTCAAAGATTAGTGCAATTGAAATTAGGATTGTGAAATATTTGCACGGGATGGGAATTCAGACTAAAACTGATCCAGGACAGAAGGAATAACAATATTGGAATTCAAAAAGGCTTGAGAGTAATAAGAAATTAGAACAGTTTTGGAGTGATACCAACCTTCCAATCAACTCTTCCTTAACTCGTTTATTGAAGGGTCGTTAATCTCAAACATTTTAACATTTTGGACAGAGTGGAAAATCTGTTCAAGATTTTGGAACTTACTGAAATTCAAGTACATGAACAGTTGAGTTAATTGATTTTAGTATATTAAATTTATTCTTTTGAAATTTATACATATGGAAAAATTGTTTATTTTCTAAAGAAGCTATTTGAAGGAGTTAGAAAAAAGAGATGTAATATAACCAACATACGACTTCGAAAGAAAATGACCTAGCCAAGAAGTCTCTTGAGGAAATTTCTACTGTATTCCTTTGTTACAACTAATAGTTTTTACGCCCTAACAATCAGGATTTCTAGTATATTCTAAATTGATTAATGTTGTTTTATAATATTATTGGGAATTTTTACATTCATTCATATTCACTGATGGCCTCTAAAATGCAAGCGATTGACCAAGCTTGAGCTCTACATGAAAATATATTGTATTCTCCATTTCCATTGGTCATCTCAGGCAAGGAATACCTAGATCTAACTTTAATAGGAATACCATTCATTTTGATGCAGAGTTACTTTGTGGTTGGACAAATAGGAATAGAACAGCTGTCTGTTGATGTGTTCCTTACTATGAATAGCTATCAAGGCCTTGATGAAGTATCCATAGACCCACACCCATTCTGGTCCATTATGATAAGAGAAACCATGAGATACATTGAAGATGTGAGATTAATCGTTGTTATCATAAAAATGAACATATTCTGAAGCAGCAGGATCAAGAGTCTTGACTCCTAAGGAGCATTCTCTTAATAGACAGGCTTCAACAGTAGCCAAATGGAACATAGCCTTTTCTTTGTGAAATAGTTCAGGGGCTAATCCTATAGCAATACTAGCATTGCATCTTAATTGATATTCATTTCTGGGCTTGGATGATTTAACAAGATCCTTATAGATTTGTCGATGTCTAACATGTTTCTCAACAATATGATATTCTTAGTAATTTGGATCATTTTACTTTGGAATGTAGTAATACTTTTCGAAATTAACAAGCAAGAAATGAGACCATTCTTTGAAGAGTAGTTTCTTACCATTAGGACAAATAACCCCATCATATGGATAATGATATTGAGCATGACTGACAAAATCTAAGCAAACCTTGAGTAGAGCTGTCAATTCAATAGGTGCTCCATCTCTACTAGTAGCAGGAATTCCTCTATTAACATCAGATGAACCCATTTTATCCATCCATGTCAAGCAATTTAACCAATTACCACCTACAATAAAACCAGTCTATTCATCCAAACACAATTAAATGTTGAATCCTTCTGATTGCATGCAATTGTCTATTTGATTTCCTGCTCTCCATTCTCTAAATTTAATTCCAGAAGCATGACTCTAAAAGATCTTTTGAATAATTTCTGCAATAGTTTTCTTAATGATAACTCCTTACGATTTCAATTAGTAGTGTTTATCCATATCATCATCAAGGAATATCATTTGGACTTCTTCATTAAGGATGTCAGTCTTTCCTGCAGATTGCACATAATCTTTGACTGCTTTAATGTACCACCAGCAAGCATCTCTGCAATTGTATCTTGGATTATGGCCTGAATCCAATAAGTTAGGGATTAGGCCATGTCTTAAACAAGAACCAAAAGTTAATAAGGCCTCTCTTGCTTCAGCCAGTAATCCATTTTCCAGATAGATTCCCTTGAAGGATATGAAAGTGTCTCTGCCCCATGATCTCGCCCAGCCAGTAGTAAAATGCGGTAATCCTGCTGCCATTGATTTTGAGGAAGGTAACTCTGCAATGAATTGATATGAAGCTAGTTTCAACTCTCTTTTGAATTATGAAGTTTAGAGATTAGTTATGGACAACATACAATTGTTGTAGATGTAATCAACAAACTTACAGAAATAGGATGGAATATGAAAACGAGGTATGTTCTTGATTTATTGTGTGATAGTATTGATTAATTTAGATATTTCCAATTATCCAAGTTAGCGTTGCACTCTTTCATTTAAATAGTCTAATAACCAATTTCCACTTCTCAAATTTTCACAGATGGGATGAGCCAAATTATTAACAGTTTATGCTTCTCTGGTGGCAGAGCGAGGACCAGAAAAGCCAGCATAAATAAGTTGTCTATAGTTGGGAATGAAATACAATCCAGTATTATTTTTGTCTCTCTCTTCAGGTTCAGACATAAAAAGTAAGTAATTTAGTTAGGATGAACTCAAGGCTTTGAAATGTTATAATTAGGAGGCATCATTTAAAATGGTTTCTAGGGATTGCAAATTCTTCTGTTATTCTAAATCAATGTGGCATTCGATTACTGCAGTGAATGAGGAGGGCAAATTGATGAATCTTAATTCGTTGTCTTGGATTTCAGCAAATTCCCTAATATTCTGATGTTAGATGATTCTGACTTAGGATGCCTCTATGATTTGATTATTCTATTCAGGATATTAAATGAAATCTTCATGATAGAATATTGCATCTACTTTGACAATTTATCCTGGTAATTTGATTGAACTAAATGAATTGGGAATTCCAAATGAAGGGACAGTAATCAAGACCTTGGATCTGCACTTGTCCTATGTTTCTCTGGTGATAATCTAAATAGTATCACTTTAATTTTAACAAAAGATGAAAGGGAATTGTTGATTAAGTTCCTTTTTAATCTAATGTAATTTGAGTCTAACTAATTCCATTGTTGTCAGTAACTTAGTAGGATTAGGTTCTACTATTAATTTCCTATTAAGTTGATCGACCCAATTGGAGTTAACCTTATATTTATATTCATAAGATCCTTCATTCAACTTTAGGGTCGATGTATAAATGTTATGATGGCCATTTAAAACTAAACCTCTTTGCCAATTATCCCAGGACCCAAAAACTTCAACAAATTAATTGGGTGATGCATCATACCTGAATGCTATAATTGACTGTCTTTCTACGACCATATTCTCAATTGGAGGAACTATATTGTATACTCTTCTTTCATCTACAACTGATAATCTATTTGGCAAGAAACAATCATATCCCCTGACTGTTCCACCCATACAACTGCTAAATGTAATGAGGGCAGCAATTGGTAATTGATGTCTATAACCATGAGTGGAGATCAATGACTCATTATCATGTGATTACTCATAAATCAAGGCAGGACTATATTAGGGTTGGAGTATAGTAAAAGTTTCATTGATTGATTCAAATTACTCCTGTAATTTAGGTAAAGATCCAATGGACATTCTGCCATCTCCACTGTAATAATGTAATTCCCTATTCAAATGTCCAGCATCATGACATCTGTTGGTTTCTCTAACCAAACAATTGATTCCCATTGTTTTTGTAAAAATCGAGTCTTTCTCTGGAGATCCAGTAAATAACTCAGCAAAGACTAGGATGTTTGGATTGGCTTTCCTTGCCTTCCTCATCATATATTCTCTAAGTTAAGATCAATTAAATGAATTACCCTACGATCATGGGTGTTGAATGGGCATTATCCAATCTCAACCCTGCAAATATCCTGGCCATCTATTGAACATATTTCTTCATGTATTTCCACAATGCAGGACTGTCCTATTTCTTGTGTCCATACCTAAGTTTCACCAAGTCTCCCCAAATCACAATTGTCCTTCTCAAATAATGGTGTTCCTGATTCTCTGCGAAATTGTTCAAAGGATCAAAGCCTTAAATCCATCCGTTATTGGCCACATATTTTCCATTACTTAACTTAGTGAAATATCTTGGAACCAGAGAATCTCCTTTTTCGTTTACTTCCACAAAGGGATTCTTCAATGTCAACTTCCACCAAGTGACCTAGCCTCTCGTAGAATTCATTGCTTCTCGGATGTAGGATTCAGCTTCATTCAAAAATTGGTGATTATAAAATTGCAACAATTCTTGGATGTATTCCAAAGACACCTTCTTGTAATTCTCATCTTTGCTATCATTATCATTGTAAAATATACTTCAGAAATTCAACTATCGCATCGTAATTTAATGATACTCCATATTCCTTATAGCCTTTTAAGATTGTCTCCTTTCCAATCAATTGCAACATGACTTCACTTGCACTTTTAATGAAGATGTTTTGATTCTCCTCCAGTTGATCACTCTTGTTTTTCACTATTTTATTGCATCTAGTCTGTATTTCATTTAAAACTGCATTTATATTGAATTGGAAGTATCCATGAATATTCAATTTCCTTATGTACTCGTGTTCCAAAATGTCCATAACTTGATTTAGATCATTTTCATTGTAAATTGTATTTCTTGGATATTGAGTCAACAGACCTGATCCTAATTTATTACTAAATTCTGCAATTGCACAATCCATTAGAATGGCTGCCTCCAAATGGGGTGAATTCTTAACATTGTATGTAGCATTTTCAAATTCTGGTTGAACTAACCAACTGGAATCAAATGCTGTGTGATTTAAGAGGATATCTATAAAAAAGTAAGTGTTTGGAAATTTAGCAAAGAGTTATTTTAAATCATCATATGTGTGATTCCCAAAAATGTCAGTATTCAACTTTTGCTGATCAGCAATTGCATATAAACTGGGTGATTGTCCCAACTGTTAAATAGGCGGGAAATGGAATGCCTCGTAACCCAAATCGACTTGAGAACGAATTTACTTTTCGTAATCCTCAAACTTGCCCAAACAGTAGGGTAGCAGTGTCTGTATGGTGATTTCCTAGAGTTTATCCACATGATTTGGCTAAACGATTATGTGATTCTCCACTCCCAAGACTACAGGCTTATCTTGAGCAACAAACCAACACAATCTCAAATAAGCTGCACCTGTCAATGCAAACTCAACGTCCACCTTCCAATCACCTGAGGAATCGAGTGTAAATCCTTTTACTTCATGATGTTGCTAAATTTATTTCAAAGTCAAATTATCCATCTCATATACATGCTTATAACCTTTTTGCATGATCACGTGTGGATGATAGCCTTGCTTGCGATTGCGAACGAAGATTCTAACTATCTGATGTTGGCGCACATAGATGGCCTTATCGTGACTACCTTCAATTTCTCCCTTTTAATTTAGTTCTAAGAAGAATCTATCCTGTTGCATTATTAATATATTTTTTCTTTAATCGAATCTAGATGAATTAACATAAATAATTTCAACGATTAATACAACCAAGAGAAATGAGGATTCTTCTGAAGAAAGTCTATTCTGGCTGATCGTTTAAGGGCTAAGGTTGATGGAACACAAAATGTTGAGATCTATTTTTCATATCTTCCCATTCCTTGCTGTTGGTTTTCCTTTCAGAAACAAATGTTGGACAAGATTTTATGGGAGAATGACTAAATTCGTCCATCAGCATAGAGATGCTTCTGGAATTCAACTGATCGTTGCGAGACTAATACTTTTACTTCGATGACATCCATTTATGATTGAGAATACCTTAAATAGAAGGCCTATTAAATGGATTCGGTTGCAGAATCATGGCAATCAATGCCTTGCAGTCTTCACTCACGGATTCCTCGTATTTCAACTGCTACCCTGACAGAATGGCGACACACTTCTCCTAATCATTTCTTCCTGTAAAAGGAGGCTTACCTTGAACCATCTCATACAACAATACGCCCAAACACCAGATATCCAATTTGTAATTCGTACTCTGAGACTTGATCATCTCTGGTGCCATGTACTCGATCGTTCCGCAAAAGGCCTTTTTCAGATTATCCATTTCAGTGGACCACCCAAAATCGCATATCTTTATATTCCCCTTCGCATCCAACAACAGATTCTCAGGCTATTAGGATATCACACACAATTCAACCTTTATGTCCCGATGGATTATCTTCATCTTGTGTAAGTACTCGATTCCCAAACAAGTCTGATAGAGATAATGAAAGGCTTCCTCCTCAGAAAGTCGACGCTCCTTTTTTATCTTTTTAAACAGAGAACCTCCTTCTGCGTACTCCAAAATGAGATAGACATTGGTCTTTTCTTTACACCATACTCATACCTTGTCTTCGAAATAACTATCCAATTTAATAATATTGGGATGATGCAATTTACGTTAAATCTTTATCTCCCTCTTCAAATTATCCACTGTGCAATACTTAAAGAGTTCTTCCTTCCTCATCTATGACATTGAACATTCAATAATACTGCTTTCATGGCAAATAGGTTCCCAGTCTTAATCTCCTTAACTAAAGTCACCCAACCAAAAGAGCCTTATCCCAACGTTTGTTGCATTGACTAAAAGTCGCTACTTTCTAATGTGTTCAATACCTGTGGGTTTTCTTTTGAATTTTGCTTGAAGATGCTTTGCTGCTCGATCCAGGCATATTCGTGCTAACCTTACTCCAAAAACATACCAATTAGAGTCATGCTTTGAAATCGAGGTGTTCAATTTTAGACTCCGACTTTCGCTTTGACTCTCTGTAAATACTGTATTAGAGTTCATTAATATATAAAATATATTTTCAAAACTCAACAACATCTTACACATCCACCATTCCCAACAAAATTCGGTTTTTCTAACAAACTCCAAGACCTAACACACAGTCCCTTATCAACTGTTTTACTTTTGTATCTTGCTTCTTAACGCTTTTTCCCAAACTCATTCTTTGCTCTCCCCTTCTTGTCTCAGTCGAACTTATGAAATTACTATGATTTTAATGAGTAATTGAATTCTCCTCATAGTGATTTTATCATTAATTTGCTCAATTGATTCTTACTTTATATTTGATGTATTTTATGACAAATGTAATTTGCAAAGAGAATAAACAATCAAACAACATTAATCAATTCAACCTTACTGGTTTGATAAAACACTCAACTCCTTTGTCCAACCTTGATTGAATATCTTCATTTATTCAATCTGCTTGCTGCTAATTTACAAGGGAGTATGAAGCCCAGAACTCTGTTTCATTTTTTTTGATTCATTTAGTTGTAATATAAATTTATACTTATGTTATGTTTAAGAATGGTCAATATTTTGTTTTTTTTGTTTCTCATTATATAAGTCTTGGTGATTAAAATAGTGCTAAATATCAACTAGTTGCTGGTTTTCAAGAGAGACATTCGATTCGGAAAGCTCATATACTTAATTAATTATAAAAAATTAATTAATTTATATTGGAAAATTATTCGATTGTTTTATTCTATTTTGTTATGCTTAAAAATATATTATATAATCACTAAGTATTCAGGCACTGGATATCGAGGTAATAAATAATTATTATATTTTAATATAGCAAAATTATCAAATTATTTAGTTGTTGTCTGATTTCGATGAAAATAATCTACTAATTATCTTAGTTTGGGGAGTTCTTTGCAGAAAATTCTTTGGTTTCTATGAACCTCCAGTTGATTAAAAGGCAAATTGCTATTTAGTACTTGCTTGAGGGGATTAGATTTAAGGTAACTGATTGAATTGATCGGGCTTATCCATACCAATTATTTTGTATGCTTATTTCATTTGATTTTGAGATTCTAGAGAGTCTCTTAGATGCTCTTAAGCAGTCCTTGATTTTCTTGCCACATCGTCATTTGGTAGATTGAAACTAATAAATTCATTGACAGGTGTAATAGTCTATTTCGAGGAATTTGTTCTTAGAGCTGTTTCTTATTGTGATTGCTGCCCTATGGAACCATACCCAATCAATTGATTGTTGTACACTTTCTTTGTTTAATTAATTCGGGGTAAAAACGCAGTTGAATTAGATTTTTACATTTATTCACTATTGTATTGAGATTGTCTGCTATCTAATAATGATTTTTGATAAGATGGATATTCGGGTTAAATAGAATCTTCATTCTATTTTGTAGGTATGAGTTTTCGAACAGGTTATAAATCAGCCATACTGATGTTGAATTCGTTGTCTGAAATTTTGAGAGGCTAGCCAAACCTGATATTGGTGTTTCTTTGGAAGCCAGGGGCCACTGAATTATTCTGAAGTATATTAATTTATTCATTGTTTGTTTTAGGCTGGGGTGGCGAGAATGGTTTAACTGAAGGAACTTTATTTAATTTAGGAGGAGAGCTAAGTAGAGATCATTTGATACCCAAACTTATGCATGACAGGAGTGATATGATTATTTTACGCAAACTATTTAGTAGATTTAGCCAGCGTGACTTTTTTCAAAGTTTGAGATGGTCTCTTTTCAATATTTATTTGAGGTTACAAATTCTTTTTGCCTTCTGAACTAATCTTGAATGCCTATTCTTTAGGTGATTTGAAGGGCACTCTTTATATTTGTTTTTATTAAAATTTAATGGATTGTCCTAATGAGCTTAATTGTGGATTAAAAAATTAAGCTGTCTACTTCATTTCCTATTATAATCGACTGTCATCAAATGAAGCTTAATCTTGGTGATTTATCATTTGTTTTAAATAATTATTTTATTTATTTTATCAATAACAATTATTCATGCAAGTCCTAAAAAGATATAACAGATATATTTCAAATTTGATACCTCTCGCTGCAGGATCTAATTAAAGTGGGCCCAATACATGACGATCCAAAATTTAATCACAAATTGCTAAGAAGATCCAAAGAGAAGAATGCATTTATTGATGGAATATTAAAATTGTTTCATTCACGATTAGTCACAATCAAAGAGATCGGTGTTCCTTCTTTGAAATCATCGGGCAATTCGACTACATAATATGATTTGCTAATAGCCTTCAGAGTGCAGCCAGAACATTTTCTATTAATCATAAAAAGCATTACGTAAAGTGATAATGAATCTCATCGAAATAGTATTCTCTTGATAAGAAGATTTCCGTTAGTTTTCCATTGCAATTATTGCTGGCTCTCCAATCCAATTACAAGAAATAAGAGTCTTCATCCACTCTGTTGAAGTTGGAACTGCTGGGAATACCACTTATTTTAGTCACATATGGCCTACTTAGAGTCTTTACTTTATTTTTGTATAGCTATTCAAGCTCATCATAGAAGGATTCTATTTATCCAGGATGAGCTTAGGTCGTGATGTCAGCATAATACTTAAATTCCCAATAAGCCCAAGAAGTGAATCTGGATTCCATTAAGTCTAATAAGTAATCTAGTTCCTTGTTTCCTTTTGGAGTATCAAGAATAGCTCCGAATTCAGTCATGAATTTGCCAACTCCTAACTTCTTGGCAACACCCTCTTTGGTTGCAAAGAAGAATGAATCCATGTAATTGCACACTTGATCATTCTTAGGAATGCTGTAATCATCAACATTAAAGCAATAAATGTGATAACTGTAGACTTCTCTATCTCTAAATTCTTCACCTCCAGGAGTATCTTTAAATCCAGCACCGATCAGATCAGTAGTTCCAGGTTCAAAAAAGATTGATCATCATACTTTCTGATTTGTTTATGCACTTTTCTGTAAAGAGGCAAAAGATTGCGATTATTACCATAATTTGGGAACAAGAATTCTCTGATACTATGGTAAATTGATCCTTGAATTGGTTCATTGATATCGTCAATTCCAATTACTTTGTACTTGAATTAATATATAAACTGTAATTTCATATCCAATGACATTCTTATGATTTTTAAAGTAATTAGCAACTACTCCCCAGTATTCAGCAAAAGCATCAGCTATTCCATCTTTATTGTCAAAAAGATTTTAGAATGTTTTGGAAGCCTCTGCTGTTACATAATAAAGAAGGAACTTCTTCTTCAAACAATCTTCAATCAGAGGGACTCCTTCCTCATCGGTGTGCATCTTGGAGAAAATGTAAGGATAAGGGAATCTAAATTCTTTTGACTTAATTCTAGCTATTGTCCAATCAGGGAATCCATTTCCACAGAAGAATCTATTCAATACATCTTAATGGGAGTCTAGTAATACTGTTACTCCTTTGGCCTCACATCTCTTTACTATTTTGTCGATTTCCTCTAAATAGGTGAAATTGTATTATCCTCGAACTGGTTCAACTCCCTCCCATGCCACATGCAATCTTATGAAGGTCATGCCCCAAGAGACTAAATTGTCCAAATCAAAATCGGAGAGTGAATCATTGGAATCAAATCCTTCCGATACTGGTGGATAATATGGGGGCAATTTGTAAACTACATTTACACTAAGTATGAATATAAGGATTACCCATGGAATACCCGTCTTAAACCGTCAGAATCTAAGATGAATTGATCATCTCTATTCACTTTAAATGATGATGCTACAAAAGCTAGATAGAACAGTAATATGCAATATTTCATTTTTATTATTTAATTAAAGAAGTATTTATGATATCATATTTTCATTAATTTTTAACTCATTTTTAATCCTGAACTGCCATTCCATAGTCAAAACAAAAATTACCAGAACAAGATTATTATAATGAAAGTCTAATTTAAACATATTCTATAATCATGATAAAAATTCATCCAGCACTTAACTCTATATTAAAAGCATATGCATCAATTCAAACTAATTTTTCTACCCATTTAGCAAATCATAAGGCCTGCTTTATTTTAGGCTCTATTGATATCCACTTTTGGAAGATACTGTTCTGTTTGCCATCATATTGGATAATTAACTCTATGATAGATAATCTTGGCCAGAATCTTACAGAATATTATCAGAATAACTAGATATGGCGTTTAACTTAGCATTCAAAGTGTTCTAAGAAACAAATAACTCTTTCTATAATTCGGCTATCTCGTTTCCTAAATTCTCTTGAGATAGATTAACTATTCTCTCAACGATGTTTTTGTATTATTTTCCAAAAAACATTGTATCTCCTAATAATTATGCCTAAAATATAGAGTTATGGAGATGGATACTATGATCGATGATTTTTCATTTAATTCACTTTTCAATTACTTTATCTCTCTGTCTTTGGTTTATTGAAGCTGATTGCATTGTTCTTGATAATAGGTATAGGTTTCATTTTAGTATTTATCAAATTGCGTCTTCACTTGATCGTGGGCAGTCTATTTTGGATAGATATTCGTAGGTTACTTTATATTTTTCAAGATTTTATTTGATTTGGGTGTTTTCTAATTCAAAATCATGATATAGGTTTAAATATTGCTCTTTTTCTTCCAAACAAAGTTGGTTACTTGATTTTAAAAGGTCGTATGATCTTTTTAATTGTTCTAGCTATGATAGATTGATATAATAAATAGGATACTTCATCAATTTTGGATTGTAATTAAGATTTGAAGGATTCATTTTAAGCATTTAGTTCTGAAATTGAAAGAATTTATTTTTTATTATTATTTTATAATTTCAAAATTTAGTCATTTAATGAGGTGATAAGTTTAGATTTCTATTCCAATTCATCAATTTAATATTTAATAATCTTCGTTGATCCATGGTTTAATTAAGGATTGCTTTTGAATTGATTAGCGCTGAGATTGATTTCAGTCGCAAGTTTATTTTAGAATCCAGAGGAGTTGTTATTTTTCTCTAGATTGCAACTATTGAATCTTTGGTGATGAGACGATTTGCTTATAGTTTTGACAGAACTACTAGGTTGGGGTTTAAAGGAATTTTAAATTTTGGTTAATTGATTATTAAGGTTGTCTATTTGGGAAGTGATGTGCTATTTTGATTTGATTTCTTCGATGATTTCATAAACTATGGTAACTATATCCTTGACCATGCTTTGAAATTGCTGGGTCTGATCTGGCATTGATTCTTTTTATTTCTCATTGGATTGTTGATTGAGTTCCAGGATCAAAAGATAGATCATGTATTTGAGTAGAATAAGATCGGTGCATCTATAAAAATCAAAGCAAGTTGTGGAGTTATCCAGACAAAAGAGTTTTATTTTGGTTAGTATTGTAGCAAAGGTGTTTTAATCTTGGTCTTTGGCCTATTTGAGTTGTTTGAGCTATTTTTCAATGTGAGTCAGCGATTTAATAAGGGATTGCTGGATGGTCTAGGGAACAAGGGAGCATTTCTAAGGTTGAATTTCAAGGGGAATTTCATTTTAAGTGAATGAGCCATGCTTATCCATCTATCTGACGATACGATCAGTCCATTATTCCACATCATATTGTTTGATTTGGAGGTAGGGGACTGGTGAGGACTTTTGGAGCAATTAGTTGATTTCTTTGGAGGCAATTGGCTTAATTGGGGAATGCGAGTGTTGGCTACCTTTCTTTTGGGTAGAATACAAATTTTGAAGTTTTTGAAGCAACTAATTGCTAGAAGCTGAGTTCATTATAATTAACAGATATTTATACTTGGCTGAATGTAAAAATCTTAAATTATTAATAAATTAAAATGAGAGTTCTCTTCTGTATAGCATTGCTTTTAGTTGTAAAGGGGGCAGTGATAGTCACATGCCCATCAAATGGATATGGTTGTGTTACATACGGAGCCAATGTAGCTAGATAGGCGACAAGGACAAATTCATTGTGCAGAAATGGTATTCTATATTATGATCATTATAGGGTATTATTGGAACAACCAAGCATGCATGCCATGCAAAAACGCTGACGCAGTAGTAGGTGGTTATTACACTTGCAGTGCTTATTATGAGGCAACTTCTTTGACATGTACTACTGGTTATACATTAATAAATGGGTAATGCAGCAATATTTATTTTAAGTGTCTGTGTTCTTATACCAATTGGTTGTACTGCTTATGGTTTAAACTAAAACTAAGATGCTTATGTTTGCACAGCATGCAGCTCCGATTATACACTAAAAGGAGGTGTTTGTATCAATAATAGATATTGTTCATCATGGGATGACAATGCAGTTTGCACAACCTGTTAGACTGGATACTTTTTAAATTGGGACTTGAAATTCACATCAACAACCTCAGGCTCCAACAATTAAAATGATTGGATCACAACTTGGTAAACATACTATAAATTCCCCGGAGAATCATTTTGCAGTGTTTGCTCTTAGACAATGTCCAATTGTAAGTCATGTAATTCAGCGTAATTATTTATATCGATATATTTTAGTTATACTTGTTCATAATGTAATGATGGTTATTATTGGTAATAATCAACAAGCAGTACCCCATTGACATCCTCTAATGCCTAGTTTGCAGGTGCCTGTGTCAGTTGTCTCACAAGTGGATATTGTGCTGCTTGTCAAGGCTCAAATTGTACTCAATGCAAAACTGGTTATTATCCTACTAAAGATACAACCAACACTATCATTTTATCTTGTAATGCATGTCCAACTGGATGTTCATCATGTACTTCATCAACTTAATGCACTGATTGCTCTACCTCATACTACAAATATACAGATAACTTATGTTATCCTCTCAATAAGTGTGCTTCTATTAACACCTAATTAACAACTTCTGGAGCAAATCCAAAGTGTTCTTCTTGTATCGCTGGTTATGCCTTAGACCCAAGCGGATCAGGTATTTGTTATTAATGTGGAAATTGTGATAGTTGCACAGTTCCATCTGGATAATAAACAGCTGGTTTATAAACATCATGTACTACTTGTTGGGACACGTATAATATTATCAATATACTTTAGATATTATGGTGTAAAGGATTCAAATGGTATAGTTACTTGTAAATCATGCACACAAGCATCAGATTCATACTTGAGATGTTAAGGACCAGTTGAAAATTCATCCCTTACTAGTGTTGTACCAACTCAATGCTAAGATGGATATTATTTATATACTCTACCTGCCTAAGGTACTACATAAGCTTAAACTATTTGTGTTCCATCAACTCAAAATTTACAATGTGTAACCATTGTAGCAACTAGTGCCACTCAATATACATGTGCAACATGTACTTCATAAAGTAAATTATATAACAACGCAAATTGTTTGGTTTGTAATCCAACCCTAACCTCCTCCTTACCTCAAGGATGTACCGCTTGTTCTGGATCACCAAGTAATTCAATCACTTGTAGTGCTTGTGCAGCCAACTATTTTTATTCCACTGGTACTACCACAACATGTTCTGCTTGTGATTAGAGTTGTATTTAATGTGCATCAGGTCCAACTTGTACTAAGTGTGCAATAACTTACTATGTATCTGGTGGTGGATGCACACAATGTGGAGTTGCTAATTGTGCCACTTGTACTGCTCAAAGTCCTAATACATGCCAAGTGTGTTTAGATGGATATTTCTTATCCAGCATCAACACAGGCACAGGATCCACTTCATATTGTTTGAAGTGCCCAACTGAATGTGCAACTTGTGCTGCTCCAGGTTAAGTTTGTATTTCTTGTGTCTCTGGTTATGTACTCTCAAATGGAGGCTGTGTTTCTTTAAGTTAGGCAAATTGTGCTGAAGGATATACTACTTCAACATTGAGTAATGAATAGAACCCAACCACCCAAAATGGATGTGCTATATGTAAATATGGATTTTACAACTTTGAAAAAAGATGTCTCCAATCTGTCCAACCATATGCAGGAGTACAATATATCAATTACTATTTCTTAGTCTGTTTATGTGGCAAAAAATATCGGCATTGGTTCAAACCCAGGAACATCTTCTTACCAGACCATCATGTATTCAATATTCTTGGTCATCATGTTGCTTGGATATTGATTTATTAATATAATTATGGAAGATCAATTAGAACTAACTTCTTAATGGAGTTTCTATGAGATGTGCACCAAAAAGAACAACAAGTTGCCGTGTCTAATACCATAGACCATCATCTTCGATAAACTCATGCCTAAGGTTTGGCTCTTCAATCCCAAGAACACTCAAGTGGTCATGAAAAAGAATTCAGACAAACTCTCCAACCTCGAGATTGCCAAGTCTTTACTTGGTATTAAATTCCCCAAGGACATCAAGATTGACACTCTGACTCAATTGGTTGAGCAAGCAAAGTAGTCTCCTCAATTCAGAGAGGTACTATTTTCATTTATACTATCGAAAGGAAACTCCAATAGCATTTTTGTAGATGAAAAGGAATGAGGGCATACCTATGAATCGATAGGAGCTATTGCAATTCTTTGTTGAAGGCAAAGATCTCTCATCTTTGGCATACATGCAATAGTACATTGAAAATCAAAGTAGCTAGATTAATAGTTTGCAGATGAAGTCTACTACGTTGAGTACCATTATGATGTTGATTTCATTCCAATCACTTTCAAGTTTTTCAAGAAGACTCTCACAATCAAAAGAGCCAACAAAAGTACAACTGCTAAATCCAGCAATCCCTTCTAAACACTCTTGATGCCAGTCCAAAGCAGTGGTTAAATTCCAGTCAGACAATAAGAAGTTTAGAAAGTGCAAACCATGTTCAAGTATTGTAATTCTACTCTAAATCAACGCTTCTAAGAAGTACCTATATCATTTACTAATTCCCAAAGGAGACAAAAAAGATAGCTTTCTACATCGAAAAGGTATTCAAAGTCAAGATACGCAAATTCACTCCGAAATTCATTGTTGATTAAAGAGAACAGATCTATTTTGCTGGTATCAAATAAATCTCCATCTAAATCTAAAAAGGAGGTATGTTTTAGTTTCCTATGCAGCACCGTATCAAAAAGGGTTGAGAGATGAAATTGCTAGTAATGGTTAATTTGATAATTTCATGATGGCATGCAAATAATTTAGATTGGACAAGAATGCAAACAACGAGTTCAAGAAGTATCCAAAATAAATTGTAGAAGAGGATAAGAAATTGAGTAAAACACTATACAAGCATTTGATACTAGAAAGATGTCAAGGAGATTTTTGCAATTATAAATTGATAGAAAAAAACAAGTATTTCAATTAATTTATTTTTAAGAGGACCCTTGCAATTAAGGAAAGGTCTATTGGAAACTTACAAGAATGTGTTTAAAGAGTCAAAATAGACAGTCAGTAATATGAGTACCAATTTACCTTATGAGATCTCATTGTAATTAATAGTGCGTACACGTGATGATCATAAAGAAGTCATAGAACTTTTTAAAAAATTTAAAATTCATTTAGAAAATTACAATCCAGAAGAACACCCAGAAATTAAAGACGAATAACAACATCCGTTTAGTAAAGAGAATTCAGATGTTCAAGCACTAATCAATCTATATAAATCAGTTAAAATTTGTAAAAATTGTTTCATAATCTATTCTATGATTCAGAGACATTTTGAATCTTAACTCAAAAAAGATATTAAAAATGGTGTCTAATTTATCAATGAGAAAAAGACTCCCTCTTTACAAATCGATGAAGAAGCAGAAAGACGTAGAAAGAGGGAAGAAAACATTCTCAAAAGACAAGAGAAATTATAGATGAAACCATCCACATCAACTAAATCTTTTAGAATATTCAGAGCACCAACACAAAAGAGGAATTTTTTAATTACTTCCATACCTGAAAGCAGAGTCTCTAAAACTGCATCGCCTGAAAAGTTTAGAGATATTTGCAAGTAAATTGAAATCAATAGATTGACATTGGGTTATTTGAATTATTAGAAACTGGAACAATTCCAAAAACCAAGTCAGATGGAACAATCTCAAGAGTTTAGAAATGAATCATATAATTTAATATACCTCCTTTCAGAACAAAAAGCACCCAATGTTAGAAGAATTGATACAAATCAGTAGGAGAATAAGGAATTGCAAGGGAGAGCAGAAGAGATAAAGAAAATGCTAGTTAAGACATCTAAGAAGGAGTAGGAATGTAGAGCAATACAGAAGGAATATTTTATTGACAAAACATAGGAAGGAGTTTAATAGATCTTGCTTTCGACTTCATCTCATTACTATTATCACGTTAATTTTGATATCGTAAGGAAGTTGTATCAATTCTAATTAAGTACTCCGATGTAAGCATTATCCTACGATTTGAAATATGACCAGTTAAGATCATTACAAATTGAAGAGGTCTGTGAGATGATGAATTACCCATCCCCTTGTTTTGATATCACATAATTGGAGTATTTGGTAGTTGATTCTCAGACTGCTGTACCATATGCTTTATTCGAGAGCAACATAACCAAGAAGAAGGAGAAGGGTTCTTAATCAGGCATAGATTTGATCATCATACTCCACGACATGTTCGAATCCTTTTTTGAGTACTCATATCAATTATATCTTAGGTATTATCCGATCATAGTGGATTTGATCAATGATGCCTAAAATAAGAAGGTATTGCTCTTAAACACTCCAGGATAAGCCTATACTTTATTCAACAAGAAACAGGCATACACAAACATCTACATAGCAGGCATTTTAGACTAAATATTATATGAATTATCCACCAAGGGCAAAATCGACTTGCAAACTGATACTCTAAAGATTCTGGGAGTAGGATCTGGAGGGTTTCATGCATAAGCTTTTAGTAAGATTATGTTAGAGTCTATTTAGTTGTACAATGCCAAAATACGATTCAATTTAGTTAGATTGCCTTTGTAAATTCTTATACGTCAATTTATCCTCAATTGAGAAGCTTCTTTACTCAATCAATAAAAATCTTTGAATCTTAACCTGCCGATATGCCAGAACTTGCTTTTGAATACACTAATACGATTATGAATACTCAGCCAATTTCTGAAGATCTACTTTCTTGTGTTTTGCAACAGAATCCAATAAATCAATTGGGCAGGCAAATTATTTTAGAGGGTAGATGACATTCTAATTCTAGGTTTGTTGTAAAGTCCTTCATTTATGGAGAGATTCCAAAAACTGATTCTAAGTGTGTAGGTATACCATTCCTTAAAGAATTGTTTGGTCAATATATCTGAGGCTGATTTATTGCAAACATTCCTATAGGATGAGACTCTGGATGTGAATAACGTGGCATTATCAAAGAAGATTTAAATGAATAAACGCACAGTCCAATACATTGAGGGTGGCCACTCTGTATTATATGAAAATAAGGATTAATTGGTGTAAATTTTAAACAGATTAGCATGACTTATATAAATAATTTATTCAAATGTATAAATTCCTAATACTGTTGTAAGCACTATTGTGGATTAGTGAAACAAAGAAGGTTCAGAAAAGTTTTCGTATCAGATAGCTGTCTGATTGGGAATACCTGACTAAATTTGGAGCTGAAGTTGGAGATGTCACTTATCATATCAAATTCAAACTTGTTGGATTGGAGTCTGAGGAAATGAGAGAAAGGAAATTCCCCATTCTTTTTGAGTTGTATTTAGATGAAGAGTGGCCAGAAGCATTGGAGAAGCAAAGTTGCGAGGTAAGTATATTCTTAATTAATTAGAGATAATCCTTGGCCAGAAGAAAAGAGACTATTCAAGTGCCTGGGAATGGAGAATTTTCTTAAGTGTACACAGGGAATATTAAAGCCAAACTAAGAGCTCATATGTGGTATTATGCCATATCGGATTGCCATCGAAGATTAAGGGATGAATTCAAGGAAGATTAGTATAAACGAGTTAAATTAGAAGTGGATATTCACATAAAGAATGTTGGTAAGACTGAATTTTCAGTTGAACAGTTCGGAATTCAATATTTCATGATTGTGGTAGTTTTGGTTGACATTGTGATGTTGGTTTATAATGGCTATTACATTGTCTAAAGACATGAAAAGTATGAGGAATTCAGCTTAGCATTGTTTCTGTTGGTCGTCACTCTTTTCCTTGAAGCAATCTCCTACAGTGTGAATCTATTGCACTTATGGTTTTACAGTAATGATGGACAAGGAGTGCTTTTCCTTCATGTGGCTTCAGTTATTGTATAGGTAAATCTTATTAATAAATGCAGGTTGCATCTCAATTCTCTTTAACAATGATATTAGTGATGTTGTCTTGGGGTTGGCAAATCAGTTTCACTAAATTTGAAAATTTCGAAATATTTCTGCCCTTATCACTATTAATAGCATTCTTTTAATTGACTATCGTAGGAGTTGGTTTTATAGATTATGATGCTTACTATAAGGATCACTCTTATGAAGGATGGGTCGGTTGGTTGGCATCCTTTATATTTATTGGAGAATTCATCTACTTTATGAATGGATTGTCTAACACATATAAAAAGAGTAATGGAGCCGTTTAATAATTCATATTGATGCTTGGAATCTATGGAGGAATTTACTTCATCAGTTTCCCAGTTCTCCAGACTGTCAATTTGGTACTATTATTAAAATAACTGCATAGGTTGTTGCCAGATACCTTAGACACAAAGTAATGGAAATTGGTACAATATCGTTGAGGACTGCTGCTATTCTACTTCTGACTCATTTGTTTACATCTAAAAAATCCCTATTTGCTAAAATATCATATGATAGCAAAAGTTTCTTGGATAGAAACAAGGATGAGTGAATGTTTGTGTTAATTATTATTCATATATAAAATCAAAAATACTTCTTACATAGCCATCCAGCTATTCCACAAGTAGCCAGTAAAACCCCTGCTATCTTTAGATTTTTGTAAGGGTCAACCTTAACAGGTTCTTCTGTGGTTTCAATTTAAACCTTTGATTTACTTAGTTATTGTGACTTTCTGTTTATGATAATAGTAGAATCTTAGATTATTGACTATTATTAAACTAGCTAAGGTATTTCATCGCTATCATTCAACTCAGTATCCTTTTCTTTGATATCTTCATCTACTTGTTCCTATTAATAAATGCTTTAAAATTCTTCTTTCAAAGTCATCGCACCCATTCTATTGAAACTCTAATCTGATGATTCAGATGCAAAAGAATACATATTTTTCTGATGTTTCCTTCTCCCACTATAATTTTCCCATTTCTTCTCTGAATTCTTACTACTTATTATTGGAAATGCTGATTTATAATACCATGGCTACTTATGGGATCTCTATTCAGGACGTTTATCATCCTCATCTGAAGAAGAATGTTTCACTTCATCTTCTTCATTTAATTCAGAGAAAGCCCTGAGATCCTCTTCCTGTGACGAGATCTGCCTTCTTCTAATTTATTTCTCTCCTAAATTATGGTGAGTCTTAAATCTAAATGCTCCCGATGTCAATATAGGATCAACTGTTTCTACTTCCTACTATCTAGGTGAGTTCAAACTGGGATCCTTCATATTAATTTATGCTAATTCTTGTTTGATGGTGATTAATTATTAAATTCTTTCAGCCACCTGTTAACCAATATTTCCTTCATACGTTTCCAAATTTTTTTAGAACTCTTTGAGGTGCTCAAAATGAATTTAATTATGTTATACATGTATCCTCCAACTCTGAATAATTACTAACGAAGTTCTCAAGTCTATTATTCCTGTTTTAACTTACTGTTCCACTTTGATTTAATAGTCCTAAGTCTTTAATTATTTTTAATGATTTGTTTATTCGATAATTTAGATTCATCCCATGTTTTTGCAACTCATTCAAGGTAGATATATTGTTATCATAAGTAGAACGAGCCTATAAGTCTAATATTAAATCTTTTTACTTTAGAATAGCGACGTTTTAATTGCTCGTTTTACTATCTTAAAGAATCAGCTATCTTAGTAAACTCAAGATTCTCTTCTTATAATAAAACACATTTCTCCTCGCACATCTATATTCCATCATTCAGATCTTCAAATTAATGTTAAATTGATTCTTTTTTATTAAGACTCGCTAAAACCTTTTCTAACTTAGACTACTCTTATTCTCTTTAATCTAGTTTCAAAAGCACTTACTCCCTTGACTCTTTGAGTTGATCCAAAATTATAATCTTTGATTGCAATTATGGCTTTTCCTACATTATTTTTTGACTTGATATTAACACTTGTGAACTAATTAAAGTATTCTGATATTCATTTTATTAAAATCTACGAGAGTAAATTTTAATAAACTATTTCAACATCTCATCTAGTGATTGGTTTGAATTTTATATTTATTCATGCTTACTAATATATATTGTTAGTAATTAAACTAAGTCTTGCTACTAGCTTAAACTTAGGTGATTCATTTATGAATTATTTTTATTATTCAATTATACATAAAAATCTCAATAATTAAGTCTCATTTATAATTAGTTAATGATAACTATTCTAATTTCATATTATAAAGAACCTTCCAGACATAAGTCAATCCATCTTAATCTACTAATTTCTTTCAATAAATTAAAATGTTGAGATAATTCATCAATTTAATTAATACTTTAATTATTGAATCCAATCTCTATTATCATGTTTATATTAAAGAAAATGTTTATTAGATTCATTTTATCATAGTTAATAATCAATTTTACAATTTTTAGATATTCTCTCACTTTTTATAATTTCACGTTTCTAAATTCTATATTTTCTTCTTTTCTTCATGACACAAGTCATTTCAAAAGTATAATCTATATAGATTTCATCATAACATTTATAAAGGATATTTGTAATAATATTTTTATACCATATTGATAGCTTAGCAATCAACTTTATATATATATTATAATAGATCATATCTTGCGAATCTCAAATAGCTAAACTTTACTGTTTTGTTTGTATTGTAAGAGAGGATCAACATTTTAAGGATCTTTAATATGGAATGGTAATTCTGAGTAATATGTAATGGCCATTTTATATTCTCTACATAGATCTTGTACCTTTTCTTTTTCTTACAATTCCAATAATTAAGATAGATCACTATAAATTAAAATCAATCTTCCTTTAGTGGAATCCAATGACTCAATCTACAGGTATCTGTTAGCAAACTCAAAGATCGATTTTAACATTATTCCTTCTGGATCTGTGACTGTATTTTCAATCAAATCATCAACACGCAATTTAGATGCTTAGATCCATGGTGGATTAGCAATAATCAAATTGAATTTGGCTGGGTATCTAGAAATTATAATAATATGTTACTTGAAAACAGTCAACTAATACTATAAGGTCTCTATGTCTGTGATGTCTCCTTGTTCTGCAGTGTAATTCTTATATTCCAAACATTATGAATTGATTTTTGCAGATTTAACCGCATTCTCAACGTTGTCTAATGAATAGATATTGATTTCTTTATCCTTTAAGCTTCTCAATAGGACGTCATTTGCTATGAATCCAAGCACTCCAGTTCCACAACCCAAATCAATCACATTGTAGAGGGAAGAATGAGTCCTATAAGAAAATGGTTATCAATATTACACATCATGTATTTTAACTAATTTCTGCATATATGAATGGAATAAGACCTAATATTGTCTTTGAGTGGGAGGGAAAACACCATATAATGCATAGATCTTTTTATAGTTCAAAAATTCTATTGCCACTCCTTCTTTTTCGTAATTATAAGCAGTTACGATCCCCTGATAAGCACTAAAAGGCAATAAGTAATTGTATTTGCGATATCCTATTTGACTGATATTATTAGGTTGTTCTTCCAAGTGATATTTCAAATCTCCACATTCTGGCAATGTGCCTTGTATTCTGACTTCTCCATTGTAGCTGACAACGAGACACATCCTTGAAAGCATAAGTTTTTATTGATTCTGAATATGTCTATAGAGATTAAATATGTCTTTGGGGCCTTTGCATTTTGAGAATGGATTGCGAGGTCTTTTGGGTGTTCCAAAAAATTACAAATCGATTTACTTTTTGGTTGCCTAGTAAATCTCGATTGCATTCCTTAAATGCATCTTTTCGCAATCAAATATAATCAACGAATTCATATCCTTTTTAAAAAGACTCTTAATGAAGTTGGATCCAACTCCATCCACCAAGAAATATGCATTGGTGATACTTTCTAATTGTTTTTGTTTTAGGTATGGATTCCTTGTCATTTTTAGTAATCCATAGTTTGTATCAAATAGTCCATCTTGATAGTGAATGTTGACTGGCTCTATTTTAATTAAGGAACAAAAATATAGCCTAGAGAATCTATTAATCATAAATAAATTATTTAATATACCACTACTTACAACAAATGAAACTAAAACTACGATATAAAAACTCTTTTGCAGAGAAGTGCATTGCTTATAAACTGAAACATTTTAACACGTTTGATTTCGAATGCAAAATTAAATTATCATAAATAATTTTGTACAATAAAATATTTGTTACGCATTATTGAGTTTAAAAACATTATCGCCCAATATATTTTATATTTAAAACCCTCTCTAATTCAATAATAAATATATTAGCCTATTAGTATCTTCGGAAGAAACTTAAGGAATATTACTTTGCATTTTCAAACTTTAAACTCAGATATTCTGATTAAAATTTCGATAAATATTTTTATTATATCAATAATCACTTAGGAAACTTAGTTAAAATGAATATTTAAGCGTATCCAATGGCAATNTTCCAAACATTATGAATTGATTTTTGCAGATTTAACCGCATTCTCAACGTTGTCTAATGAATAGATATTGATTTCTTTATCCTTTAAGCTTCTCAATAGGACGTCATTTGCTATGAATCCAAGCACTCCAGTTCCACAACCCAAATCAATCACATTGTAGAGGGAAGAATGAGTCCTATAAGAAAATGGTTATCAATATTACACATCATGTATTTTAACTAATTTCTGCATATATGAATGGAATAAGACCTAATATTGTCTTTGAGTGGGAGGGAAAACACCATATAATGCATAGATCTTTTTATAGTTCAAAAATTCTATTGCCACTCCTTCTTTTTCGTAATTATAAGCAGTTACGATCCCCTGATAAGCACTAAAAGGCAATAAGTAATTGTATTTGCGATATCCTATTTGACTGATATTATTAGGTTGTTCTTCCAAGTGATATTTCAAATCTCCACATTCTGGCAATGTGCCTTGTATTCTGACTTCTCCATTGTAGCTGACAACGAGACACATCCTTGAAAGCATAAGTTTTTATTGATTCTGAATATGTCTATAGAGATTAAATATGTCTTTGGGGCCTTTGCATTTTGAGAATGGATTGCGAGGTCTTTTGGGTGTTCCAAAAAATTACAAATCGATTTACTTTTTGGTTGCCTAGTAAATCTCGATTGCATTCCTTAAATGCATCTTTTCGCAATCAAATATAATCAACGAATTCATATCCTTTTTAAAAAGACTCTTAATGAAGTTGGATCCAACTCCATCCACCAAGAAATATGCATTGGTGATACTTTCTAATTGTTTTTGTTTTAGGTATGGATTCCTTGTCATTTTTAGTAATCCATAGTTTGTATCAAATAGTCCATCTTGATAGTGAATGTTGACTGGCTCTATTTTAATTAAGGAACAAAAATATAGCCTAGAGAATCTATTAATCATAAATAAATTATTTAATATACCACTACTTACAACAAATGAAACTAAAACTACGATATAAAAACTCTTTTGCAGAGAAGTGCATTGCTTATAAACTGAAACATTTTAACACGTTTGATTTCGAATGCAAAATTAAATTATCATAAATAATTTTGTACAATAAAATATTTGTTACGCATTATTGAGTTTAAAAACATTATCGCCCAATATATTTTATATTTAAAACCCTCTCTAATTCAATAATAAATATATTAGCCTATTAGTATCTTCGGAAGAAACTTAAGGAATATTACTTTGCATTTTCAAACTTTAAACTCAGATATTCTGATTAAAATTTCGATAAATATTTTTATTATATCAATAATCACTTAGGAAACTTAGTTAAAATGAATATTTAAGCGTATCCAATGGCAATCACAAGTTAAAAAGTCTTGAAGACTCAAGGAGACAGTTCAGAAAATGTGATACCCGATTCTGATCAAGAAGATAACTTGTAGAGTCCTTTTTTAAAAGAAACACCATCTTCTTCATCCAAACCTCTCAAACATATACGGTTTAGCGGAACCAATTAATTGTGCTATTTTCCCAAAAATGGCAAAAAAGATCTCTCACCATCACCAACCAGAAAAAGCCAGCAATCGATTCAATCAATACTCAAAAACAAAGAGAAAGTAATTTTCTTCACCCAAGAAAAATGATTTATAGTTATGTTAAACTGATTTTCATTATTTGACTAAACTTGACTTCTACATCTAAATGTAGGTTAAATATAAAAAATCAATAAATTAGGGAAATATTTAGAATTGGCATTTTAATAATTATTATAATTTATATTAACAAAATGCAGAAATAATAAAATAAAAGACTTAGATGAATATTGTGTCATCCTTACATAGATTTTTTGACAAGTTTCCTATTGTTGGGAATAGATGATTAATCTGACCTGATCAAGTTATCATCTTCTTCAGACTAGTTTAATAAATGAGGAGTATTACCATTTAAGAATTCTTTAACTATAAAAATATTGAGGATGTTTAAAGCTCTTAACGAAAAGCATTCTAATAATTAATTATTGTGATTACTTATTTCATAGCCAAAAGACAAGTGCCCAATTATACAGGAGTCAGGCACTCCTTCAGTTGTTCCCACATTTAATCCACCTTGTTGGCTTCACCTTGTATTATTTTTAGTTGAACTTTAATGTTCTATATAGAACTAGAATGGCTAGAATGATAAATTTACTCAGATATTGTATTTCTGACACTTTACAATTTAGATTTCATTTTCTTTACTTTAACAATCTGCTCTGGCTTTATTTCGGTCTTCTTAAATACATCCTTCATCCAGTCAGTATAATCACTAATATAAGATCTTTAGTACTCAGGTTGTTATGCAAAGAAATCTTTGTCTTGTTCTAATGCATAAATAAGGTATTTGGTTTATATTGGCAAACACACTTCAACCATGGAGTCAAAGTATTGTCTAGCAGCCTCATTTCTCTCTTAACTGTTAGAATTGGTTCTATATCTCAAGGCATCTAGGACCATTGCTATTTCAAAATTATCCTTATTTTTGAGTAAACAAGTTTCTAATTTATCAAATAATTATTATTATTAATCCAAAAAAGTTTAAAACTAGATTTTGCAAATTAATATACTTTCTCTTAAAATTTGTTGCAAATTTCAGTGTATTTTGTTTGGTTTCGATTTGATTCTTTTACTTTGTCCAACTCATCCTAAAGCTCCTTCACTTTGGTTTCCAATAATTCATAATAAATTTTCTTTCTTGCTCTTGAATTTCTCGCTGATTCTCTATTCTTGGCCAACTTTTACTGTACAGGGTCCATGTTACCATCAGGACTCATTTGACTTGACTATAACTCATTGGAGGAAACATCGAAATGATCCCTTGAAATTATGGGTGATTTTCTCTGAAGTTTTTGTTGACTCTTCCTATTGATATAATTTTCATATATTACGACAATCTGGGGGATGATTTGGTAGCAAAATCAACTTTCTTTTAGGTCTATTCAACCAATTGAGTAATCTTATTTGTATATATGCTCTTGGCTTGATTCACATTAAACAAATTCTTATTCTCCTAAATAATGTTGGAGTTTAAAAGTAGTTTAACTTCGGGTTTGAACTTTGAACTTATCTACTCGCCTGATTCTAAACAAACTTTAGATGAGCAATCTACCTATTTTGATGTCGAATTCATGAGATGATTATTAGCTGCTTTTCATTCCACTATCAAATGATGGCGCCTTGTGTTCTTTAGAATCCTCTTAAATTTTAGGTTGTATATTCAATCTGTCAATTCCAATCTCTTCAAACTGCATCTCGAAATCGCCACTGCTCCTAAAAAATACTCCCTTTTATATTTAAGGTTCTTAATATTCTTAGATTTAAATTGGAGCAACCACATCTTCTAAACCAACAGAAGATCGATATTACTCATTTTACACAATAAACCCTGAATTCTATGCAAAACTTCCCCCTCCATTTCCACCAAAACTTTGATTGTCCTAATTCAATTTGCCAAAACTCGCTCCTAAACTAATGGGTATTAATCATCAAGTTCATTACTTGTCATTAAAACTGCCGAATCCACTTTAATTTTGCTGAGAAATTTCACTTTTATATTAGGCAAAGAAATCGCTCATTTCAATTATAAATATATATTAATTAAATGAATTCTAACAAAATTCAACCAACTTAACATATTAATACTATTAGGATCAAGCAAGGTCTTGAGCAACTACATCTTGTTAATGAAAACTAAATTACTAAAAATAGAAAATACCTAAAATTAATTAATATGGTTATATCTATAGAAATCAACTTACTCTTTTTGATGTCTTCTTGATATCATACTAGAATTTATAAGGGATAAAAAAATTGGAGTTCTTCTAAATTATGCTTATAATATGAAATATATATGATCATTATTCATGAAAAAAAGTAGTTGTCACTTCAACCTCCTTATTGTTTGAAGTCTTGATACTTTCTGTCTATTAGGTTTTGCTCAAAGAATTATTAAAGTCAATTAGATTTTGTAATCTCTCTATTTGTTTCTTCTTTTCCTAAAAATACTTTTGTCAATATTAACTTCTCTAATTTATGCTTTCTACTCCTTATTGAATTTCTTATGCTTCTCATTTCTCAATTTGATGTATTCTTCTTTTCGTTTCTATTTAGCCCCAAACATCCCAGTCAAATACTCCTTTCTCTCCTTTTCATCAAAAACAGCTGCCGTCTTTGTCCTGCTGATCTATTTGAATTAGTTTTTCTTTGTTGAAAAATTTCTATTCTTGTTTTTCTTCCCCATATTAAAAAATAAATTATAAAATAATTGTCATTAAAATTCACTTTACTATTCACCTTGACCTTATTTAAAATCTAAGTCCTCAGGTATAACCATAAAATTTTTCATTTATTAAATATGCTATTTTCTGACTGTCCCAGGTAGTCCATTTATTATCCATGGATGGATCAAAGCTTCTTCAGGTGTCATTCTCTAATTTGGATTCCATCTCAGACATTTAGTGACAAACTTATTTATATGGATCATAATTACATCTTGATATTGGGGATCTGCTTTTTGTAAGTGTTAATTAAGTGTTTTAATTTACTATAATAAATCTCCATCCTTTATTTTATAGTTGAGTTAACATTTATCATCAAAAAATTTAGATTTTCTAGATCCTTATTCAATCAAATCTTTTGGAGGCATGCCTATAACTTTGATTTATAGGAATAACAATTCCTTTTCTGATTTGGATTAAAATAAGGATTCGCCAGTAAAGAGTTCTGCAATTATGCATCCGAAACTCCACATATCTATTTAGGTAGAATACTCCAGGCCTAGAACTATCTCAGGAGCTCTGTAAAATCTACTCTAATAAACTATTGATTTAAGAATTTACTTGAATGTAGGAGTATATCTTTTGATTGGTGAAACAACTGGATCCGAAGTCTATAATTCGTATGCCAGATCTGTTGATATCTTTCAGGAGTATGTTTTCTGGCTTCAGATCACAATGGATGATGTTGCATTCCTTTAAGTAAAGAAGACCTTGAAGGATTTATATTGCAAATCTTCTGATTAAATCGAGATCGAAGCCAATGAAATCATTTATGGCAATGAATTCATAGAGATTACAACTTAAAAGCTCGAAGACCATGCACTTCCTAAATTAATACATCGGACTTACAATATGACCGCGAAATTCGAAATAGTTCAACATCTTGATCAGACAACAAGAGACATCTGCTTTGTTTACTATCCTGAGGATTTCTATTTCGATTAGAGCCTACTTATAGAATTTTTCTTTGTTCTTAATAATCTTCAGAGCAACTTGTTGATTATGTTTATGATCCGCAACTTTAAACACATACCCAAAACTTCCATGTCCCAGTTTCTCCAACATCTCATATCGGTATGCTATTTAATCTTATTTCGTGAATATGTAATCTCCACTAGACATATTAATTAAATAGAATATACTCTTGTGTATCAAATCCATTGTTGTATTAAGTATTCACAGTGTCTTTTTGACTCTAACTCATCTGTCTTGGAGCCAAATAATAAATGGTTTCGTAATCGATGATCTCTTTCTTTTCGAAGTCATTCAAAAGATCAGAATAACTCTACAGGACAACCAAGGCTGATTAGGGTAACTGTGGTTTTGTGTTCTATTAGAAATTGTGGGATTCTGATTTTTCCACAAAGGAGATTACAGGGAATGATGATTTTTGGGGTCTTGGTTTAATATTCTTTGCCAGTTTGAGTTACAAGGAGATTATTTTCTATTTATTTTTCTCTAATTAAAGTATTTTATCTGAAACACTCAAATTTGTATTTTAGAAAGAAGCTTTGCTTTTTGAGTTTTCTACTTTACTATATTTAACATCTGGACTAGTTTTGATGTTTTGTTTGGGAGACTGAGGTAAAGTGTTGGAATTTATTTGTGTGTTTATTCCTAAAATATATATATTTCCCTTAATACTTTTGGTTTAATCGAGGAGTGCATGTTTTTCTTACTCACTGCCTAACAGGGCCTTCAATTAGTATTAATAGGACTTTTGAATTGCTCGTTTTTAGGAGTCGAATTATTTTAATTCATCTATGATAGATGATAAATTTGTACTGTTATTACTCAGACTGATAGGTTTGCTGGCCTTTGTTGATTCAGGAGGTGATTTAATGCTTTACCTCTAATTAACTCTACTTGTTATCGGTTGATACTCTTTGAGAAGATGTCTTGAGTTTTATCGATTGAAATTGCTTTTGTATGGGCTTTTTCCCAAAACATCAAAACTGCTGGTCTTCTTTTTTAAATCTTGGGCTTTGTGTATAATACTAGCCTTGGTTTTAGATTAATTGCACGTCAGGTTCAATAAGCTTAACTATTATTTCATACTTGTTTCACTTTTTTAATGATTATTAAAGTAATTTAATTCAAGAGTAAAATTAATTGAATAATAGATTTAATTAATTATGCGATCGTATCTACACTTTAATTCCTATGAAAATCAAAAAACAAGTCAAACTCTCCATTAACAATAACCTAATTAATCAATAATCTTATCAAGTTAAGTAAATATGTGATCAATACCCCTACAGTAGTAAAATAATTATTCATTCAAGTCTAATTTCAATAGGTTAATTATGTTTTCAATGAGATTTTCACATTCTACATTTATTTATAAATTCATTATTCCTTTACTTAATTAATTTTAGCTCTTCAATTAAATAGTTTTAGTTTTAAATGAAATGAAATGATAAATCTGAATATAGAATAATGTATATCATAGATAATTCTCAATCCAATTTGTATATAACTTTTAATATAATATCATGAATTCAAAATCAATAATAAAGTTGAATTTTTGGAACCTTTTAATCTAAACAAATAGACAATTCCATCCTAATTGGAGTAATTATAAACAAATGATAATTGCTTCATTATTTCTAATTATTGGTTTAGAAATGAAATTAAAAAATAATTCATATTTAAATTTGATCAAGAATTTAAATGCAATTTAACACCATACTTTTGAAGTAGAGAATTGGAAATGATGCATGGTTGATTATTTTTTATATATATTAATCGATATGGATATTAATTGTATAGATATGATTTATTGGTAGTTTAGAACATTCTATTTGAAATTTCATTTTTTAATTGTTCTAGATTATTCAAGAAAAATCTAGATCTTTTAATCTGGTTGATTAAGAACACAATAGGAAATTCAATTAGAATTAATTTAATGTTCCCATTTGTTAGTAATATATTTAGATCTGACCTCCCACTTTTCATTTTTGAAGATATCTTTGTTCCAGGACCAGGGATCAGAGTGGGAGTCCCAAGACCACCTTACACAAATCAATAGTTTAGAGATCAAGTTCCAAAGGTATATATAAGTAAATCCTATAGTAGCCACCCAATTTGTAGAAAATGCAAAGTGTGAAAAAATCACTCGCCGATTACTCAGAGACATAGGGACAATATTGGTGCATATTGGGGGATATGTCCTTTGAAAAGGGAGATTATACTAAGGCAATTTAATTTTATGACAGAGCCATTGAATTGACAGATGGCACAGAAAGTTCTTTTTTCAGATCAAGAGGTTTGGCCTATAAAAAGTTGGGGAATTTAGAACAGGTAAAAGCATTAATGTATGTATTCATAGGCGTATAAGGACGCAATTATGGCAATTGAGTTGGATGATAAAAATATCAAAGCTCATTTATTGTGTGGATAAGTATTGGCAGAAAGAGGGAAGTCGCAGGATAACACTCATGATATCGAGACAGCTATTCATAGGTTGACTAAGGCCAGAACTTTATGTGCAGGATAGAAGAAACAATATTATGAGGATGAATTGAGTAAGTACATCTATAGAGCAAAAAAGTTACTTTGGTACAAGAATAAAGAGTTGGAAGATCATAAAAAGAGATAAGCAATCGACAATTACACAAAGTATTTACAATAAAGAGAAGACTTGAATGAGGAGGAAAGATAGAAGGAAATTCATGCATTTATTAATTCTATTGGAAATCCGAATTAAAAATAGAATTACGATATTCCAAGTTATTTGATATGCAAAATCACATTTGTAAATATAGTTGTACTATTGAAATAGGAAATTATGGAGAACCCAGTAGTTACAGATGCAGGTCAAACTTATGAGAGAGATATGTTAATTGAAGCAATTTAGAAAAATGGACCTGTTGATCCTTGTACAAGGTAACCTATCAGCGGAGAGTTTTATCCAAACCATAATATCAAACAAGCAACCTAGGATTTCCTACTTAATAACCCATGGGCTTTTGAGTTTTAATCTGGTGAAAACTATGCAGACATAGAATTTTGATTATAATTTATTATGCATTATAATCTGTTTATTAACTTTATTTGATGAGGGTAACTGTATTGATATTGGCAATTTGGTAGTTGGGACCATATCATATAACAATAAGGTAGTGATTCAATTATTATCTTTATTTAAGATGAGAGGCATTTGAACAATAGTTATTATTGGAATTTAAGATTTCAACTGTTAAATAGGGTTTAACTATCAACATTATTTGCTGAGGTAAAGAATAACACATTACAGATATATCGATCATTGTAAATGCTTACAAGGATTTCAGAAAGATGAATGTGTATGTTGCTAATGAAATAAGAGGAATTTGAATTGAAAGGAACCTTTGAAAATTTAATAGAATTATTGAATTAGATAGAGAAGGAAATCTATAAAAAGGCTAGTCTAATTTGGAGTTAAATTCTCTAAATTGAAAGTCAGGGTTGAAAAAGAGAATGGTGTATTCAATTTTAAGATGGTCTCAAACTGTAAATTAATAGTTAATTTCTATTGCATATTTAAAATTAATTGACTACTTAATATGGTAGAGTCGATAAGTATCAGACATGATTGGAAGAAATAGAATATAGATATAGATATTTGATGGCTGAAGAGAATTTGCGATATAAATAGGAATAGGTTGATGAGAGAATGGAATTGTTTGATTGACTGATTTAGCCAAATTAAAGTGCCAATTTTATGAGAAAACCAATCGTAATGATGGTGATAGTGAAAATGTTGATAATGGATAATCTGGATAAGTAGGAAGATTTTATCAGACGTTAGGTACAAATTGGAAATGAGTAGTATTGGAGTAATTGATTATACGCCATTAAAGAAGTACCTAATTCATGGACATCCTTAGTAGAGGAGGGAAACGATTCAAACCAAGAGGGAGATCATTAAGAATTTAAATAATATACAGGATTTTATTTATAAATTCCCACTATAAATAGTATTTATTGTAAATAGATATCAAATAATGTTTTGGGAGCGATCATAATGGATTATACACCCTATGAAGAAAGGATATGGGTTGGAATTTCTTGTTGTATAGGAAATTAGTATAGATTCATGAGAGTCATAATAAATTAAGGAATAGTACTAGAAAATGATTTATATAAATTAAATTACATGTTGTTCCTTATATAATGGAGAATGGAATGTTCACGTTAACAGTTCCGGTATAGTCTAGTGGTTAGGATATCAGGTTCTCACCCTGGGGACCCGGGTTCAATCCCCGGTATCGGAATAATTTTTTATTTTTATATAAATGTTAAAATGAATTAATTTCTTCTTGAAAGCTTTTTGAAAATTTATTTTTATGAATTAAAGTTGGAGATAAAAGTTTGAGAAAGATAAGTAGTATCCGAGACATCCGATGGCTCACAAAAATGGTAAATGCGCAATGTCTATATTGAAAAGGTGGTGTTCATATGAATTAGGAGGATGATACAAAGCTATTTTAGATAGCAGGAGCAATGCTAAAATAAATTGGTTCAAAAATAGCTAAGGGAGATTTCAATTTAGCTACTATTCCAAAACCCATCTGTTTAACAGCTCCCAAAACAGCTAATGAGTGCTTGACATTGTATATTTTTAATAGCAATAAGTGATCACGACTATGCCCACATTTATCTGACAGAGGCAGCAAAGTGCAAGGATCCCCTCTAGAGAATGCAATTGGTAGTGGCAAATGAAATTGCCTATCTACATGGGACCCACACTTATTTGAGGTCATTGGCACCCATCGATCCTATGGTTGGAGAGACATGCCAAAAAGTGAAGGAGGATGGCACTGCATTTTATTGTGAATTCATCAAGGCAGACCCTCCAACAACATTATATTAAATCTATGGAGATGGGTGGTAAATCTATGGCTCAGAAGAAGTGTTGGCTGAAATCCATCCGACCATAACTTAGATCATTGGTAAGAATCTTAAACCGAAATACATAAAATTTGCAGATGGAAAACTGTATGAAATAAAAGTACCAGCTATGATTATCAATGGGTTAATGAAGGGAGATCGAATTTTAAATAAATTGGATAGTTTCACAATAAAGTGTGTGTAAGACAAATTGGTTGCTCAAATCAATTTCAGTTATGTGTATGAAGGGAGTGCTTAGAAGATCAAAAACAAGCTGATGTTTTGGTCTCAGTAATAGAAACCACTTTCAGATTTGGTGGATGTTAAAATAAATAAATTAATTAATGTAATAATAATATTATTAAAAAAGACTGATGATGACGATGAAGATCAAGTGTTCACCTTATCAAAAGGCTCAGGGTCATGGCTGTCTCATTTTGAAATTGATGGCGAAGTAGTGTGGAGAATAGATGATCCCATCTAACCATGGAAGGAACCAGCCTATATACTACCAAGTGATTCAATTTATAGAGAGGACAAAGCACTGATGTTGAAGGGAGATGACGAAGCGGCTCAAAGGTATTTGTGATGTGTCAATAGTTACAGTTCTCGTAATAAGATTGAGGAGCTTGGATTAAAAGATTAGAATTTAAGAAGAAAGAGGAAATGAGATATATTTGATAAAATGTAAAGTTAGATGAATTCTAATCATTATGACTATTCTTTCATTCTTCATTTCATTCTCTTCTCATCACATTTTCTAATGTAACTCTATGGTGACGATTTCAGAATCAAATTATAACTTCTGCTAAATTAATTTGATTTGAAGACTTCAACAAAGTATTGATGCTCCGATTGTGAATTCAGAAATATATACATTCAAATTTTCTTATAATACCATAGAATCAATTATTCTCATTCTAATTCGTAGTTAAGCCATTATAATAAAGATTTATTGTATCATAGTATCATCAATATTTTAATAAACTTGAAGAAACAAAATTGATTCTATTATAAGTTTTTAGAGAGCGTAATACATAATATAATACATGGTAGGTGTATAATTTAGGCTTTATCCAATATTTTCAATGTAAAATCAGAAAATAGGTGCGAAATGTTTGAAAAGCCCTTCAATTAAATTGCAATTCATTTGTTAAATAGTATGTGGGAAGTCGCGCGGCTAAGCTACTAACATTTGGAGCTATTTGATATTGATTGGGTATATTTAATGTTATATCTTCATCTGGCATATTTTTTGAATCGATCTTAGACTTAAAAAATCCAAAATCCAATGGTATTAATTTCCATATTGATCTAATTCCGTGTTCCAAATTCTAATTCTATATTATTAAGGAAAGACTAATCAGAATATTTTTTTATTTATTTTATAAATATTGTGTAAAAAATTGAATTTAAATAACCAATAAATCTTCATCTTTATTAAGATTTCAACTGGACTATCCTTATAAATTGATTTAGGTTTCTTATTTGTACTTTAGTAAAGTGCTTATATAATTCAGTAAGAAAGTTCACTTGTTCTTAAGAGATTTATAGTCATATGCTTTATTAGTTTTGATAAATCAAAATTAAATATTAAAATCCAAAGTTCTAATTTAGATATTGATTTACCAATTTCTTAAAACCATAATATTATTTAAAAGGTCTTTTAAACTTTAGAAAATTTAGGGAAATTTCTAAAATTACTATTGATGAGGAGCATTATTAAAAGGTAAAATTTCAAACGTTATTCAAATATTGAAAAATAATGAATACACTTTTATTCCATTAACCAGCATAATTTTAAGATGAAAAAGAATGAAATTCAAAGATTTGCAATTGAAAAATATTGAATATTTAATTTATCTTATGAATGATTCAATCATAGTATCAATTCAACTTTGTATAAAAGTTTTTAGAATAGGCCTGATGATTTGATTCTTTAGGTTGCTGTCATTGAGGTTGAAGTTTTGGTAATTTTAAGATATTATTAAGTATTTGTAGTTAACAAATACTTTGCTGATAGCCTTACAGTATTAGTTTTCCCTACATTACATTAGATATTAGAATATGTGTACTATTATTGAATGTCTCGCGTACAAAATATTTGTATCTTTAATTATTAATTTTCTAAGCATTTCCAAAAATAATTAATTTTTATTGATTAAATACCTTCAGGGATTTTAATTTCTTCTTCTACATTTTGATTTTAATTGTAGTTCATTTTAAATTTCCACATGATTCTCTATTTCACTTTTCGTATCAAAATAATTAGTTTGTGTTAAGCCTTCAAATATTGCTAGATCAAAATATGCACCATTTATACAAAAATAATTGTATTAGATTGATAAAATTATTGAGTCATGCCCTTAAATAATAATTTATTTATTACATGGGTAAAATCCAAGATCTATTTAGGTAGTATATGAAACTCTTCCAGATAACCTTATGTTAAAATCAGTTCCATCATGAAAAAGCCCAAGAAGATTTGGATGACACATTGTAGTTTCCCATCCTGATGGAAAATTCACAGTTTGACTTGAACCATAAGGTAAGGTACTTGTGATTGTTGGTCCTACTAAAACTAGATCAGATGAGGCCAATAATATTTAATCACCAAATTATTTAAGATTGCTGTAGAGACTTATAGTCACAGTTTGATCTGTTAATGATAATCCCTATATAATATAATTTTTATACCGTTAAATTATTAAATTAAGGTCCTTCAGCATAATAACTAACAAAATTAGCTATGGCCACATTTATCTTCAAATTTTTAATATATGAATGAGTATATTACTAAAATGGATTAGTGATATTTAAATGGTTTATAACTTAAACGCTGTCATCATTAAAAGCAAACCAATTTAAATTGATTCCAAAATATAACCAAGGACTCTCACCAACTGTCTTCATTGTGAAACCTAAATATAAGTTTATCAATTTACCAAGTGTGGTGATGCTTGTTATATCTAGTGAATATCCTTGAGGAAATTATAGTGCCATATCCAATAAAGCGATATTTAAGTAAACATCTGGTATTGAGGAGAATTCTTATGCAAATGGAACAAAAAATTCCTCTGACCTAAATTTCATTGAAGAAGCAAATAAAATTAAAGACAGATTTTATGCATAATTGAATTGAGTGAAGTATCCTGACTCGAATTAATGACCAGCGTTTACAGAAAATATTTATAAAGCTAATTGAAGTATTAGCATAATAATTTATTAATAAGTTAGATACATTTATTTGAATTAAATATTTCTAACCTAAGAGTGGGTTAATCTATAGAGGTTTAATAATAAATTTCAAGATTTAAAGAGGACAATTATATATATATGTAGACTATAGACTAAATTTTGTAAATTTAGGATAAAAATCTGAAATCACCATTGGTTGGGTTCCAAATCTCCTTCTATAAATTATATCAAAGTTATTCAGTGAATTTATATTAATCTTCAAATAAGAAAATTTGAGTGAAAATTACGGATAGTAGGTAACGATTAATTGATACTGATTAACTAGTCAATAAAAATTGGAATGTAAATATTCTATTGTGACTTAATGCTATTTCTATTAAACTAAGATCTAATTATATTTGTTAAATTCATGATAAGTACTAAAAATAATTTTGAATAATAATCAGAGTCTTATTCATTAAAAGTATAAGATTAAAGAATTTGGATTAAGAAACCTATAAACTCCTCATTNATTTATACAAAAATAATTGTATTAGATTGATAAAATTATTGAGTCATGCCCTTAAATAATAATTTATTTATTACATGGGTAAAATCCAAGATCTATTTAGGTAGTATATGAAACTCTTCCAGATAACCTTATGTTAAAATCAGTTCCATCATGAAAAAGCCCAAGAAGATTTGGATGACACATTGTAGTTTCCCATCCTGATGGAAAATTCACAGTTTGACTTGAACCATAAGGTAAGGTACTTGTGATTGTTGGTCCTACTAAAACTAGATCAGATGAGGCCAATAATATTTAATCACCAAATTATTTAAGATTGCTGTAGAGACTTATAGTCACAGTTTGATCTGTTAATGATAATCCCTATATAATATAATTTTTATACCGTTAAATTATTAAATTAAGGTCCTTCAGCATAATAACTAACAAAATTAGCTATGGCCACATTTATCTTCAAATTTTTAATATATGAATGAGTATATTACTAAAATGGATTAGTGATATTTAAATGGTTTATAACTTAAACGCTGTCATCATTAAAAGCAAACCAATTTAAATTGATTCCAAAATATAACCAAGGACTCTCACCAACTGTCTTCATTGTGAAACCTAAATATAAGTTTATCAATTTACCAAGTGTGGTGATGCTTGTTATATCTAGTGAATATCCTTGAGGAAATTATAGTGCCATATCCAATAAAGCGATATTTAAGTAAACATCTGGTATTGAGGAGAATTCTTATGCAAATGGAACAAAAAATTCCTCTGACCTAAATTTCATTGAAGAAGCAAATAAAATTAAAGACAGATTTTATGCATAATTGAATTGAGTGAAGTATCCTGACTCGAATTAATGACCAGCGTTTACAGAAAATATTTATAAAGCTAATTGAAGTATTAGCATAATAATTTATTAATAAGTTAGATACATTTATTTGAATTAAATATTTCTAACCTAAGAGTGGGTTAATCTATAGAGGTTTAATAATAAATTTCAAGATTTAAAGAGGACAATTATATATATATGTAGACTATAGACTAAATTTTGTAAATTTAGGATAAAAATCTGAAATCACCATTGGTTGGGTTCCAAATCTCCTTCTATAAATTATATCAAAGTTATTCAGTGAATTTATATTAATCTTCAAATAAGAAAATTTGAGTGAAAATTACGGATAGTAGGTAACGATTAATTGATACTGATTAACTAGTCAATAAAAATTGGAATGTAAATATTCTATTGTGACTTAATGCTATTTCTATTAAACTAAGATCTAATTATATTTGTTAAATTCATGATAAGTACTAAAAATAATTTTGAATAATAATCAGAGTCTTATTCATTAAAAGTATAAGATTAAAGAATTTGGATTAAGAAACCTATAAACTCCTCATTAAATACCTTCAAATTAATTTTCTATTAAAGCGAAGTTAATTAAGTTTAATAGTTAAAATCAGGGTCTATTCAATGTTTAATTTAGATTTCTCTTTATTCCCAATCAGACTTAATATTAAATTCAATTCTCAAGTTACCTTATTTAAATTCGATATTTTGGAGCAATCTAAAATTATAATGAAGTTTAAAAGAGTGATACTCATAATTTCTTAATTATTTGCTCTATATCATTTCAGTTAATGAAGATCATATATTTCAATTTTATTTAACTTTTTATTCCTATTTTCAAGATTATTTCATCTAAGCTCAATTTAATTATTTATTAATTTTATATTTCTCTATTTTATTATCAATTTGTAATATAAATGCTACTTTGTAGCCTCATTAATCCAGATTAAATATTAGGAATGTACAAAATTGAAAACACCATAGGTATACTTTACCCTATTGATTAAATAGTATACAATAAATTTATTAAATTATAGAAATACAGATTATCTTGAATGAGAATTTAGTTGTACCATTAAATTTTAAAATGCTTGAATTAAATAATAGGGTGTATTTGTTATATTAATTTATTGATTTTAATTCTTGAATTATATTATAGATCATCCATCTAATACAAGATTATTGCAATAATAAATTATCTGGCTCTAAAAGAATAAACTCTCTATTAATCAGGATATTCAAATAGATTAATTAAATGATGAATATGATGAGAATTAATCCATTTAGAATACAAAATCAAATGTCTGCATTAACTCAAGTCCACTAATTATTGCAATGGCCTGGTTAAATAATTCATAGTGACCTTCAATATTCTGATGCTTTGAATCTAATAATAAATAATTTATTAATATATTTGTCTATCCCTGTATAGACTTCATCTTTTAAGTGTCCAACAAGAATAAATCATGCTTATTTAATTGCTTCATTAGTGTCTTCTCAAGGTTGGAAAAAGTTAGTATTTCATATAAATTTAATTTCATTTTGATAAATTGATAAGGTAAATTCACAAGTTCTTTTCAAATTATATTCTATCTAACGCACTCGATTTTGGCTAAACTTTCCTAATTTTGATAATTATAAAAATTTGTATTTATATAAAAATTAATCAAAACCATGGGTAATTGTGTGACAAACAGAACAAAAATATAAACCAATCTTGAGAAACCCCAAAAGTTGTACATTCACCAAGCCTTTATGAGACACACACTTACAAACCCAGAGTATAGTTTATTATGAAAATTGCTAGATCTCGTAAGTAACTATTGTTATTTGAAGACAATTTCATTGACATGTTCGATGAAAGTCCCATTTTGGGTTAAAGCATGTATTGGTTTTTGTTAGGACTGCAAAATAATGAGTAGAAGGGGATCGAATATGAAACAATGCTCCAAATATCAGAAGTCTTCATTTTGGGTAAATCAGAAAATGAAATATTAAGATTACCAAACAGAGTTTCTTTAATTGTATTAATAGTCTCCCTGTTTGGTAATTTGAATATCAAGGATGCGATCAAACAATTTGCATCAATGGAAATCACCTATTTATAGACAACCAAATGCATGCAAGTGTTTATCAATATGATGTTGAGAAAGCAGAATGTGAATGAACAGCCGATCAAATCATTTGTAGATTCATTATTCCAAAAAGTTAATGGCAATGTTCCCATCTTGTAGTTAATTAAGTTTTTTGATAATTACATGGCATAGTTAGAAGAAATTGTTGAAGATTATTATTACAATAAATTTCTAGGAGAATAGAAATTATTTCGTAATCCCCAATTGTAACATCCCTCTCACATCTTAAATCAAGAATGGATAGCATTTATGTATTTGAGTTTCATGCACAAAGAGTCTAACAAACTGGAACTACTCTACTCCACCAATGTTCATGAGAGGAACTTTGAGTTATTGTCTCATCTTCTTACTGAATGTTAAACAAGTGTATTATTCTTAATCTAGTGTGAAGAAGCTAATCGTAAGTATATTTTTGGAGCATATACGAATTTTGAATGGAAAGATGATGCTCAGCCTAATGGTAGCAAGGAAGATTGCATATTTTAAATGTTCCCATAATTCAAGGTGTACAAAACAAAAAATGATAAATTTACTCGATCTCAGTGTACATATCTAAATTCAAAGCACCCAGAATTAAAACAAGGCATTGGATTTGGAGGAGAATTGGCAAAGGAATTTAGACTTTTCCTAAATTAGGATCTCCTTAATGTATAATGCAAAAATCATGATAAAACCTATGAACCTGGAGAGTTGATGCCTCTCAAATAAGCCAAAGTATCTATCCTCGAAATTTGGACTATTTAACAGATTTAAGGTACTACATAATTTAAAGATTTGATTTATCAAAAAATTGATGAATAAATTGAACTAGAAGAATTCGAAAACCCATTAGTTCATTTAGATGAAGATATCAGTTCCTATAGATCTGGTGATCATCCATCCCTTAATTAGTCTATTCAGTAATTACAAGAGAAGGATTCATGCGATTGGGATGGATAGAGTTAGAATGGATTTGAAGAAGAGATCATTATAAGAGGAGATGGGTTTGAAGAAGTGAAGAAGAATGAACAAGGATTCGAAGTTATTCCTTTGAATGAAGCAAGTGTATATCAATTTAAGTATATTTAATTTAGATCAATAAAAAGAGTACAAATGTGTAAAAATTAGAAAAGGCACCGTAACCTCAATTACAGGAAGACAATCAATTTGAAGAAGTTCTGATCAAAACATCCTAATCTATGGACTCCTCTGCACTTTAAATGGTGTACAATGTTGTTTCAGGAACATTTGGACAAGTTGAATCAGATGATAAGTATTTGTATTATCAATCAAAAAAGTTGGAATGGGGATAACTCTGATTGGAAAGGTAATGGATCCACTACTGCCAAACAAAGTAGAGTTCAATTAAGTAAGGATCTGGCTACAATCACTGAGGAACTTAAGGAATCTACCAATACCCAATATTGATTGCATTAAATAATATATTTAATACTAAAGTTAAGAAATCAATTAATAAAACTCATTTTACACAAATTTGTTTTTAATACGATATTTTATATTCCTCATATTCCTAAATTAAGAAATCCCAATTTTGGAGCTACAAATTAAGTTGATTACTTACTTAATTGTTTGTATAGCATCTCATGTTGTCTAAATAATATTGAATTTCATTAAGCAGTTTATCGGTTTCAATTATGAATTGTTATTCATATTATTCATTGAATTTATTAAGCATGTAGACATATTGATCTCTTTTTTCATCTACATAGAAGGTGTCTTTTGGTAACATGATTTCTTTGGCATATTTCAAATCATTAAAACATTTATTGATATCAACCTTAAGCTATTATTCTTAATTCAATCCCCATTTTTACAGATCCTCTATATGAAATATAAATTGCATTTACTTATTACGAATAAATCTTCCTTCCTTTTTTCAAGGAGGTTGAATTCATTTGAAAAGTTTTAAAAAGTCTCAAAGAGATTTGTCTTCAATTCAGTTAATTGCTATCTGGAATTCTTGAATTTAACTAAAGTTATCAAGAGGACATCCATGATTTATTTGGTCGACCTTAAGACAAAGTCTTTTTGAGTTTGCTATCTAAATAATGGATTCAAATTACAAAATAGGATTTAATCATACACAGAGCTTTTCCAAATTCTTAAGCTTCTGTATATTATGGAAGTGAATTGCACAACGATTAAATCATTTCTATTGAGTAACCCAGACTTTATTGACCTTTATATGTGAATTCAGCAAATTGTTCCAAATATTTTTAGATGATCTCATAATTTCCTTATTCTCCATTTAAATACACTTAATAGTCCTTGTATTTTTGATATTGATTTTAATTGAATGAAAAAGTCAGAGTGCCAGTTTTAGATTGCTTCTAACTCAAGTTATATTATTTTTAGAGAACTTGTTCTTTGTAAAATTTCTATTAAAATTGCTTCGAATTTTCTTCATTTAAAAAAAGCAAACTTGAAAGGACTGTTCTGATAATCGGTTTTTTGTTGTATATCTAGAGGAATACCTAAATAAAAGTAATCGATGAACTTTACATTCAAGACTTTGACAATGTTTTATTGCTCTTTCATGATAATATCATAGTCATTGATGTCGTTGTAAGGAAAGGAAGGAATCTAAATAAGAGAATAGTTTACAATGTACTCTGGAAATGCCGCTGAGAGTATGTTTCTGAGTTGAATGAAATCCTGAAGTGTTCTTCTGACCTTCCATTCCATTGGAAGAATTTGAATTGGGAATACAATGGTTTTTGAAAAAAAATCTAGAATGCCACCTCCTTCTTGAATGGGACTTGAATGTTATTAGAATAAAATACGGACTGATGTCAAATTAGAGTTCGATGTTTTCATCTATAAAAAAATACATTTATTTGCAAGTGACAGTCTTCTCAAATGGAATCAAGGCTATTTTATCAGTCTAATGATAGGTAGTACAATGATATACGATTTTGATGGATTCCAAGGTTTATTTTTGGACAAAAGTATCTCGATCTATAATTTGAATTTGATCAGAAATGTCTGGAGAATCAAGTTCGACTATTTGATATGAATCTGATTATTGTTCTTTTTCTGCATAATAATTAGATTTTGATACTCTCTTATTGATATAGCTGGATGATTTTCAATAATTCCTCATATGTCCATTGAGTTAGATCTTAACCTAAAGAATTGAAAGGATTTTGAACCTTTGTTGGGTTCTTTGTGCAATACAAAGTCTTCAAAATCATCCTGATTATAGCCCTTGCTTATGATTTCATCGACTAATAACTATTACTCTTTTGTAAATGTTTAACTCATAATTAATAAATCAAAATCCGTATTAAATTTTCTTATCGTAGAATCTCTTATATATTTGACTATTGAACATAATTGCCACAACTGATGCCATGAAGGGAGTACAAGTAAACACCCACAAGAATCCAAATCTACCCCATGTGCCATCCTAAATACATTCGAATAATTCCAAACTTGAAAATACTTTCATTTGAATACCTAAAAGCAAATGCTGGATTGAAGAGTGACTGTCCTTAAGATGTCAAGACACGAGCTGCACCAAATCCCAAAGTCACAACCAGAGCATGTTCTAATTTGTCATCCGAGAATTTCAAGTAATCGTCTTCCTGCAATACCAATACTATCATAAACAACATGGAGCCGAACAATTCGCCTTCAACTGACTATTTACTTATTGAATATATTCTAATACGCCAATTAAATTGTCACCAATTTTGGCATCCAAATAAGGTGCATTAGTGAAATCCTATAAAACAAAGAAGCACACCATGGCACCCAATAGACTGCCTCCGACTTAACCAATTACATTGAATATAAATTCTTGGAATCCAATTCTTGCCATGAGTAAATCAATGAAGCTAACAGCAGGATTGAATACAGTTAGACGATCTGTCATTAGTACACTTAAGAAGAATATGACTAAGATGGCCGTGTTATTGCCTGCTGATGCCAAAATACCATAAGTAAAAATGAATGATCCAATTGATGCAATTAGAGTTGATTTGATTATTGTTTGTTTCTCTAAATGTGTACCAGATAATTGTCCAACAGAAGGAGACGAGTCAAATCTAGTGTAAGCCGCCTAAGATTCTCCTTCCACATTCACATCACTTTCGAATCTTTGCATATTTGTATATTATTTATAATAATTCCATAAAAACATAAATCAATACCATCATTTACCCCACTAATTGAGTTTAATTGTCCCCAAAATAAGTGCATCTACATAGTAATATGTATTTAGACTGATTTTGCTATCCTGAAAAATAGTGTCCATCGATTTCTTAACAAAATCCTTTACTTATTTTTTATATACAAAATATCAGAAAATAACAATAACAGACTAAATAGTATATTCTTACGATTCAATTTGAAATAGAGACTTATTCTAAAGAAATTGATACTAATATAACAATTGAATAGCATAGCTAAAGAGCTGATTGCTTAAACAAATAAATTGTTTCAAAACAATATGCAAAACTATAAAGTTTGAGCAGAATTCATTTTAAAATGTAATTAAATTTTATGAAATACCAAATATTCTTTCCATTTTTTGATAAGAATTACCAAAATGATCCTACATAATTTCAATAGTTCATTCTATACTTCAAATCAAAACTTTAATAGAGTACTTTCATAAATTTAAAGTTAGATCCCAAAATAAATTTTAGTAGATTTTGAATAGATATCAACACTCTCGAATTAAAATTAAAAAGCAAGTGTTTTTGATTAAATAATCACATAAATACACAAGAAATTTTATCAATAACAGAATTCATCACAAAATTCCTTAAATTTAGTTGATTTTTATTAGTTGATATATTATGCAATTCAACATTATCATATGTCACGAAATAAAGCAATTAGCTTTGATGGCGTATCTGACAATTTTATTAGGAATTGTAAAAATGTCCATATTTTTTGTGATATATGGAAATAATCTACAATTGAAACCAACTACACATGCTGTAGAGCAAGACTAGTACCCTTAAACAAGGTTTTCCCCGATATCCCTACTAAAACTTAGTTTCGACCTATTACAATTCTAAGTCCCCTATTTAAGCTGCTTGAATTAAGATTTCTGCCAAGACTATAACAATATTTGTCCACTCGCTTATCTAAAGGTCAAGCAGGATTCATTCCTGGTTCATCTACTCAAATAAATATCATCAGACTCTTAAATACTTTAACTGGTTACAAGAAATAGGATAAAATGGATTGCATCTTTATTGATTTTAGCAATGCCTTCAATAGCATAAATAGATAAAGACTATTTAATATTTTATCTGCTAAATCAATTTTGGATGGCATCGAAATAAAATTCCTTAATCACCTCTATACAAATCTCCATTATATTTGCCCATAAATGAATACCACATTTTACTTCTAAAACGGTGTTCCTCAAGGATCTCCACTGTCTCCCGCACTTTTTAATATATATCTTGAAGATTTTTTAGCTTCATTAAAACAAAACTGTAATTTTAATTATACTTCCTATGAATTTGCGGACGACATTGTAATTATTATTGCTCATAGAAATATCCAATCCTTTTTATAAAAGTTGGTTTTAATTTCTGAAGAATATGAACTTAGATTAAACTAGAAAAAATGTGGAATCTTTTTCATCCAAAATCATAAGCGCTGTTAATATAACAATATATAAGGATTTCCTATTGTGAAATCTTATAAATACCTCGGAATAAATATATTGAACAATGGAAAAATAAGTCTATAGCTTGATAAAGTAGAATAAACTCTAAAATTTTTAAGTGGAAAGTTGCTATGGGTTTCTTAAAAACTTAATTGGAAGCAGAAATATTAATTATTCTAAACTTTTCTCCTTCCACACATACTCTATATTTGTCCTTCAATCCCAACCTAGAAATACAAAAACATATTTCAACGCTTATAAAAATTATATAAATCTAGCTTTAAAAAGGTTTGTGGATTTCCTAAATGCTTACCTAACGAATTTTTAGATTTGATATTACCCCCTCTAGAACTTCTTATAGCAAAGCATACAAATAAGGTTATCAGTAGGATGAACAACGGAAACTTTGGTTAAACTACTTTTATCAATAATTACTTTAACGAGATAGAAGAAATGAATTAAAATTCAATATACAAATTTCTCCCNGATGTCACGAAATAAAGCAATTAGCTTTGATGGTGTATCTGACAATTTTATTAGGAATTGTAAAAATGTCCATATTTTTTGTGATATATGGAAATAATCTACAATTGAAACCAACTACGCATGCTGTAGAGCAAGACTAGTACCCTTAAACAAGGTTTTCCCCGATATCCCTACTAAAACTTAGTTTCGACCTATTACAATTCTAAGTCCCCTATTTAAGCTGCTTGAATTAAGATTTCTGCCAAGACTATAACAATATTTGTCCACTCGCTTATCTAAAGGTCAAGCAGGATTCATTCCTGGTTCATCTACTCAAATAAATATCATCAGACTCTTAAATACTTTAACTGGTTACAAGAAATAGGATAAAATGGATTGCATCTTTATTGATTTTAGCAATGCCTTCAATAGCATAAATAGATAAAGACTATTTAATATTTTATCTGCTAAATCAATTTTGGATGGCATCGAAATAAAATTCCTTAATCACCTCTATACAAATCTCCATTATATTTGCCCATAAATGAATACCACATTTTACTTCTAAAACGGTGTTCCTCAAGGATCTCCACTGTCTCCCGCACTTTTTAATATATATCTTGAAGATTTTTTAGCTTCATTAAAACAAAACTGTAATTTTAATTATACTTCCTATGAATTTGCGGACGACATTGTAATTATTATTACTCATAGAAATATCCAGTCCTTTTTATAAAAGTTGGTTTTAATTTCTAAAGAATATGAAATTAGATTAAACTAGAAAAAATGTGGATAAGCGCTGTTAATATAACAATAAATAAGGATTTCCTTATGTGAAATCTTATAAATACTTCGGAATAAATATATTGAACAATGGAAAAATAAGTCTATAGCTTGATAAAGTAGAATAAACTCTAAAATTTTTAAGTGGAAAGTTGCTATGGGTTTCTTAAAAACTAAACTGGAAGCAAAAATATTAATTATTCTAAACTTTTCTCCTTCCACACATACTCTATATTTGTCCTTCAATCCCAACCTAGAAATACAAAAACATATTTCAACGCTTATAAAAATTATATAAATCTAGCTTTAAAAAGGTTTGTGGATTTCCTAATTGCTTACCTAACGAATTTTTAGATCTGATATTACCCCCTCTAGAACTTCTTATAGCAAAGCATACAACTAAGGTTACCAGTAGGATGAACAACGGAAACTTTGGTTAAATTATTTTTATCAATAATTACTTTAACGAGATAGAAGAAATGAATTAAAATTCAATTTACAAATTTCTCCCCAATAATTTTAATTAGCTGTTCTACCTATACCCTAAAATCTGTAGGACCCANCTTACCTAACTTAGTATCATATCAAATGGTCAAAAATTTCGCCCTTTAAAACTTCCTTCTTTACCCCCCTTAAATACGCTTGATATAACCGAGCTACAAAGAAGGATGTCACGAAATAAAGCAATTAGCTTTGATGGCGTATCTGACAATTTTATTAGGAATTGTAAAAATGTCCATATTTTTTGTGATATATGGAAATAATCTACAATTGAAACCAACTACGCATGCTGTAGAGCAAGACTAGTACCCTTAAACAAGGTTTTCCCCGATATCCCTACTAAAACTTAGTTTCGACCTATTACAATTCTAAGTCCCCTATTTAAGCTGCTTGAATTAAGATTTCTGCCAAGACTATAACAATATTTGTCCACTCGCTTATCTAAAGGTCAAGCAGGATTCATTCCTGGTTCATCTACTCAAATAAATATCATCAGACTCTTAAATACTTTAACTGGTTACAAGAAATAGGATAAAATGGATTGCATCTTTATTGATTTTAGCAATGCCTTCAATAGCATAAATAGATAAAGACTATTTAATATTTTATCTGCTAAATCAATTTTGGATGGCATCGAAATAAAATTCCTTAATCACCTCTATACAAATCTCCATTATATTTGCCCATAAATGAATACCACATTTTACTTCTAAAACGGTGTTCCTCAAGGATCTCCACTGTCTCCCGCACTTTTTAATATATATCTTGAAGATTTTTTAGCTTCATTAAAACAAAACTGTAATTTTAATTATACTTCCTATGAATTTGCGGACGACATTGTAATTATTATTGCTCATAGAAATATCCAATCCTTTTTATAAAAGTTGGTTTTAATTTCTGAAGAATATGAACTTAGATTAAACTAGAAAAAATGTGGAATCTTTTTCATCCAAAATCATAAGCGCTGTTAATATAACAATATATAAGGATTTCCTATTGTGAAATCTTATAAATACCTCGGAATAAATATATTGAACAATGGAAAAATAAGTCTATAGCTTGATAAAGTAGAATAAACTCTAAAATTTTTAAGTGGAAAGTTGCTATGGGTTTCTTAAAAACTTAATTGGAAGCAGAAATATTAATTATTCTAAACTTTTCTCCTTCCACACATACTCTATATTTGTCCTTCAATCCCAACCTAGAAATACAAAAACATATTTCAACGCTTATAAAAATTATATAAATCTAGCTTTAAAAAGGTTTGTGGATTTCCTAAATGCTTACCTAACGAATTTTTAGATTTGATATTACCCCCTCTAGAACTTCTTATAGCAAAGCATACAAATAAGGTTATCAGTAGGATGAACAACGGAAACTTTGGTTAAACTACTTTTATCAATAATTACTTTAACGAGATAGAAGAAATGAATTAAAATTCAATATACAAATTTCTCCCCAATAATTTTAATTAGCTGTTCTACCTGTACCCTAAAATCTGTAGGACCCACTAATGTAATCTTTCATACCGCCATATAATAAATTTCCATTCCAATTTCCATATTTCAGAGTTTTTAATAAATCTAAGAGGCATCTTCAATAATAATTAGTAAATACAATAACCAAAAAACTAATGTAATAGATTGGAAAAAATAATTGCAAAGCTTTTAACTGAATGATTGAGTTATTTTTATGTTAAATAGAATAATAATAATAATAATAATAATAATAATAACATTATCATAATAATAAATTTAATCAATGTTTTCTACATAGAACCACTAATTATAACTGCTTATGGCTCCAAATTACAGTTCATAAATGTAAGGATAACTAATTAAAAACCATAATTCAGCATTTCTGTAAATCATGTTCATCAATATTTTATTAATTATTTTATTATTCCGATGCTTTCTTATCATAATTTAGCCCAAAGTGATTATCAAAAGGAAAAGGATATTCCAGTTACAAACCCCTTACACAAACCGAAACAAAACAGCCTCAATATCTTAACCTCTCCTGTGCCTCACCCCTTCAACACATTGCTCCCATCCAATCTGTAATCTTGATTTTCTTAGTTTCTATAGTCTATAACACCAACCACTTGATAATGATCGACAATCGTAAACATATAATCATTCTTAGATAGAGGTCCAATCTCTCCCAAAAAGATCAATCCTATAGCTACATCCCTATCTTAACCAATCCTCATGAACAAATGCTGCTAGAGTAATAGCAACATCTGATGGATCAAGGTGAAGATCTAAAGTAATGAATCATTCCACTTTTATTAAGATCCCAAAACAAGAAATTGGTATTCGAGAACAATTCACTAAAAAAATTGGTGGAGCAGCTCTCCTTAGAATTGTACATATATGTATCTAACTACTCTAGGCAGTCTTATAGGATCCAGAAATCATAGGAACTAGAAATGAAAGCTAAAATAGACTATTAGGAAGAAATGATTGTCAAACTTAAATCGGAAGTCAGAAGAAAAGCAGATCTTATATAAGAGAACTAATTTAAGGTAAATGAATTGGACCGTTTACAAAACAAATTAGAAGAGTATTCGGGCTTAACTAAGAAATATTAAGAATAGGTCATATTAATTTAATAACTGAAAGAATAAGCTCAAGATCTAAATAGGGAATTAATTCAATATCAAAGCACTGAAAATGAGAATCACAATCTAAAGGAATACATAGAAGCATATAAACAATAAATAAGAGACAAAGATGTTAAAATATAACAACAAAGGGAGCAATAGGAATAATTGTTTTCAGATAATAAAAAAATGAAATCTACTTTAGATGTCCTTAACTTTGAGTTCAAAAAAGCACAAGATGGTTATAATGAATCCTTGCACAGAGCTACCATTTAAAATACAGAATTGCAAGGATAACTAAGTTTACTCCAAAAAAATTTAACCAATCAAACTCATCAAATTGAATTACAAAAATAATAGGTAAAATAACTAGAACTCAAAGAAAAGGAATTATACACTACCAAAAATCAATACTTAAAATTAGACGAAAAGTTTTAAGCCTAAACACAATAAACCATTAAATGTAATACTTATATCTTGATATTTAGAAACTAAAGAAATTGATAAACTTCATATGACCTTAAAAAATGGCAAATAAGAATACTTGAATTTACAATAAAAATTAATGCATTTAGAATAAGAAAATAAGAGATTATCTGAATAGTCTCTGCAATTATCCAAATCTAAAAATTAACTTGAATTACAATGCTAATAATTAGATTAAGAATTAATTAAAAAACAAGGAACCTTAGACACTCTCTAATTAAAGTAAATGGAATTGAAATCTAATTTTGAAAAGTGTTAAGGATAGATGCAAGGATTAGAAAACGAACTCAAAAAGAAAGATACTATCATACTCAATTTGGAATAATAGCTTTAAGCATAAAAAGGATAACTAGAATAAATTACACATATTGATACATAAAACAAAAGTGAAATTAATCATAATTTTGCAAAAATGAAGGAAATGCACAATGATCTTATCTTGTATGAAAAATAAGTAAAGTAAATCAATTCAGGTAATAATAATCTTATGATTTAAAGAAAATTATTAACTCAAATAATAAAATTAGATCATAATTGAGAGAAATGCCTAATAAGAAAACGAAATGAAAAAGATGAGAGTAATCTATCATATTTTAATTTAGGAATAAATAATGCATTAGGATAATCGTATAAGATACTTAGAAAATGAAATCCATAACTAATCTTTTTAATAAAAATTGACTACAGCAAGACCTATTTAATCTTAAGAAAAAGGATTCCAAAATCAATATCCTTCTTCTCAACAAAATACCCTTCAAGGATCCTTTAATAATCAATTCAATTAATATAAATGATTATCTACAAATTTTAGGTTAATATATATATTAATTAATGACCTTTCTAATGTATATATTTCTCAGATTAATATTACTTATGCATTACATTTCTTTTAATAAAGATGGTGTATGAATTAATAGTAATAGTATATCTTCATGAATTTAAATCTATAACAAAATTAGAGTGATTCCATTTAAGAAAATAAATGAATAGTTTAAATCTATCAATATTTAATATGGATATCATTTTGTAAGTATTTAAAATCTACCAATAAAAAAGTCTTCTATTATTGTAGACTAAATCAGAAATTTTTTAAGTGAATCTAATCTTGGCCAAATTGAAATTTTCACCATAAAAATTCACTTCCAATAAGTTTTTTTTTTACAATTAGCTAGAGAAGGATGACAAATCGTAATTGAATGAAGTCCAGGCTCAGAATCAAATAGATTTTATTCTAAAGGTTTTAGTAAATTAATTGAATAATATAAATTGCTCCAAGATAAATTATTTGTATTTGTTTTTTTTAATAAAATAATGGCAGACTTTTGGAAACCTACAGCTGATTTGTATAGTGCTCTATTTGAAAAGCCAAAAATGACATAGAAACTACTTGAAAAACCACCTTTTAAATATATATTCGATATTATAATGGAAACAACTAAATTAACAGGTTTCCAATTTAAATTTTTTTTAGGTTTTATAAATGGTCTTTATACAGATGATGAATTAGATGTTACTTACTATGATAATAAACAAAAAAAGCTTATGTTCCTATAAAAGATAATAGAGTTGACATCCATGATGTTAAAGGAAGAAATTGCTGCTAAGCCTGGTAAAATAGCTGCAGGGTTGGAACCAGAGAATACAAATCTATTATTGTAAGCTATTTATAGAGCAGCCGTAAGTGGTAAAAATAGTGCTCCTTATATAGAAGATGTATTTTAAATATATAGGATTTAGGTTCTAGCAATTATAGGGGCAAATCCAAAAGATTAAGAAGTTTAAGCTCAAGCAATTTATAATTGCAAACCTATTTAATAATAAATTCCTAACGAATCTAAGCTATTACCATATCAAATAATACAAAAATAGTAGCAATAAATTCAAGAATTAGAAAATGAACTAAAATAAAAAAATGAGATAATTCTATAATCTTAATCAGCTTGAAATTAAGTTTATAAAGTTTAAGATCACATTATTTATATATAACAATTTCAATTTTGTTCAATATGGATAAACATTCAGTTACTTTTTTAGTCTTTCCTAAAAATATTCTAGACTAATATCTATTCAATTTAATCTTGTAGATGGAAATAATATGAATATTATATTTGCAAAAGAATAGCTGCCTATTTAATAAAGATAGAAACTATATTCAGTATATATTTTCACTTGAATTATTATATATGAACAATTGTTATGGCTATTTCTTATGTTTGCAATTTACTGGAAATTCCAAGTACTACAATTTTCATAAATAGTGAAGGTACATTAATAGAATTGATTTTATCATTATAAAAGAGTATAACAACAATTTTATTTGCTAAATTAAAATTCTTTTTTTAATATTTCCAATTTCTTAATTTGTATTTTGAATGCATATTTACAAGTTTTATTTTATTAGTAATAATCATTGCTAAAACTTGTGAAAATTTCCTAAATTATGCTATTACTAATTTATATTATAAATATTAACTAAGAAATGAATAATAACCCAATAATAAATTGTTAAAGCTACATTCATCTTCATAAGAAACATTTCAAAAGGTGTACTTTACAATATCATGACTTTAATTATCTTAAATAATAAAATCAATAAAATTATATAAAATAATAAAATTAGATTAAAAATATATTTCTAGATACTTGCAATATTAAATTAATAGCTATTATTATTTTAAAAGAATGTAAAAATAATTGAATTAAAAAGTTGAGATCAAAATAAGAGTTGATAGCCTCCCCTCGATAGAAGCAATCTCAAGCACAAAGTCTAAAACCTAATTAAAAAAAATATTTAGACACTCAGAACTTCCATAGGTTCCTTTTCAACCAATTTTAGATTCTACTGGATAATAAAGAAAATTAACAATAGATCACTCCGACCAAGTAGCTGAGTCAAAATAAATAATCTCAACTACTAGAAAATCTCCTAAATTATCAAAATATTAATCTCCCTAATTCTTTTCAAGAAAAATGCAGTTTAGAAATAATTCCTTAATTAATTTAAACTTGGAAGTAGTTATACAAATAAAGGAAACTCCTTTCAAAGATACTACTTTATTTTAGATAGTTAATAAAATAAGTCAAAAAATGAATTAGTTACATGAGTATAAGAATGAGAAGGCAATTCTTTCGGCAGCTGATAAATTAATTAAATCTCACATACGATTTTAAGAAATAGAATGGATTTTCAAGAATTTCAAACTAAAAGATTGGTAATCTGTGGATACAATTTTTGTTCGAATACTTCAAAATTTTACGATCAATAATGACAATAAATTAATTTAAAAAAAAAATAAACCAGATTAATTCTTCTTATAAGTTCTTCATGATTTTTTAGATAAATTAGAAGATCTATTCAAAAAATTATGTGATGATTCTTATCGTTTGTTAGAATAAACTATACTAAATTAAAAATAAAAATTACTAAGTATTTTTTCATAATAATTCTTAAGATAAGGAAGTTGAGGTGATGGAACAATTTTCAAAATTAGGTAAAAAGGAGAATTATAACCAATTTAAAACAATTGTGAATGATTCTTATAAAATGAACACTAGACTGATGGAGAGTACAATAATGAAATAATTGAATGAATTTGAAGATAGATTTGGAATGTTCAAATAAATAGAAAATAGTAACAGATTCATTTCTAACAGAATAAACGATTTAGTTTATGATATTAAAACTGTAAATATTGTTTGAGTTTAATTAAATAAGGTGTTTTGTAATTAATCATAGATAAGATATACTCTTGAATTATGGCAATTATTCTAATATTATATATCCAATATCCTAATAGAACTATATTTTAAAATAGCATTTGTATTTGCTTATTAATTCATTATATTTATTTGAATAAATAATTTTTTATATTAATTGTCTGTCATTATTCGACTTTTAAGTAATGACTTAATATTTTATCATTCAGTATATGAGCAAAATCTCATCTTAATAGTATTAGTGATTTCACAATTTAAATAATAAAACATGAATATTGAATTATTATTTGTTTTTTTTAATAAAATAATGGCAGACTTTTGGAAACCTACAGCTGATTTGTATAGTGCTCTATTTGAAAAGCCAAAAATGTCATAGAAGCTACTTGAAAAACCGCCTTTTAAATATATATTTGATATTATAATGGAGACAACTAAATAAACAGGTTTCAAATTTAAATTTCCTTTAGGTTATGGAAAAGGACTTTATACAGGCGATGAATTAGATGGGAATTCGTATGATAATAAAGACAAAAAGCTTATGTTCCTATAAAAGATAATAGATTTGACATCCATGATGTTAAAGGAAGAAATTGTTGCTAAGCCTGGTAAAATAGCTGCAGGGTTGGAACCAGAGAATACAAACCTATTACTGTAAGCTATTTATAGAGCAGCCGTAAGTGGTAAAAATAGTGATCCTTTTGTTAAGAAAGTACATAGAGTTTGATAATTAATATTTAGATTTTAGGAGGAGGAGGAGCCAAAGAGCCTGAACCTTAAAAAAAAGAATAGCCTAAGCCAGAGCCCAAGGCCTAATAGCCTCCTCCAAAGGAGTAAAGTGCACCATAAGTAAAGGAAGAAAAAAAGCCTGAAGAGAAGAAGCCAGCTCAACCTAAGGAAGATCCAAAGCCAAAATAATAAGCTCAATAACCTCCCCCTTAATAGCCTAAGGAGAATTAAAAATAACAATAAGCTCCTCCTCAATAATAATAATAATAATAATAATAATAATAATAAACACAAGAAGGAAATGTAAGACCTTCAACTGCCAAAAAAAGACCACCTCAATTGCCTTCAAGTCAAGTTTAGGTTGAACAAAATCAAAAAAAAGGAGGAACAGCAAATGTAATTATTGAAGGGAAAGGAAATAATGATGATGATGATGGTATTGTAGTTCAAAGCAACGCGAAGCCAACTTCTGATATTAATGCTTAAGAATATGGTAAATTCGTTAGAGATAACATGAAAAATTAAGAGAAGGGCAAAGAGGAAGAAAAAGAGAAAGATTAACCACAAGAAGGAATTAAAATGAAGAGGATAGGAAATGTTAATTAACGAAAAGGTTATTATACAAATAATATGAATAGATAAAATCAAGGAAGAGATTGCATAGAATTTGGGAACATCATAAGTATCTGATACAATTGTGATGCAGAAATTAATCCAATCTATGAGTCAAAACGTAAATCCTTTAGCTAAATAAATTGAATTTATTTAAGATGATATTGAGAATATGAATAGGGAATTGCAATAATGGAGAAAGATCTATAATGTTTCTAAGCAGAAGATGGTTGATATGAATAGAGCAACTGAGGAGGTGAGAATGATATATTAATAATTAGGCATAATAACCGTTATATGATAAGATAGCTGAAGTTGAAGAAGTTATAAAAGAGAAAAAATCTAAGATATAAAACATCAAAGCTTAAATTATAAAAAATAAATTACAAATTGACTAATTGCTTAAGGCAGTTTTAGTTTAAAAATGAGAAAAAGTTTATACAAATTATAAATTAATTTTAAAATAAATCTGTTGCATTTCTTTGTGATTAAAAATAATTTCGAAAATAAATAAATCAAAATTTCCCTGATTTCAGAATCGCCCTCTTTGATGAGGCATCAGGTTACCTTTCTTATTTGTTTTGCATTCAACATGGATCGAATAAATGCATAAAATTTTAAAGCTTTTCTTTTGCCTTCCAATTATAAAGCACGAATTTTTTAATTTTTCTATATTTACATTAATTTATTTTCTGCATCTAAATCTTGAATTAGCCCGAAAACCCCTGGAATTTAATTAATCATTTATCTGATAGCTTCTAACTCCATACTTGTCCAATCCTCTTGTACTTTCTGTAGATTTTATAACATTTATATTTAATTGAAATGTTAAAACTTAGGCTACATTTGCAATAAAGAATAAATATTATAAGGATGAGCAAATAAAGAATCAATAATTGAATAATACTTATTTAACTCAGCTCTTACCTATTCCGAACCCCTTTATTAACAAGCTTTTTCAATAAACTTTTTATGTATTTAATTATAATAATTATAAAAGACTAAGTAGGGCAAATTAAATTCAAAATAATTTAGTTTATAAAAGTCAATTTGCGGAGGATGCATCAAATTTTATAATTGCAATTATTTAATAAAGAATATTATTCAGTTGCAGCAGTAAAGAATGACTCTGCAGGGACAGTTTCATCACAACACATATGGGCTTCCCTGAAGATCCTACAAATTTCTTCTACAAAAGATGTTGGAAAGTTGGATTAGAAGATTTTCCTAAAATTTTTATAATTAACTCCATATTTTTCAAAACATTTATAAGGACAACAAGAATGAAATATTTCCTTTAGAACTGCTAGTCTTGTTTATTGTTCTTGTCTATAAAGTTCAAGTTAAATTCTGAGGACGTAATGACCATCAACGAATTTTATCTTATTTTTTGTATAAATATTAACTTTGATATAACAACCATTTCTTTAATTACATTTTTGGTATAATTAACGTTGATTTACAATACCTTTGGTAAATTGAACATGGAATGACAATAGGGCTTCACTTTTAGTATGTTTTTTTCTAACGTCCTCCATTGGACCTAGAGATTCTACACGTTAATGTCTCGTTAGAAATAATAATTATAAAATATTATATTGATATTTAAACTCATTGTTCCTGAACAGCATTTTTGATGGCTTTAAATAATTGAGTCGCTTCTTAAATTGAAGAAAACTCTAAACAAAATCCCTAGAGTTAAACATAAATCTTCTTCGGATTGAAGGTCTTTTATTTGATCAAAGTCTTAATGAAAACTGATACTAGTCTGACTTATCTGGCTAATTGTTATTGATTCTATATTGATTATTAATTTAAAGTAATACTTATTTGACTTCTTCACAAGTTTCGATGCATCTGATAATGAACAATTTAAGAAATTCATCAGGAAGAGTTATGTTCTTGGTGAGTTGGTTCACTAATTCTAAAGTTTAGATGGTGACCTTAATCTTAATGAGGAAATCTAAATATCTAAAGAATAATAATTTAAGATTTACTCATGAACATTAACTCCGGATTAGTGTAGTTTAGTAATGATATCACTAGCTAATTGTGGATTGTGTTCAACAAGATTGTTGAATTGAGTGATGTCAATTTTATACTCAGGCTTGAATAGAGTCAAGATCATCTAGTGATCCTATGGGGAAAGCTTGGTCGATTGTGCTTGTGCTAAGTAAAATCGAAAGAGGAACGGGTTAATATTGTAATCCCAGATTGGCTGATGTATAAATTGAGGTGAAAAGTCTTCCCATTGTGGTGTTAAGATTTAGGGGATGGGTCTCAAATATTCACATGAGGCAGTTAGGGATGTATCCATTTAATCCAGCAGTTAATCTAAATCTTACCCATACTCTATCATACTGCATTGAGAATACATATTTGATATTGTTTACAATGTTCAATTCCAATTGATTGTTGCACAATTCAGTCAAACTCATTTTCTAATTGATCTGATGGACATTATACAAATACTACAACCGTATGTGTTATGGCAAGTCCTTCGATATTTATTTAAAATTAAATTACCTAATCGCGTAAACTGGATAACATGAAATTGCTAATTTCATTCATTCCCTGCTCTTTGATGGCTTTAAAGTTATCTTCAAGAGTCTTATGGATATCCACAGGGACTTTGGTGTTTGCTTACATTACAAAAGTGATTTATTGAAATAAATTACTTAAATATATTAATATATAATTTTAAATATAAATATGATTAAAAATAAAGGTTATTGGGTCTATGGAAGTGCTCTTGTGTTGGCTCTGCTTGGCACATTCAAATATACGATGAAATCTAAGCAATAAAAGTTGACAGGCCAAGTAGAATTCAGTCTACTATAATCATCCAATACTCTTGATTACAATAAGAAGCCAGCAGGCATAGTAAACAACGGGAATACATGCTTCTTGAATTCCGTGTTATAAGTACGATAAATTACATAATTAGTGGCCTTAAGTTCATAACCCAATTTCATTGAATACCTATTTGAATTAGTATAGCATATCAATGGGCAAACTACTTTAGCCTAGTAGATCTGTTTAGAATTGGCTAAAATTATGAAGTACCTAAATAGCGATTTGGAAGTGATTAATGCATCCGATTTGATTGATCTTCTATCAGAAGATGCCGATTACTCCTTTTTTTATGAGCAATAGGATTCTCACGAACTCTTCAATATGCTCATGAAGCATATTGAAGAAGCCAATAACCAGATTAATTCATTTGATCTAGCCATGTTGAGATCAAAACAAATGAAATCCAAGAATCCATTTCTTCATCACACAAAAGTTCAAATTAGGTGCAATACTTGTAACTATTCTGTAAGCATCTTCTAGTAAATGTAGTTTAACTCGCTCAAAGTAGAAAGTAACTATGCATTCCATTTCAATCTCAATCATGCACGAACAGTTTAAGAAGCAATCGATTATATCTAGAAACCTGAAACGATCACTGAATATATTTGTCTCTATTGTTCCCTTTAATTTTTGAGGAAAAAATACACATTGGCGGAACAACAGAAGATAATTGATTCATATCTCTCAGCCAACAATTACGACGAGGATTCTTTTACAATTCTTAAGAAAGTCATAGAGTAATTGAATACAATTCAAGGCAATTAAGTTTAATTGGATCCATAGAAGGCATGTCTTAAAAGAACTGTGACACGTTAGACTTACATTGCAAAATATCCAGTATTTCATAGTGCTAAATTCTTAGAAAACGTTTTGTTTTTTTGTTAACCGACTCATTGTACATCCCTATCATGGTTTGATTAAATTGGATGATCCAGTGTACTTGGATTCTAATTTTCCTGTGGCTGATAAGGAATTCACTCTCTCTGCATTAGTTTGTCATCTAGGAAATTCCAAATCAGGTGAGTATCTTAATCATCATTCTAGGTCACTACGTTGCATTCAAAAGAACATTTGCTTAAGATCTGGAATCATCAATGAGTCTAAATAAAACATATAAGAAGTGTGAATGGTATGCTATTTCTGACGTTAAAGTCGCTGCTACAAAACAACCATAGCAAGGTGAAGCGTATTTAATTTTTTATGATACATATTGATATGATATAATGATTAATATTATTATTTGTAACAATTCATTCAAATAGACATCTTTAAGAATTTGTCTTAACAATGTTAATAATATATTATAATAGTACTCTCTAAAAAAAGTTTGTAGATTAATTAATTAATAATATTTTAATCATTCTAATATATATTTATGTTTGGTAGTCGATAAAAATAGATCTGTTTTTACAATCTCTGTACTTACAATTTAATTAAACTTATCTGGATTCTTGAATTTTAAAGCTCTTAACTTCTGTGCCAACAATTCAAATTTTTTATCGTTCTAATTTGACATTACAGTATCTTATTCTAATTGTTTAGTTTTCCTCTAAGTCTCTTAAGTAGGTTCCTCATAGATTTTCATTAATGCTTGAGTTTACACAATCTCACTTGCCAATGAATCCATTTTCCTTTATTAAATAATGCTTGTGTCGTATTCAAAACATTCTTTTCTTACTTCAGGATGATCCCTCATTTATTCTAATATAATCACTCATTATGCTTACCTAGTTGTACTTATTGAATCATTCTTTATATATTCATTTAGACTTCTCTCATGTATTCATCCAGGTGAGATTGAGTGTTAATTTGAGTTTACTATTCATCATCTAATTAAATTTGATTAGTAAATTTGAGTGCCTAATCCTTCTCTATTACATCTTTATATCTCATTCGGTTCTCATGAAATTTTCGAATAGTATCTCCACAAGCATCTTCATTTTCCCTCTTATCATTAATTAATCCTTCTATTGTTTAAGGTATATGCTTCAATTACTTTTAACGTTATTCATCTAATGAGATTACTTATAATATTTACATAAATAGATATTATATTTAGCCTCGTCATCCGGATTCTATAATTGTGAAATCTTTTTTTCGATATCTTTCTTGAGATCTGCTAAACTTAAATTCTGCTTGGCTATCTACTCGTATTCCTATTTTAAATCATAAACCTTCTTTTTTGCTATCGTAGCTTAATTTTGCTACTTAGTCATTGGAGAAATAGAAGGTGATTGAATGTCATTTCTCAAAGTAGATTTACTTGATTTTGAAGTATTTTTCTTCTTTTTATTGCTGGGATCCTCATCATCCCAATCATAATCATAATCGTCATCATCATTATTGTTAGCTGCTTCCTAAAATTTAGAAAGTTTGGTTTTAACTCTTTGTAATTTTGCTTAAGGTGTATTACTATTAGTATTGTTACTGCTCTAATCTTCAAATTTGGTTTTCTTACTCCCTTGTTTCCTACCAGGAGGCTAAAGGGGAGTATTATTTTATTGAGGAGTTCCACTGCTATTAATCAATGATTAATTTTGTGATGGTTAATAGCTCCTTAATTAAATATCTTGTAAGTTTGTTCTATTTCTTAATTATTACTAATAAATCTATTAAGCAGAAGAATTCTCAACAATATTTTGATTACTATCTTAACGTTGAAGATTTAATTTAATTAATCTATCTTCATTGTTATTACTACTTGATTATTCCTACTAATATTATTATTATTAATTTGATATCTATTTTTGCATAGGTTATTAAACTATATTCTATGATGAATTTTGCTATTACTAATAGTCTTAAGTTTATTCTTATTCTTTATATTAAGATTATTATGTTTTTTCTCTTTGATTTTATTTATTAAGTTGTGGTTATTGTTATGATTATAATTATTATGAACCTGATTATTTTGATTTCTTTGATCTTTCTGTTTGTTTTGGATCAGACTTCTTTGAACTTTCAGTCGGCTGTTTAATTGTTCTCTTTGTGATTACATTGACGACATTTCCATTTTCATCAATTTTTTCTTGGATCTCTTCTACAACTTATTCATCTTCTTTATCTGTTTATTCATCATATTCATCTTAATGAGGTACTTCCTCAACCGATATGTTTGGAGAATAAACTTCCTTATTTTCATTATCTCTATCACTACTATCTCTATTCCCATATTTGAGACTCTTATAAGTTCCATATGACTATGATGAACCTTCAGGTTAATTTGGTTGTTATTCATCCTGATTTGATCTTTTAGTTTTGCTTCTATATGGATCAGATCTTTATGTACCTTATTAACTGGAGATTTAAATTTGCTAACCTTTTTCAGATTAATTTTAAGTTTAATCAGTTTTTTACTTGACTTATGGTCTTCTTATATTGAAATTGGTTTCTGTTTATCCTTATTTAATTTGATCAGATTCATAATTGATATTAGTTGGTGGATTATGAGATCGAAATGTATTTTACTATTTTTCACTAGATTCATCAAAGTCAATCAAATCTCTGGATGTGTTTTTACCTGATTGTAATGGTTAGGATTATTTCTTAGTGAATATTTGTTCCCGTTATTTCTTCTGATCGTCAATCACAGTTTATAGAAATTGCAACTCTTCGTCGATTTCTTTAGAATTGGCTCTTTCCTAAAGATTCATCTTATGAGAAGCTAGAAATTGTTTTCGCTCATCTTCAGACATATTTTTGATCATAGTAGATTGCTTGGATCTTTTAGAATTATCCTATAGTTTATAGCTTTTCCTTGATTTCTCTAATTTCGATGGAGCATTTTCTTCATAAAATTTCAAATAATCAATTTAATCTTTATTATGAGTTATTTTAGGTGGTTTCATTGGATATCTAGTTTCCTCCAAATAGATCTTTTTATTTGGTTCATTTTGCATAATAGTAGTGGATTACTTAAGTAACTTGGATGATAATTTATTAATTGGATGCTTAAGTAGAATATTAGTGACTTCATCTAGCTGTTTTTCAATTTGATCAGGAGGTATTTGAGCTTATTATAATTATTGTGAAATCTATTAGATAATATTAGCAATTTATTCTTCATTCAATCTTTTATCATTGAGAGAAACTTGGCTCTCAATTTTAAAAGTATGATCAAGATGAGAAATATCTCGATTGTAAGAGAGATGTCTGCGAGCCTCTTCTGGAACATCTTCACTTTTTAAGACAGGAATGCTTTATGTTACTTTCTCTTAATCATCAGAGTCAACATCCAAGTAATTGAATGTAGAAGGTTGATCCATAATTGGAGTTGGATTTTTGTGAATGTTAATGAGATTAGATACTAGATTTTAAGTTATCTTTTAGACAGTTTCAGATTCAACTTAGGAGAGAGTCTGAGAATGTTAAGATTCTTCTCCTCCTTGAATTTTCTTTTAATCCATTACTCTTTATAATATTTGGCTGAATTTCATTTCATAATAATTCTATCTCTCAAATTACATATCGTCACTTACATCTAGTTCTTTTGCCGATGATCTGGCCTTCTATTCTTCATTTAATTTATAAGCACTCTTTCTCATGGTTTCAGTTTATTTCTTTTCAAGACTTAATTAATTTGAATGATGATTAGATGAGGAAGATGCCAATTAATTTGACCTATTGACACTGGATTTCATTGTTTTACTTGTTTTATTTTGTAATTATGATACCATAGATAAACTTTATTAAACCTTAGACTTGCTGGTATCTTCAATATCAGGTTAAAAGTATGGTTATTAGAGTTGTTGAGTATCATTGTCAGATCTTTGAGCAATCTATTATTTAGCTTATTCTAAGAATTTTAAGGTTGGTAATAGTTTATTCTAATCTTAGGTCTTCTCCTTGCTATGTTCAGTCTCATTACCTTTTGTAACAAGTGAACTAGATCTGATTTATTGTAAGATAGATTGCATTTCAGTGGATTGTTCTTAAATCAGTGTTTCTTCTATTTATTTCTATTTTAAATCTATTTTTGTTTTGTTAGTTACATCTTCTAGTTCAGGTTCATCTTCATAATTGTTAAATTTATATTCAGTAACACTTACATTGGGCAATGATTTGACGTACATGGATCTAATGATTGATACTTCTTAAATTGAACTTAACTCGTTGAAATTGTCAGGATTATCAATCCCTGGAGGTTTGTTAAGTTCATTCTTCATTGCCATCTCTCTCTGGTAGATTTGTTTCTTGATTCCTAGGATTTCATTTAATTATAATTCTCTCTCCATCTCACTCAATTGACTGTGTCGTTACAGAATGATTTCTTTTACTTTTCTAACATCTTCATGTGAAACCATTTTAGATTCTTAGATTGCTTACACTACTCTACTCAGCATTAATTCTTCCAGTTCCAATTATTAATCCCTTGTTTTGGCTTAAGGGATTTTGGATGTATTGATATTAACTATTTTGACTTGAGTTTATGAAGAAACCAATTTAGGCAATTCTATGTGTTTATTAACAATTGCTGCCTATTATTATAAATTCTGAATGCATTCCCTAACAAATTTCAGTTATTTCTGTTGAGATGGTGGTTTAATCTCTATTGTTTTGTATGCATTACGTATCTCCTCTGTATTTGGTTCTTCTGTTTAGTTTAGTTTCTATTTTTTAGCATTCTCATTCTTTTTTTATCCATCTTTGACTTTCTTCTCCTTTCTGATTCTCTGAATTGCGAATTTGTTCTTCAAGTAAAGTCTATAATAGAACTTGAATAAGTCCACATTGCTTTTCCCTTTGAAACCCATGGCATGATTAGCCACAAAGTCAAAGTCTCTGTGCAATGGGAACTGTATCTCCAGTTGATTGTCGATGCTTTGGCGTTTTTTCTTTTCGAATTTGGGTCTAATTATAAAAGTCTATTGATTCCACTCTCCTCTGTCCTTAACAAGAGGCAAACGGGATGAAACCATTTCCATTTTTTCCATTTTTAATTATATTATTTAATAAAATGTCACTTACTAAATATCCTCTTAGTAATATTATTATTTATTAAAAATGGCTCTGATACATAATTAAAATGACTTATAAAATATGTTTAGTAAGGCAGGAAAAATAACTTCTGAAAAATATATTGTATTTCAACATAGAGATGATCATCCTGTTAAAAAGTTTAAGACTCCCCAATCAACCAAATCTCCAGAATCAATTAAAAAGAAAGCACATTCTCAATAAGAATCACTAAGCGAAGCAGATCAAAACCATTTAAAGCACCTTCTCAAACTATCCTAACCCTTTTCGAAATAGATCTCCAGACAAATTGGACATTACACTTAAGTAGGGAACAATAACAAAGCATCATGTGGATAATATCATATCAAATATAGTGAACTAGACAAGTAACATCAATATCCTATACTTTTGACAGAGCAGTACATTCAGTTCCAAATTATGATAAAACATTGAAACACACTCATCCCATCGAAGTTCCACATAGATATCAATAAGATTGCCCTATAGAGTAAGTTCCCCTATTGCTATTATAGTCCTCCCATCGTTGAGAAACCCAAAGTTAAAAATGAAAGTTTTGTAGATTTGCAGAGATAAATACCAAGGTTTACTCTTTTTCTTATAAATAGAGCTGACATATTTTCAGGAAGACCCAATCCTCACCCAGATCGATTTCAGTTCTTAAATGTAACCAACCAATGGAGTAAAATACCAAGATAACCTCAAATTAAGTTGGAAAAGCAATTATCCAGAGATCAGATGTTGATTTACAAGAAGAAAGAGTTTGCACCTGATTATAAACCTAATTTCGAGTTTGGCAAAAAGTAAAGGCTCCTAATTGATTTAGAAAGTTGGGCAGTTGTGGGGCACCTTTTTATAAATTAGAATAAAGAAAGGACATTTTGACTAAGATACCTCCATACACTTTTGAAAGCTATTTCGAATATGATGAATACTCCAAAAAATCAAAGAGCCAACTCTTCAATTCACCAACAGCTCCTAATTTTAACACTATGTTAGAAAGAGAATATGATCAACGTTCATTGTTGCCTAGCTTCATGCAAGTACTTCTATCCGTTAAATTTAGAAATATACGAATACAAGGTTGGGAATTACTCATTTAAATTAAAAAATGTTGGAAGTTAACAATTTTAGAGATGGTAGATTCCTAACAGTTACATCAAGTTTTATGCCTACAAAGTAATAGTCATCCAAAAAGAACTTAAACAAATCAAGTCAAAATTAATCAGTTGATGACATCTGATATATTAGATTTATTAATTAAGAATTATCAATAACTTAATAAATAAGTAACTTCATTTTAATGCAATAGTAATATCTGCATCAAGCATCTCATTTAATTTTAAATTCAAGAAACTAAGAGAAATAAGCAATTATTGATTTAAATTTATACCAATGAAAAATACATAAAAAACAATTGTTGAAAATAAACTAAATAATCAGATTCCATCCTCATCAAAATTACGAGATCGATATAGTTTTCTTTCAAAACTATCTAGCATATTATTAACATTTTTTATATCATTTGAATCATTCTACTTTTAACTGTTGATTAGATTGCTACATCTAATCTACCTTCTCTTTTTAGGATTCATTTATTATCTACTTTTATTTAAATATATTGATGTTTCTTTTAATAGCGAACTATTGGCTTATAAGGTTTTGCTAAAAGTGCTTTCTGTTTACTCAACAGCTTGGGCAAGCAATAAACCTTTATATTCAGTCCTATCGAGTGGATGTTTATGGGTTAAAGCATAAGTAGATTTAGATTTTTAACTAAGATTTAAGATATGAAATACCTACTTAACATTAACATGGGAGTAGTCTAGGGTGGATTAGTAGATTGGATTTAAGTTTGTTCATTTTTGATTGTTAAGCCATTATTAAATGAGACAGAATTAAATTCCTAATTGAGTACACTTCCAACAGTGTATGGTCTGCTAGTGTGATTGTTCTGTTGTGAGGATGTAAGAATTTGATTTTGAAATTATTACAAAGTCTAAGATTATTGCTATTTTTCAAGTTATTGAAGTGTGGATTCAATGACGTCTTTAGATTGCCTGGTTAAAGCTGTGGTTACTCTTTAGAGACTTTACCGTGAAGGAGAGATCCCACTTTTTTATTCTAATTCTAGATTGAGAATTCTTCTTCGAGTGCTTTGTTGTTTAATTTAATCCATGTTTTTGAGTCTCAAATCTTCTTTAATCTATTCGACTTAAAAATCTTTATTAATTTTTTCACTTATGGACTTAACTCCTTGTTCCTCCATTTTAAGTATCCTAGGATTGATAAGGATGTTGATATATTTTTAAGTTTACTGGTTTAATCTGTTCCATAGGTGATCAGGCCTACCCAGAAGTGCAGTTCTAGAGAAGATAGGTTTTAGGACGATATTCTCAACTTGGACATCATTTTGCTATTAACTTAGATTTTGAAGACTTCCTCTTTCAATTTTCCTTTGTTGTAGCCTGTTCAAATCTTCATCTCTTGCCAGATTGTAATAAATGATTTTGTTCTTCTACAACTCCAATTTATCTTGTTATTAGAGTTCCAACATCTTCTTTATTCTCTTTTCACCCCGCTTTTATTGTTCCTTTAGTTAGGTGAATATTTTGGCATTAGATTTAGCTTGATGTGGATTGTTCCAAATATGGGTGTTGTCATTATAATAATCATGATTCTTTTTCTGATGGGTATTGATTGGAATTGTTTAATATCTAAAATTAGTAGATAATTTACTCAGGTAATTTGGTTTGTAAATAATACTTATCTATTTCCTTGATGGGATAAGCGGGGTGATTTGTTATCATTTTAATATATAAAATTAATTAATCAATTTTCATTTATAACCCGCTAGCATTGAGCCATTAAGTTGAAGATTTGCAAGTCCTCAGCTGATCCTTCGATTAAGCATTTCTCCGTATAAGCTGCAATCTCCATGATCTTAGCCTTTTGTTTCTCTTTAATCGCATCTGTGACTAAGACAACATCCAAAAATTATAATATCTATTATAATTAGATAATAATTCACCAATTATTCGATGTTATAGCCTTATTGAATAACTCTATTGCATTCCTCCTAAACACTTCTTAGACTCTTAGTTTGAATTACAGAGACAAGGTCTTCTATTTATTCATCTGGAATGAACTAAACTATTGATTCTAATGTTTTACTCCTGATATTTCATTAATAGCCTTTTTGTTTATAGTCTTCTCATACAAGGTTGATGAACTTTGAAGCATATTTACACTCTTCCTCAGATCACCACCAGAAACAACCACTAATTATTTTAATGCATCCAAATTATATGTTACTGACTCAGAATTAGCAACAAACTTGAGTCTCTCTATTTGTTCATTCTCAGGAATAGATTTGAATCTATATTTAACACATCTTGAAACTAAGGGTTCGATGATCTAATTAAAATGCACTCATACTTTAGTAATATAGTTGCAAATTATACAAAATCTGGTTGTGGTTGCATAGTCTTCTATGATTCTTCTAAGAGCACTTTGAGCATCATTAGTCATTGAATCAGCTTCATCAAGAATGATGATTTTATAACTAGGACATAGAAATCCTGGGTTTGGGTTTTTGGCAACAATTTATTCTGCAAATTTTTTGACTTTATTTCTGACAACATTGATTCCTCTGTCATCAGATGCATTCAATTCCAATACTCTTAATCTCCAAAAATCAGGTCCAAATAATTGCTTTGCTAATGCTATTATAGTGGATGTCTTCCCAGTCCCTGGAGGTCCATGAAGTAGAAGGTGAGGCAGATTCCCAGTTTTTAAAACTCCTTGCAAACTCTAAACCACTTCTTCTTAATATGCAAGATCCTCTATTTTGTTAGGACGACTTAAATAATGAATTTATTATACTATTTTTCAACCCATGGCAACATAGGTTTAACAACAGGTTCTTCCACCTGCATTGCTGATGAGTTTTTGTTAAACTAATTCAGAGTCCTGTTTTACATAATAAAATTAAATGAGCGGGTAATTTTATATTTAGTGAGAATCAAATATTAAAATGTGTTATATTTGCAGAATATCAATATTTTCTGTGAGGTTCTTTGGAAGTGACTATCTTTGGTGCCAACACCTAGGTTCCTGGCTTAACTACATCTAATGAGGGAATATGCTGTTTATTTTAAAAACTAGTTCTTCTCTTATCCACAGATGTGATCTTATTTAACTATTGCTATTATTATATAGTTTTCCTTTGTCCAATCAATTATTAAGAATTGAATTGTTAGATGTTCAAATTGGACATTTTCTTCTCAGAATCTAATCCATTCAATACTGCCTTTGGAAGGATTGGAGGTTATTGATGCAATGGTTATGTCATAATCAATTATTGATGTAACTATTTCTTTTCAGAACTCATCATATCCTGCTGAGTTCTAATTGCATTATCATCCTTTATCCAATCGTACCTTTAATCAGGTTCAAAACCAATCTTTTTGAAGGCATCCTAAAATTTACTCTGAGTAACATACTTTAAACAATCCTCTCAGATAATGATAATCTGGTTTTTCTTCGAATTTTAATTACTTGCAATAATTTAAGTATTAACTTAATTCAACAGGGAACCCTTTGCATAAGACATCTGAAGAGGTTTCTAGCTTCTTCTCCATTATTCGTTGATATTTTTCTTTTTGATTAATCCCCTTCATGTTTTACCAAGGCAATTGTCCTCTCAATAAATACATCAGGACATAACCAAGTGATTCTAGATCATCTCTCCTTGATTATTCAATTCCTAAGTGAGTATTGATCGATGCATATCTGGCAGTCCCAGTTAGACTCTTCCCCTCTCTATAGGGGATGTGTCCTTCTTTTGTTGAGTAGCGTTTGGCTAATCCAAAATCCAAAAGGTAGATTCGAACTGCCTTCTAGCCTAATCCAATTAGGAAATTATCAGGCTTAATATCGCGATGAAGGAATTTGTTCAAATGGATGAATTCAATTCGTTAAATCATCTAATCTGCAAGCATCAAGACCTAGGAATAAATTGGAGCTTGTATACAGTCTTTAGTGATAATCTTTTATTGTGCTTATTGAACAGGTCTTCGAGACTTTGACCCAATAAATCAATGACGATGTAATTATAATCACCGTCTGTTCCTTAAGCATATATTCTAGGGATTCCTAACTTTTAATTAACATCGCAGATACCTTTATCACTCTGATCGGAACCTTGTAAATATGTGTACAATTTGGCCTCAAAGAATAGTTGAGGATGCTTAGTATCACTTCTTTCCAATTTCATCGCGTATTCCTCCTTTCCCTTGGTTACTTGATATATTTCCCCAAAAGCCCCACTCCCTACTCTCTTGGTCAACTTATAAACCTTGGCGATAACCGTGTTTGTGAGATCCTTGCCTATAGGAGTGTCCATTAATAAATATAATTTAATAACTTATTCTTTAAAATTCAAAATAATTTAAAATATAAGTACGCCAGGAGGAACCCCAATATAAATTTCCATTGATTTCTCACCATCAACCACGCTCTATACAATATTAATAAAAACTTTAAGAAGATGGCCAATCTACCAACGACCTTAGACAATTACTCTGGACTAAAACAATCGAGATAGACAACTCACCTTGCAGAATCAATGTATGATGTGATTGCATTGTTGCCACCAAATGCAGGAGCCATCATTTTTAACATTTAGGGGTTGGCCTTTAATTGATCGATAACCATTTCAAGCATTTATGGATTTTATGCTAAACCTTATAGATTTTATGGCATTTATTACGACGCAGTAGGAGCTTAAGGAACTTGAGGAGCATTTTGGTTATTTGATTATGAAGTTGATTAAATGGGTTGTTATTATGAGGATGATTAGGATAACTTTTATTATTATAATACTGCTGGATCTATATTTTTCATCTATGCCAACATTTCAGGTGTCATCATAGTTTACATCATCTCTATTTGCTAATCTGACATCTCTACTCCACTCTACTGTTTCATCATTTATTTTAAGAAGCCTTTGTCCATGGATTTTAACGTGTTCGTCATGTAATTTAATTATTCAGGAGACTACAATATAATAGCCAATGGATATTACCATATTTTTAAATTAGTCAAATTGTTATTGAAATTAGGGATTCTCTGGTATTTTGTTTACATTCTGAGTTTCTGTTTATTTAGTGGCAGGTTTTGTGGGTTGACCTTTAGAAGTAGGAATCTCCTCCTCAACAATTAAACCGTCTTCTTTTGCGGATTGCACTTTCTATTTTAAATTTTGGAACTCTTCAGAATTGGTGTCAACAGAGGATAATTTGATTTTGGGTTTCTTTTATGCTTCTTCTTCTAAGTCTTTGTTTTCCTTCTAATCTTTCTAAATTTGTTAAGGCTATTGATTTTGAATTGGTTAATCTTCTTATACTATTTTAGTTTATTCAACTTTCTATTCTTGTTCTTGTTTTTCTTATGGATCATCTGAATTTTATTTTTGTGTTTGATCGATATTTAAGTTTGACAATTATTTTGTTTGTTTATACATAATTTGCACTGTCTCATCAGCTGGTAATTTTTGGGATGCAATTTCCAAATATCCAAGGGCCTCTGAATACCTTTTTGTCTCGAAGAGTGCCTAACCCATTCTGAAATTAGCTTTTCCATTTTAAGCGTCATCATCTAAGACTTTCTTAGCTTAACGTAAAACAACGTCAAATTGAGATTGTTTGGCTTTCACATTGCAATAATTCAATCTGCAAGAATGTTCCAATTGCTTCAATTCTATTTTTTTGTTTGCATCATTCTTCAGATAGGCATTGTTTTCCCATAATTCTTCAATTTCTGAGATTGCTTCATAATATTTGGATGCTGCCTTTTCATAATCTTATTGTTTAAATGCCTCATTTCCTTGATTCTTTAATTTGTTAATGATTGGAAATTACTCACTCTATGGTATTTGCTGTTGCTATTATTATTATTGTGCTTGCTGACCCTGAATTCTCTATTTTGCTCTCTCTAAGTCTTCTGGCCGAGTCTAAAATAGATTCTTGATACAATACTTGATTGACTTGTCTTTGGAGATCCTCATCTTTCATATTCTTGACTTGACCCATGGTTTGTCTCAAAAATGAAGGATCTATGTTACCCATTCCTGCCATCTAGGCATACTGTCTCAATTGATCATCACTCATGTTTGCACACATTTACGAGGTCTACTTCATCATTTCAGGAGTGAGGAACTTCTTTGAGTCTTGATTAAATTACATTTTTATATAATTTTTAATTAAAGTGAAGCACGTATTCAATCATTTTACATCTTTCTTTTCAATAAAACATTTTCATCTATCTTATACAGTTAACCCACTTGATCTAAACTATTGATCTCCTTGATTATTTATAATTTCGGTATATATATATATTTTATACATATAATAAACAGATATACAGTTAATGAAATAATCTGTTTTATTAGAGATGCAACTCAAAGAAGCCCTCGATAGAGAGATCAATCTAAAGATGCTGAATGAATCCTTAATGTAAGCCATGAGTGGCCTGGCAAATCAAGACAAGGGCAAAGAAATTCATTTATTAAATTAACTGCATGAATAGGAACTATCCAAACTAAAAATCACTCTTCAAGAAAAAATAACAATCCTAGAATATGAAGTAAGATCGAAATACTATTTTAAGCATCGCAAGAAATGTCAAGAGTTTGCACAATTGTAAAAAGATTATAACCAATTAAAATAAGACTATGAAGAGAGAGAATAATAGTATGTATTGTCATTAATTAGAAAATGTCTCAGGTGCGTTGAATTGTAATATTAATTGAGTTTGATCATAAAATAAAATGAAGTTGAAAAAGAAGGACTTGCTCATGAATTTACAGAGGCCCTCAGCAATCAGAAATCTATTTTTGAATACGTATTCCTATCGCATTTATTCAGAAGGAGTTGAATTGCCACAAATAAAAACTCAAGGATCTCACTTACTAATTAGATTGCGAGTGTAAGGAGAAGGACAAATTGTAAAATACTATTCAATAATTAAATAAGACTTACGATTAAGCAGTAAATAGTACTTATAGATTAGTAAAGAAGCTTAATGTAACAAATTGCGGATTTAAACAGATCACATCATGAAACAATAATTTAGAATAATCAACATCAAATGAATAACCAATAGAGAGAATAGATATAAACAGCCAAGCTTTCACAAAATGAATAAGAGAAACTAAATTTGGAAAAGTAACTCCTAGACTACAAGTAATTAGTTTAATCTATAACTAATATAGAGAGATTAATTATAAATTGGATTCTTAACTTAAAATATTGAATCAGCAATTGCTTGATAAAGAAACTAAATTAGTTGAATAAAAAACTGAATTAACAAAAAAGTTGCATAATGAAAAAAAAATTGCAGAGTAATGTTAAGTTGTAGCTCTCAAATTAAAAAATGATTTTCAAAGGAAATAGTCTCTCTTAATAGAAGATTCTCTTAAAAAAGAATAACAATTAAAAACCATTTAAACTCAACTTACTAGGTAAAAGAGCAAGAATAAATTTTATGAAAATGCTCTTAGTTAAGCCAACTTCTAAGAAATTAAGAATGGCACTCCTAAATAAATTAAGCATAAAAAAAATAACCTTTCCAATGATTACAATCCTTCTCATTAGTCAAGACATTAAAAGGTAAATCATCTCATTATTAAAGAATACTTTAAGCCAAGGAAATATTGGACAAATTAAATTATAGCCTTCCACAATTCTTAGAAGTGAAGCAGACTCTATTCATTTTAATCTAACCGATATGTTGAATTCAACAAGAAACATTGATTAACAAACACTATCTTGTCGATAATCTAATGATGATATCACTTATAATATTGACCAATTTAATGGCAAAATTGTATTTATTTTATTTTTAAGTCTTAGATCTAAACCAACGAAGATTCAGTCGCCCCAACATAAATCTTAACGGATAGGCAATTATCTCCCAGAACTAGAAGTACTCTCTTATTTATAATGTATAATAGTTCAAACAGTGAATCCTAAGGGACCTATTTCAAAAGTACGATAAATACAGGCAGATTTGTCTAAAGAAAATACTATCGTAAGACTTAAATCTTGAGGATATATACTTAACTAAAAATTTTATAAAAATTATTTTGTGAATATAATTTTAATAAGACCTTAATAGTTCATAATCACTTAAATGTTGAACTATAAGTAAGAAGTTATTAGAGTTAAAAGAATATTTTTTAAATCATTCCCACAACTTTATGCATTTTTCTAATGACCTCTGTTGCCAAAGTTCAAAATGAGCGTAATATCACTTGAAATGATAGAAATAAATTACTTCATAAAATCCCTTTAATACAATATTTATTGAAATCAATAAAAGAATAATATTTGATATTAACTGACCCTCGTTTTTTTGGAAATACAACTATAAAAAACGAATACATTTTAGTGTTTTATATAGTAATATCAAAATTTCATATGAATATACGATACATGAATACAAAAATAGTAAAGATCAAAATTTTTAACTGTTACTTTCAAACTTTTTAAGCCTTTCTTTTGAGGAGGGGACAAGGAATTAAAACAATTTATTTCTTCAGTTGGTTTTCACTTAAAGTTTAAGAGAAATGTCTTACACGCATCTGCAGAAATAACCATTGCAACATTGGCAATGATAAAACATTCTTTTTGAATTTCTATAACAATTTTAATGTAACTGAACATCTTCATCGCTTTGATAGTAAGTATCTAATCTAATCTAAAATGGTTTTTAATGAATATGTACATTGACACATCTGGGACAAGTTACAGGTAAACCATTGCATTCGAGCATTTCAAATTGCTTATGGCATGTACAACAGTTGAGAAATCCAACGCTAACCTAACACCAAGGACATAAAATAAAGCAGCAATCCATCTTGTTAATTAGTGATATAATTAATATAAATATTAACAATTGTGTTAATACGTCAAATACCCCTTTTAAATCGTTAATTTACTTTTTGTTATAAAAAATATTCTTTTATAATATAAATAATAAATAACTCATTCTCTCAAAACTATGAGTTTGCATATCATAATTACGAACTAATTTAATACGACTCAATATATTTTCAAAATATTATTAAAGTAAATTTAAGGAATACCGTCCCAAGAGGGAGAATAGAGTACAAATTATAATATCGTAACAATATTAATTTCAGATTAAGTAATGTTTGATATTTCCTATCTCATCCTACAGGTTAATGAGATTTTGCCTTTTATTATTGTAATATTATCATCATTTAAAAAATTATAGCATTAAATTATAATGGCAAATCATTTGCATTTATGTTCAATTGAACTTTATAATACCCATATTCAAGGTATAAGTATTGATTTCAATTGATATTCAATACTCCTTTTTGTAATTCAAAGTTTCCTGACAAAAATTAACTTATGATATCTGATTTCTAACATTAGCTCATAATATTAAATGAATGATGGAATAAAACATCCATGAAATTTATCAATTTTAATTGTAGCTTTTACTTCATCTGAGATTGTAAGAAAGTATTAATAGCAATTTTCGATAATGAGAACAAGTCACAAATTGAGAATCCATCTCACAAATTTTCTCTAGTTTAACAATCTATTGAATAAAACACGTCTTTATGTAAAGCATCAAACTTAGATATTCTCATGTAGTTTAAGTGATTCTAACAATAAATACAATGCATGTAGGCTATTAATCAATGATTCTTCGTTAGTACTTTAGAATAATTTCTCAATCTTAAGCAAAGGTTTGAATTCTAATACGTAATTAATAGAAATCAAACCTAGAAATATTACATTAATAAAATTTAAAAAGGAATTAATATATAAAATTAATAAAAATTACATAATATAAATAATAATATATTAGGGCCTTTACTTCAAATTATATTAGCTTAAATATTATGAAAAAACTATTTGTATCTAATTGACCGGTCAATGAATTGCAATAAATTTTGAAAAAGTTAATTTATATTCAAAAGACTAATTACCTAATTGTAAACTTTGAATCAGATTTTCTTAGAAATATTAATAGGGTTACCTCAATCAAATCCAGGAAGTTCTAAATTTACATGCTTTGGATCAAAAGTAGAGTTAATCCAATAAGATTTTGAAAATCCACAATTATATAATTAGAGAACAGTTGGTGAGAGCGTACTCATCTCTTGTTCAGTTTATTAGACTCATTTTTGAAAAGTATTTTATTTAAATTGCAAAATAAATATATACTCTTATATTCTAAAATTTAAAAGGATAACTAGAAGTATTGATTTATTATTTAATATAAGGGAGTACGAATTATTTAAGTTTCATCATTATCCGAATGAGGGATATTCTGTCAATTGAATTCTCAAGAATCCATCAGGACTTTTGAATTTATTATAAACTTCGTCAACTTGACTCTCTTATTAATATGAATGATTGTACCTGCTTTAATCAAGCCAGAGTTGTTAATGAAGAGATATAGGCTTTCTTGTGGCTAAACGTGGAGTGTCTCTCGAATGATTTAGAGGAAATGATAAAAATGATCAGATTTGCTCATTAAATATTTTTTGATTTTGGTTCCATCCTGAAATTGCAATCTAGATCTAACACTTATCTATAATAAAATTGGTCTAATTATTATCTTAATATACACTCTATCAGGATATTTCTCAATGAAATTGTCTGAAATTTTTAAATTATCACACATCATATAAAATAATTAATTATAGTTATCATTATTATTTTTATTATTATTGTTCTTCATTTTTCTTCCCAATCTTTTCCCAGTGTTGAATAGTATCATCAATATATCCTATGCAGTGTTTCAATCTGCCTTCCAAAAATTCACTCAACAACACATAACAAGGCCTCACAATCACCTTCAGAAACCCAACTTCAGACTTCGCCATTACTTGAGGCTAAGAACTAATAAGACTTGGAATATTACAATATGTAAATCCTTCATATATGGTTATTATGTGTATCCGAGTTCTCCTTCCAACTTGTATTGAATACTAAATTCTTAATTAACTCTCGATGACCACTTTACTGAAATATTGCTTCTCTTCCCAGCACCACCGAAATCACTAACATGCATGATATAACCACTTAAAATCTTTGGATCATTAAAATTCTTAGGTCTGTTTTCAAAATCCTTTAACAGTGTGAAATGCTCAGACATATCTGTACTCAAGATATTAGATATCAATCCTTTTCTAAAATTCCTAAATTAAGTTTAATTTAGATTGGTTAGAATGTTGCATGAAGGGTATTTTAGAATTTAAATTGTTAATGCAGCATGATGTTGTTCCAATACACTTTTGTCATGATATCTAATGGCTAAATCACTTAAACTATTGATTTCAAAAACATTCGTTCTACCAGTGTGTCCAACATCATGTCCAAAACTACTGATCATAAGAATAAATCGGTTGAAATTATCTATTATTGTATTCTTGGATGTTTAGTCTAATTCTTTACAAAAGTAATGAGCTGTTTGCATCACTGTAATTCCATGATCATAATTATGATATGGGTTATTATTGACATTATAATGATATTCCATTTCCTTGATGAAATTCTATAAATTCTCTAAGGGCAAACAGAAATCATCAAAAATTCCATTCTTCTTTAGAATTGCCCATACAACTCTATGTTTTTCTTTTTAACTTGTTAAATCCATAATATTGAAATCAAATGTGTCTATCAAATCATCCTGACTTCCTAAACAGAACTCATTTAAATCTAATTCTTCCATGGTTGCAAATTTAGATCTTTTTAGTTCAATTTCAGATTTCTAAATTTTAGGTTGATCCTGCTAATTTCCTTAATTTGATTTAGTCCGTTTCAATATCATTTATTGCAAAGGCATATATAATGAAGCCACAGAATATTTAACATCCGGATTGGTTTCTTCTAGTTTGTTAACAAAATTGATTGTCTCATGTTAAATTAACTGTTTCCTAATTTTAGCCTTGATCTTAGAATCTAATTTATTTCCAGATTCTAACTACTTAAATTACTTTTTCGCCCATCCCTTAGTGTTCTCTGTAAATATAAGAGCAAATCCTTTATAAGTTTTCTCTTCTATTTTCAGAAATATTTCATATTATTTTTCATTGTCTTTCATAGTTTTCCAATTATGATCCTAAAGATAGTTCTCAATATTTGACACAACTCTTTGATCAAAAATCTTATTGTATGATAATTGGTTATTATGTATCATATGAGAATTGAATTGGATACTGAAATTAGATTTAATTTATTTAGGTATGGGTCTTGATAAGAAGAGAAGGTGTCCACTCTTATCAAATTCAAAGACTAATGAGTCATTGGATCTTAAAAAGAATTTATAGAAAGCACTTTTATCAAAACATTCTCTAATAAATCTGAGATATTTTTCATAATAATGTTTTACTTCAGTATAGATTCTTTGGTCTGTCTATTTTTACAAATTCATAGAATAAATCCTAAAACACACAGTCACTTAAGAATCTTTAAATACTATGTAGACACTTTCGGAATCCCAGACTTAAATTTCCTACTGATCTGTTTGCAATCTATCATTAAATTAAGATTACTTGTCCATTTTAAACATTTGAGAAAGGATATTGTACATTTATTCAATCAATATGAATTTGGATGCTCTGAGAAATGAGATGCCGAGATCTAAGATCATATCAGCAATGGATAATGGACTAAAAAACTAGACTTTGGCATTTTGGATGGTATGAATCAAAAACATGGACATATTCTTCAATTCATCTATCAATTAATAATCATTGGCTATTCTAGGTTGAGAATACAGAATGAACTTACTTCAATATGGATTCTGAATCTAGTTATTAATTTTATTTGGAATGATATATGAAGATCACATTATTGGCATATAATCCATAAGAGGACAAATAATTCATAGAGTCTAGTTTTGAACACAAATGAGAGTCTTGAGGGAATCTAAAAACTTTGTTCTGTGGTAATGAGGCAATTTCATCAGTTATGGATTGATCCAATGGGATTTAATCAAAAATGTCAGTCTTGGTTTAATATAATTCCAGCTCAGAATTTGAATTTAAATTGAAAAAACTAAAATGATCGCAATTCAATAGATTTTTGGTTAATTCTCTTAATAAGTTGAATATGGTAGTGTATGAAACATTTTCATCCATCAACAACAAATGGCTTTTCATGTAATTAGCAAATTGAAACTTAATGCTTTTATAGGAATCCAACAAATCAGATTCAATCAATTAATTCATATCCATGGTTGGAGATGAAGAACATTTAGTGAGCAAAGCTGATGATGGATTTGATTGAGATTCATTCTAAGTAAAGAGATTGCGAATATTTTCAAATATCTGATTGATTTTAGGATTTATGGTTTGTCCCTCTTTTTTTTTATTATAGAAATGATTAATCAATTTAAATGCCTTTTCCATATCGGCAACCGAATCATGGAATTAACTATCATCCAATTTGACACCCTTGATTAGATCAACATCTGTTATGCTTGATCTAGTTCTCTTCATCTATCTTGAAACTCCTTGCTTCTCTTTAGGCAATTCATTCAAATAATTCAAAAGACTAAACTTAATTTCCTCTTCATCCTCGTCATCTTTTTAATGTGTATTTTATATACTTAGATCACTTAGAATATTCATCAATTTTTTATCCTTTATAGTAAAGTTAACCTTGAGTATTTACTTCTATCTACTATCGATTTAGAAGCTATCCCCTAATTCTCGTATGATATGAAAGAACTTAACATAAGATCCCAACTATTAATTCATTTAATTATATTATATCTATACATAATTATTTTATAGATCAATCAAAGTATAAATCATCCAATTGTTGATCTCCCAACAACTGAATTATTCCATCGTCATTTTACTCTAAAGCATCTTGATTTTCTGCATTTGTTAACATCAAAGGTGGATATTGATGTCCCATTCTCTCAATAGTGCTATCAGAATCATCTTCCTTCACCTTTTTCTTATTCACCACAATCAGATCTTCATTATCAGATTCCAAAGTCTAATACAATCTCCCAGATTATCTTTTCTAGTTCCTAATTAAATATGCATTACTTGTAGAGGATCATCTTCTAGAGTTTGTATCTATTGTTATCCTATAAAGTAGTCCTTCAATTTCTGAATCTTTTTATTACCAATTATTCTACTTAAATTCAAATAGATACTTCTCTTGAACCAATTGATTCCTGAGTTGCTGATTGCATTGTAGTATTTTATTATTTTATTCAATCAATATTTTACAAACTTTCTCTAACTCCTATTATTTAGTTAATATTTCTTAAATTTATTTCTAATTAATAATAAAACTTATAATTAACATCTTATAAATTTGTATTTCTATGTGGTTTCAGTTCCATTATTGCAAATTGCTCGTCAATATGTTCACCTGACTTTCTTTTTATTTTTTTTAAAAGATTTCTTCAATTAAATACAAAAATACCTTTAGTCCTTCTTAAAATGAGGATGAATGAATTCGTTTTCCTTTAAATCACTTCTTGACTTATGGAACCCATACATATTCATCTATTTAATGCTCACTTTTATTAGTTACTTATCGAACAAACGATGCAAAGTTTCGATGCTTAAAGTACATGGGTAGAACCTGATCTTAGAAGGCTATCACGTTTTTTACAAGAAATCCTGAACCATCTTCATTCCAACCTACAATATCTTACAATTAAGGATTCTAGTAATTAAATGGAGTACCATACTTCCAAAATATCATATGTTTTCTACAAAAATGCTGGTACAGATGACTGACTACGAGATTTCGACATTAATTTATAATATATATTTTATTAAGAATCTCTCATACATAGACAAATTTAGAATGATTAAGAAAATCATAGAATGTTCTATTCTTCCTTGCAATTCTAAAAATACCAATCAAACATTTACATAAGAACCTTCTCAAATCTATATTTAATCTAATACCTATTTAACATAAATCTCGCCTTATTTAGTTATGAAATTCAAAAAGTCCTTATTCATAATCTCCATATATTAAAATTAGATGATCTCCTTCAAACAAATTAAATAAACAATACATTGCTAAAGATTAGTTCATTGTTATTTCTGAATCAAAACCTAAGGATTTATTTTCGTATTCGAATTCAATTTATTTATATTTTAAACATATTATTTCTTAGAAATATAGTAAAATTAATTTCATATATCACTATTGTTATTTAATTCTATCAGCTCTTGATCTCCTCCTAGGATGACCGCCCTCATTCTCTTAATTATCAAATCTTTTCAATCTATCTTCAACCCCTGATTAATTTTATGATTTATGAGGTGATATCCTGAACTACTCCTATTTATTGTCTCCTTTTCTATCAAATTTCGATTTCTATGATCTGTCGGTCAGGTTTTACAAACTTAAATCTCTATTTGTTTATTATAATAGCTTTTCCACCTTAAAAGTTTTTGGATAGTGCAATGTTTGATCATTTTAATAATCAAATTGAAGCTTTTCCAAATACCTTTATGTGGTAAGATTATTTATTATAGTGTCATCTGAATTATCCGTGATCATCTCTTAAGTATTTTACATAGAATTTTGCATTCTAACCCTCTGGGATTGTAATGATTGAAATGTACAAGTATTTTATCTACATATAATATGATGCATTAAATACAGTGAATCATTATCAGTTAAATATTGATAAACTTTCGAAGGAAAGAAAAGTGTGTATATTTCCTCGCTCTCTTTTTAGATTCTCTCATTTATAATATTCTTCATCTCATCTTCATCGATTATTTTATTCTTTTCATAAATAACTCCATATTTCTCAATACAGCTTTTTAGATCCATTTTGATTGTGTCATCTATACCAAATTTATCTATTAATTTATTGTATTGAATAATCATGCTGTTTAGACAACTCTAAAAAGTGCCATATTTATACAGACACTTCAAATATCTTTGTTTAATTTATTTAATTTACTTACGATGAATTTATTGATATTTTGCATCAATTATTTTTACATTTTGCATCAATTAGCATTGTTAATTCAGAACCTATTCCTTCAAGTATTTATTTTCTCGTTCTAATTCCTCTAGTCTACTGATAAATCTATTGAGTTAAACTTGTAAATCCTTCAGGTTTTAACTATCTTACATATTAATTTTAAATTATAACAATCATTTTTTATTTTATATCATTGTTTTTTGTAGTAAAAAGTTTAAAATTTTTCGAAAGAGTGCCATTCCTCATCTTTAACCGATTGTGACATGGTCTACAGATTGAATTCTTCAACTATGCATCTGGGTCCACTCTCAATGTTCAAAGACTATTAGGTGATAAACAACTTATCAATGTGAAAACAGTCTAATTTATACTTGATTGGCATCTTCTTTATGAACCCCTAAACCCAAGGATGCTCTAAGATTTCTAAGTTTCAATATGAAATCATACATTTTCCACATAATCTCTCTTCAACATTTTTATTGCATAAATTAGAAATTAGATCAACTAAATTTTTCGAAAAGAAACTAGGAAAATTGATTTTTTTTGTCAAAATATTTTTAACCATCTCTTGTCTAGTTTTGGCAAAATAAGGAGGAAGCCCAGCAACCATCTCATACAATAAGATACCTAATTGGTAATAATCTAATGAGTAGTTATGTCCCTTCAATTCTATCATTTCAGGAGCCATATACTCTAAAGATCCACAGAATGAAAAATTTAGGTCTTCTTGATTCTCAACAAATTTACTCAATCCAAAATCCACTAATTTTGGATACCCATCCAAATCTATCAAAATATTCTCTGGTTTTAAGTCTCTATAGATTATATTCTTAGAATGCAGATATTAAATGCCATCTACTATTTATAGAAATAGCCATTTAGCTTAGTCTTCGCTAAATCTTTTTTGGTTTCTCAAGTGATAAAATAGTTCACCACCAGGACAATAATCAAACACAAAATATAATTTGGTTTTCTATTTGAATAATTTAATATCATACAGACTAAAAAGAAGCATGTAAATTAATTATTCTTCTGTGATTTAATTAAATAAGAATCTCTTTCTCATTAATAATTAGTTCTTCCTTTTTATTTTCCATCATCAATTGTTTATCTGTTACCTTCATAGCATAAAATTATCCATTTTCTTTATTTCTAACCAAATACACAACAGAAAAACTACCAGCCCCTATTTTTTTTATTATTTCAAACCACTCTATATTAATTGGTTCTTTCAATCCTTTTTTTACGTATGGAACAAGCAATGTTCCATTTAAGTTTGGTACAATTAAATGTAAGCAACTTAATTGGTAATCTAAGTGAATGTTATGGGTTTTGAATCCAATAATATCAAATGGATCATAGTTTAATTCCAATTTACTAAATTTACGTATAACTTCAGATAGTAACCAGCCACACGTTATATAAGTATGCCTAACCTAAATACCAACCCATCTATTTTTATTAGTCTAGACTCTGATTACACTGATAACATCTTTAACATTCATTGATCTGAACAGTTCTAGTTGATGTTGTGCATTTTAGATATTTTCATTTACTTCATCATTGTCATCTTGAGTTTTATGAATTGATCTGAATTTTGGCTTTAGACTTGATATTGGACTAGTAAGATTTTCCTCATTGGGGATATCAGTCTCAAACATATAATAAATAAAGTTAAAAAGTAAACTAATTAAGAAAAGCATTCTTGAATTATTTTATATTGCATTAAACAATAATCAATTAATCAATGTAAACTGAGTTTTGTTAAAATAAAATTCTCTTGAATATGCAAACTCATTTTCTTTATTTCTTATACTAAATAGAGTGATTACTTAGGATTTTTATTCGTATTAATTACTCATAATTATAATAAAATCTATGTCCATTAATAATAGAGGTTTATCGAAGGAATTCTAAGAGCGCATTATTAATGACTTAGGTATAGTGGAATGCAGTGATTTTCATGATGGCACTTGTTTGTATGCCTCCTTTATAAGGCTGCTTTAATTGATACCCAAATCATACAAATACTATATTCCCATCCATCTAATTCCCTTCCTCATTTTCAAAAGAAAGAGAGTGATGCAGAGGTAGCTATCCCTAAATTTATTTAAGACCCTTGAAAACTATTTCAGTGGCATTTTATAATTATGCCAAATCAGTTTTATTTGTCTCTCTGTATGTAGCTATTTGCAAATATGCTTTATGTAAGCTTAAAAACATTCGACATAAAGTAGATGGTAAATTATCTATATGATCTTTAGGTTGGAATCCTGCCCTTGCAGCATCAGCTGCTTGTTCAGCACTTTTCTTAGAATCTGAAGGCAGAAGATAGGAAATTGCCTTATTTATATTCCCAAAATCATTAGAAACCGCATGGAGATTATTAAAAAAGAGAGGCTACGTTACAAATATCAAAGGATGGGAATTGTTCCTGTTCGGTCTTGCTATGGGAATTATTAATTATTTCTATCATTATGACGTAACATTGATAATACATATTAGGATGCAGCAATTAAATCAACATACTTAACTATATTCAAAAATTTTTGGGGAAAAGATTGATTAAGTTACTAGTGTGTATTTGCAAAACAAATTAATATATTAAATCTTAATAAATACATTTTCAATATTCTCAAAATATCTTTATAATTCAACCAAAACTCCTATTCATATAACACTAACTGCAACCTTACTATATTCTAGACCTTATCATTAAAATAAATTTTATTGAGACACAAGAAATCCCCAAGAATCCCTCAGTAAAAATATTATCTTTTCACAGATAATAGATAATATTTAATATAGTTCAAAAATGGCATAACACTAAACTAATTTTAGATTATACCAAATATTGATAGAATTTTTACTTAATTTTTATGATATTTAGTTAATTATAAAGAACAATTGAAAATTAAAGTAGGGATTCCATTTTATATCATGTTATAATATAAACATTCATTTTCAAAAGATTTAATACTTATTTTTTTCATTTATTCAAATCAATAGAGATATTTTATACTTTTCATTCTCCCTTAAAAAAGTCATTTATTTTCCAGGAAATCATATGGCTTATAAGAAAATCGATGATTTTTATCTTTAGATGCAAAAGGATTTAAATGATTAAAAAGAAATACTTTAATAATTAAAAGTATTTTAATTTGATTAAAAATATAAAAAANTTCGTATTAATTACTCATAATTATAATAAAATCTATGTCCATTAATAATAGAGGTTTATCGAAGGAATTCTAAGAGCGCATTATTAATGACTTAGGTATAGTGGAATGCAGTGATTTTCATGATGGCACTTGTTTGTATGCCTCCTTTATAAGGCTGCTTTAATTGATACCCAAATCATACAAATACTATATTCCCATCCATCTAATTCCCTTCCTCATTTTCAAAAGAAAGAGAGTGATGCAGAGGTAGCTATCCCTAAATTTATTTAAGACCCTTGAAAACTATTTCAGTGGCATTTTATAATTATGCCAAATCAGTTTTATTTGTCTCTCTGTATGTAGCTATTTGCAAATATGCTTTATGTAAGCTTAAAAACATTCGACATAAAGTAGATGGTAAATTATCTATATGATCTTTAGGTTGGAATCCTGCCCTTGCAGCATCAGCTGCTTGTTCAGCACTTTTCTTAGAATCTGAAGGCAGAAGATAGGAAATTGCCTTATTTATATTCCCAAAATCATTAGAAACCGCATGGAGATTATTAAAAAAGAGAGGCTACGTTACAAATATCAAAGGATGGGAATTGTTCCTGTTCGGTCTTGCTATGGGAATTATTAATTATTTCTATCATTATGACGTAACATTGATAATACATATTAGGATGCAGCAATTAAATCAACATACTTAACTATATTCAAAAATTTTTGGGGAAAAGATTGATTAAGTTACTAGTGTGTATTTGCAAAACAAATTAATATATTAAATCTTAATAAATACATTTTCAATATTCTCAAAATATCTTTATAATTCAACCAAAACTCCTATTCATATAACACTAACTGCAACCTTACTATATTCTAGACCTTATCATTAAAATAAATTTTATTGAGACACAAGAAATCCCCAAGAATCCCTCAGTAAAAATATTATCTTTTCACAGATAATAGATAATATTTAATATAGTTCAAAAATGGCATAACACTAAACTAATTTTAGATTATACCAAATATTGATAGAATTTTTACTTAATTTTTATGATATTTAGTTAATTATAAAGAACAATTGAAAATTAAAGTAGGGATTCCATTTTATATCATGTTATAATATAAACATTCATTTTCAAAAGATTTAATACTTATTTTTTTCATTTATTCAAATCAATAGAGATATTTTATACTTTTCATTCTCCCTTAAAAAAGTCATTTATTTTCCAGGAAATCATATGGCTTATAAGAAAATCGATGATTTTTATCTTTAGATGCAAAAGGATTTAAATGATTAAAAAGAAATACTTTAATAATTAAAAGTATTTTAATTTGATTAAAAATATAAAAAAGGGTTGTCAACACGAGGACTTCCCAAGCGGTCCCCCACCTTAGTACTAACCTCGCCTTAAGCCGCTTAACTTCGGAGTTCGAATGGGATCCGGTGCTTTAGGCTTAGTATGGCCGACAACGATATTTACTCAAATGCTTAGTATTTAAAGGGTTGGTTTTTATTATTATTATTATAAAAATATTGGTTCATTCAGAATCATATTCTACAAGTTTTACCTTCTTTTAAACAGCAGGTTCAGGTGTAATATCATCATCGTCATCGTTCACAAGGGGTTTAAAACTCTTGAGATTTGGATTTTTGATTTGTGAGCTGTTTTCATCTTTTTCAACATTTTTGATCTCTTCTTTATCATTTTGATGACTCAGATCTTCTAAGAATTGAGGGGGTTTAATCTTTAATTTGACAACCTTGATAGAGCCCACTGAGTAGATTTTATCAGATGCTTAGGACTCTTTTTAAACAACAATTTGAGGTGTGCTATCAATAGTTAATTCAGATCTTCTTTATTTAAATTGCTTAATGTGTTCTCTTTCAATTTTTATTTTTCTATTATCGATTTCCCTCAATTAACCATAATATTGAAAAAAGTCGAAATCCTCTTCATTGAATATCTCCTACTTAAACCCACTCTCTTCAACATATTCAAGGTTGTCTATCAATTATGCCATTTTTAAATACCCTCATCTGTTAATGGTTTTGTCTTTTCATAAATGTTAGGTTTGGTTTATTTTTTCCTTTGCATTTTGGTTACCTCAGGTCTGAGCAATTGATCGAGTTTTTCTTATTCAACCATCTGTTCAGTGAGAGTCATAAAGGATAACTTTTTCTCTTGGACTTGGATTGGCTAATTGCGTTTCACCTCCTAGAATTCTAATCCATCTTTGGATGTTAAAATCGAATGAGAAACAAATTTATTAGTCATAATATAATATAACAAAATATTAGATTAAAAAGCCTGTTGAACTATCCATTAATTGTTTTGGTATTACACTCTTCATCATACATTAAGAATATTCAATAGGTTGGCTTCGATGATGTAAGTTATAAGTTTCAAAATTAAGACTTAGGAAAAATACTTCATAAATCTATGATCAAATGATGCAGAGAGAGGGGATAAAAAGCTGATAGTGGATGAATTGTAAGGAATTGGTTTTGTTTATAATAAAGTTATTTCAAATTTTCACAGATTTTTATTATAAGCTTTATATATTTATATTATGAGTATCGACTATTCCTATTTGGCTCCTCCGTTGGGAGCTCATTCAGTTCAGCATACAGGTATGTAGAACCACTATTCAATTGCTAGATTATTATATTAAACATCACGAGAGAGAGAAAGGAGCACGTAAAATTTATGATTGTGTTCCTTATGATACTTTTGAATAAGAAAAGATCAGAGAACTCAAACAAGAAATTTAGAAATTAAATATATAGCTTCCATCAGAGTAAGTATTTTGTGTTATATATCAGTTGGAAGGAGAGTGATTATTTAAAAATTGGCTACTCAGGTCGCTTTAAAATGAAGGAAGTCATCAAAGTAACTAATGTCATCATTACTCCATTAGAAACTGCAGTTGCATCTATCCTGGAGAGCCAATCCAATATATCATTAAATTAATCCAGCAACTGAAAAATTTCTTAAGGATGGCATCTGTTATATATTTGGAAGAGACAAGCAGTATCGTCCTATAGTTATTTTGAATGCTCATATGATTGATTTAAAGAAAGTATGTCTCTCACAATATTTTATATAGTATGATAAAGAAACGATAATTTAGGCATTATCATTCCAAATGGGAATTATTAAAAAACACATGTTCATTCCTGGCAAAGTTGAAAATTGGATATTCCTATTGGAAAGTAATGGTTTGGGAGTTTTTGGCTTGCCAACAAAAGCACTTTAAGTTGTAATTGATACAATGAGCACAAATTTTGGTGGTTGTTTGGAGAAGATGTTCATATTGAATCCGTCATCAGGTTTGAATTTTTTATGGAAAACTATATCTGGATTTTTGGATCCTGAAACTGCCGAAAAGATTAATTTTTTTTAGAAGAAAGACTTTATGAAGTTGCAGTAAATTATAGATCCAAATCAGTTGGAATAAAAATATGGTGGAACCCAACCAAACTAAATTACATTCTGGTAACTTTATCTGATTATAAATAGGCCTCCATATAATTTAGATTTAGTTGATGGGAGAACAGTTCCTAAACAAAAATAATAAATTGATCAGTTTATACCTCTGAGAAATGAAGAAAACCAAATTTAAAAAAATGAAGATCCTTATGATAATGTTGAAAATAATGTTAATGATTTTTTTGAAACCTAAAAACAATTGTATAACTTCGAACAAAAGAAATCAGCTGAATTTGGGTAGGTGTCTTAGGTTGATTAAAAGGATTAGGAATAACCCTAAAAGTAGGAATTAAATGATCAAGATCAATAAAAAGTTAATGATTAAATTCATCAACAATCCCCTGAGAAAGAAAACTAATAACAATAAGAGATTGACTAAAATAACAACGAATAAAATGTATAATAGACTGAGCATGAGAACAAGAGGGAAGCAGATAGCTAGGAATAACTCCATCAACAATAAGAAGGGAATATTTCTAAATAGGAACCTGAGTAGGAAGTGTAGAAATCAGGGGAATAGCAACAATAATAAAATCATTAGGAGTAAACTCAAAAAGTTGAAATCGATGGGAATAATAATAAAAATTAACAGGAGGAAGAAAATTAAGTTGTAAGCAATGCATCAGCTACTAAAATTATCTAACCAGAGGAAGTGCAAGGATAAAATGTTGAGATGACTTAAGTTGATCCAGTTGCGAATCAAGCGTGTTGTAAGGGTTGTGAGATATTTTGAAATAATTCATAATCAAATTTTAATTATTTATTATTTAACATATGAAACAACATTTTTCTTACATTGAAGAATTATTTGATGCTCAATAATATGTCCTGATGACCAAGAATATTCAAGATTTCCATAAAGTCACTTCATACTTCAAAAAGTATTCTTCATTCAAATCATTTAGGTTTTTCGATGATATTTTGAATAAGCAATTAGATTTATGCGGAACCAACATTAAGAATGCTTAAAAAATTACTAAATACATGCAATAACCTTAATTGCCATTGTCTAAGAGTTTGCTCAAATCGAGTCAAGTATTTATATAGAATCAAACTAATTCAAGATTGTATAGGATTTATTTACATTTGTAAAATAAGGCAATCTCGAGCAGTAAGATGGTCTCAATCAATATGAATCACTAGTACGCGAATAAATTGATAAAATCATAGAGCATCACAATGGTTATGTCTAAACTGCAATCAAGGTATTTTTTGAAGTTTTATTTTGATTAGTACTATAAAAATGATGAACAATAATACAAGAAGAGTTTGGATGGCTTGAAAAACAGAAAACAATAATACACTGAACAATTGGAACTATATAAACAAACTGTTAATGATCCTTCCATGTTATACAATCAGAATCTCAAATAATAGAGATACAACGAGTTGTAATAAAAAATAAGAAAAATCAAAGAAAATGAAAATCAAATTCTTACTTCTTTGGAAGTCCTCAATTATCGTAGAAAATGCTTATGCATTGAATTACAATAACTATAGAAAATAATTGAAGAAGCCTATTCAACAATTATTGCATTAACTCATAAATTATGCTATTCAAATATCATCAGTTTTAAGAAGAAATTGGAATCATTCTATTAAATGAGTAAAAAACATCAGAAATAGATCAAATATCAATTTACTATCTTACCTGACTAATCCAAATTTAATTTCGATAAAATGGATTATGTAAGTCAATAGGATTTTTAATAATTGTATTATGTTCAAAAGAACTTTAATTTTAATTAAGACGAATCTTTTGAAACCATAACTCAAAACAACGAAGATGTCTCATTTCGTTCAATTAAAAATATTCCATCAGTCAATCAAAGTTATTAAACAATAAACGATCAAAATGATTAATGGATACCAAACTTTCTAAAGTAAGATATTTAATTGGTACCTACTTCATAATTGATATAATATTATGAGTGGATATTAACATACACAAAAGTAGTGAAGGAAAATTGTAGTATAAACAATAATCTTATCTTTAAATTGCTGCAATTCATAGATGAATTGATGATTTAATTTAGAAAATAAGGAAAGGCATGCATAAAGCAGCCAGATTTTAAATAAAACTACTTTTCTTAATTGAAATGGTTTGAATAATTTAACCAAGTCTTTGGGGAATAGGGTTATAATGATCTATATGCTTACACCAGTATAAATGATTTGTTTAATTTATTTACTAATAAGTTTTCAACTCTTTTATAAGAAGAATAACAATCCATTTTATAGGTTCAAGAGAAAATTACAAATGAGTAAAACATTGTTTTCTCAAGTATAGATAAATAAATGTTTGACTTGCAAATTGTACATCAAAACTATCTTAGATAATAAGGATACAATAGAACCATTACATTAAGTTAAATGGATTCCAATAAAAAGGACTTTTATAATTAATCTAAAGTACGTAATTGATCAATATTAGAATGAATAAGATTTTAGGTAAATGATAAAATAAAGCAATGATGCCATAAAACATTTAGTATTGGAACTAGATAATAAACTAAGCAAGAGATACAAGACAATCAGCGAAATTACAGAATAAATTAACTTAGCATTCAATGTAAATTTAATAGATTTATTGAAATTGTATATACATAATCTTAATATTTAGTACATATTAATAAGAAGATGCATTAGAATTGAAAAAGAAGTCATTGGAATAAGTTGTCTAATATTTGAAATCTTAAAAATCATTCTCAATATTCTACAAATAAATCTTTGTGAAAAATAAGGCTAAAACTTTAATAGAGGATTTATAGACTGAAACATATGATTATAAATACTAATCTGATCAGGATTTTTATTAACTTTAATCATTACCTAAACCTAACATTGTAAAATATTACATGATGTCTAGATTCTGGATTAAAGTTAGAATGAACCAGAAGATGATTAATAAAGTATAAGTGAATAATCAACCAAAGAGCAAGATAAGGATAAAATAGAATAATTATAATTTATTAAATCAAAGTTAAAAATAGAAATCAATGAAATATTAATTGCATCTTTTGCGTGTGCATTATCAGAAAAAATCCAATTACAAGGAAGGTTGTATATCACAAATAAAAGACTGTTTTTTCATTCAAGTTTCAACTCAAATAATTTATTTTTTGGTGATACAATATTGAATATTCCTAAATAGGATATACTGTGTATATAAAAGAGAGCAAATGCATACATATTTGACAATTCGATTTCAATATTTACACCCAAAGGCTAGTTGTTCTTTGCTACATTCTTTTAAAGAGATATAGCTTATGATTTAATCATAAAGACATTTTCTCCAAAAGAACAGCCTGAGTTAATGGCATCATTGACAAATCAAGCTCCTATAAATTCAATAAAGATTATCAATGTTCCATACACTTAGGATTAATTAAAGTATGTGATTTGTACAATATAATAGATTATTAGAGGACAGAAAGTAAAGAATATTAAACCTAATGGGTCCAGACCCTGAGATATTTATAACTGAGAGTATTTTTGAATTTCCAGACATAAATATTAAATTGTTCTATAGATTGATATTTGGAGATAAGTTGCAGGGATAGAACTTGACATTTTATGAGAAGATGAAGAAAGGTCCTTTGGGATGTGATGGTTTAAATTTGACTCAATGGATTCCTGCTCCTCCAATGGATTTTGATTCTGATTATGGTACTCTAAATTTGTTGGATGGTCCTGATTTTCTGGAAAGAGAATTTAGTTGTATTTAACCATTACCAAAGTCTTCGATACCGTTTATGCCTACTAAATGTGAGTGTAAGGAATAATAAAAGATTTATTTCATCAATTAAGATTTCTTTATTTTAGACTTGATAGTGAAAACCTATAAGGTACAGAATTTGATTATTAATAAAAGGTGCCATATGCTGAATCATTTTAAGTTCTGGTTAGATACAAATGTATTTAAACTGAGAAAGGAGTGAAATTGGATTGTAGGATTCGAAATGAATTCCACAAAGCTATTCTGGTTAAAAAAGGTTCATAATGACATAATTTTAGTTATTGAAAAAGCAAGTTAAGATGAGATTTCTGAAAAGACTAACTAAAAGATCTTTCCTGCTATTAGATAAGAATTAAGCAATTATTTGAAAGGATCAAATAGTAATGATAATGGTGAGGATAAGAGTGATACAAATGATTAGAAGGTGGATTAATAAAAGAGTAAAATAAAATAAAAGTTGAAATCTATGATTCCTTTTCTAAATGGTACATTAATAACTTGTCTAATCCTCATTGTCATTTATTTCTTATATGCGAGAGTATTGAGTAAGTTGACCATCAAAATAGAGTTTGATAAATGATCAAATATATCAATGACAATAAATATATATTTTATTTCTTAACTGATAATTTAAATGAACTCAAAACAATAACATATGACAGTATGTCCAGCACTACTGAAGGGTGATGATTAACCAGACGACTTCCCACTTCGAACACAAAATGCTAATGTGCCAAAAATGCCCATTTAGAAAAAGATTATGTCTCAACCAAATAATGAAATCTTATATGAGAGATTGAATTAAGAGGCGCAAATTTTTAAATAGAATAATTAAATGTTAAAAGATTATTACGATCAAGAAGAATTGCGTCCTTGTTCATTTACTCCTTAAACCTTAAATGACGGTTAAGAAAAAAGATCACTTTATTAATTTTTATTTGATTAACAGAATCATGTTCTTAAAATAGAATAAAAATTAGAGCAAATCAAAATAAATGAAATGGAACGAGATTTATAGCATCCCTATCATCCAAAAACAAATGACTTTCAATTCCAATCCAGAGATGAATCCATCCCCACTTATGAAAGACTATACAATTTAAACTAGAAGAAGCCAACTGAACCAAAGATGCAATAATCAGAATCAACCGTTGATTTCAGACCTGTAATTCAATAGAAATCCTCAAATATAGTTAGAAATTAAAAGGTTGAAGACATCCTTTACTAAGATGCTCAAAGGAGACAACAAAAACAATAGGAAGTACAAGATAAAAAGAATGCTCCAAAGGTTGTAACAGTAAATGTTAAATACACTTCAAATAATAGTGAAAAGATAGTAGCACAAAAGTTTATTAGGGAATTTGAGACTGTCATAGATTGGATCTTTGATTAGACAGGACAAGAGAGACCTTCTAATGTTTCTTTTTCAATTGATTATTTGAAATTAGGAGAAATACTTTAGCGATTAGATTTTCTTAATTTATTGTAAGCTAAGGATAGCAATGAAAGAGCTGTGGAATATGAGAATTTAAGGTTGTCAGAGGAAAGAGCTTTGTTGTGTGAAATATGGACAGTTTTGAGAGGTGATGAATTAGGAGGAATAAGCAAAAGAAATCTTTGTTTATTTTTATTGACTTTGATTGGGATCACTGATTTCAAAATCAAAGAATTACCATCAGCTTAGAATGAGGAATTACCAAACTATCAGAAATCCATATAACCTCAATAGCATAAAATTGTTACTGCACATCAACCTAATGATAAACCTAAATTAGGAACTATCGATAAAGATGGAAATATCATATTTACAATTGAAGAGACAAAGAAGATTCAAAAACAATTTGATATTTTATATAGAAATAGATTAGGTTGTGAGGAACTCAAAAAAACCAACTGGAAAGATGAAAATCCTTATAAACCACAGATACTGCCTCAATCTAAGCAATTAGCCAATTAGTATAGAGAGAAACTGTTAGAGGAAACTGCTACCTTAATTGATAATTAATTGATTAAAGTCAATATTCCTGAAAATGGTTAGATTACTCACGCTGATCTATTGGTCATATAGAAGAAGGCGGTGGAATATCATAAGGAACAAAAGAAACAGGAAATATTGCAATAATAATTAGAGAAATGTCCATTCAAGCCACAATTACTGAATAATAATGAAGAGAGAAAGAGTTACTCTAAGAAATAAGATAAACATTTATAACTATATGCATTGGCCAAGCCAGCAAATTAGAAAAGAGATAGAACAACTGAAGAGATTGAATATGAAAAATAATTAGAGGAATGTACATTTTAACCTGGTTTATAAACTAAAACTAGTTAATAACAAAAATAGGATAATCATTATGTGAATAAGGATGTTGATAAAACTGTGTAAAGAATGAAATAGGCAAGGTAAAGAAGAGAGGAAGTGTAAGGGATGTTAGAGAGAGGTTATAAAAGTAATAAGGGCACTTAAAATTAACAATAATAAGTTTAAGCAAATTCTTAGAAAAAGGACAGTAGAAGCGAATCATAAAATCAAATCAAACAGGCATCTCAATCATCCAGATAGAAAAGTATGTAATCATAGGATTCTTAACAAATGAATACTTTTCAATCTTAGAATTTCCACATGGATGAATCTTAGCCAAAAGAAGAATAAAGCATTGTTAGAACTGGTAGCTGTAATATATAAATATGATTAATAGAATAAGATGAGAGAATACCATTGTTATTTGTGGATGTGAATCTGGGACCAAGCAAAACTGAAAGAATAGTAGTCTATGATGGAGATTAATCATGTGATTTAGCAGCCAGATTTGCGCATGAACATAGTAAGAATAGTAATTAAATCATAGATTTGGATGAATTTATGTAAGAAAAATTAAAGGAATTGTTGGATTATTAAATAAGTGGATTACTAACAAAGATAGATGAAGAGGAAGGAGCATTAAGTGAAAATGATTAATGATATTTATATATATTTACTAATCATGATTCAATTTTCATTAAAAACTATCGGATTGGAGATATGATATGTAAGTCAATTAAAAAGGAGTTATGTGTCATTCCTTCAAATAATTGTAAATGAACAAATCCACTGCACTTACTCATCAATTAAATTGAATGTTAATAAGATATAAATTTATCATTGATACCATGAATAAATAGTGTAGGAGAATGCACTTTATGCATTTTTTCAAGATTTCTAAAGCGTTCTTTGACTAATTTGGATACCCAATTGAAACTATTTTCTTTAATAACATCGCAGAGAGATGTAAATGGACTCAATAATACAAGTGCTTTTATTCTTTTGTATCTGATACTCATTTCAACAGCAATACTGGTTCCAATGGATCTACCCATGATAATGATTTTAGATTCATGGACTTTGAGGTTATTGATTAGATGGTCAATCAAGAGATATGCATCTTTGATTATAGTATCACTTGATGATTGCCCATGGTAAATCCCATAACCTGGGTATTCCATACAGATGGAGGCCATCTTAATAGTATTATTGCGATACTTCCAATTCAGCAGCAAGTAGGAATGCAAGAGATTTGCACATTCCTATATCTTCGGCATTGGCATGAAAGTAGACAATGATACCATTTCTGAGATTTTCTTCCAGTTGAAGGAGAGTAACTATTCGTTTGGTTTTTCTATTTTGAGTCAATTATCTTGTTGACTCAGATTGATTGAGAGTCACTTTGATGGTGCCTTAGTATGTTTTGAGTTCGTTTTATTGGATGAGGGAACGACTGCGATGATATTGGATTTCCTCCTCAATGTAGTAGAGACCAGAGAGAGTGTAATCGTAACTAGGTTTAGGAGAGGGAAATATTAAATCGTTAAAATCCATAATAAATATTAATAATGAATCAAAGACCTATTAGACCATCGAGTGCCCAATAGAATGTGTCTCATATGAGTGATAAGAACGCCTCCTTTTTAAAGAAGTAAGAGAGTTAGATAATGAGTAGTCCATATAAGCAAGCCAATCAATTGAACGTTTCATATAATAGAGTGAAGGAGAGTGAGAAATTGTTAGAAGACAACCAATAATTGAAGGTATAGCTCAATTAATTCAAAGATGAAAATATTAAACTAAGAACACGCAACACAAACTTAGAAGTATTATTGCCATGAATCATTTAGAAAGACCTTCAAAAATGTTAAAAGATAATAGAAGAAGTCGAAGCAACTGGCAACATGAAGAGGTTCTATGCAAAACCAAGCACTGATAATCAAATGATTTTGAGTTTAAAAAGCTAAGTAAAAGAATTGAGGCAAATGTTAGATCAAAGAGAATAAGAGATGGTCTAGCTGAAAAAGTCAGTTAAATTTACTAGACTTACTGAGATGGAAATTGAACGTAAACACTTTTAGGATGAAACCTTAAGGATGAAATAAATCATAGAAGAATTGATTCAATAAAATCTCTATGCTCAATAAAAAGAGAAGGATTAATAGAAATTATAGGATATGGTGTAACAAAGAGATAATCTCATCAAGTAGATGCAATAAGACATAGAACAACTAGAAATTGAAAATAAGAATTTGCTGTCTCAATAGTAGCAACTAATTATAGGATATTAAGATTTGGATTAAGAGTATATTAAATTAGATCAGAGTATGTAAGCCAAATTAAAGTCGAAAGATAAGTAGATAAATGAACTCAAAAATAACTTAAAAAGAATGTAGGATTAAGTTGATAAAGAAAAAAAAATAATTCAACCAACAAAAGCCAATCATCCTGCTTTATAAACTCATAATAAATAATAAAAACGTATCTAGAGTGCAAAACCTTCTCTGTAAATCACAAAACCAATTTAATAAGAAGAAATCTAAGATCTCATTCAAGAAATTAAATATAAACTGATTGCTCTTTAGAAAAATTCACATCAAATAGACAACCTACTATTCAGTGAATCTTCCTAATAAACTACTATTTCTTCATTAACAGAAAAGTTAATTAATGATCCCTTTTATTTAGAAAGGATGGATGCTTAAAATTTAGCCAGATTCCTTATTGAATCACCTCAATAGAAATACCCCTACACTATGAACATGTAGATTTCTCAAGATAATGGATTGATTCGTGGATTATTTTTCAAGACTATAGGTTATTGGGCTTGCTATGATTAAGTTGAAACTAAAGTGATCGAAGCTAGTTTAGCAAAAGTGTTCTTTGGAACTTATTCTCAATTTGAAAAGTAAATGAGCAGGAAAACCTTCACTAAAACAGAATTCATAAATTAGATATCAAAGGTATTACAAGGCAAATCAATAAGAGAATTGGAATTGACTTATCTAATCTCCAAAGTAAGATACGATTACTTAATTAGATCATTATACAATCAAAGCATCTCAACACTTTGAAGGGAGACTACTTTATCGAATACTTAAAGCAACTGTAATAAGTGAGAGCAGAAGATGATATAACCGTTGAAGATCTGCAACAATACTATGATAATAAGGAGTAACATATTTAAGTGATTTTAAGTGCTGAAAAAGGGTTCTTCTATTATAAACAATAGCGAAGCAAGTAGGAGCAAATGATTGCCCTCTTAGAGACTAAAGAAGAGAAGGTAACAGATTATGAAGCACTAAATGATGGCATTCCCTAGAAATCAGTTCAACAATATTTGATTAAGGGGGGACTTGTAAGAAGTCATTCGGACCCAGATCCCTTCCAAATGAAAATGATTGAGCAGGAGGAAGAAGGAGAAGAGGAGGAGCATTATGATGGATAAAAATAGAATGAAGAATAATACGAATAGTATGATCAGTATAATGAGACTGAATATGAGAATGATTTCTAACCTGATCTAAATGATGCCTAGATTGAAGATGAATAAGGAATACAAGAGGAAGAAGATGATGAATATAATATCAATGTAGATGGAGTATTTGAGGAGGATAATGATGATGAAAATGATCAATGGGAGAAAGTGGAAAATCATAAAGGGAACTTCCCAGTTCGATAAGAGTATTCAGTCATTTATTCATATTACTAGTCGATAAATACCAAATAGTCGTCCTACTTCCAGCTATATCAATAAAGCAAATAGGAGTAACAGCGATATCAAAGCCAGTCTTTAATCTGAGTTGCATCCCACAAAGGAAGTTAATGAGGAAGGTATTAAATGTTAATTAAAAATTCTGTAGAATACCAGGAGGATCAATTCGAAGATGAAAATTGATAAATACAATTTATATAAATTATATTATGAAACGAACAAAAGAAACATTTTTTAGAGAGCATCCAGATTGGTAATATAGATAAGGAGTAAGTGGTTTGAAGGAATTCGATGGTGAAGATTTACGTAATCATTTCATTCGATATCTCAAGAATATGATTCTCGCAATTAACATAACAAAGAGCAGCAAAAATAATGGATACTCGATTAGATTGAGGAAAAGAAGAGGAGACAAGATTAAGAAAAGGCAGAGGAATAGGCATATGCATAATAAACCTTAGAGATAAATAGATTTCGAGGAATGTTACAAGACAACTTTGCTTCAAGGAAAACTGATATGGGAGTTGCCACTAAATAAACTAATTTATAATTGGTAATGCTTTGAATGCATTTCGTATAGGCCAAGGAGAAAAAGGACAAAGAAGAAAGAGAGAAGTAGGAGAAGTTGGCAGCTGAACGTGCAGAGAGAGACTTATTACTATAGCGGGGTCGTAAATAGCCATATAACGGATGATTATTATTAATATATCAAATGGTTGATCTTTGAAGGGAATTCAAGTATTCTACGTCATCTCCAATGATTTCCATAATTTCCTTAGCGCCTTGATTGGGGAATAATTCCAACAATGTTTCAGCCACTTCAGGTCTGACTCCCAATAATTCACACAACTCAACAACGATAGGATTAGTAGATCTATAAATAATTGATTCAGGAGTTTATAATTGTTCTTTTTAGATTGAGGAAATATCTAAGGGGAATGGGACAGGTGTTGATTAAGTTATTGATTAGAATGATTAGTAAGCCGAATTCATATAGTTTCTTAGGTTATTTTCCTATAACAAGTCTGGTTTGTCACCCTGGATATTTAAATAATTAAATACAATAGCTGTTATGATAATTGAAGGAGCCTATCCTGGATTTCTAATTTTTAACATAGCATGTTCATGGGTTCCTAGATCTTCGCATTTCTCGCATAAGTCAAAGTCCTTACATACTGCACACTAGATTATAATTTGAATAATTTACTTTGTATCTGGTTCCTACAATGGGGAACATTTCACAACCATCGCAAGCTACTCTCTCGTGGACTACTTTTTTAACATCCTTGACTTCGACGTTGGTTGTATTGTTAATTGATAATGTTTCAATCTATTTTTAAACATCATCAGCTGCAATTGATAGTTTGACTTGCTTAGTAATCTCAGGGATTAGTTCCATAACTCTTTGGTTCACTATTTCTTTAATATGGTCTTTTCTGTTTTCTCTTCTATGACCTACTTATTCTTTCTTAAAACCACCTTGTTTTGCTTGTTGTACATATCTAGAATAAGTGAACAAATAATTACAATGTGACTACTTCGTTGAAGAACTGGCATTCCCTAATAGTCTATAAGTCAGCATCACATGTGACATCAATCATATCTCCATCAAAGTCTAAATATTGGAAGGTGAACATATTGGGGAGATTAGATATCCTATAGGGAAGTCTTTTTAGTATTTTTTTCATGGTGAGTTTTGACAGGGGTCTTCTGAATGTCCATGATTGATCGTTGCATTTAACTTAAAGCTACATTTGTATTATAAAATATTATTGTATTATGTTTAAATACTGGTGTGACTTATATAAATGCAAATCAAATTAAAACTTTATTGTTAATTATTATTTGTAATTAATAATCTATTGGGAATGTATCCGTACCTGATAATTTTATTTTTACTATTTAAAATTACTATTTAAATTATGAAATAACTTACTTTCACAAAATATAATCTGACTCCCTTCTCATCCTCAGGATCATTGTAGAACACTATCAACTCTGATTTGTTCTTTCCAACTTCTTCAACTATGAATTTATAAGTATTTTTTAGATTCTTCAACTCAACTTTCTTTAAAATCTAAATAAAAAAATACTCTTTCTAAATTGAATTTTGGTATAATAATTTCAATATGTTGTTTAAAAACTGAGAGTATATACCCATCTACTTCCACTGGATTAGCCTTTAAGAGCAAAGCTAAGAATAACTAGATTGTATTTATGAGTCATTACTTAATCACATTAATCACTAACTCTTCTGGAATTCAACTTGCAATCATTACAATGTTACATAATTGCTTTTAATTTATCCTTGGTTTCTGCAGTCTGATCAACTTCTTGTTATTCAAGAGCAATCTATAATCTTCTGTGTACTAAAACATCGGGATATCTTCTGATTGGGGATGTAAAGTGTGTATACACATCGAAATCTAAGGCATAGTGTCTCCATTCGATTTCTGGAGTATTATCAACAACAAAATATTGGGCTGCTTCCATTAGTTTTAGTAGACGGAACCCTAAAATCATTTTAATTTCTTCAGATTCAATTTCACTCACCTTAGCCATAGTTAATTTTAAATTCCTAGATGTCGACACATCCAAATTTTTAGCCATTTCTTCTAATCCACAAGCTTCCAATAAGTTTTGATAATTCTATAATTTTTCAGGTTTAGGAGATATGTGTTATCTAAGAACAGCTGTTCTAGTATCATATTCAATCAACTTCTTGCCCACAAATTAATTAGCCAACAACATCCATTCCTCCACCATAAATTGAGCAAGTCCTCTCTTTTCCTCAGTGTAACCAGTTGGAAACAAATCAGCATTAAGAATGAATCTTAATTTGCTTTTTTCAAATGTTATGGATCCCTCTAATCTCTTTTCTCTTCTCTTTTGTGCAATACTATTTAACAATAGCACCTTGTCCTTCAATATCTTTTCATCAAATCCTACCGCAACATTATACCTTTCTTCTCCTTAACTAAACTGCTAGATCTCCCCATTTATTATTTGATTCACAATATCATAACTTAGCTATGCACAACTTCTAATAACTGATTTTGCAGCTCTGAAACTATCCCATAACACTTCTCCTTCCCTTGTAATCTTAAAGAACACAGAAAATGCTAATCTCTCAAAATCTTTATTCAATGAACATAATTCTTCACACAGAATCCTCGGCAACATTGGAAGTACCTTATGAACTAAATAAACAGAGGTCGTTCTAAGTATTGCCTCCTTGTCTACTTCACTGTTAGGGATGACAAAATGAGAGACATCTGCAATATGTACTCCAATCTCATAAACACCATTTCCTAGATCATTAATACTCAATGCATCATCTAAATCTCTGGCTGTCACCGGATCTATACTACATATATACTCTTTTGTTAAATCCATTCTGTTTGCTCTCTCTTTTGCTATTGAGTCATGACTAAATGCCTTCAATTCTTCCTTACACATCTCAGAAAAATCATTGTCATACACCGAATTGGCTGTTAATATCACCTCACATTCCACATCAATATTTCCCTGTACTCCGACTTCCTTAATCAATTCAACTATTGGATATTTTTTATTTCTGGGCCATTATAAGTATTTAGCTGAAAAGTATCTCTATGACACATAATCCATGAACTTCTAAACAGGTTCTTCGTTATCCAATTCATAATTAAAAGTAAGTAATTCTTTCACATTGAAAAATGGGATTCTTTTATTAACACATTTAAATGAAACATGATAATTCTATTGCATATAGTTTATCAGCTCTTCCTTATTTGTCACTTGTATATCTTATTACCCTTTTTTTTCATCGAAACATATCCTTCCAACCAAATGTCTTTATTCGAATGGATTTTTTCTAATTCCAACAATCTTACCTACAAGACTAGCCTTTTGTAATTTCTATATGTTAGTTATTGACACCTTCTTTTTAACAACGTAGATATCAGATACTTCTGACACATCGTCATCAATATTATCCTCTTGATTATCTATATCATCATTTTGTTCATCATTCTCTTACTTAATTTCCTTCTGTTATTCAACACTTGCATTATTATGTACTGGAATCTATTCAGTTATTGCTTCATCTTCTAATTCATCTTCAGATTCTTTTTCTTGCTTTGATACTTTTGTAATTCGGAATGCAACAAGAGATCCATGAAATGCTCTATTTGTATCAACGAATGCTATTTTTTAGAACAATCAACTTACAATTAATTTGTACTTTCTTCTTAAAAATCGGACATTTAATAGCACTCTTTTCTCTTGTAAACTCGTTAGCCATAAAGATTCCTTCAAAAATCTCATTTTCAGCCTTCCCTTTTTCTATTTGTTATTCAGTCCAATATTCTTCAAAATCTTAATACTTAGCATTTTTTTTATTGCTATTTCTCTTTCCTCCTTGATTATTGAATCTTCTATCATCATAATCATCATCAACGTAGATGCCATATTCACTAAGTCCATAATCATCACTACTCCTTCTTCTGTAATTCTATCTTTAATTTCCTTTATCTTTTTTATAATTATGATCATCAATTGGATTATCATTATCTGATCTATTATAATCATTATCATTATTCCTTTATGAATTGAACCTTCTTTTATTGTATATTTAATTCTATTCTGATTAATTTGGTGCATTATTATAATTTTCTGCTCTTCTATCCTTTCTCATTTGGGAATAATGAGGAGGTTCCCTATACTAATAATAATTTTGGCTTCTCTTTTCTTGTTAACTATTATTATTTCTATTTTCTTCGTAATTATTATTATCAATATTATCATCAACAATGGCCTCCTAATTTGTAATTTTCTATTTTCCTTCTATATATGGATAACAGAATGGTTAATCATTATCATTTGAATTACTTCTTTGTGGATTTTAAAACCCTTAATCAGTCCCTTATTACCAATTTGAATATCCTTCATTATTTTAGTAGTTTTTTCTATAGTTTTTTCTTTCTTTAAAATTATTTGCTTATTAATTACCTTATTATTATAATTAACCCTATTCTCTTTAGTCTCGATTATGCTACTTATGTTATCTTTTTTATTGATTATAATATTGCTATTAATCATAATCTTATCGCTTGTAAAAATCTGCATGTTTCTGTTCACCATTATCTTATTTCTCTATTTTGTAATTTATGTATTCTTGATTTGTTTACTAATCCCTAAGGGTGGATGATTATTAATTATAATCCCTTCTTATATTATCCCTCTTCTAACAATTATAAATACTAATACATAAGGTTCTTCCTTAATTTCCTATATTTATTATTTGTAAAAACCACCTTCCCAGTTCATTAGAATATTTTTAATTAAATAATTAATCTCTAATCTCTACCTAATTATAAATAAATTATATATTATATCCTAAATTTTATATTATTTATGCAGAAATTTTGTGCATTTAAATTTATTAAATAGAATCATAGTTCTTTTTGATAACCAAATACTTTGTTTACTTAAAATGCCCAAAAAGTCATTTATACTTATCTATCTTAAGACTGTATCTTAAAATGATTTGAATACTGATTATATTTCACATTAAGTTATGCAAGTGTAGATTTTGTATATCTTATTAATATTAATATAATGAAAAAAAATCCTTCAAAAAACGTAGAATATTATGAGCAAAAGTAGATAGTCAGGGATCAATTGATTTAAAGAATAGAGGACAATAATAAATCATCAAAAACTCCATAGGAAATCATCGTTAAAATATTGAAGGAGTGGGACTTAGAAAAACTTAAATAAATAATCAAGAAACTTGGAATATGGCCTTGTACAATAGATTGTAAACTTTATTTATGATGTTAGAGCAATTCATTGAAGATCTTCTGTAATAACCTGAAATATCATTTGAAATATTAGTTTATATGATCCTCATATCTGATGGGTATTTCTGTCCACTCTCTCCTTTAACCACTTCTAATTTCATCACTGCTTTCCAATGTGGTTTGTTACAAAACTATTTTTGTTGTGTAACCCCAGAAAGCTATCATATCTACTTCGAAATCGGACTGGAGAAGAAGCCTATAATTAAAAAAAAAGAAGTAACTTTTACTGTATATATTTAAGTTTTTTGGTTTTCGAACAATTCATAGAATTAATTTTATAGCCTTAAGATTTGATAGAAGAATTGAGAATATATTATCAAGACTCTCTAACTATCATCGCAATTAGAAGTTTAATCCTTACAGGTAGAATTTTGGATAATTAAATTTCGATTCTAGTATTCATTATTAAAAATATAGCGACTTCGATTTAAGGAAAATAAAAATACTTTTGTTTGGAAAAACCCTTATTTTATTGGAATGAGGTGGAAGAGTGGGGAGAATGTCAATTCAAGTTTGGATTAAAAGATCAGTAATGTATGAGATGGATCCCAACAGGAATTTAGACTAAATAATTAGATGAGTAGTAATTAAAATAATACTATTACGATTAAAATCTGGATTAGTGGGTGCGAAAAGAAGACATCGAGATTTTTTAGAAGTTTAAATTGAACAGAGATTTGTCAAAACAAAACAAACATATTTTACATTAATATGCAGACTTTGAGTCAGGAGCGTTGATAATTGATATCATGTAAAAACTGCCTGATTTCAAAATTCTGATCACTCAATAGGAAAGGAAGGTTATAGCATCAAAATAAAATTCTTTAATTATTGGTAGAAGTGGAACAGGGAAAACAACCTGCACTGTTCTTAGATTATTTGCAGTTTAGACTCTTTTCAAAATTAGATAAAAATTATTTAATCAAGAAAATGAAAAACTCCTTTTCAATTATCAGGATGTTCCAAATAAAGTGGGATTACATTGCGTATTTACAACTTAGAACCATGTATTGATAGGAGAAGTCAGAAAGTATTATAGAAAATTGTTGTAACACATACAAGATTCTATCAAGAGGAATTAAGAGAAATAGTAAAATCAAAAACAAAATACTCCATTAAGTTTAGATTAAAGTTTGTAAGATTTGTTATTGACTTAGTATATCTCAATCATTTTAGATTTGTGATGAAATTAATGAAAGTTCTATAAGTATGATACTCTAGGAAGAAACATTCTTATGTGATGATTATGACAATGAAGATGAAGAAATGGATGAGGATAATTAACTAGAGGATGTTGATTAACTTGGTTCATTGCAATAGATGTCTGATGATAAATTTCCAGCCTTTTTGAGTCTTAAAAAATTGATTTTGTTAATTGATTCATCATTGAATAAACCATTTTTTGAATTAGACAGATTCAAAAAGAATGGTGTAAAATTATAAAAAGCAGGTTGGAATACTGGAAAAACAATTAAAATAACTTAGAAACTAAAAACAAATAAGAATATTAATGTTATTGAAATAGATGAAAATGCTAAATTTGAAGAAGAAGAGTTTACAATGCTAAATTAACAAGAAGTCAAAGAGGAAATAGATGAAACTAAACTACTTTTATAGAAACAATAAGAAAAAGCATAAAAAAGTTAATAATAGCAATAATAAGAATCAAATATTCAAGTTACAGAAGTTGATTATGAGTATTTCTTAAAGAGATTTTGGCCAACAATCAAGAAACCAAATTAGAAATATGGATGCGATGAACGATCATTCCCAACTCTAATATGGACTTAAGTTTACTCTTACATTAAAGGATCTTAATTTTCTTATTCTTACCCTATGAAATATTTACCCAAAGCTATCTATGCTGAATTTAATCCTTCTAATCTATCGTAAGATATCATAAATCTCATTTATGACTACTTTTTGGAATATGAAAAATGGAAACTCTCTTGTGGAGTATTTGATCTAATGGACTTAGTCAATTACACCATATGTGAATTAGATAAGGGAGAATTTAAAACTGTCCCCATTCATTACTTATTCGTAGACGAAGTATAAGATTTACCACATGCAGTAATAACTCTATTTACAAGATTAATTGAATAAGGTTATTATTTCTGTGGAGATACTGCCTAAAATATAGTCAAAGGAGTTGGTTTTAGATTCTAAGATCTTAAGAATATGTTTAAACACGTAGACAATCCTTTACTTACAGAATTAGAATAATTTCAATTGACTATTAATTTTAGATCCCATAATAACATTCTGTAGTTGGCAAACAGTATTGTGAATCTTATTGAATTATTTTTCCCTAAGGCAATTGATAGACTTAATAAGGAGATCTCAGATTTAAAGGGACCTATGCCCATGTTAATTTAAAGCAATAATATTGATGACCTATTCAATTTCTTGACTGGAGATGTTAATCCTAACTTAGATAAACAGGCTGTTCCAATTGAATTTGGTTGTAATCAAGTTGTCTTGGTCAAGGATTCAGATGCTAGAGATAATATTCCATCTGTCTTAGCCCATGCATTAATCTTAACAATCTATGAATCCAAGGGTCTTGAATTTGAAGATGTTATTTTATATAATTTCTTTACTGATAATACAATTTTGCAGTCTTAATGGGATCTATTTAATTAATTGTTTATTGATGAAGTTGAAGTGGATAGAGATGAATATAATTATAAATTGACAAGTAAGTATTTAGTTGTTATTTAGGACATGAGTAATAAAATACTAGTTCTGAAGAACTCTAAGATAATAATGCATCATTCTCAACATAAAATGAATAAGGAAATATTTTAGTCAAGAAATTAAGATTAAAGCCCAGCATCAAATCATTAGATCTGAATAATTATAATGCCTTGTGTAATGAGTTGAAATATTTATACGTGGCTGCAACCAGAGCCAAAAATAGATTAATTATATTTGATGATTAACCAGAAAAGAGAAATTAAATATAGAATCTATGGCAGTCTTTGAATTTAATCTAAATATTAGATGAATCCTATTTCTAAAATGCCAAAGAATTGAATAAAATTGTGACTCAAAATACAAAAGAAGAATGGTATGCAACTGGAATGAAAATGTTTGCCAATAAATATTATGATCAAGCAATCAAATGCTTTGAAATGGCTGGACACTAATAACTTTTTACTAAATCTTAGGCATATGCTTTTGCATTTAGAGCAGAAAAATAATTATTGTAAAGTCAGAACTTTTTTGAACTTAGTGAAGACACTCATTTACCTTAAAATTTAAGGAGATAATATAAGGAAAAATATGAAAAATCTAAGCATGAAATGTTTAATAACTTCAATAAAGCTGGTGAAAAATTCATAGAATGCAAAAATAAGAAGAATGCAGCAGCCTGTTTCTTTTCAGGTTAATAATATCAACTTTCATTAATTTACTATCTTTAAACTAAATGTTGGGAAGAAGCTGCAGAAGTAGCACTTAAGTTAAAGCTCTATCCTGTAGCTGGATTATTATGGTTAAGGGCCTACAAAATTGATCAAAGTATTGAGGCCTTCAATTAGTTCAAAAATAATCTAATTACTTTGCATTTGCTTTGTGAATTCAAATATGAATTAGGAAATGATTTGAAGAATCTATGGGAAATTCTATTACCCAAAGTGTTACAAGAGTGTTGGTTACAATATAGCAAGACAAAAGATGCAATTTATATTGAAAGAAATAATTATTCTGGCCAAAAATTAGATTTTTCTATTTTAACATAGCACACTGATTTTCAAACTGATTTCGCTTCTGAATTACTTATTATTGAGGCATCAGCTTAAAATGTTTATACTTAAGAGGAAATGTACAAGACGCTTTACAATTACCTCTATAATTTTCTAGATGAATTACTTGTAGTCCTTTCAAAAGTGTTTATTAACTATCCTTTGCAAGCAATGAAAGAAAGTATGTTGTCTAAATCAGATGAATTTTTATAAAATCAAACTGCATTCATTCAAAATGTTCTAGAATATTTTGATATTCAGGATTTGCAACTCTTTATGCTTGAAAGAACAAATTGTAAGGATAGAGATAATTATTTTATTTCCTGCCTTTATTATATCTCCCCCTTATATTAACCATGCTTCTCATTAAATTTCATATTCTAAAATTACGGGAGATTAAATAAAGCGGATTAAAAAAAAATAGAGAACTCTCATAAATAAACTCTTGAGAAATCAGAATAGAAGTTAAATACCTTTAAATTTTCAAATTCTAACAAACTACTCATGAACTATTCTTTATGCTAATTAGGATTATATGAAGTCGCTATTCATTTTTTTTAGAAACATATTAGTTCATTAGAACAAGCTGAAGAAAAATAAATGACCCAAAGCAAAATAAAAGTTTATATGTCAAACTTGAGGTCTACATTACAACTTTTATAGTAACATAAATCATTGTTATTAACCTTTACAGAGGATGATAAACTTTAGAGCCACGAGCTATTCATTAAAGGAAGAAAATTTATTTAAGTTATGCTGGGATTTTATTATTCTAACAATTAGGATCTTAAGAAACTTAGAAATTTGTAAAATGACTATATGGCTCAATATATTGATCAATTAGAATAAGCTAAAATTATGAAATAAAATTTTGATGGTTATCTTAAATTTTTATTAAGTCACAGAGCCTTTTAGATACATTAGTGTATAATTTTATCCTTTGTAGCTGATTAAGATGAAAAAATTTTGAATTCACTCTATGACTTGCAGTATTAAGAATTTTAATTGTTTTTGATTGAACTTTAAAAAGTAGTCGATCTATTCAAATACAATAGATATACTTATTTATATAATGACACATTTCAGAGTATTTGTGCTATTTACTAATTATCTGTACCAACATCAGAAGAATTCTAATTCTTAGGATAATCATATATTATTGTTCATAAATCCTCATTGATTTTTTCAACTTTAGCCAATAATTATAAATAATAATAATTTTAGGCTTTTTAATTTGATCTCAAAGGTGAATTGTTTTTATTTTCATCCTATTTTGTTGTAAAAACAATACAACGAATTTTTAAGGATTTCCTAAAGACTTATGTACATAAGTATTGTATGAGAAAAACTGCATCTAACAATAATGTACCATTTCTAATTTAAATTTATTCGTTCTGCGCTATTAAAAATTAGAAATCTGAAAATAAAATATCGAATAAGTACTTAGATTAAACCTATGCAGATTAAAACTTATTAAACTGCTTAGAATATTAATTGTCAGATTAAATATTCAATATCTGGTATCAAATACCTAAAATTGAAAATCCTTTGAATAGATAAATGTATGCAATTCTGACAAATAAGTCTTTCGCTAAGGTCTTAACTGATCAAACCAAGGAAGAATTACACATTCATTTATTGACTGGTATCCATGCTTTAAATATTGCTTATTATTACCATGTTTCATTAGAGTTTATTGAGAATCTTATTTACGCTCGTAGGTAGTTAGAACATTAAGAGAAAATAAAAAATTATTTAATCGTCGATTTAAACCCATTTCTAACTTAATTTTAACTCAAAGGTTATTAGAGTTATATTTACTATTTGTTACGTAGTCAAATTTGCATGTCCATGAAAAATATAGCCTCATACATAGAATACCACACTTTATTGTCCTCTATAAGTTTTTCAGAATAAATTTATAGAGATCTAACATTCTGTACTTTAATTTACATAGTATGCAAAAGATCTCATTAGGAATTTATGAGAAAACTGTAAGAATTGGAGGATGATGCAAAATAGGTCAAAGAATATGAAGGATCTTTATAAATGGAATAATAAATAATTGATGAAATCATAGAGTTAAGAACCTTTAGAGATTTTAAGTAATAAACTATGAACTTAATATTACCAAAAAAGTCTATCACCTTCTTATAAACACTAAAGTGCTAAAAAGTTTAGATAGATGAATAATTTGATGATTCCCCTGTTTAAAGGTTCTTGTAGATATTAATTGATTTATCTAAAACAGGAGATGAACAACCATTATTTTTGTTGGCTGCAATTTTAATCAATGTGGAGACAGTCAACATAGAAGTTTAGATGGCCTTGGAAGCTGAATTAATAGAATAAATTCCTTAAAAACGCCGAAAAATAATTGAAGATTTATTGGAAATTGCAAATGAAGAATTTGAAAATAGACATGATTTAGTCTTAAAGTTGATCAAAAAAGGACAAAGTGTATTCTCAAAGTTAACTGAGATAGTAGTCACTTATAACAATATTTCAATGAAAACATTTAATAATTTTTATGAAGATGCGCTTAAAGATAAATTATCGACTGAATAAATCAATCATGACATAAAAACTCAACTTGAATAGTAAGAGAGGAAAAAGTTTAAAAGCTTGTATGTTGGAATGAGGTTCACTACTTATTAACCTCTATTAAATGAGAGGATGGGATTTAATGATTCGTTACTAAAGATAGGAGGATCTTCATAAATTTACGATGAAGTAAATATTTTACGAAGGTATTTAATTATGTAATTGTAGTAAATTAATTGAAATTTTGTACACAAAATAATTATAAAAACCTGTGCATTTTAATTCAATTAGAGAAGAGTTGAAAAGACTTGCTAAACTAGAAAGGGAGCTAGACGATGAATTTGTTGAAAACTCTTTATAAAGAGGATATGGAAAAATTTACAACAGATAATTTGTATTAGAACTTGAAGAATTTGATGAACAGATAGAGAATTGGATTCAGGAAAACAGTTAGTTATCTAATAAATTCCAAAATATTGAAAATCAAATAAATAAAAATGTTCAAAAATAAACGATTGCAATGTGTTTAATTTAAAAGAAAACCAATAAAAAAAAAACTTATTAAAGATGGTGAATTAAAATATAATAGATTATTAACATATTATTATATTTATAATCTAAAGATTAAAGTTAACCATTGTCTATTATAGTATATCATTGATGATGTTTATTTTTCTTAATTGGTGGACATTTTTCTGGCTATCCAATTTTAACCATTCTAATATTGGATAATTAGATAAGATATGACCCATCTAATTGTGGATCAAATGAATAAAGATTGAACTCAGCTGTAGTTGGAATGTAATTTTATTTAGTAAATTCTAATTTCATTTCATTCTAGATTTAACTATTGGATTTAGATGATTATATACCTTTTCAAGATTTAATGTTTAATAACAAAGAGACCATCTTTGTCACTCTTTGTTTCAATTTTAAGATCTGCATATTCAATTCCATTCCATTACTTCAGTCTAATATTAACTCCTTCTAATCCTTTCCATTCCAATTTTGAGTTGCAATCAAATTCTGCAATTACTGCACCGTTAATAACGGAAAATTGGTAATATTTAGTAAGTTGTGCTTTGAATTGTTCTGTTACTTGAGCTTAATTGGTGATCTTCATAACATCATTATTGGGATTTATTTTGAATCTACTATTTGTTTATTAAAATTTTGCAGTTTCATGTGAAATAAGTAAGCAATCAACATTAGAATTAGTATTCATGAGCATCTTCCATTTGAATTAATATGATCCAGTAGAATCTGTATTTGTTTTTAGATCAATGGGTACTTTATTTTCACCAAAAGCATCACATTATAAACTAACTGGGACATTAGATGGAAATATTCCTCCTTCAGTTGTAATTTTACCATCAATTTCACATGGAACAAAATCATCATAATACTATTTTGGGAAAGTCATTTCAGATTTCTCATCATTTGTTTAAAAGACTTATGTAACTTTATGATTTTGTCCTATGGCATCATCATAAGATTCAGTCAATTAATATTTGGTTCCAAATTGTAATTAATCATCTAATACTGACCATTTACCGTCTGCCCCAGTTTTAACTTCAAAATCTTTGGTTGCAGGATCTGAAGTTAGTTTTACATTTACTCCTGATTGGCCTTTACCCTTTGGCCCAATAATTTCACCTCCAACAGTTAATTTAGTATTAGTGGGTGCTAATTCATATTTAATTTTCACTGGAGGTAGAGATAAAGCTGGACCAGAGCATGAGAATTGAATCTTATCTGATTTTACATCTTTATATTTATCAGCTTTAACATCTAATATGAATGACTCGTCTACATTCTTATAACAAGGAACTTATAAACTGAATTTTCCTGTAGAATCTGTTTTTCCTGTTATTTAAGTTTTTTCATTTCCTTTGACTGTTGGCTATAAGGATTCCACTGTTAGAGTAGATGCAGGAGGGGGCTTTCCTGATGGATCTGTAATTGTTGAAGTTAAAGTGGCTTAGAGAATGATTCTATCCATAGTAGCATCATGTGTTAGAGTTTATACTTTATCAGCCTTGATCTGGATATTTGAAGATTTATATGGATTAAAATCAGAATTAGTTATTTAAATAACAGCTGTGTATATCTAATCTTAGACTGCACCAAAACTTAAAGAATATTTGCCATTTAAGTCTGATTTTGTTTATAAATTAGATGCCAAAGGATCAGCAGGGTTAAGTATAATTTCAATTTGAGCATTTTAAACATTTTTGGTTACTCCACTGCTATCTGATAAAACACCTGAAACAGTTACTTAAACAGATTTTGTAGATACTACTATTGGCTTTAATTTAAGTTCCTTATCTCCACAAGTAAATACTTAGGGTGATAAGGCTGTTTTAGGATATACATCAGATTCCATATCCATCTTTAAAGTGGTTGAAACTGAATTATAACATTAAAATGGCAATTAGAAATCTCCCTTTGGAGCAGCTGCTTACTTATTATACAACTAAGCATTTGTCATTTGGGGATCTGAGCTTAAAATTTCAATCTTAGAATTAGGAATTGGTTTTTAATTCATATCTACTAATTGTCCACTAACAGTAATATCAACTACAATTCTAATTAAAGTAATATCCTTGGAAATACTTTACTTATCTTCTTTGCCTAATAATTATAGTTTTTCATTAACAACATTAAATGCTGGCTATGCATCAACATTGATTGTAGCTTCATAATTTACATTTCTTATAACCTCAATAATAATTGAAAAAGTTCCATCATTCATACTTTTACTAATAATAGGTTAATTGGATATTGGATCCAATGGTTTTAAAGTTATTGTAATTTTTAAACCAGGTAATTTGTCTTCCACTTTTGAATTATCCATTAATTTCCCTGATATTGTAAATGTAGTAGTCATAAATTTAGCTTTTATCGAAACTCCTTAAACTTAAAACTTTGGAGCTACTAATTCTACTTTTTATGTAGTTTCTTAGAGAGAATCTTTAGTTTTTAGATTACACTCTATTTTATCATCATGCTTAGCCAATATTTGTAAAGGAATATCAAAATTTCCATTATTATCAGTTGAGAAATCTTGATTGATATCAGCACCCTTAGCATCTTTAAATTTTGGACAAGTCAAATTGATTTTAACTGGCTAACTCAAAGTGCCCTTTTCTAAATCAATCTTTCCTTATATTTTGGCATTCACAATAGCTTAATAATTTATATCAGGAATTGAAACTTTTTAGTTATCACTTTAGATAGTGAATTTTTATTCTACTTTTTGTTATTACTTATTGATGTCTATATAAGCTATTATTGCTTTGTAATCTGTATTTGGATATATCTTTGGATCAGTTACAGTCCATGTTCCATCCGTTAAAGTTTTAGTTTCTAGATTTGCACTTTCAGGATCTGTAGTTATACTCAATGCTAAATTAGGTACTCCATTTCCAGATGGATCAACTACTTTACCCGAAAGAATGGCTTTAATTTATATTTTCTCCAGTGTTAAAGAAATAGGACTCAATTCAGTTAATGCTTATGAGCATTTAAATTTGGAACTCTTTATGTTTTACTGAACATATTGAGGTACATCTATTTATAAATCTACTACATAGTCAAAATCTTTATAGCACTCGAAATCCAAAAAGAAGGATCCTTTATCATCATCTTTAACTGGTAAGTTGTAATATTTGGAATCTTTCATAATTGGATCAGATGATGTCATCTTAACAGATGCATTTATAATTGGTTTCTTATCAGAGCCACTTAATGTAGAATGTAATTTTGTCAACATTCTTATCCTGTCTATTTCTATGTTTTCGATTAAAGTTTCTGACTTCTAACATTTCTCTTCAATTCCTTTCTTTTCATAAGGAGCAAATAGTGGATCCCTTTTTGCTTGAATCTCAAATTTTAATGGATAGGCTTAAACAGCTTTGAATTTAAATTCATATGATCCATCCTTTCCAGATTTTGTTTGCAATATGGATTGAGAAGTACTTTAGAAATGTCTTTTAAATAAAACATATGATTCAAGTAAATGCTTACCTGGATTTTAAATATAAACATCTTGAGGAGTGATAATTAAAGTAATGTCTACGCCTTCTACTGTAGTAATTGTTTTTGTTTTATCGCTGACAACCCCTTTTACTACCATATCAACTGTATTATATGTAATAGGAATATTTGTGTTACTGCTCCAAGTAGGGGCAGATACTTTAACATCCACTTTTATAGGTTATATAGGTGAAGCAGCATTAGTACTACCGGTTCCTGTACTTGATCCACTACTACTACCAGTATTTCCATTTGTAACTACACAGGATAATGGTTTATCTGCTCCTACTAATACTTCTACATCTACTGAATATGATCCATCCTCCTTTGTTGTAGTTTCTATAACAATTGGTTTTCCATCTTTTCCCTTTCCATCACAAGTAATTATTAGAGGTAATGGCATAGCTGCCTTGCCATCCACAGGTGCTATTTTACCAGCAATTTTAGCTTTAACATATCTTTAAAATCCAATAACTGGAAAATTGAAGGTTTGCTCCTTATCCATTGTAGGAGTAAAGGTCTATACTACTTCTACTAATTATTTGATATCATTAGTATATTCAATAGTAAATTTATATTATGTTGTAGGTATCACTGTTAATTTTTCTACCTACCAATTACCATTTGCATCAGTAACCAAATTACTATTAGGAACATCTAATATTGGATCTGACTTAAATTTAAGGTTAACTCCTTTCATTGGTTTTTAATCCACATCTATCACTTATCCTTTGATTAAGAGAATAGCTGTCTATTTTGATAAGGTCATTGAATATTTAACTAAATCTTAGTCTTTACATTCTAAATCTCCAGTTTTATATGTTACAGGCACAAATTAAGGCACTTGAAATTAAAATGTTGCTTAAAACTTGATATCTTCATAACAACTAAATGGATATTCAAATGAACCACTATTTATAAATGTAATTAACTTACTCTGCATTATCAGTAATCTCCTTATTATATAGGGTTTTATCAGGCATTGTTGGATTACTCTCTACGATTTTAACAATTGCATTTTAAATAGCCTTACCACTTGGATCAACAAGCTTATCTTTTATTTTTATATTTTTTATAGTTCTATCTAAAACTACATCAAAAGAAATTTGCAAAGGTTGCTTAGAAGAAACATTAATTGTTCTTGGAGCAGCTATTTTATTCATAAATCCTTTAGCAGTTACTGTTGCTTTTAATTACAAATCCTTATTTGCAGGTACATAGATTTCCGCCTTAAATTTGCCTTAAGCATCTGTGATAGCTGTCACTGGTTGGATGCTATCCAATATTGTAAATACAATTGTAGCTCCTTGTACAAACTACACTTATTTTGAAGAATCAGTTATGATTCCAGAAATCTAATATTAATAAACTCAAATTACTTATAAATCACCTGATGCTTCTTATAATTTTATTAATCCCAAATCATGAGTGAATTATTCTTTTCTAACATTTAAATCAAACTCTTCATCAAATTCCTAAGTCTATCCAATATATTCGTCTTTAGTAATTTGTTCCTTGACATGAATCTTAGCAGTTGCCTTTAAAGGCAAAATGAGGCTGATCTTTCCATCTGTTCCACTGACTGCATTAAGTGACTCGAGTTCTTAATTTGATCCAAAGTTAATTCCTCCTATTTATAATTTAGCTCCAGATAATGGCTTAGATGCTTAATCTTGAACTAATGCTGTTAAGACGAATTTGAATTAACCTGGATCCAAATTTATTGTTATTGGTAGTTCATACTTTTTTTCACTAGATTGATTATANGCCTTGCCATCCACAGGTGCTATTTTACCAGCAATTTTAGCTTTAACATATCTTTAAAATCCAATAACTGGAAAATTGAAGGTTTGCTCCTTATCCATTGTAGGAGTAAAGGTCTATACTACTTCTACTAATTATTTGATATCATTAGTATATTCAATAGTAAATTTATATTATGTTGTAGGTATCACTGTTAATTTTTCTACCTACCAATTACCATTTGCATCAGTAACCAAATTACTATTAGGAACATCTAATATTGGATCTGACTTAAATTTAAGGTTAACTCCTTTCATTGGTTTTTAATCCACATCTATCACTTATCCTTTGATTAAGAGAATAGCTGTCTATTTTGATAAGGTCATTGAATATTTAACTAAATCTTAGTCTTTACATTCTAAATCTCCAGTTTTATATGTTACAGGCACAAATTAAGGCACTTGAAATTAAAATGTTGCTTAAAACTTGATATCTTCATAACAACTAAATGGATATTCAAATGAACCACTATTTATAAATGTAATTAACTTACTCTGCATTATCAGTAATCTCCTTATTATATAGGGTTTTATCAGGCATTGTTGGATTACTCTCTACGATTTTAACAATTGCATTTTAAATAGCCTTACCACTTGGATCAACAAGCTTATCTTTTATTTTTATATTTTTTATAGTTCTATCTAAAACTACATCAAAAGAAATTTGCAAAGGTTGCTTAGAAGAAACATTAATTGTTCTTGGAGCAGCTATTTTATTCATAAATCCTTTAGCAGTTACTGTTGCTTTTAATTACAAATCCTTATTTGCAGGTACATAGATTTCCGCCTTAAATTTGCCTTAAGCATCTGTGATAGCTGTCACTGGTTGGATGCTATCCAATATTGTAAATACAATTGTAGCTCCTTGTACAAACTACACTTATTTTGAAGAATCAGTTATGATTCCAGAAATCTAATATTAATAAACTCAAATTACTTATAAATCACCTGATGCTTCTTATAATTTTATTAATCCCAAATCATGAGTGAATTATTCTTTTCTAACATTTAAATCAAACTCTTCATCAAATTCCTAAGTCTATCCAATATATTCGTCTTTAGTAATTTGTTCCTTGACATGAATCTTAGCAGTTGCCTTTAAAGGCAAAATGAGGCTGATCTTTCCATCTGTTCCACTGACTGCATTAAGTGACTCGAGTTCTTAATTTGATCCAAAGTTAATTCCTCCTATTTATAATTTAGCTCCAGATAATGGCTTAGATGCTTAATCTTGAACTAATGCTGTTAAGACGAATTTGAATTAACCTGGATCCAAATTTATTGTTATTGGTAGTTCATACTTTTTTTCACTAGATTGATTATATCTATAATATTTACGGCCATAATGAAAATTCCTAAGCATTTCTATTCAATTATTAAGCATTCCAATATTCATTTTTTGAGGCAGTATAAAGAATAACAAATGCGGGTTTTTGAGACGGCAATAAAAATCTTACATTTTGTTGACCTTTGTCATCTGTTGTGGCTTTGAAAATTAGTTCTTTTGCTTTTTTATCTTCTGAGTATATAGCTGTAAAGATTACAGTCACCCCAGGAAGAGGCTTTGAGTTTGATTATGTTTTTAACTGAAATTAGAATTCATATTTACTATTATTAATCCTCTTTAAAACACATCTTGAACTTAAACATCAGATTATGTGAATTATAATTTGCCATTAAAAACAATTGTGCCTTATGAATCTCCAACCCCATCTATTTTACTTGATGTTGAAATGTCGTTAAAAGTAGTTGTTGCAATTGCTGTAATTTGGTAAGATGATTGCTTTGGGATTTTCCCAGTAAATGTCACCATGCCTGTTCCATCAGTCATTTGATCCTTGTCTCCTAAAATCATATTAGAATTCCTGTATTGATATATAATTGTACTTAACATTGACAATCACTCCAGATAGAGCATAGCCTGAAAAATCATTTACTTTTATTATCACTTAGTAATTGACTTCTTCTAATTCGATTATTTGATTTTCGATATGCTTTGAAAATGTGACCAGAGCGAATATGTGTACTAATAATAAAGATTTTAGCATATTTTGAATTTAACAATATAAATTAATTATAAATGTCCACTTCGGCAAACAAATCCAAAGCATTTGCTAAATTCAAAATTGTATTTATTGGCAACCAAGCCGTTGGTAAGACATCAATCATTGCTCGATTCGTTTATGAACAAATCCCTTAATCACATCAAGTATCCCTCAAATTGTGATAATAGCCTACTATTGGAATCGACTTTCTTTCAAAATGCATTTAGGTAGAGAATAAAACAGTAAGATTATAATTATGGGATACTGCAGGATAGGAGCGCTTTAGGTCGTTGATTCCATCTTATATAAGAGATTCCCATGCAGCCGTCCTATGTTATGATGTTTCAAGTATTATTTAAATACATAGTTTAGATGCTCAGTCATTTACAGATATCAAATCATGGCTTGAATATGTAAGAGAAGAAAGGGGATCTGATGTAGTTGGTGTACTCATAGCTAATAAAATAGATATAGAAGAGAGGTTTTAGAAATAATTAATTTAAGAGTTGTCACAACATAAGAAGGTGAAAAGCTTGCAAGAGAACAAGAATTACTGTACTATGAAGTCTCTGCTAAGGAGGGAACCAATGTCTAATAAACCTTTAAGAATCTTGCCTTGAAACTCTTAGGTCCTATCCAAGATGTTGATTAACCAACAACTTTAGGTTAATTAGATGCTAATCAAGTTTCCCAATCCACTAATTCTTACAACATTTCATTATAACCATAAAACCAGCAAACCAATTAAACAGATTAGTAGAAATGTCAATGTTGATAAAAAATGAAAAATAACAATAATTTTCATAAATTATCATTATCTAATTTAAATACTTTTGTCTAATAAATATATTCTACGTTGTTGTTTCTTTTGGAGAATTAATACATATATATATATATCACCATCATAAAACTAATATTTCTATAATTAAGTGGCTTTGCTATTTTAATCATATTTTTATAATATAATTATAGAAATATATTTGAATATACATATAAAAATGAATACTTTTGCTACATATTATCAGATAATTTGTCTTAGTAATACTTAAGAAAATTAAACTATGTTATTAATTTATATTCATAATTTTTATTTGTAATGCTCACAATAGGATCGATATTCAAAATTACCCTTTTGCTAAATTGAAAATAGATATTTCAGAAAATGGTTATAAATATCTTAATTATTATTTTTTACAAATTGCGAAAATTCATTTACTGTTAGAATATTCTTATTATTTTTTTAAATGCACTTCTCATATTGCCCAATCAAATAAAATTTATAATATAAAGGATGAAATTCCTTAATTTGAACATCTTTAAATAATTTTTATGCATGCTTTTCTTCAGGTTTTTAGTTATTTTTTTTATAATTTTGATTTAAATTATCTTTGATGCTCAGGTATTAACTTGATTCTCCTTGTTCAAATGATTTAAAATTTTTTTCTATAAAACTTTTGGCCTCAAGAAATCTCAATTCTTAATCATCTGTAATAATTTTTTATTTTTTATCAATTTATTTTTCTTCAATTTGATGGTTCTTTTATAAACTTTCTCTAGTAAAATCTTAATATTTTCTATATCAAATAATTTCAATACTTTGCTTTCTCTTTAATTTGATTTAATTCAGGCGCAATAAATTTCTCTTAGTCTTAAACATTTTATACTTTTTAATCCATTGAATTAATTGCAGGGATGATTTATGATAGAACATTTTAATTAAAATTTGCAGCCATATTTGTATCTTCCAATTTTTATTGTTCCAAATGGATGTTCTAACTCAAGCAATTCTCTTTATACCATTTTATGTAGTCTTAAAACTCATTCAATTCAGGTTCTAGCTAATTCAAAATATTCATCGCCTAGTTCTTCTCTTTTGCTAATATTTCTGCTGTATCTTTTTATGAGCCTAAATCGTAATGAATGCTATTTGACAAATTCATCTACAAGACAACCTTATTCCTACATATTTTAACCATAGGGAGATTTTTTTAACCTTTAAAATGCTCATTGACAACCTTTAACGAATATAATAAATTGATAAAATTTTGCAAGTCTTCATATACATAAAATTAGGTTTGGATCTGATTCTTGATCTGTTCTTACATTTACGTTGATTACATCCTTAAGTAATATTAATATTAGAAAAGAAAATCGTTTAAAATATTCATTCATTAATAATAGAATAAAATAAAATTCTATTGCAACATTTCAAATGTAAATAAACTTGATATTTAATTCAAATATACTAGTAACCCCTATTTAAAATAAAAAAATATGGCATTTAAAAATAAATATCCAAATAACAGAAATCACTTTTTGAAATACTATACAAATACAATCAACATTATCAAGTTTTTGAAAACTAAAAACTTTAATTTTGTTGTTGATACTAAATCTAGCAAAATTTTTATTAAATCATAATTTAATGGCATAACATTGAATCATGATAAGTATAAATATTATAAAATCTTTAGTCCATTAGATTTACTTAAAAAAAATTAATCAGAGATTTTATTCTATTAGTAGAATTTTTGATGAAGTGTCGAAAATTTTATCCAACTAATTACTCTTGATGCATAAATTTTTTTTTCTGCTCAACTTAATGGCAAATAAAATGCTTTATACATTATGATAGCAACTTAAAAGAGGAGCTAATTTTTAAAGCATCACATAAATTAAATGCCATATGAAATGAGCTAATCCACAGCAATTTTATTAATAGCGACTTTAATTTTTAATTTTATATTTAAAGTAACAGATACCCTAAAGAGTTGTACTAATCATATGGACTAAATGGAACCCATATTAATATTGATTTATTTTAATTAATAATAAATATTGTCTAGAGGAAGTAATTGAAAAAGGAAGAATAAGAACTAGTTATTATAAACGAAGTTATAAATAGAAGTAAATAATAGGAGTTAACTCAAAAATAGACTCTGGTAAGTCAATTAAAATATTGGGGTTAGGTAAGGAAATATCGATAATTTGAATATCTTAACCAACTTAAGCAATTCAAAAATTAACAAAAATGGATCCGGAGCAAAATGCTCATAGATTATAATTTGCAAACCTCTATAAAAATCTTGAAGATAATGATGATGTTATTAAAAGCCCAGTCCTTCCAATATATTTTAATTTTTATTTATTGTAATGAACTTACCAAATATTTAAAATAAAATTGAGATTTCAATAGTATTACTAAGCTAACATATGTAGTAAACAAGATTTAAATAAATAGATGATTCGTATTAAAATTTATAAGAATAAGAATCATATCATACACAAGAGATCAAGAGTTAATACCTATTTGAATGAGAATTGATGATTTGAGTTGCCAAGATTGATTAAAATACAATTCTACAACAGACCTCTCATACTTAATGTCTTGAATATATGGAGCAGAATCGTCTTGATTAGATTTTCAAAGTAATTTATTTATACAGATCTCTAAAATATAGAAATCCAAAATAAACATTTTCGGATAAGCTATGATGATATTCTTCTATTCTTAATAATTCATTTTGTTTCGAAAAAATATTCACAATTATGGAAATCAATTCATTGATTCAAAAAAAATTAACTATTTCTCGATAAAACTGCATTTTGATTTTCAATTAAATAAAATATATAAAATAATTTTGATTGGAATGTTTATCTGTGTCATCTTAATAAAATATAAGTAATAAATTCGTTCGTTTGCTTTTTGATAGATACATTTTAAGATTATAAAATTACTGACCATAAATAACAATAAATTTATATATCTCTTGAATTTCTTTTCCATTTAAACACTTCTTATATAATTTTGATATTACACAGCCTTGCACTCGATTATTGTTAAAGCTAAAACGATTGCTTATTGGAGAAAAAATTACAAACATTTTCATAATAAATAACCCATTAAATAATGATATATAAAAGAATTAAGGTCTATTCAATAGATTAAATGTTTATATTAAATTGGAGAAGCAATTTAGAATTAGAAGGAGATTAAGCAAAATTAATTTCCTAAAATATTTATTTTAATAATCAACATTAATAAATATGCATGAGAGATAATAAAATGATTGAGAAATAAAGATGTCTAAGTTGAAATCAGAGCCAAATTATAAAGAAGCATCATAATGAAAAGTAATAGTATTATTTTCTAAGGTTAATAAAGAAAATCTTATTGGCTTGTACAATGAACTCATAATACTACTAATTGATCATATAACTTCATTTGAGTAACTTATTTTAATATCTTCGTCTCCATATTTATTTAATCACCCCACAATTCCATTAATTTTTAATTTTTTAATATCTTTTTTATAAATATTTAATGCTGAGAATATTGTTGATAGAAGCAGCTGTATTTTTAACAAGTTCCTAATTTCTTATTAAGAGTGAAGACCCAAATTCAATGAAATCTAGTATATTGTTAATTGATGATAGGCTGGAATATATCAAAAGGATAATGGTTAATCTATGATTATTAAAACACTTAGTATTTTGGAGATAAGTATATATAAAGTGATACAAACATCCTTTAAAATTTATACAATCTATCACATCCCCATTATTTAGTTTAAGTAGAAATCGATATGATTGTCAATGATAAAATTAAAAATGTAGTTGTATAATTAGATGATTAAAATCAAACTTACGTGAACAATCAATCCATGGTCGAGACAATCAAAATTAACTTTTATTTTGAGCATCATTCTCAAATAGCCTGTATTAGAATTTCAATATAATCAATTAATGATTATACTAATTATTATTGGGGAATCAGTTAATTTAAGATTTCAACATTTAATTGTTCATAAAATGTTGAGTATTGCGAAACTTATTAAAATATGCCTTGGAAAATTCTGTATGATTAGGACAAAGTTAATTTAAGCTTAGTAGATCATCGGTATTTTACTAACTCAGAATTATCATGCTAGAGTAATTATTTTAATATGTATTTATCTAGACTTTAAATGGTTTACTTCAAATGTAAATGTAAATTCCAAATAATTATTTGATTATTAATTACGAGTAAAAGGCTCGATTTTAGTGAAAATTAGATTTAAACTATTGATAAACTACTTTACAAATTTTAATGTCGTTTTAGGCAGGAATTCTACTATATTAAATTTTGTTTTAAATTAAGTTGATTTTCATTTTCTATATTATTGTAGTTATTTAGAATACGATGTATTTTAAATTGAAATAGATACAAATGTTTAAAATGAAGATTAACTATTGTTACAATTACAATTTCAATACAATCCTTGGGTTAATATTTTTGATTTTAGAGTTTATCACATTGAAGAAGATAATGAATAATAAGCTTAGGCTATTTTTGGATGCTTGCATGCTCTTTATGATTAATGTTTAATTTGTTAAGAAGGCTGGATTTATAATCCTATTATTAAATCCTGTTAAATGAATTTAGGTGATGAAAATCGAAATTTAGTTTTATCTTAGGATGATCGTCAATCAGAATATTCTGGTAGTATCAATTAGATATAAAGCTTACCTATTTTTGAATAATAAATAAGTCTATTTTTGATATCTGAATTAATAGGGTTTAAGGAAGGTGGAAATATTATAAATATTTTATCAATTTGTGGGGATGGAGTTGTTGGAATGAATGAAGAATGTGACGATTCTAATTAATTTTAGTTTGATGGATGTTTTAATTGTTAATTTTCTTGTCCTTTGAATTGTTAATAATGTAATTATGGTAAATGTGTAACATGTGATTTGGGTTATGAATTAATTAAATAATAATGTACATCTATTTGTGGAGATCAATTAATACAACAATATGAGATATGTGATGATGGAAATTAAATTAAATTTGATGGATGTTATTAATGTTAAAGTAATTGTTAAATAGAATGTTATAATTGTATATCTGCTTATTGTGTGGAATGTTAAGAAGGTTGGAATTTAATAGATGGTAAATGCGAATAAATGTGCGGTGATGAGTAGGTTGCAATTATGTCATATGAATAATGTGATCGTCTTAATGATAATACTTGTGTTAACTGTTAATTTAGATGTGAATATAATTGTTTGACTTGCTAATCACCTTAGCAATGTACAATTTGTTCATATTCATATTAATTATTAGATGGTACTTGTAAATCAGTTTGTGGAGATGGTATAGTAAACAATGAATTTGAAGATTGCGATGATGGAAATAACATTATGTATGATGGTTGTTTTGAATGCTCGTTACAATGTTCTCTTGGATGTATCTTATGTGAGGTAGATAATTATTGTAAGAAGTGTGATTCATAATTCTATAAACTTGACCTATCTACACATTTATGTGAAATTATCCCAAAGTAGGATACAGAAGATACTAATCAAAACAATGAAAATTTAGATTCAGAAAATCAAAACAATAATTTGCATTGTAATTATAATTACATATATGTTGATGGATTATGTATTAATTAATGTGGTAATGCAAAGCTTTAATATTAATATGAATAATGTGACGATGGTAATACAATAGGAGGAGATGGATGCTCTCAATCTTGCACTATAGAAAATTAATTTATTTGTGAAACAATTGAAGCTTAACAAAGTGAATGCCTTTTTTTAAAACTTCCTGATTTTTATTTAAATTTAATATCTGATAAAAAAAACCAAACTTAAACTGTTGAATTAACTTTCACCCAACAAGTAAGACTTAAAATTGAAATGGATTTCGAAGAATGGGCTTAAATTACCGTTCTTCCTGAAACTGATTACCTTTTAAATGTTATTTCAATTACTAATTTAACAACCTTGTTTAGTTTCCCAAAGTATCACATAAATATTATATTTAACAAACCTGTTAATGACCCAATATTCTAAATTACTATATATAAATCTAGCATTTCAAGTGAAGATAACCAAGAACCTTAAAATTCAAAAAAAATTATTAATCTTGGATAACCTTTTGTTTTACCAGAGTCAACAAAGTAATAAGTAATGTAGATTACTCAAATGAATGATGCCATGATGTATTCAATGATGTCCATTTCTACTTTAGCCCTTGCAACAGGAAATGCAATTCTGTTTTTCAATATGCTAGATTTATTGCAATCACTATCTTACATTAGATTTATGCAATACTAGTTTCCTCCTCATTTAAAATAATTTCTTGATACCTATACCAAAGTTTCTCTAAAACCCATTTTGGATTATTTTTAAGTAGATTCCCTAATAGCCAAATTGAATGGAGGATCTCTCCCATATTAAAGTAGTAGAAGTTCAGCAAGTACTTCATCGATTAATACCTTAAATTGCTATTATTTAATTAATGCAAAAAGTTGCTATTTTTCATTAGCAGCATCATTAATGACTTATTTTCTTAGTATTTTATTAAGTCATGAATTAGTTAATAAATATGCACAAAAATTGTTTAATAACCACCTCTATAATTAAAAATACTTAAAATTAATAACAACATTTTAGAGGGATATTCAACTAAAATGTTTGAAATTGAAAAATTAATACTTCTCAACTGGAATTTATTAAGTTTATTTTGCTGCACTCCATTAACTCTGCTTTAGCACTTTTTTATAATTTCCAGAGTACTCAGTGAATTCAATATTTGAAATTTTTAATTCAATTAGTGCTATTATTAGTTGTATTGTAATAATATATATTTCTTTCAAATCATTTGCAATAACATCAGCAATTATTAAAGATACTCAAAAGTGGAAATATTTTTATGAAGAATCAAAGGATTCATTTTGGGCTGTAAACATTAAGTCTTTTTAAATTTACAGGATTTAATTTTATATATTTGTAATAGTATATCTGATCAATTATCCTGAAGCATAATCTATATCATTATCAACATTTTCGCTTTTTTATTTGTTTTTCTTACTCAAATTTAGACCTCTTAAGTCTTAATATGATTTAACAAAACTCATTATAAAGGAAATACTATTTTCATTAATCATTGGATCCTTCCTTGTTTATAGTTACAATTTGGATAATAAACTTAACTTACTTTTTGGATGGATACATATAGGAATGTTTTCATTAATGTTGGCTTCCAATCTTGTAATTGATATAGTAGAATAGGTCTAAAAAGTTTATAAAAATTATCTCAAAAGAAAGTTTAGATAATAATAATACGAGGTCTAACTTTACATAAATAATCCACTATAAAAATTTATATAATTTGAATACAATAGGAAACACTTAAAATGATCAATATTTTATATAATTTAATCACTTTCAGATTTTATTTATTTTTATATATAAAAATGTGATAACGATGTTAGATTGTATTTTAATATAAATAGTTAATACTTGTCAAATTGCACTAACTTCACTAACTTGTGTTTTTCTTGATCTAAAAATACGTACAATTCTTTAGAATTCAAATATCATGATTTGATATTATTTCATATTAATTTATGAAAAAAGCATACCATTTCAATTATTGTCTGTTTTCGTATTTAGAATGAACTAATTATTATGGGATAACAGAACAATAATTACTCAATACAACTTTTAACTATATTTATATAACTCAATTCTATTAAGTATTTAATCATAAATTGAATTACTTTAAGAATTATAATGGAAACCTCTTTAAAAATAAATGTCCTATTCATTAAAGAGAAATCGTGCTATTCAATTCGAAAGAAAAAGACCATACTAAGAGATGGCAATGTCTCCAATGTTTCTCTGAAATTAATAAACAATTCCAATCAATTTCTGAACTTACTGCTTAAATAACTGGGATTTGTGAAAACTTCTAAAAGGTACAACGCAATTATGGGGAACACTCCTCAAATACTGTTCACAACGATCAATAATGGCTATTTTAAGCATGTTCCTCAATGGAAAATCACAAATGTTTAATACACAGTTAAAATTCTATCATAATAAGCAAAAATAATTCTAGCATAAAGAAGCTATGTCTTATTTGCATAGTGGAATAAGAAGAAGGGTATTGTTTGAGTTAAGATATGATTAATTATTTAAACAATAAGAAGAGGATAATTCTAGATAATGCTTTAGAAATTTAAGAATACAATCTAAATATTTTAAAAGAACTAAAAGACTCGTTATTAAATTATAAAATTAGGATAGAATAAAATATTAATAAATTCTTTGAGAACCTTGAATGTAATGTCAATTTGATTATCAATTCTTATAAATATTAATCTGAGTTTATAAAGGACATTTCAAGTGATAACATTGATTTGATGATTAAATAGCTAAGTAAAACTGAGGTAATTCAAACTAATTTTAGGGATATAAAAGAAAATATTACTATTAACATATAGAAGTTGTAAACATCGAAAGAAATGGATGCTTTATATGAATCTTTAAACAAATTATGTTTATAAAATAGGGGCAACATATTTGAATTTCTAAATTAGTTTAAAAAGGATGGCAAGGTTTAACTGAAAACACCTTCGATAAATTGCAAGAATATCATTTCTTATTTACAAAAAGATTGGTGTGATACAATTGAGTTTGATTAGAGTTCTACTAGAGTGATTCATGGTAGTTTTACACATATTAAATAATGTGAATTAAAAAAAGGGGAAATCAAATTAATTAACAAATTTTATGGGCATGAATGGATGGTAACATGTTTAAAGTTTTTGTAAAAATCCGATTTGTTTTTTCAGGAGGAAGAGATAATTAAATTAAATTATGGTCTAATATAGCAACCAACAAAAAATATTTAGGAGTTTTAGTTGGCCATTCATCAATGATAAACTGTATTATTACAAATTAGGATGAAACTTAACTTATTTCTAGTAGTGATGATTCAAAAATAAAACAATAATTTCATATGGAAAGGATGGGGTAATTTTGGTGTTAATTAAGAAAACTAAGGATAAATATGGAAGGTTTTCTAGATAATTAAGGAAGAATGGGGAAGAAGAATAAGTTTTATTGGTTAAACTCGTTTCACCTTTTAACCTTATTGTAAGGACTCTATGTGCATTTTTGATTTAAATTAAGAAACTGGAGAATTTATTAAGATTAAAGAAATTTATGTAGCAGGAGGAAAACAATGCAGTTAATTCTGCAATTAATAATATGTTAAATCAAAATCATTATTATTGAATAAAAATTGTATGCAATTAAATATTATGATCATCAAAGAACAAGGAGATTGCCATCAAGTATAAACTCTGTCATTTATTACTCACTTTGTTTATGGAAGCATTAGCAATGATGGTGAATACCTAATTACTTGGGATTAAGGTTTATGCAAGATAACAATATGGAAATTAGATTACTTAGATTGATACTATCTATATATTTTTGTGATACTTCGTACATAAATAATTTAATAATAAAAATATCATATTTTCTTTTATATTTATTATTGAGAAAATTTGTTATAAAATAAAACATTCAATCCACTTTACATTAAATAATATTCTATTATAGAATAGGTGCGACAATTTTTTTCTTCATTATGAATGTTCTAGAGCCTATTCTAAATTTGTAAGGTTATTTTTACTAATGGATCATAGTGCGTTGTATTATTATTTTTCAATCTATAAGCAAATTGTGGGAGAAAGTAAAGTAATATAAATTAGTTTCTTAAGATTCTTCATTAGTCAAATGAGGTAGCTTCAGGATAAACAAAATTTGTTGTTAATTAATTCGGTTTGCAATAAATTGTTAGATAGAATTTGAGGAAATTAGGATATAAATTTCACTTTTTTGAACCAGATTTAATAATATTTTAACTAATCTTAATATGGGGAATAGAAAATCATAACCAATTGAATAATAAGAAGCTTATCAAAAATACTGGAGTAAAATTTAGCAAGTTGGTCTAAAAAACTTGTAATAATAGGAACAAATCAAGAAGGAACAACTTGATATGATGAAAGTAGAAACAAAGGAAAAGCTAATCTAAATTACATAATAAGATTAATAAATCCAAACATTTGATAAAGGATAACATACAAAATAATAATTAAGTTTTTCACACTAACAAGTCAATTTAAAGATTCAAGTATCATTAAAAAAGCCAAAATTAATTGATGTAACAACTTAAGTAGATCTCAGTTAAAAGGAGGAGATAAATTAAGAATGTAAAGCTGTATTAATGTCAAATGTATCTTCGATTAATAATAAATGTTTAATATAAAATAATTAATAAAAAATTTAATTATAATAAGTTTAGCAAGACTCTTAATAAAAAGATTAGCATATTGGATTATAATAGGGTTAAAACATTATTGAATTTGATATCGATTAATAGGTTTAATAAAATACATAATTGTCGGATGAATAGCAAATATTGTAAGAAGTTTAATAATAAAGTTCATAAAATATGTAATAAGAAATAGAGTAATAAATAACATAAAATAATAGTAATGAATTCGACACAAATGTTAATGAAGAAGCTATTTTGAAAAGGTGTTTTATGATCAACACGAAAGAGTTGAAAATTAACAACCTCTATGCAAAATTTTTAGAATAATTTTAAACTGTTACTAGTGATATCATTTTATCTGAGATAATATACGGTGTCATATCTTCAGAATAATACATTTAATCTTAGAAAGTGACTTGGCTTGTCAAAATTGTAATAAATTTATCAGAATGTCAAGTTTTTGAGGATAATGTTATCTTTAATGAAGGTTCAATATCGAAACTCGTTTGGACAAAATTAATAAATGCTGTTCTTGAGAAACTTGTATGCGCTGTAGCGAAACCGGAAAAATTAGAATGGCTTGGAAGTAGAGAGGATGTAAACAATTATACAAATTTAGAAAATACAAATGCATCTTAAGTTTATGATATGTTGTTTGGATAATAGATATCCAAAAATTTTGAATCATCATTTGAAAACTTAGATCATCCAGCTATTAATTAATTGCTAACTTACCTTGATACCAAATCTCAACAGAAAGATGCTTAAAGATTTTTGGATTTAATTACTAAAAGAGAACTCAGCAAATGTTAATAAGTAAATTTATCTGATTGTGTAAATCAATAGAGAGCTTTGCGATTATTAGATAAATTATCATTTTATCCAAGAATTACAGAACTTTTATTAGAAGATAGTTGGGCTTATGGAAAATTCCAATAATACAAAAATGGCAGGGATCTACAGAAATACTCAATGTTTGGTTCAATTTTATGTTTGAGCACATTTCCAAGAGATTTTCCAGAAGTCAATCAAATTTTCTGTTCAGATTAAGGCTTACCAATTCTTATAGAATGCTATAGAAGACCCATTTATGAAATAATCAATTAAATGGCTGATATCTTCCTAAGAATTATCAGAAGAGGAAAAAAATAATAACTAGAATTATTTACTTACTTGGTTAAATTAATTGAAATCAATTTAGACATTGAAAAAGTGACTGAAAAAGAAAAATTTGATAGTTGTTGTTATTAGGGCATGATGTTTAATTTATAACAAGTATTATTGGAGATCTTTAATCCTTTTATTTATAATACTAATTAAGCAAATGCTAAAATATCTAAAATTAACAAAGATCTTCTAGCTTAAATTAAGAATTAGCCACTCTTAGCTAAAATTTATTCAAATGTCAAATAAATGGCCCCATTAAAAACTGAACTGATTCAATTAGATAAAACTCCTGAAATTGATCCTATGACATTTCTATACTTGCTAATTTAAAAAATTAATTCTCTCCAACAGCATATGATAATTGATTATGTCATATCATATGTAATCTTGTAGTATGATAAAAGATATTTTGGATCATCTTCAAAATTAACTTAATAAAGCGAAATAGACAAAGCTAAATATGATGTATTATTGCTAAATCCTAGAAGCGTGTAGAATACAATTCAGTTTTTATCCTTTCAAAGCAAGGTGGCTTCGAGTTTACTTGATGAAAATTATAAACCAAAATATCCTTATGGATTATTATCTAATTAATTCATGAATGATATTTTCCATTACTGTTTCATTTACAATTCTAATAACATGGCTTTAGATTACTTAGATGAAATAATTTCGATATGTGAATTCACAATTATTACAATGAAGTATCAAGAATTAATAGAAGACACCCACTTGAGAGTTTTGGGAATGGACTTATTTTATATTTTCAATGATTATGTTATTTAGCAGTAGCACGGTAAAACATCAGATAAGGCATTTAAGATATTTTCAGAAAATAAAGTCATTAAAGAATTTCTTATTGAGGGTCTTATTAAAGCATACGTCGATCAAGATAGAGTTAAAGTCACTAATATCATTCCAGCTTTTAGATTTAAATAAGCAGTTTCTCAATTATTTTCTTATATATTGACAACCCACAGCAATATATATAACAAGAAATTTGTAGACTATGTCTAATCTAATTCTGATACCTATTCAAATTTTGCTTTAGTTTATATTAATGATATAAAGGAATTGCTTGACTAATGTCTCACTACAACCTAAAAACTAAAGTAAGAGGAAGATAGCGCATAAACTGTCCACATTCGTAACCTGACTCTGTAGGAACGTAAGGAAAAATTTCTGAAATAACTACTTCTAGAAATTGCAGAAAAGAAATGTCTTGGAGGTTGGAAGGGTTTTGAAGAATTATTTAAAAACATCGTTCTGTTTACTAAGATTGAGCCAAAAGCATTCCTTATAGAAGTATCGCGATAAACCTTTACAGAAAACCTAAATTATGTTGTAGTAAAGCTTAACGGTCCAGAAAACAATAACTGTTTAACCTCGAAATTTTTTACTAAATATGATGTAAAGATTGAGCCGAGACATTTATCAAGCTACATAGTTGATATATTTATAAATATCAAAAATCAATAAGAGTTTTTGGATGAACTAGCTATGAATAATTCGTAAGATAATTTATTGATTATTTTAGTACTTTTTAACTTGAGATTTTACATCAGTTGGTGAATTAAATGGGCTATTTAAAATTGAAAACTCAATATTAACTCTAAGAATTCTTATAAATTATAAATAGTCTATAGTAATTGAAGATCGATTATGATCAACTTTTCAGAGAACTTTAATAGGATCCCAATAGATAAAGAAGATATATTGACAGTCTGACTCAAAATTTAATGACTGATCCAGTAATGTTACCAAATTCTAAAGTATCATTATTATAGATAAATTTAGTAAATAGTAGATAGAGTGACAATTAAACGACTCCTATTGTAAAAAAAAGAAGATCCTTTTGATAGATCCTTTCTTAGCGTAGAGATGCTTATAGAGCAGAAAGAATTAAAATAAGAAATCAAATCTTTTATAACTGTTAAAATATAAGAATTAAGATCAATTAGACCAGGTTCTAAATAGTATCTCAAATGATTTATAATAATAATATCATATGATCGATCGATAATTATTTTTGAGATTTCTTATAGATCGTAACATCATTATTTTAACGAATATTTTCCAAACAGATTAAAACGATAATTCTAAACGCAAAAAATACGAGTCACTGTTTATACACATAAGTAGTTGAGTTAAATTGCAAACTAATTCATCACAAAATCTGAAATATTTGCTGAATAACATCAGAACATAAAAATAAATATACATAAAGGTGTTAGAATAATCATATTTCACCCACAAAAGTTATTTTAAAAGTCTGAGTATAGAAGATTTTTACATCTCAGATTCAAGAAAGATGAAACCTCTAATGAAAACTAATCTTTTTCTTAAATTTCAAATTTTTATTTGTAAATGTTAGAAGTATAAGTATAAAATATAGGAAATACAGGATTAGATATTTCATCATATTTTTTAATCTTAATGTTAGATCATCATATTTCACTATCATGAGTATTGCATCTTTTAGAGTCTTAACTTTTAATTGAGCTATCATTAATTCAACGATGTTAGGTTCAATTTAATTATACACTACCAAAAGAAGATAGTAGGATTTCTTCAAAAATTCATTGTGCAATTAAAATTTTTCATAATTAAATATGAATCAAAATCCAAAATTCTTTCTGATTTATAATTAATATGAATCACAATTTGCTATAAATAAATAGTTTGCATCTTAACTCATGTATGCAACAAATTTCTTTTTAGAAATATCTATATATTCCTAAGAAATAACATCTCCGTCTAAATTTAACTTAAGACAACTTATAATTTTGTCCAACTTTTAAACAAGCACCAAATTTGATCTTACAAATTGTATCTTAGATAAACAATCTAGACTAGAAGATCCTTACCATAATTTAATTTAAGCTGTTTATTAAAAGAAATTCTGGTTTACCTCATTACTATATACTATCATTAAATCTTTCTCTTTTGGCTGTATGTAAAATTTAGTATCACTGATGTAAGTTAGCCTTCCGCCTTAAATAATCGATCACTAATTTTTTGGATTACTTACCAAATTTATTTATTTTTCACTTTCTATATTACTAAAACGTAATCATCAAACCCATATGAAACTAATTGATTTCCAGAATTATTCAAACTAAACCCTAAAAGAAGATCTTAATGTTAGATTATAGTTTAGTAACAACACCATATGTTTCTTTTATTCCAAAACTTTATTGTTGAATTAACACTACTAGTAACCAAATCGCTTTCTTGATCATTCATATCAATATATGAGATGCAACCATTATGTCCTTGTAGTAGATACAAATAACGACTTGAGATCAAATTAGACAGCTAAAATAATTTACACTTTCCAGTTGAATCTCCAGAGATAATCACATTTTATTTATTCATTGAAAATATATTTGAGAAATACTCTCTACTGTTAAGGAAACTTCCAATTAATTTAAGTGATAATTCATTAAAAATAAAGACATTGATTTTTCTCCCTATTCTCATCAATAGGATTGAATGCTCACTACTATAGTGCAATTAATCAACATATTATTAACCTAAGTTATACGAATTTATTAGTTCCAAGTGGCCTTCATCTTTGTTTATAATTTCATTTTGATATTACTTCATTCTAATTATTTTATTATAAAAAATAATTACTTATCAATAAACTTGTTATTCTTGAGTAGTAAGAAATTGCATTTCAACTTAAAAAATGAGACAATTAGGATAAATTATCATTATAAAATGTACATTCATTTGGTTATGCAACTTTTATTTTGAAACTTGAAATGCATATCGTAATTTAATCATTCTCTATAATATAAAGAAAGAAAAATGAAAGTTTGAGACTAGGTAACTACAAATTAATCATTAAGAATTATATTTATTTATATTCTTTGAAATAAATTTTAATTATTATGTCATATTTAATTTTTATACTTTTAGGATTAAATTTTTGAGAAGTATTTTTTGATTTATAAATTATTTCTAAATGTTCTATAATTGAAAATTGATTAAATCCTTACTAGGGCTCACCTATCTTTAAAATATATATAACTTCTACTTCTGTGAGCTTATATCTGTCAAGGATCTATTTATAAAGCCTTTTAAGGAACTCTATTGATTTTTCAAAATAAATTCAATGCAAAGTAAATCAATAATTGATCATTATTAAATGTCACAGCTAATCTTTAATTGAGAATGAATACCTTTTAAATAATATGCTTCAGGGTGTTTAGGCCTGATCCTTATCAAATTATCAAAACAAGCTAGTTGCTCTTCTTAACGGTTTATTGAGCCTTTGGAAAGCAACTGAATTTTTTTGAATAATACTAACTTTCATTAAATTTTAATATTTTAGAAACCTTCTTTAAGTATAATAGTTCTTCAGTTTTGCTTTCTAAATCAAGATTAAATATTTAATAATAACAAAGAATTGCTTTCTAATATAAATAGATGTTTTATTTCACCTACCAATCTTGCTCAAATTCAACCCTTACTATAAATTAGTCTACCTTTATTTAAATAATATATGCTCTCGTAGGGATTGAGTTGGATAGTTCCTTCATAATATTTTATTGATTATTTATACTGTTGTATCTTTCTTAAATTGAAATCGATATACATTAAATGTTTCAGGGATTAACTATTGTTATTGTGTTTATAATATGGTAAAATGAACAAATTCATCATTTGGATTGATGTTTAAAGGCTATTAAAGCTAATCTTAAGCCAACCTTATTAGTTTTAATTGCTTTAGTGCAAATCCTAAAATATAAACGATCAGTTCATTTTCATTTATAATTTACTATTATTTGGAATTAATTTGATTGCCTTATTTGCCAATTTTGATGCTTTTGATTTATATTATACGTAATTAAACACAAATTGATATTTTATGCATTCTTCATTTTTAGATTTGATTTAATCTCCTCATTAAAGAATGAAATCGATTCTTTTGGATGATGATCATCCAANCTTGTTATTCTTGAGTAGTAAGAAATTGCATTTCAACTTAAAAAATGAGACAATTAGGATAAATTATCATTATAAAATGTACATTCATTTGGTTATGCAACTTTTATTTTGAAACTTGAAATGCATATCGTAATTTAATCATTCTCTATAATATAAAGAAAGAAAAATGAAAGTTTGAGACTAGGTAACTACAAATTAATCATTAAGAATTATATTTATTTATATTCTTTGAAATAAATTTTAATTATTATGTCATATTTAATTTTTATACTTTTAGGATTAAATTTTTGAGAAGTATTTTTTGATTTATAAATTATTTCTAAATGTTCTATAATTGAAAATTGATTAAATCCTTACTAGGGCTCACCTATCTTTAAAATATATATAACTTCTACTTCTGTGAGCTTATATCTGTCAAGGATCTATTTATAAAGCCTTTTAAGGAACTCTATTGATTTTTCAAAATAAATTCAATGCAAAGTAAATCAATAATTGATCATTATTAAATGTCACAGCTAATCTTTAATTGAGAATGAATACCTTTTAAATAATATGCTTCAGGGTGTTTAGGCCTGATCCTTATCAAATTATCAAAACAAGCTAGTTGCTCTTCTTAACGGTTTATTGAGCCTTTGGAAAGCAACTGAATTTTTTTGAATAATACTAACTTTCATTAAATTTTAATATTTTAGAAACCTTCTTTAAGTATAATAGTTCTTCAGTTTTGCTTTCTAAATCAAGATTAAATATTTAATAATAACAAAGAATTGCTTTCTAATATAAATAGATGTTTTATTTCACCTACCAATCTTGCTCAAATTCAACCCTTACTATAAATTAGTCTACCTTTATTTAAATAATATATGCTCTCGTAGGGATTGAGTTGGATAGTTCCTTCATAATATTTTATTGATTATTTATACTGTTGTATCTTTCTTAAATTGAAATCGATATACATTAAATGTTTCAGGGATTAACTATTGTTATTGTGTTTATAATATGGTAAAATGAACAAATTCATCATTTGGATTGATGTTTAAAGGCTATTAAAGCTAATCTTAAGCCAACCTTATTAGTTTTAATTGCTTTAGTGCAAATCCTAAAATATAAACGATCAGTTCATTTTCATTTATAATTTACTATTATTTGGAATTAATTTGATTGCCTTATTTGCCAATTTTGATGCTTTTGATTTATATTATACGTAATTAAACACAAATTGATATTTTATGCATTCTTCATTTTTAGATTTGATTTAATCTCCTCATTAAAGAATGAAATCGATTCTTTTGGATGATGATCATCCAATATAAATCAAATTCAAATATCACAAAATTAGTGCAATTCCTACTTTTAAAAGAGTTTTTAAACGTTTTGATTTGATTTATTTATTATCCTGTTTTTTTATAGTTATTTTTCTTAGCTATTTGATCTCTTTATTTAAAGGGTTATTTTATAAGTCTTTTCTAATATATTTTAAGCTTTTTCTAACAGAGTTAATTTGTGTATTGCAAAATTTATATTTTGATGTTCTAATATCCACCTAATTTTGGATCATGTAAATTAATCTTCAAATATTAATTTTATATGTCAGCAAAATGAATTTTAATAGTTTATCTATATTTTGCTATAGCAGCCTACTTACTATAAACAACTAACAATGGAAAAAAAAGTTGAAATGAAAATATTTAAATAACTAACAAGGCTCCTAAAAAACACTTGAGTAAAAGAAAATATTAATATACTATTCAAATTTTTATGGACATTTTGCCAAAAGCATAAAAAGACTAGCATAAAATCATATCCTTAACAGCCATCTTTAAATAACCCTATAAACATTTAATTATGATAATGGAAAAAAAAATTGAAAGAGAAAGAAAAGGAATTAAAATTACAAAACAAAAACTTGAATTTATGAGGCGAAAATGCATCCTAAATATATTAATCTCGAGGAAACATGATGAATATTTACTAATTTTCTTATTTATTTATTGATAATTGATTGATAGATATTGAGATTAAGAATGTTATTAGTAAATTTTGTTACTCCTTGCTCATAGAGTATGAACCTCAAGCTACCCAAAGTTCGTTCATAGTGACATATTATTCAACATTAAATCTCCAACATCTTCTCAATCCACATCTAAAATTTCACTACTTTTCTAATTACTTCCTATGTTTTTGATTTTTTTCTCTAATTATTTGTTATTGATTTTCCAAATTATTGCTACATTACTTACATCCTTTTCCAAAGTTTCAAATTATTTAGGAGTTCTATTTCTCCTCTTCAAAAATTAAAAAGTAAGATAAAACAATTATTAAATTATATTAAGGTGAATACTTAACTTCATAAAAAGCAGAAGATTGTTAGATGAGAATGGAAGGGATAATGGAAATCTTTTTTGAGATTTGTTTAAAACTATTGTGTTAGGGTTGTGGTAGTTGATCCAAGAGTTCTAAAATAGTTTGCAGATTAATAGAAAATTGAAGGTGATTATCCTACCTTATAATAATAGTAAAGAATTGTGTTCTTCATGTAAGAAGATATCTCCTAGCTTAATTAAACGTGTACTTAAAATAATAATTTATATTAGGGATATAAGGAATTATTGAATCGATATGAGCAAGGAAAAAATTTCTATCTTGAATCAAAACCATTTTAAAACTTAGGAATATTGACAGATACTTGGAAAATGCAACGGCTTGTATCATAGAAAAATTATCAAGCAAGTATTTATATGAGGAAATTATAAATTGATATATTTTAACGTAATATTAACATTTGGTTATTATTGTAATAACGCTATTGGATTAATAAATGTATAATGTATACTAATCCTGATTAGTATGAAAGTTTAAAATATATTTTCTTAATTTGGAGTAAAACCCTTTCCAAATTTCTAAGAATCTTTTATTTTTTTGAGTAGAAAAAAATTTAAATTATTGTAGCTGTTATAAAATTTTATTGCTAATTTATTCTTCTTATATAGAATAAGCAAAAAGTCTCTTTGGATAATTCAAAAAATGAAAGATTCAGTCATATTTAAATGAATTGTTATTTTTTTAACAGGGATTTTTTTAGTGTTGAAAACACTCAAAAATTTTGTTCAGAAGGATAAAATAAAAATGATAGAAGAATCACGAGAAATCTGAATCTGATTCCGATGATAATTCTAATTCTGATACTAATGACTTTGATATTACTCAATTAGAGTAATCAGTCTTGATTTCTAAGGATGATGGATAGTAGAAATTCATAAAAGGTTCTGATCAATACGATTATAAATACTTTCTAAATATCTTGAATTAGAAAGGATATCAAGTTAATTTGATTCATGATAATCTAAAGAATGAACCCATGTAAACTGAAGAGATAACTAAAAGATAAAAAGAGATTTCATAAAAGATGAATAAGAAATTATTTGAAATCAATTTTGAGACTTATCCTAAGATACATCTCTAAATATAAAGATAATTTTAAATTCAATTGAGTAAAAATGCAAATTAGTACTAATGTATAGATCAAAGAATTAGTTTAAAGATTCGAACAAACTATCTATCCATGATTATCTAGAGGATGCTTATACAGAAAAAGGAATCAATAAATTATCTCCTGATTTACTCCATTAATTAAATCTTTTAGAATTGATTAAGTCTCCTAATAAAGTGATTGAATCTTCTTTAATAAATTAAATTAGCTGAACGAAAAGGTAATTTTAAATAATAATATTGATAGAAAAAATAGACTTTACTTTCACAAACTCTTGCTTTAGCATCTTAACTATTGAGTAAATGGAAGAAATAGGAAAATTAGATAAGAAATTTTTTGACTATTTTTGTAGGAAATCTATTTTTCAAGTAATTTGGGGATATTGAAAAACAAAAAGAGGATCCTTCTACAAAATTAGAGAAAAGTAAAGAAATTATATAAAATTTGAATGAGGCATATATTTGGACAAAATAATAATCAGAAAAATTTAATCCTCTTAGGTAAATAGTTCTAAGGGGATTGCTTTAATATGGTAAACAATGATTATATATCAAATGGATTGAAAGTTAACATTATGACTTTGATTTACTATTGGATTATCCAAACAATCCAACAGTAATATATCAAAATATCACAAAATAACATATGGATATGCAAAGTAAATCAGAAATGAAATTTCAACTGATTGGCAGGAATGCCATGGATTTAAAATTGATAGATGCAAATATTTTAAATTATTTTTAGGGATGAATACCAATTAATTAATTGAAAAGTATTTAAAACAGTATTTTGAACCACATTCGGATTTTAGTATTTTTGAGCAATACTTGGAAACCTAGTATTTGAAGAAACAAAAGGCTATAAGCCGCCTGTATAATGGAGATTAAGTTTAAGATTTGAATACTTATTTCACCAATTATGAAATCAAATAGATGAACAATGATAAAATCTTGTATTTTTGCGATAATAACAAGCCATATTTTGTTTATGGGGAACTTGTCAATTTATTTGTTTAATTAAAGAATATCTAAAGTTTGACGATAAAATATTTCAAATCAACTTGAAAACTATTATTTGGCTAAAAATGAATAATAATTTACAAATATATGTTTAGAGGCCTTTATTCCCTAAGAACAGATAAATATTACTTATGATTATCCTCCTATTAAGAAAGTAATTAAAGAGATTGCATTGGAATCAATCTAAAAAATTGAAAGAGGAGCCTTTATTATAGAATTTATTGGAAATGGGCTATCTTGTAGAGCAATAATTGGGAAGGGAAGAAAAATAGTCAATTGTATCTGCAAGATACAAATATGGGATATTTGATGAAAAATTAGAGAAATTGGTTGATGATCGAATTGGGTATGGATTGATGAAGCCTTTAAAATTTGGTTAAAGGTGAAATCATAATTCCATTCCTAAAATCTCAAACCAAATATTCTGCCATTATTCAAAATGGAGATTTCTATTAAAATGAGGATCTCTTGCTAGATCCTGAATTTTTTAGATTAATCTGCTGTTTCATTTTGGGGGATGAGTAAATTTAATTAGGTTCAGATGCCTAAATAATTATAATTCCTAAACTGACTTTGAATGGAACGATTATTGGATTTGAAATATTAAAGGATGCTAATGTTTAAATATCTTGTGTGAACGAGAAGGGTGTTCCTTAAACCTTCAACATCAAAGACATTAACTTTAAGTCTTAAGTCAATTTAGAATTGAAATTCCCTATTAATTAAAAATTTCCCAGCATCGAAAGTAAGAGTAACAGGGAAAATACACAATAAAGGAGATTTTTTATTAGAATAAATTTGTAGCGTAACAATGAAATTAAATTAATAACAATAAATTTTTATAAAACAATTGCGAAGATTTGATGATGCAGATGGCTATTCAATATTTGTATTGGGTAAGAATGGTGAGTCATACAAAAATGTCTAGGGTTAATTGATATTTACTCACTCTAAGATTTATGAGTAAATCAAAGATAATCTTATAGGCAAGTAAGTTGTTGTTCACTTTATTACTGATGAAATGGATAAATCAAGGTAGGATTTTTGCCAACTCTTTTTTCAACTCAATACTAGATCTAAAAATAAGAATGGGAATTAATAAAATTTATTATTACAGAATGGATCATAAATTAGTGGTTGATTTTGGAGAAAATTTATATTACAATTCTTTACAAAATTAGAAAATGTTCTGATTTATTAACTGAAACATTCGTATGATGGTATATAGGCATCACATAAAGATTATTATTTTATAAATAAGCTTACTGTGATTCCTATTAAAAATATTAGGAATTTGATTTAATTTGAAGAGAGGACTAATTTTAATTTACTAAAATCATTGAATTCCCTAATAAAGGAGTATTTTCACTTGTATTAATTGAAGCAGGCTATTCTTTTTTATTCAAAGTAATTGATAATACCTTAAGATAATGTAAAGATTACTTTATACTTCAAATAAAAAGATAAAAAAATTATATAAGAGAAATTATTGAAAAGCATACTGTGACTTAACTGAATGATAAAAATATGATGGTTTAGGGTGATATTTTATATGATAAAGAATTTAATTTAATTGCAATAGCTACTGCTTTCTATCCTGATCTTAATAGTTTAGTAACAGAAATGAGAAATTTTGATATGTAGAATTAAAAACCCTCTAATCTTAAGATTGAATTCAAAATAACATCTATATGAGTAACATAAAATAATCAGAGGAGTTAGGATATATTTTTGAAAGGAAAAATTAACAAAAGAATTTGGGCAACGCACTTGAGAAGCCTCATATCCATATAAAAAGATTTCAGCTTGATTGTATGGGAGGATAGCTTTATTATTTATACAGACACAATTTAAACATTAAAATACTTTAATTTATTTGTACAGAAACTTAAGAAGAAAATTGAAATAAGTTTAATAAAGTTTAACAAATTATAGCCCTTTCAGGATTGGTAAAGTTTTTGCGTATAGAAAAACAAGACCGTTAGTATATCATTAATAAAGTTTTGATCCTTTTTGTGATTTCCTGAATTTTCAGGCAGAATGATCACAAATATCCATAAAAATAAGAATCATTATTCTTTTCTAGTTCCATTGCATTATTCTANGAATTAATAAAATTTATTATTACAGAATGGATCATAAATTAGTGGTTGATTTTGGAGAAAATTTATATTACAATTCTTTACAAAATTAGAAAATGTTCTGATTTATTAACTGAAACATTCGTATGATGGTATATAGGCATCACATAAAGATTATTATTTTATAAATAAGCTTACTGTGATTCCTATTAAAAATATTAGGAATTTGATTTAATTTGAAGAGAGGACTAATTTTAATTTACTAAAATCATTGAATTCCCTAATAAAGGAGTATTTTCACTTGTATTAATTGAAGCAGGCTATTCTTTTTTATTCAAAGTAATTGATAATACCTTAAGATAATGTAAAGATTACTTTATACTTCAAATAAAAAGATAAAAAAATTATATAAGAGAAATTATTGAAAAGCATACTGTGACTTAACTGAATGATAAAAATATGATGGTTTAGGGTGATATTTTATATGATAAAGAATTTAATTTAATTGCAATAGCTACTGCTTTCTATCCTGATCTTAATAGTTTAGTAACAGAAATGAGAAATTTTGATATGTAGAATTAAAAACCCTCTAATCTTAAGATTGAATTCAAAATAACATCTATATGAGTAACATAAAATAATCAGAGGAGTTAGGATATATTTTTGAAAGGAAAAATTAACAAAAGAATTTGGGCAACGCACTTGAGAAGCCTCATATCCATATAAAAAGATTTCAGCTTGATTGTATGGGAGGATAGCTTTATTATTTATACAGACACAATTTAAACATTAAAATACTTTAATTTATTTGTACAGAAACTTAAGAAGAAAATTGAAATAAGTTTAATAAAGTTTAACAAATTATAGCCCTTTCAGGATTGGTAAAGTTTTTGCGTATAGAAAAACAAGACCGTTAGTATATCATTAATAAAGTTTTGATCCTTTTTGTGATTTCCTGAATTTTCAGGCAGAATGATCACAAATATCCATAAAAATAAGAATCATTATTCTTTTCTAGTTCCATTGCATTATTCTATTTTCAATGTTGTAGAATTATCTTGATAATTGTTCAAATTTCTCGATTGATTCTCTTTTGATGTATTAAATAATAAACTTATAAATTTAATATGAAATGATTTCTAAATATCTCTGTTTTACTTACATTAAAGTTCAGAGTTGTATATATATTTCAATCATAATTAAATTTAATTAAAAATGTGAAATAATTAAAATATCCATGAAAATTACATATAAGAAAATTGAAATATAATTCAAAAATCAAAGCAAATTATAAATAAGAATATATTAAATAATTCAATAGAAATTATATAAGATGATATTCAATTATAAATACATAAATCAATGAAAATTAGATACAAAAATATATTAAATTAAACATTCATAAATCAATGAAAATTATAGACAATTTAAATTCATAAATCAATCAAAATGATACAAAGAAAATATTAAATTATAAATTGATAAATCAATGAAAATTTTAGACAAGATTGTATTAAATAGAAAATTAATAAATAAATGGAAATTAATTACAAGGAATATATTAAATTATAAATTTATAAATCAATGTAAAATACATACAAAAATATATAAATTACACATTCATAAATCAATCAAAATTATAAACAAAAATATATTCAATTATAAATTCATATATCAATAGAAATTAGATATATAAGAATATAATAAATTATAAATTCATAAATCAATGCATTAAATTATACATTCAATTATCAAAGGAAATTATAGATTAAATTATAAATTCATAAATCAAGAGACAAGAATTTACTAAATTATAAATTATTATTATTTGCCAAAATTTTAAAATTAAGATACAAATTTTAATTCAAAATCTCCTTCATTGGTTATCTGGGCTCAAGGAATGCTTTCTTTGTTTGTATATAATTTCCATTGATTTATGAATTTATAATTTAATCTATTCTTGAATTTAATTTCGATTGATAATTGAATGTTTAATTAAATGCATTGATTTATGAATTCATAATTGAATATATACTTTTATATAATTTTAATTGATTTATGAATTTATAAATTAATTAATTCTTATTTATAATTTCCATTGATTTACAGGTACAATATATTATATTCTTGTATAAAATTCCTTTGATGTATGAATTATAATTAAATAGCAATTCACTTTAATTTATGGATCAAATTTAATAAGTTCAATCAATAACTATTTTCAACCTTAACTCATGCAAAAATGTTATATTAAAAAATATAAGATGATAGTTTTAAGACAATTATGAATTTAGTTACACATCAAGCTGTCCATTTAATAAATATTCTTAAACATCAATTTGACCTTCTAATTAATAAATGTAATAATATGAAGATAGACTTAAACGGCAGGTGTAACCATTTTTCCATAATAACAATACACTAAACAATGTTCAATATAAGAATTCAGGTGAAAATATCTATCACAATTATATGAACTGATAGCCAAAGAATTATGATTATAGCCGATAGCAATTAAGAAACAGTTCCATTTAAACATATTAGCAGAAGACCAAGAACAAGAATAAAAAGTTACCCACTTATATTGTTTTTAATCTTGTGGAGTATTTTTTAGCTAAACCAAAGTCTATTAATTTGACTTTATTTTTATTTTAAAAATATACAAAGTTCTCTAAGTTCAAATCTCTTTGAAAATAGCCTAAGCATGTAATTCCTTAACTCCTTTAATCATCTAAACATTTAATTTAAAATACAAACTTTAAAGAGTTAAAATTTCTTAACTAAATCTAAAGATGTATGAGCAATCAATTATTATGCAGTGTTTTTACCTTATTCCATAACTATTCCAAAATTTATCTAATCGTTCTATTAACAATTTTAAATTCCAAGTATTTTAATAATATGTTAGTTTTAGTACAGATATATTCAATTATAAACTATGAATAAAATGGAAATTTCAATAATAAAATATTAAATTAGAAAAATCATAATTAAATGGAAATTATGTTTCAAATATATTTTGATATCAAATTCAAAATTAAATGGAAATGATAAATAAGAATATTTTGAATTATAATTTAACATATCATTTAGGCCTAAACTACTAAATGTTTTTAGAAACTATTATATCATATGGCTTCAATGATTTTAGTTAGGGAAGATTAAAATAAGAACTCGAAAGTTATAAAAATAACACATTAAGCCATGAGAGTTTGAATCTATCCACTTTTGTGAAACAGAATGATTAACTTTTCTTAATTCCAATATATGATCATTTATAGATGCTTGTGTTCAATGTAGTTATTATCTTTTAAAATTTAACTTGTCTTGTACAGTATCGATCGGGATTCATTATTTAAAAAATTAAGACATCAAATAGGATTAAATCTTCGTCGATGTTATTATTGAAATAGAAGGTATTGATGTTTTTACTATTCAACTGTTTATGTACTCCAATAATTATACATTATAGTAACATCATCAATATCAATCATAGGGAGAGTATGAAATTTATCATGGTTAGATAATATAAATAAACTTCAAATTTTTAAATCAGTTGTCTTAAAAAATAATTTGATTTGTTAGAAACACATATTAAATTCTACAAAACTAAGTTGATTATCCAGTTTTCTCTTTGTATTTTTATATAGTCATTCTCATAATTAGGGACTTAATTCAATGGTTGTGTAATCATATTTAAATACAAGCATTTTTAGCAGTTATTCAATATCAAAGTTAAGAGTATAAATAACTAAATCGAAAATAATATTATTTATTGATCTTATTATATTATAATATCTGTAAATTTCATTTCTTAATTGCTATTTACTAAATTAGTTCTCTAAACTCATTTTTATTCGATTTGCACCACTTAATTGCTTCCTCATAATTATCTAGAGCTGATTAAAGCTTGTTCATTTTTGTTAAACAGATACCTATTAAAATACAAAAAGAATAACCTTTGTTATAATAGGCCTCATCATTTGTCGGATCTAATAATATTGCTTTATCATAGAAATCAACTGCCTCATGAAGTTTGTTTTGATTTTTTAAAAAATTTCCTATTACAATATCTAAAATAAAAACCTTTATAAATATAGGCAACAACATCATTCGGATCTATTTCAATCGCCTTATCGTAGCAAATAATTGCATCGTTACCTTTCTGGAGATCCTCTAAAGTATTACCTATGGAAATACTAAAAATAAAAACCCTTATAAATATAGGCTATCGTGTAATTTGGATCTATTTCTATTGCTTAATCGTAGCTATTAATTGCATCATTATATTTTTTAAGAAATTTTAAGAAATTTCCTGCTAAAATATAAATCAGTAATAACCCTTATTAACATAGGCAACTGGATATTTTGGATCTATTTCTATTGCTTTTTCGTAATAAATCATCGCATCATTATATTTGTTAAGATTCTTTAAAGAGTTACCTATTAAATAGAACAAATGAAACCCTTATTAATATAGGCACTCGCAAAATTTGGATCTATTTGGATTGCTTTCTCATAACATATAATAGCATCACTGTATTTTTTCAGCTCTTCTAATGAACAACCTCGTAATTAACCAAAAGAATAAACCTTTCATAAGATAACCCATACAATAGTTTTAATATTATTAGAGGGCTTAATCAATGCAAGAAATTGCTTAAGAATGTTATTTTTAATGATATAAGGAAAAACCTACTTTTAATATAAATGAATACTCTTTCTAAATAAAGCATGCAAATGATCAGGTTCTTCCTTCAAAACTAATTCGCATTATTAAATTGCTAATTAATATTTCTTTTCATCAGCTAATGCGTAGTCTATAAAAAATAATTGATTTAATTAACTTTTTGCAATTAACATAAATGTATTTTATGGACTTTTACATAGTTCTAAATCAGTATATTCTAATAGATCTTTATACAAATTGCTATTAATTTTTTTGGCCTATTCTCTCATTGTGATTCCTTTTCCAGGTTAATTCATTTCGATTAAGGATAGGCCTAAAAATAAAAATTAGAGGTACCTTGAAAGAATTTATTAAAAGATATTTATTTCTCCAAGTATTTTATATTTTCAGTTAATTGTTTATTAGCCAACTGCCATTTCTTCAAATTTAGTAATTATACTCCTAATTATAATTAATGCACTCGCATACCTTGCTAGAAAGTACTTTAAATGTCTATTTAATTACTTTGAGTAAATTATTATTCTTTATTTCCTTCCAAAGTTGCAATCATTTTTTTGACATTATTTAATTAAGTTCCTATGAATATTACGAATATATAATACCAATTTTATTCTGTATCATGATCTCCTCTTAATTATTGAAATACTGATATAACTCCTTAATCATTGACAAACTTTCTCTCATTTATTAATAATCCTATTGATTGAAACATTTAGAAATCTTATCTAATTAGGTTTTCATTCTCTCTAATGACTTCAAATATTCTTCAAATTTGAATTTGGCATTTTAAAAGGAATTATTCAATTGGTCTGTTAAATCAAAAATATTGTATTTGAATTAAGTGATCAAATTTTAAATCTAGCCAAATACTTTTAAGTCTTTCTTGCAATTACTATGCTTCTTTGGGTCAATTGCACATTAAGTACAGAATTATGATTTGGAATTCTAGCAATCCAAATTTAAGCAAAATCCTTAGATATCTCCTTCATCGTGCGTAATATCTTAACACATAAACAATTTCTGTTAGTTCATTTAAATAAATAATATTTTATAATTCGACTTTAAATTTGGAAAAAACAAGCATTTATTATAACAATGGAATAATAAAAAGTAATTTTCCCAAAAATTTCTAAATCTTTTCTTCATTTCAATTTTTATAATTTCGATACTTTAACAAGTTGATTAATAAATAAGGCCATATAAAAAAATTTTATCTTCATGAGAATACTTAAAAATAAAAGCAATGCATATATTTTTGATTTTATTATATTTTATTTAGTTTTCTTCGATTTTAATTTGAGTAGTTAATCTCTGACAAATTATAACACTATAAAGTATGACTCAAACGAAGTTGAGAAACAAATTAAACTAGTATCACTTAAGGAGTATCTTTATAAAGCAACTTTCGGTTCTTATAAGATCATTTGTAAAGTAGCCTATTAATTTTTTTTTGAAATTTGCCCTTATAATTCAATACAATTAAAAATTATATATTAAAAATTGAAATTCTTTTAATCTCATGACAGTTGGTTTCTTTACTAATTGTTACACTTTTCAATACCAAAAGTGATTATTATAAATTATTTTTATAAATATATTATTTAAAAAGCCTTTTCAAGTATTAATAGAGATTTAATTATAAATATGAATTTAGATTCAATAAAACATTTTGGAAACAGTCCTATCTTATTCATTAACTTTACTTTGGATTAAATAAAACAACTAACCTTGTATGAGTATCCAAAAATATCTGAGATTTTATCTGATACTAAATAAAATGAAAATCGATATTTTTAAAATTTACTTTTCTAATTATAAAAAATTTGGGATTAAGAAAAATTTTTGGTGAAAATTTATTATAATTACAACTAATGGATGTGTATTTAATACTTTCTATTCACAACTTAATAACAGAAACAAATACTGATTTTTGAATTTAAAATTAGAAAATAGAAATTGTTATTGTTTACCTTCGGATTAATTTTCTATTGAAAAGCGAAGTATGACTTAAATTGGAATAAAAGTAAAGTGGTTTCTCGAATCATAACATTGATGGTGCTGATGAAATAAGCATATTTGACGACGGCTATTTTCTACTTCAAAATTCTTACTGCATTTAGATTCACAACCATGGTATATGGGATCATTAACATTTTTTAATTGATGTCATTTAACTTTTGTTTTATTTTATTTATTTGAGATTTCTCTTCCTATTATTCGAAATTTGCATTGTATTTTAGATTGAGCTAAAGCGTTTTGTCCTCATTGTTGGCACATTTGAATTTATCAAATAGTTTTCTAAATCTATTGATTTTGTATTTCTAATCAAGGATTATCGCATAGTAAATAATTATTTCTGACATAATTAATCTTTTTTATTTAGTACATCCTTAAAAGTTTCACTGTTATCCTCTGTTCTTCTTGTAAATTTTCTGCTATTAAACTTATGTCTTATGGAATGCTTAGTATAGGATTCTGGAATTGCAAGTTGCTATGTTATCATTCCGTAGATACTAAATATTATATTATCAATAATTGTTATTAGACTTAGGTTTAATATTGAACAATATTTTATTCCCTAAATTTGAGATTTGTTTGAAACAGTTTCAAAAAAAATTGATGATGAAGTAGTGATATAAGAATTGATTTTATGGTTGCTGAAATTATGATCAGATTTGTTTGTGGAAGCCAAGTATTACGTGTATTTAAGAGATTAGTAGATATTCATTCTCTTAAGTGTTTAAATTATTGATAAATTTTAAAATTGAATACACAAAAATAGAATTAATTGCACAATTTGTTCTAATATTTTTATAAATGATTTTAATTGAAAAAGTATAGTTAATGTTGGATTCTCTTTTCTTAAATTCTTTTTTTTTTTGAACTAAAATTACATACTTTTATGCAATCAATGTATGTTTGGATTCAAATATTTCCAAAAGACATGAGTGAATTACACATTTTTATTTTGTGAATTTAATATTTTTGTCTCTACTTAATGGACTAATGGACTATCCCCAAAAATCAAAAGTTTCTAAGATCGAACCAATTCACATTAAATTGATCTTAGTTAATCCTCTAACATTATCCCTATCTACATTATAAAATTATGTCTTCAGGATTGAATATCTAATTTTTCTTAATACAAGGTTTAATTGTCACTTATATATTATGTTTGATGAAGCATAGGAATCACTACTTTTAAAATGTTGTAGTAATGAAATTGGCAATTCATAAATTCTTTTACAACTGCTTTTAGATAGTTATTTGAAATTGATGAACATCCTTTTGTCTCTTTGAGTTGTAATTACTGTGCAAATAACAATATGTGATGCCTTGTTTCCCAAAGATTATGAATCATATAATTTTTTTGGGTACATATGTGATGTTTATCCACAGGTAATAGTTTTATCTTTGTTGCATATTATTCTACCTGATTGGCTTACCATATTTAACTGCTTATTGTATAAATGATTCTAAATACAGAATATACCCCTTTTAATATAGTTATTTCAGAAAAAGGGCAGAAATTGTATGAAGAAAACTTTATATTGAGTAATTATTCATAGTACACTCTACAATCAGCAGATTAACTGCCCTTATCATTTAAATACAATAATTAACTTTAGCAATTAGAGTTTTCCTTTTCAATATTAAATAGAGCTGCTGCAATTGTAAAATCCTAAGACTGCTCCATTAGCAAAGTAATATTTCTTTTGTGAATTGAGATGAATAGTAATGATTAACCAATTTTATCAATTCATTACCTCGAATCATTAAATAAAATTAAATTTTAAATTATTCTTAATCTACTTACATTCAATATATGAATGTTATACAAAAATTCTAATTATTTAAATTGATGATTTAAATGCAAAACCTTAAATTTTTAGTAAGCATGTTGCTCTGAACAGAACATAAATTACACCACAAAACTAACTTAATATTAATCTCAAATAAGAGTATTAAATTTGATATTATATTCCTACATATTTGCTTGCTTAAAATACAGGTAAAGTCTAAACATATATTCATTACTTGAAGGTATTGTAACTAATTCTCATACTTGTTTAAGAGAACTAGTAGTAGGACATATTTGGGTTTAGATTATTTGAATGTTTGCAATAACTCTATATTCAAAGTATTTTAAGCCATGCATTACAGAACCAAATGTTACAATTTTTATTAACTATATTAGAAATGATTATTCTGATAGAGATATTGAAAAGTCGAAATTCATTGTGGATTCATAATTTTTGTATGATTAGGGTAAATGATATTCTTAAAATTATTGTAATCAGAATTCAAAATCATTATTTACATTAAATATATTATAAATTTTCGCATTCTTTTCCCCTCAGTCTAAATAGTTTGATTAATTCACTCAATTATGGTAATAAAGTATCCGAAACCAATCCTAATTCTCTGAATTAACCAATTTATATATCCATGTTTCAAATCTAAAATTCTTAAAAATTATTGAAAACGCAGTCCTGCTTTCAGTATTTATAACTTAATCAAATTCTTATAAATTAAACTATATTTCTTTATAATTTTTTCCACCTAAAGCCATCTAACTTCGAACCCAATCAATTTGAAATATACTTTCAGAATGTTCTCTGTGAATTTTATGACATAATTAACAGCAAAATTTTTATTTCTTTTTATTTTTGAGGTGATATATTTTTTGACAATATTAATTTATTATTATTATTAAAATAATAAATAATCAATAATTTAACTTAAAGTATAAACTATCAATATATTGGTACAATTTAACTGGAATTTCAATATGTTCTTCTAATTCTTAATGAAGATTTTGTTAATAGGATCTGAATTATTAAATTTTGAACAGTTAGAACATATTAATTTTTTTTATATTATTTTGCTCATTCAAAATTGATTTTCTCATGAACTCTTAATATTATTAAATAGTTTAATTTTTTTCTAGAAGTGAAACAATGCTAAGTATCTTATTTAAGGATCTTAAACTCTATATTAATCAACTAAAATGTTAAAATCCTTTGATTAAACCTGTTTAATGGTTATTATCATTGTTCTCAGCCATTCCCTACCTAATTCTTGCTTTCTATAATTCTTTCTAAAGTATCATCACTTTTGGCAATTACAATTAGCTAATTCAAATATTTTGGTTTTAGGATATTGAAATAGTTACCAAATTTTCTGTCGATTGTTTAGATTAGGACTAAAGATTTAATCAAATTTTCTATCTTATCCGGTACTCTAATTAGTCCAAGCAAAATATAACTCAAGAAACATTCTGATGAAAATTTGGAAATAATGTAAATTTCCCTTGCTATTGTTATATTAGTGGAGAAGGGATATATGATGGGCTAGGTTGTAAACTAATAAAAGGTTAGAGGTTAGTGATGATTTTTGCTAGTATTTCGATGGGATTATATTTTTAGTGGAAGTTAAATGATTTATTAAGTTAATTATAAGGATAAAAAAAAGTCGGTAGATGAAATATTAGATTAGATAAAGCTAAAGAGAATATATGAAAATTGAAATTAATTTATTGGGTCTAGTGGTGGAAGTGATTATGATCGAGGTGATTGAAAATATCGTAATTTGATGATAAATTTGGAGAGTAAAGATATTATTTTCTAACGTATTGATATATGTTGGTGGGAATAATATCTGTAACAATTGATCAAAGTTTTATATTGAAAATTGCATTCTCTCAATTCAAATTTGGAAATTTTATGAACAATTCTTAAGAGTCTAAAACATTGGGTATTTCAAAATAGAACTAATCTATTGTTGTAGAAAAGGGATGAAATAAGCATTAATAATTGATGTTTAACATATTAATGAAATAGTTGATAACGAAATCTGACTTGGTCTGTTTAGTAATTAAATGAAAATTATAGAAAAACCGTTATTTTCAAATTAGAAAAAGCAAAAATTTTTTGACAAATATATTTCTGATCAGTATAAGCTCACCATTGACAAATATAGATTGCAAAGTATGAATGAATTATTCAACTTAAAAATTTATAAGAATAAAAATAAATTGGTCATCTTATTATATAAGATTATGGATTAAAACAATACAATAATATGAGTCTGAGATAAGCTCATGCTCTCAGTTTTGAATTAATATACTTAGAATGAGATAGGGAAAAGATTATTGCATTAAATAATTTACATTAGCATTAAATAAATTCTAACAATAAATATATATAATTTATTACATTTTGTTATGAATCAATTAATTCTTTCAAATATAATAGCCGAATAAAAGTAGCAAGTCTTTAAATTGAATCATCCTAGGATTATCTAAAGCAATAAATATTTGGGATTTTTGCTACTCAAAGTAAACGATGTCTATAAAAGGAATGAACTATGATCAACAATTATTTTGAACTTTTCCGATAATATCATATAAGAGTTAATTGTTATGCTATGGATTTTTATATTTCCTTAATTTGATAATAATTGGAGAAAAAGAAACGGATTTATACAATTATTTATATTTCAATCGAAAAATAATAAAAGTTCACAGATTAGTAATTTGTATTTTAATTTAAAAAATTCAAACTAATTCATATTAAATAGAGATAACATTATTAAAATCTGGTCATTGCAAAGGATAAAATGTATCTGGCTCTATAAGATGTATACTTGTAAGTGATAATGAAGATCTAATTGTTTCTGGAGGGAATGATTGTTATATTAAATTTTGGATGATGACTAATAATTATTAGAAGACTAAGATTGGATTTGTGGAATGAGTTTCTTAAAATTAATTGATATCGACAGCTTGGGAAGATCCTAGAATAAAAATAAGCCAATAATAACCTTGTAAGAAATTGGTTGTTATTTCAACAATTTAAATTGATTTATGGGGTTTTAGGATCTGTTTTCTAAATAATAAATGTTTTCTTTCTAACCTTTAATGGTTAAACTATGCAACTATATTAAATTTAGACTTAGAATGAAGTAAATACTCGAACAAAACTTTTGATGTATAATAAAGTAAGGAGGAGGTAAAACGTTTATTGAGATTTTCAGAATTGTTTATGATTAATAATTTTAAAATTGTAACTCACGATTGATAAAAAAGGAGTTTAGAATGGGATGGGTCGATATCTAAATACTAATTTTCTGATTAATTATACATTCTGTCATCAAGAAAAGAATTAATTTTTAGTATAATATGTGTGAATTTTAATGAAATACAAATAGTATTCAAAGGATCTGCATTAGAGAGACAAAAGAGTATTTTTCTCAAAGGGGTTTAAACGTCATGCAGATGAATTAACTATTGTTTTATAAATTTTATTCTCAAGTCTAATAAATTGAAATATCAACTACATCTACAATTCGAGATAAGATTATTAAAGAATTGGAAGAGCAATTCAATTAATTTTGTGATTCTTCTAGTTAAATTTTTTTTTAAACTAAAATTTTAAATGATTTACCAAAGTTATTTACACAACTTGTCAATTTTGCGATTAACAAATTTTTTTCCCTTCCTCAAAATAATAAGAAAATACTAATAATTCTCATAAGTTTATTAATCATTTAAAATAGAAATACAATTTTATTTGAAACTTTAGCTTTTATTAATTATTTATATTAAAATGGGTGCTTCTTGTTCTAAAGCCAAAAAATTCCAAAGAATGGCAAATTAGCCACATAGTTTAGATAAATTCAATGATCCAAATGAAAATCAATAAGGAGAGGCACCGAATAAACAGGAATAGAATCCTATCTTAGAATGTGATTGTTTTATTTGGGACCTGCATAAACTTAGATGGGTGAAGAAAAAATATTCAAAAATATTCACTAATGGAAATGTAATTAAGTATATTTATGACGGCTAACTACTGAAGACGTAAATATTTGACCATCAATAAATAGAGAATAAAGACAGTAGTAATTTTTGAGATTCGAAGAATAGAATAATTTAGAATAAATAAAACATCTGTTATGGCAAGGAAAATAGTCTTACCATGGGCATAAGGTAGGAAAATGGATAGCTGTTTGGAAGGGGGAAACAGTAAAGGATGTAGGAGGATGGTACTTGAATAATGGAGAAAAACATGGTTTATGGATAGATATAATGAAGAATTATTAGACGTAGATATTATTAGATAATTTATGAGTAAAGCTTAGATTTATGAAGTGGGAGAATATATGAATAAAATAAGACAAGGCAAATGGAAGTATTTATATGAAAGCAAAGAAATGTATTAATAAATACTCATTATGAAGTGGTGGTGGATATTATGAAGAAGGTTCTGATAGTATTAAAATTGGAAAATGGATAGAGTTAAATGATAATTACTAAAAATTTTCTTAAGTGTCCTATTATGGTGAATATAAAAATGGTAAAAAAGTAGGATTGTGGGATATTTTCTATAAGAGTCAATTTTAAAAAAGGATGTAAATGTTTAAAGTATAAAAGTTCAGTGGTGGTGGATCATATGATGAAAGAGGTATAAAAGTTGGGAAGTGGATTGAATTGAGTGATGGCTTTTATGAGTATTCGTAGGTAACATATATTGGTGAATACCATAATGGGAAAAAAGTTGGTAGGTGGTGTATTTATTAATGGGATTTTTATACAAATAATAATTAATAAATGTAATAATAATAAATCTAAATGGCTTCAGTGGAGGAGGATCATATGATTAAGAATGTGATGGTATTAAGAATGGAAAGTGGATTGAGTTGAGTGATGGATTTTGTAGAGATTCATAGGTCACCTATATTGGATTATATAAATTTGGTAAAAAAGTGGGTAAATGGGATATTTGGTATGCTGAGAGGGAGAGAAATTAAATAAAAAATGAACTAATGTAAACAACGTTACATTTTAAATCTTTAGTGGAGGTGGATCTTATAATGAAAGGGGTTAGGAAATTAAAATTGGGTATTGGATTGAATAAAGCGATGGATATTTCGATAGATCATAGGTAACATATAATGGAGAATATATAAATGGTAAAAGAGTGGGTAAATGGGATATTTTTGTTAAAAATAGGAGAATAGGGAGTGATGAAAAAATGTAAAAATAATCTATAATGAAAAATTAAAGTGGAGGCGGTTAATATGATTAAAAAGGAAGTGGAATTAAGACAGGAAGGTGGGTTGAGTTAAGTGATGATTATCATGACTGTTCATAAGTCACTTACGTTGGTGTATATTAGAATGGTAAAAAAGTTGGTAGATGGGATATTTTATATAAAAATAGGGATACAAATATAAATGAATTTATGTAAAAATATCTAGTAAACTATTTAGAGGAGGAGGATCATACAACGAGCTAGATAATGGCTATAAAATAGGTACTTGGATTGAGTTAAATGAGTGGTTTTCTGATAGTTCTTAGGTCACTAATAATGGTGAATACAAGAATGGTTTAAGGTTTGGCAGATGGGACATTTGGTATAAAAATAGGGATACAAAACAATATGAATTGATGTAAGACACTATAAAAGCATTTATGTTATAGTGGGGGTGGATCTTATTAAGATGAAGTTGATAAAATTAAGATGGGGATATGGATTGAGTTAAATGATGGATTTTGGGATTACTCATAAGTCACACAACATGGAGAATATCAAAATGGTAAAAAAGTTGGTAGATGGGATTTTAAATATGAGGGGTCCTTACTGTAGTAATTTTAGGATATTTTAGCGGCGGTGGTTTTTATAATGAAGAAGGTGATGGCATCAAGGTTGGGTAATGGATTGAATTAAGCGATGGATTTTAGATGTTTTAGTAAGTGGCTTATATTGGAGAATATCGAAGTGGTAAGAAAGTTGGTACTTGGTTCGCAATTAGAAGAGAATGGGATTAGATCGAATTTGTGAAGAAGGCTGAAATTAAATATAATAATTGATTTTTGCAATTCAACTATCATCATGCATTTATTTTTTCGAATTTCAATTTTTTTCTCCAAAAAGTTTATATATAAATATCCTTATGAATTGATAGCTTTATTTCTCTCCATCAACTTGCACTAATGAAGAATCTAAAATTTTTTCTTGAAAAAATAAATTTTTTTATCATAAATTTTTGATGTTGTCGTAATTGGGTCAGCCAGAGGAATCTCCTCCTCGACTAACCAATAATTTGGAGAAATGGAAGGGCCGAGAAGGACTACAATGACTTCTAGAGAGATCATAGGGGAAGGGAAGGGAGGTTTAAATTGTAAACCCCCATAGGCCCGGTCTGGCCTAGGAGTTGAAGGAGATGTTGAATTATGTGTCACTAGTTGGAACATCAATAACTCAAGTATCTATCCAACCTNTAAGCAAGTCGTTTCATTATACTACACTCTTTACCATCAAAATCAATTCCTGGAATATATGCTCTTTTAAACCTCTTAATTCCATAACATTAAAAAAGGAGTTCTCATTGTTTTGTCTCTATGAAATTAAGAATAAAAAATTAGACTCCTTACCTAGTTATACAATCTATAAAAATTAGGTAAAAGCTGGTTCTCGTTCTGGGGGAATAGCTACTGTAATTCAAAATAGTTTTACTTTATTTGATTGCCGCAAAATTGCAAATATTAATAGTAATTCTTTGATTATTTAATTATCAATCCTCGAAATGAATACCTTGACATTTTCATTTGTAATTTTTACTCTCACCAAAAATATATATTCCTAATAATAAAAGAGAAATTAACAATTTGGTTAGTAAATTTTATAGAATATCAAAGCCAACTAATTTATTATTATTTGTGGAGACTTTAATATTCCTGAGATCCCTTTTGGATTTATGACTCCATTGCTTCCCCTATAAATAAAAATCTATATGAGGAAAAATCTTTCGTAAATTGTATCTAGTCGTACGGATCATATCTTCCTTCAATTGTAAAATTATACGGTATTGAAATTATCTAATTAATAAACCAGATTCGTTCCATATTCTTCAACATAAATCCACATTTCTAATATACTCATTAAAAGTAATTAACTCCTTTGGAAAAATGATAAAATGAATCACATTTTTATTAATTATTCTAATGCCTTTAACTGTGTCAATGGTAACTTATTTTTTAAAGATTATTAGATAAGAAAATTTTAATTAGTATGATATTGGATTTCTTAAAAATTTATATTCTACAATTAATTTAGCTTATTATTTGATAATGGAGTGCCTTAGGGCACTCCTCTCTTCTCTGTATTATTGATTGTTTTTATTTAGAAGATCTTTTAGATAAGGTACTTATAGATAGTAATTTAAATTAAAGTTTGTAATTTGTGATGACATTGCCACAATTTTTCTGAATAAGGATTCTCTTGAATACCTAAAAATTCTTAAAAATGCACTATTTAATAATATGTAAAGATTAACAAACGAAAGTGTGGAATATTTTTTCTTCACAATCATACATAGATCAGTGATATTATGAACTATCCTGTACTTTAAGAATACAAATACTTAGGAATATTAGTAGTTAACAATGTAAAATAAAAATAACATCTTCATAAAATAAAAATTCTAGTTAATCACATAATTGGAAGAGAAATTGGATATCTCAAATATTTTTTTGGACATAAAAATACCATCTATGATAGGCTTATATTAGTCCAAATATTTTATATTCTTTAAATGCAATACCTTCCAAAAATATTTAAATATCTATAAGAAATATCTATAAGGAGCTTGAAAAATTACAAAAGCTTTTTGAAAAATTTAGTAGATTTTCAAAAAATGCTTCCAAAAGAATCTCTTTAATACCCAATCTTTAGTTCTTAATTTTGAGAGCCTCTTAATCAACAACTTATAAAATGCAATTTAGATAAATTACTTTAATACCACAAAGGATTTTGATCGAATTTAAAACAAATGATTGCATTATCAAAATTGATTGTTTTCCTAATGATTTTACAGAATTATTCAAATTATATCCCTAAATTTGTAAATAGCACAATTTAAACTTATCCTTTCATCATATTATTAACTATCATTCAAAATTATCTTAGTCAGAACTTCTAATTTAATTAAGAATATAAAATGTTACCAAAAATAGTTAAAAAAGAGATTAGAGAAATTTATTACGAAGATTAAAAATTTAGGAATTTTATTGTATATGTGTATTAATACTAAATATAAATCATTTAAGTTCAATTATAATACAATTTCCATTGTTAATGTAATTATACGTTCACCCGTTAAGTTAAGAGGTTGAAACGTTTGAAAATAACTTGATCACATCAGTTTTTCTTCTTCTCAGACTGATTGTAAATATGGAATAAAAGATACTTATGAAAACTACAACAAGTGATAGTTACATCTCATAAAAATCTTTCAATTTGTTCTTTTTAATATACAAAATAACAAAGAGAATAAACGTCACAATATCTACAATTACAATTTGATGAACAAGATGGTTACCTTAGTTAAAAAATATTAAAAGCACTTAGATTTGAAAATTTGAAAGGTAAAATAAAGTAGAAAATTAATCAACGCTTTGTTTATTAGTATAGCAGCAAAAAATAGTTGATAGGAATCAGTTCGAATTGATTTCTCTTCTTTGATAGACTATTTGAACTTTATAAATTAAAAAATTCTTAAATTCCTTCAAAAATTTAAGATAATGATCATCTTCATCCTATCTTTTATTTGATATATCTCAGCAGAACCACTAAAATATCATCTTAATATGTCAAATCTTTGTTTGATAAAGCCACTTCTGCTTTATTTTTTGTTAATCATTGAAGATAAACCAAGAGGTGATTTAAAATTCTCAAAGTCTCAAAGAATTAACCAAGCTGAACCTTTTTTTAAGAAATTTTTGATTGTATCTAAAGATTCAAGGATCTAAGGATAGATTTTATAGAACGATACTCCTTGCCTTGTCCAAAAATTAAGCAACCTAACGGTTAGGTCAAAGATGTACTAATCCTAGAATAATTGGAATAAATATACTTTTAGAGAAAAATATATCCCATCGAATTTTTTTATTTATATCCTATTGGACCATCTTCACCATATCTCATTGATTTTACAATCAAATCACATTATAATCTAAATAGCTCTTCTGATTCTTTCGTAGCCATTGACAGTTTAACTCCTTATTTCTTTTAACCCTCTTAATAATTTTTTTTCTATTTTTGAATATTTAAAATTAATAAGAAAAGAAAAATGTTTGAGTATGGTATTTATCATCCGAAAAACCAAAAAAATGGCAAGTCCTATGATAGTGAGATTACCACTATGTTTTAGGCTCTCTTATATAATATCAAACCATTGTATAATTTTTTGAAAGTGCATTGAAATTAAAAAATAAAATTCAAGATGTACTCAGATAAATGTAAAAATTAAAAAATATATACTCATAGTAAAATTGATTATATTTTTCGAAATCACTGCATCTCTCTGAACAACAGATCAAATAAAACTTCAAATGAAAAACTAATCAACACGAAAATAAAGATTCCAATTATCATTTGTAGAAGTCTGCCGGCTATTCTATTATAATTATCCCTTATTTATATTTATAAACTAAAGTTGACTCTAAAGAGAAGAAATTAATTTAAATAGTCCTATCACTGCTGATAAATTGAAGATACAAAATTTGTTATCAAAAAAACACATCTTATTAATGGCCATTCTGACAAATAACTATGTTTCTATTCATACTAATTAATGTAGAATTTTATTAATTCATGTAGGTATCTTTTGTTTACCAATTATACTACCTATTTTGCAATAGAAGATTATTATATTTAATGGTAAATTAAATGCAAAAAAAATTCATCATAATTATCTACCAGCACTTCAATTATACTTGGACAACTAAAGATACCTTTTCCTTAGGGTTAGGTTTAAATTTTGCTGATTTTGAATGCATCTTTTATATGGCCATTCGTTAAATTTAAACAAATAATTTATAATCGCAGAATTTTTGAATTTCCAATCCAAAATAAAAACTTTTTTTTATTTTATAAAGCATGAAAATTAGTCCAATAATTTTGGAAATAACCAACTATATAGCTTGTTTTAGGCTTATCCTGAAATTAAAAAATGATCAATAAAATGTTTCAAATTTTAAAACATTTGTAAAGCCCCAATAAAACATATACATATATTTTTCTCTTTGGAGATTGGTACATAGGCTATTGTTTTCATAACCAATTTCAGCATTAACTTTTATTATTAGTAGATTGTTGCATTTTCTTTAATTTAATATTAATGTAACTTTTTTTATTATTCATTATTGATTCTTAAAAGATTAAATATTATAAGCAAAGTTACAATTAGATGTGTTTTTTTATCAATATTTAATTGTAATATAAAGTATGTGAATTTGAGAGTATATGAATGGTAAATTTGATTAGAATTTATATTAAAAATGAAAATTTGAAACAATATAAGCAAATAATTTTTGAAAATATGAAATTAATGAAATTATGATGCTTCATCACTTTATAACTATTCTTTATATAATACTCATCATTTGATCCTTTTTAAATTCTGCTCAATAAAACTTATCCGCTTCATTGTTTTTCCCTAATTCAAATAATGTATCAGCTAAATGTAATTAAGAATTATCTACCTTTAAGTTTTAATGTTAGAGGATCAATGCAAATAGAAATTGCATAATCATAGCATAAAATTGCCTCACTATATTTCTTTAATTTATTTAATGCAACGCCTAGATGATACTATATTAAATTGACCTTTATCAATCCATGCGGCTTCAAATTTTGGATTAATTGCAATAGCTATGTCATAACACTCAACGGCTTCTTAATGTTGATTTAAATTGTGTAATGCTAAACCTAAATATTAATAATTTTAAAATGATTACCTTTATTATTCCATGCTTTATCATATTTTGGATTAATTGCAATAGCGTTGTCATAACACTCAATAGCTTCTTAATATTGATTTAAACTTTGTAATGCCAATCCTAAGTATTATTAATTTAATAAAAATTACCTTTATTATTCCAGGCTTTATCATATTTTGGATTAATTGCAATAGCGTTGTCATAACACTCAATAGCTTCTTAATATTAATTTAAATTGTGTAATGCTTAAGCTGAATAATAATCCTTTAAGAATTATTACCTTTATTACTCCATGCTTTATTATATTTTGGATTAACTGAGATTGCTTTGTTATAACACTCAATAGCATCTTAATATTGAATTAAGTGTTGTAATGCAGACCCTATGTGTTAATAAACTAAAAATAATTGCCTTTATTATTCCATGCTCTATCATATTCTGGATTAATTGCAATAGCGTTGTCATAACACTCAATAGCTTCTTAATATAAATTTAAATTGTGTAATGCCAAACCTAAGTATTATTAATGTAATAATAATTACCTTTATTATTCCATGCTCTATCATATTCTGGATTAATTGCAATAGCGTTGTCATAACACTCAATAGCTTCTTAATATAAATTTAAATTGTGTAATGCCAAACCTAAGTATTATTAATGTAATAATAATTACCTTTATTATTCCATGCTCTATCATATTCTGGATTAATTGCAATAGCGTTGTCATAACACTCAATAGCTTCTTAATATAAATTTAAATTGTGTAATGCCAAACCTAAGTATTATTAATGTAATAATAATTACCTTTATTATTCCATGCTCTATCATATTCTGGATTAATTGCAATAGCGTTGTCATAACACTCAATAGCTTCTTAATATAAATTTAAATTGTGTAATGCCAAACCTAAGTATTATTAATGTAATAATAATTACCTTTATTATTCCATGCTCTATCATATTCTGGATTAATTGCAATAGCGTTGTCATAACACTCAATAGCTTCTTAATATAAATTTAAATTGTGTAATGCCAAACCTAAGTATTATTAATGTAATAATAATTACCTTTATTATTCCATGCTCTATCATATTCTGGATTAATTGCAATAGCGTTGTCATAACACTCAATAGCTTCTTAATATAAATTTAAATTGTGTAATGCCAAACCTAAGTATTATTAATGTAATAATAATTACCTTTATTATTCCATGCTCTATCATATTCTGGATTAATTGCAATAGCGTTGTCATAACACTCAATAGCTTCTTAATATAAATTTAAATTGTGTAATGCCAAACCTAAGTATTATTAATGTAATAATAATTACCTTTATTATTCCATGCTTTATCATATTTTGGATTAATTGCAATAGCGTTGTCATAACACTCAATAGCTTCTTAATATTGATTTAAACTTTGTAATGCCAAACCTAAGTAATATTAATTTAATATAAATTACCTTTATTATTCCATGATTTATCATATTTTGGATTAATTGCAATAGCTTTGTTATAACACTCAATAGCTTCTTAACATTTATTTAAATTTTGTAATGCCAATCCTAAGTATTATTAATTTAATAAAAATCACCTTTATTATTCAATGCTTTGTCATATTTTGGATTAATTGCAATAGCTTTGTCATAACACTCAATAGCTTCTTAGTATTTCTGTAAAATTTCTAATGCTTTACCTTAATACCATTAAAATTAATGATACCTTCATTAAAATATTTTTCAGCTTCTTCAAAATTGTATTGTATTTAATTATTGGTCACCTAAATAGATTCATCATTTTTATTATCTATTTAATTACCATTATTAGTTTAATCTTAAGCTTTTTCAGATACCATATTCTTAATTGTATCAAGTATATTATTGAATTTTTATATTTATTCTTCTATTTTAATTAATTAAAACAAGATACATAATTAATTTTCTTTTCCCTTTTAGTAAAACTGTTTAATTGAGTTAATTTATGATTTAAAAGTCAAATACTCTTTTTATATAAGTTATTCAATCATTTCTTCCAATATTTTAATATCCTGATCCATTTAAAAAAAAATCTATTCAAAATAATGTGAAAGTTATTTCGAGACTTCTTGAAGTTATTTCCTTGATTGATTGTACACTTGCATAAATTCATTTAAAAATTAGATTATTTTAGTGAATCTAATACAATCATCGAAATGATCCGAATGATTTGTTTATAAACATTCATAATAATATTGAGTTGGCTTTTAACAATTTTAATTCAAACAAAATCCAAATATTTCTTCATTTTCAAGAGTTTCATGTCTACATTTAAAAATTTCCATGAAAATATAAAATTTAAATAATTAATTCATTAGTAAATAAAATTTCATACTTAAATATCCTGAACTAATATTAAAAATCAATCTTATTACCTTACCTAAATTAAAATTTCCTTAATCAAACTTAATATAGATCAATTAACTCTTCAATTACAAATTAAAGCATAACTTTCAAGTTGGGTGTTTTAATCTTCCTTTTAAATGTCACTAGAAAAAAACACACAACTTCTTATAAAGCGGTAACTATTTCTAATTTAGAAAAATTATAAAATTTTTGTCGGCTAACTTAAACATTATGCTAGATGAATTACAGCAACCAAACTAATTGTTTAATTTTGATTTAATCAACTCTTTAAAACTTATTATAATAGATTATTTTCCCCTAATCCGATTGGAATAAATGATATCATCAGGAATTAATTAATACTAATTTCTGAAGCATTTGTAAGAATCCTAATTTAAAGATCAATCATAAGGGATTTAATGAAATTCAAGCTAATTTAACCAACACTAGTATTCAATAAAAAGACCTCTATATCCTACTGTATAGAAAAACTTATGTTTGAGTAAAGCTGTTTTATGGGTTTTATTTCACGTTTTAAATATTGTACTAAACTGGAAATTTACAATCAAAAATGAAAATTTTTATAAATAAAAAATACTTCACACTTTTACAAAAGTAATGGCTTATGCTTTTTAGTAATTGAGATAGTGGCTGAAGATTTTGTCCAGTACATCTATTAAGCATTTTCTCAATGATCTCTATATTTAAAAATGGGATTATGAACTTTATATAACTTATTGTATTTAGAATTCAAAAGAAACACTAAAAGAATTTTTAGATTGTAAAAAAATTCAATAAAATTGATATGTTATATTCAAAAAAAGCACTATCTATGATATAAGTACAACAATTAATAAACTAACTTAGAACAGAAGATTTAAATTTAGTTTAAAGCAAATCAAGCAGATATATTATTATTTATAGATTATTATTATCTCGATTTGAAAAATAGATTTTATAAGTTTTAAGTTTAATATTATATGGAATCTTTATAAATTAATTTAACTTAGATTTCTTTGATACTGTGAATTAAAATCTAATCAATTTAATATCTGAACCTGAGTCTTAATAACCCAAGCTTTTGAGTATTCATATATATCTTGTCGTTCTAAAATGAAATCATACCTGTTTTAATAAGATTTATGGAAAGAGTAACACAAAGCCTATTGAAAATAAATTGGAATTTTTACTAAATAATAATTTTTTTATTAACTTCTTTTAAGTAAATCCTTCATTAATACAAGACGGCGAAAATTGATTTCAACTTCATTTTTAAAGTACCTACACTCTGGAAAAAGCATATGTAAGAGTTCAATCTTGTTCTTATTATTTTCTAAATTCTAGATTGAATTATATAACAAGAAAGATATTTATATAATCCTTCGATTTAGTATTAAAGGAGATTTCCTGACTCAAAATTATAATTATTTACTCTAGATTTTCTCAATTAATTTATTCATAACATCATCCCATTATGCCTTAGAATCTTGAATCTCATCATTAATTGTACGGCACTCAAAAATTGTTAAATGTCTTAATTCACAGAACATAAAGGTTTAATATTTTTGATTTGAATCTGAGATGCTAAATTGAATTACTTTTTATATAAGTATCATCCAATGAGTTTCAGAGACAATAGCTATGTTCCACATTTACATATTTACTCAGAACTCTTAAATCAATCCTAAAGACCTTGGTTCATTTCTCCTGAACTAAAAGTTATGCATCTTCTTCAGGTTTTTATTCTCCAAAATAGAGATGATCTACTCTAATTGATGACTACCTGAATATTTATTATGCAATTGCGGTTCTTGGTTTGTTATGTCTAATTGCTATGAATATAAACTATCTTTCCATCCATAAATAATTGAGTAAATGAATTCCTCTATTTATGTATCATTAAAGGTGTTAGTTCTATATTTCTTAATCAGAATTATTATTTTACATAATTATTTAAACTGAATGAAAATTCTTTTTAACTTAACCATTATTTTCATATTTTTATTTTCTCAAGTTTTCCCTATGTCTTAAGCCAATAGCATAATCAATAGATTAAGAAGGTATAATTTTCATTAAAAAGTCAATTAGATTGACAACTATGTTTTTACCGATTAATTTTGGCCTATGAACCCTTCTGTAAATTTCATTTCGCCACTTAGTACTTCATTCCTCAACAATATCAGTCAATACTCACTCAAGTGTGAAGTTTTAATTAAAAAAGACTGAATTAATATATATATATGCTATTTTATAAGATCAATCAAAAGAGGTAAAATTTATGGGACTTAAACCTAATCTTAACATTTACAAATTTTTAGATGTCATTTTACCTTAACACTACTTATTTGATAAATTTATTAAAATTTCATGTATGGATATAATTCCTTAGCAAAATTAGTGATTGGAATTTAAAAAAAAATAAAGCATATTAAGGTTGAGAAGTAATGTAAAATTATAGTATCACTTTCAAATAAAGGTTGTCTATAATTCAAACATGACTTATTTGATGAGCATGATCTAACTTTAGAGAATGCCTAAACTTTGGAAATCTGGTTCTCCAATTAATAACTATTCCATGAAGCGAAAAAAAGAGATATGAGATCAGTAGGCTAAAGAATAAAAGTAATTCATCGTAAGTTGGAGGCACGGGAGGGATAATTAATTACTAGAAATTAAACGGGTGAATTATGAATATAAATATTTAAGGGGAACCAACTCCTAGATTAGAGTGATTAAATGAAAACTTAAATTTCTCCATCAAGTACTGAAATGTCATTTTTTGAGTATTATGAAGAATCAAATTCATGATGATGAATTAAAAGTTGCTTCTTTATGCTTCCTTATGCTCATTCATGCATGAATAGTCACCAATCACTTCGAAACAGCCATTTACTTTCTATATTAAAAATATTTGATAACGATCGCATTAAAAATGCTTCCAACATTTTTTAATTAGAACCTTTCAAACATGTGCTTTAGAGCATAATATCATAATGCATAAACAATTTAAACATACTCATTTTTTTTTGTTTCAAAAGCTTTTTTATGGAGTTGATTCATTTTTACGACTATCAATATTGAGCAATATAAAATATTAACCAGATGATTAAACTTATGGTTATTGATATAGAATATGTTCCCCAAGAAATATACTGTTTGAAATGTAAGAGAAAATAATGCATTTGTGAAGCTTTAATAATATTTCATGAATTTTTGGATGATCGTAACACCTTTTCAAAGATCTAGGCCTCAAGCCTTAAGAAGTTCAATATTTATTTGTTATCAAAGTTATCTAAGATTTATTAAACGACTTATATTCAAGATAAAAGCCATTATAATATAATACTTAAATCTCTTGCATCCTTATATTATTTGATATCTGATTTAAGGGGTTGAATTTATTATTTAATAATCATGTAATAAAATCTTCAAACATTTCAAATTAAGAAGTTTAGTTTTTAAGTAAATGCAAATTCGTTATTATTTCATAAAGATGTGATTAACTTTTATTTTTTTCTCCAACAGGAAGAGGAAAGGTTAGAGAATTTCTTAGGCATAATGAAGGTAAAGAGATGAGTCTGGATACATACCAGAGAAGAAAAAGGCTAAGTTCTCCTTCGTCTCACCTTATCTTGGCAGACTCACACATCATTCGGTGAGGACAAAAGTAGCATCAGATCGGATGATTTTACAGGTAAATTAAACTCGATCTGGGGATCCGCTGATATTCGCCCATCAGGAAAAGGGCAAGTAGCCAAGAGAGGAGGTTAAGGAACAGAATTGGAACATGATGGCAACCAAAAATTGATGATGTAAGAGTGTTTTCCTTAGGAAAGTATAAGAATATTAGAATATTGTAACAGGCTGATGGTAATGGTCGGAAGCTTGATTGGAAAGTATAGCTTAATTTAATTTTTTGGATTTCAATTTAAAAAATTTGAGTAATTATAGCGATTATTATATGACGTATAATCCTAATGTTGATACTCATCTCAGTGATCCGCAGTCCTTGACAGTACAGCATTAGGGGGAGGTAGTTTAATAGGAAGCTAATAAGTAGCATCGATGTGCCATGAAGGTTGTTGAAAGAAATAGATTAAGCTCAGTTAATAATTGGTCTCAGGTTCTAAAATTATCATTTACATTCTTAATATTAAGGTTAGAAAGTTGGAATTCTTCAATCTTTTCTATTTTGATAAATAGTTTATATATAATTGTTGGAGGTATTATCAAACCAGGTATTTATATATCCTTTAAATCATCAAGATGGGTATTTTATTAAGTTCCTCTAGTTTTCTCTATCAAGAAGTTGAAATAAAGATTCTTATTAAATGCCAATGAATCTTCATTATTTTTTACATTGAAAATTGGAATATTTCTATTTTTCCTAAGGCAAATTTCCTCGCCCAAATAGACAAAAGATTATTTCTTATTTTTCAATGAGGTACAGTCCTCTCAGGGTATTATTTGGAAAAATAATATTACATACCATTCCTATCGATATCAAAATGGAATAGGGAATGATAATCGATCAATAACAATTGAGAAAAAGATATCTTGATTGGAGCTAGCTAATTAAAGAGTTTTGCATTGATAATGAAGTGGAGTAGTAGTTTAATGATATTTGGAATCATATCCTTGATTAATAATCAAAAAATCAAATTTGAATTTGCTGAGACTGAATTTCTTTAAGAATAGGATTCCTTACTAAAACATTGAATAAACTTAGTAATTTGTTTCAGCAAATTATGATTATCTGCTACAACAATATTTCTGTTAGTTTTGCCAATTATAATAATTAACTAAATTGGAAAATTTAAAAAAAATCAGGAATCATTATCGCTATTAGAAATCAAATAAAATAAATAAAAATGAAAAGAAACCCTACTTTCTTAGCTATTCAATTAAAGATCTTTAGTGGCCTTGTAAAACAGGATAAAAATAATCTAATAAATGATATAATTGAATTGTCTTTTATTTAGAAACTAAATTTCAATCATATTCTCCTATTTTATTTTTTGTCCTCATTATGAAGAATTTGAGTCCTCTTCTAATGATGCCTTTATTTTTTTAATTTCTTCTTTAATTTAAAATTTTTCCGGATATAACTTATACTCAAAATTTATTACATCGAATTGGTTCTCTTATTAAAGAATTCTACTTTATAATTATAAAAAATCCCAATTTTTTCTTTGAGCATATGTTGATTTGAACATTCTACTCTGCTTAGTTTACCCAAAAATTTCAGATAAATCTTATGATAACCTTAATTAAATTAATAATATACTTTAGCTCTTCCTTCGTAATGGAATTTAGAAAAACATGTTAAGGATCCTTGAAAATATCATTATCAAGTGTGCGAATAACATTGATAAGCCATTCTTTATTCGGCAAATGATTTGTATTTAATCCTAAATCTACTTCCTATATGCTGCTAATTTTTATACTTGCAATTTCGTCAATTTATTCTACAAAGTCACAATAGTAATATGATTTGATGATAACTGAAATATTTTTTGTAGCAAATGCCCAATGAAAGTGTACAATAGTTTTACTCCTATGATTGTGTTGATTATAAAAACATAAGGTATTATCACTATAGTGTTTTCGAATATATTAATAGCTGTTGTCTTCCACTGCTCATATGTTTGAAGCCTTTAATTTGTAAATAAAAATTAAATATCTATTTAAAATTTAAGGTTTGAGTTCAGAATATCAATATTAATAGGACTTCAATATGTTCATATCAAGTGAAAATCTATTTTTTTGTTAAAAATTTAAATTTATTTCATAATGAATATATGAGTTCTATATTGAGCACTAAACGTATAAAAAGAAATAAATGAGCATCACTTAAATTTCATTATTATGGGTGAAATTTATTGCTATGCAGACGATATTATAGATTAATGCAGAATATCTTTCTTTTTGTGAGGAGTAGAAACCACCTCTCTAAATCTCAGATCACTTCCTCTAGTGTTTATATTTTTGGGTAAAGTTAAAGAAGGTTTTTTATACACATGCAATTACTAAAATAAGCTCATAAATAATATTTAGTAATTAAAGTTTGGAAAATGCTCACAAATTGCTCACTTTTCCCTAAACCAATTTAATCAGCTATAATACAACTTTGTTTAAATTACCATATATTTAATAACGAGTTCAACACCTCCAATCCATTAGGCCTTAGTCGATTTCTTCCCTTAAACACAGGAGATACTTTTTACTCAATAAAATACTATCTGAACGACTTTCGATTTAGACTATATAGGCATCTTAAAATTAATGTATTCAGCCTTTGTATTTGTAGCAATCCCCTTTAGAGCCCAATTACAAAGGAAAAGCACTCCAGCACACTCTACTTTACAGAACTTAGGCGTTCCTTCATTCAACACTCTTTATGAATTTTATTCCTCCAGCATTTAATAAATTTGCTTCTGAGTGATATCAGGATATGAGGTAGGATATCCTCCTTAACTTAATTATTTGTTTTATCCAAAATTATTGTAAAATCCATATTGCATTCCAGTATTAGAAAGAAGCTATGAGAAAAAGTTCGGTTCAGAGATTTGGAGGCCTCAACCCTCAAGCCTGCTAGTTCAAGGCACCTGAATAATAACGAAGTCTCTATAGATCGCAAAGATATTCTTTGAAATAGAGAACCAAGTGTGAATTATTCAAGAAGGAAACGGAGAAATAGAAAAATGAAGGGAACGATGGGGTACCTTTCGTGTAAGAAAGTGAGAAAAGTAAACAATTAACCGAATAATACCCTGGAGAAGATCATGTAGGCGAGAGAAAATTACGACACATCACTTATTGGCAATAGATATCATATTAGGAAGCAGCTCAATAAATTCTGATTGTGGGTATTCAATAAACAGAATTCAAAGGTTACTATATTAAAACTGATTGCAAGGAGGAAAAAGAAATAGAATAGAATTCTTTGGAAGAATAATTCAGGAAATGTTAAAAAATGAAATTATTTTTTTAAATAAATTAATAAGTACTTAAAGCAGACTATAAATATTTAAAGATAAAAATTAACCTATAAAGGGAAACAATATCCAATATCAAGTAATAGATAATAATAGAGCAAGAAAAAATCGAATGGAATAAAAGAGAAAAAGTGATAATTATAAGAGGAATTTGGAGGAATGGTTTATCAGACCTTAAAGAACTCTTAATTGGAAGATGGAGAGGAACAACTAGAAAAAGTTCCACAGCTTCCTTCTTAAAATCCTCTTTTATCATATTAATAAAATGTAAAGTAAGATGATAAATTATAAATGACTCAGAGTTGAGTTTTGTTATACTCAATTCTTGAATCTAACCTTTTTCTAAGCAATTGGATTAGAGATGTACAAATTATAGTAGAAAAATTGAACAGAAAGTCCAAACTGTTAACCAAGGTCTGTCCATCCTTAGTACAGCAATTCTCTATCAAGTTATTAGTATCTGATAAGTATGTTGCATTTTATTTAATCCCTTTTTTCTGAGTCTTAAAAAGAGTATGGAAATATTAACTTAAGTTCCTAACCAATCAACTCTGGATTGATATAATTGCTAGTTATTTCTTGAACAAAGTTAGAAAAACTCAATTCCATAAATTATATCAAGTGGTTCTAGATCTTTATGGATCTGATATCGCGCCTTTAGGTAATCATTGATGCTGCCTTGTTTATTGATACTAATCTTTATGTTTGGCAGTATTCATTCTATTTCCATTTCTCTGTTCATATAGAGTCATATAAATCTCTCCATATTTTTATATGATTGTTTCATTATTAGTCTACTGTTCTAGATGAATAAAATTATTGATGCTTTATTATACTACTAATATACATTCATCATCCTCTTTTTATAGTTTCTGTAATTCCAATTGCTGTTAAGTTGGGATGCTTCTTCATCTAACTAATCTAATTTGAATCTTATACAATGTCTCCACTAAGAGATGGATAAACTCGTAACAATGCACTCCAAAAATTATAGTGAGAATAAGATAAATGGAAGAGGTCGAGATACTAGCACATATTGACGTCGTAATGATAGCTAATCAAGAAGTGGACTCTAAGTCAACTTTGGAAAGACTAAGTATTTTGCAAAAAGACACAACCCTAAAATAGAACAATGAGGTATTAACCTTGCCGAGAGATGTAAACATAATGGTATTAGGATTACAATAAGAGGAAATCTGAAATAACATATGCAAAAATGACAATACAAGATCGTTCTAATAGTGTTGGTTAGAAAGATGTTACCATTAAGAGTACTCACTAAAATGTTGATATTATTTGTGCTACCAGTAATTATATATTATAACCTAATAAGTGAAAGAAATTCCTTAAGAAGAGTCGTTGGATGTTATAGTAAAATACTTAAAGGTTGGAAAATGGAATGCTACACAGAAAGGAAAAGGATTGAAAGATGTTTAAAGATATTATGCCCAAAGCAACAGCAATAAATTTCAAATTGTGGGTTTTACAGTTTGTCTACTAAGATCTTAACTTAATTTTTATAATTATAACATATTCATATTATTTCATTATATTAATAGAAATACCAAATTATTTAATCACATTAATAGAAATAACACATTATTTAATATAATATATATATTCTATTAGCAATCTATTTAAGTATATTTTATGAATTGAATAATAGTGATCATTTTATAAGCATTCAGATGTAAAAAATCTAATTTCTGATGAAATAAATTGATTTGAATTACTTCAAGAATGAAGCTATTCTAATAATTTCCTCCTCTTAATTTCTTATTAATTCTGTGTTTTTGTGGCTGCTTCAAATAAATTATAAGATTTAGTAAGGGTTTCATCCAATTCAAGAATTGAGGCAAATCTCCCGCATCTGAGTAAATATCAAATTTTATCTAACAATAATTAGATGTACTTCAGGCGGTCAATTATTATTCATCAAACATAAATCAGTAGCCTTCACTACATGACGAGCTTGAAATATCATTTCAATATTATTTTTTTGTATTGAAATCATCCACAATGTCTAAATAAATAGTATGCCCCTCTTGGAGATAAATTCCATCCCTCAAAACCAAATAACTCTAAAAACAAGATACCATCAGAATCGCTTCACATTAAGTCACACTTAGCTCCATTATGAGGTACTTCTTATTTACAGTCTATGGTTCTAATCTACATTTATAAGTTTCTAAAAACATTATCCATCTTTATGAAGGTGATAATTCACCATTTACAAACATTTCTTCTCTTCTATAACTGCTGCCAAATCCAAATAATCAAAGGTGACTGTGCAATTCCTCCAAATATTTAATGACCTACATTTTCTTGACATTCACCATAGAAGCCATATACTTAAGTAATTTATATAGATTCGTGATTTCCTTGTATTCTAGATAGAATGATCATTTTACAATTTTATAATGTCTGCATAACTCACTTTCAAAGCTAATAATAATAAATTTTTTCTACGGTGTTAAATCCTCTATTAACTAAGTCGCCAAAGAATAAATAGTATTATCTGGGCAATCCCCTCCTACTTTAAAGTATTTCATTAAATCAAAGAATTGACCATGAACATCTGCGCAAATCTGATATTAATAATATTTTAAGTACTGGGGCATTGACTCGCTGTGCATTGCTTTCCTCGATCATAATTTCTCTAAACATACTGTTTTAGCTTCCCTTCAGTTATGTTTTCATGGTTCCTTGATTAAGCTATTTGTCCATCTATCAGATTGACTCATTTTAAATTGGAATTTAAATATGACTAGTTTAACAATCTGATTCTGAAATAAAAATATATCCTCAAAAAAAGAAGCATACAAATGCTGATTTATTAGAAGTATTTAGACTATAAAATAATTAAATTTTAATGTTATGCAGGGTTGAACAATTTTTCAACATATGAATAATTAGAGATTGAAAGACAGAAAAACATTCGGAGACTGAAGTAGCAAAAAAAACTTAATCTTTGGTTTTAATTTTAGTATTCTTTGAATTTCGATAAAAATCTAATTTACTTATATATGTTAAATTCGTATGAAAAATAAATCAAGCGACTATTAAAAGCACAAAAATAAATGCGATGATTATTGAAGATAAGCATGCCGAGCAATCATAATTAGCATAACCTTGGGCATCACATTATTGTTCACAGTCAGGACATTCTTTTGCTCCTTCTGCCTTAATGCATTCTATTTCTTCTGTATAACCAATAACATCATCATAAAAAGTTTAATCAGTCCAAAGTCTTCTTGCTCCAGCTTAGGTTGTTGATAAAGTAGAGCTAACTTTAAATTTGACTGAGCTCCAAACAATTTCAGCCCTTAATTAGATAATTACTTGACCTTTAACGGAATTATCAACTACAATTATTTTAGCTTTCTTCAAAATTCCATCCCCAGTATACCATACTTCAGTTTGGGTCAAATAGAAGTTCATACCTGCAGTTGTAACAACTTACTGGAGAACAAAATTGTCATAAAAATGGAGGTCTGGTGTTGCATATTCATCACATGCTAAATCTGTACACCATTTTATGATTGAATCGGTTTTTATTTAGCAAATTTGATTAGGGAGACAATCTATTGTGGCTGTTTAAGTTAATGGCTTGAATACTGTATCAACTGAAGTACCAGTTGCTCTATCAACAATGACAGAGAATTCAAAAAAGAAAGTGTATTAAACATCATCAGTTCCTGTAACATAATAAGCAATAGCATAAAAGCCCTTATAAATGAATTGATTAGAATTTGATGTTTGGACTAATCTAGTTCCTAACTCCTTTCCTGGAATTATGAATGTATAATATCTCCATCGCTTTGTGAAGTTGTTCGATGCAATTATAGGTATATCTGTAACTTAAATTGGATCTGAATAGGAATTTGAAGTGAATTTCCATAGCTTGAGGTCAAGACATGTGTCAGAAGCTGGTTTTCCATCTTCTTAAACAAGACCAAAATATGTTGTATCATAGAAGAGATCAAAATCAGAATATCTAAGGTTCACCTAAACATCATTGGATCCAGTAACAAATTTAACATCTCCTGATGAAGACAATTTTGTTGCCCCATATCCATCAGGAACATCAGCTGCTCCAAATTTTTGTAAATATTTACGGCAGCTATCAGAGTTAATATCAAGCCTTTAACCTAAGCAAAAAGCAATTAAGAATACCACTATGATTATTGTTTTCATTTTTAATATTAATATTCATAAAATTATTATTAACCTTTATTATACATTTTATTCTATTACCCATTTGTTTAAATAATTTCAGAAAATATACTAAAAATTAAAGTAGACTCAGTGATAGCTAAATATAGAATTCTTCCTTTTTAATACAAATTTCAAAAGTATCTATAACTATTTTTAGACTTCCTTAATTTTATGCAAATTATATAATTTTGATTTTTAATACAAATTTAAACACTTTCAATTTCTTCAGTTATCTTTTTTATTTTAATCCATTCAATCATTTTAATACGCAGACTAAAATGATTTTTTAAATTAATGATAAATTATTGGTGTAAAGCCATGAGTGCACATTATTATTAACACTTGGGACATATTTCTGCTTCTTCTGCCTTGATGCATTCTAGTTCATCTGTATAACCAATCATTGCATCATAGGTAGTTTTAACCAAAAGTCTACTTGTTCCAGTTTAGGATGTTGATATGGTAGAGATAACTTTAATTGTGACTAATCTCAAAGCAATTTCAGCATTTAGTTAAATAATTTCTTGGCCTTAGACTGAATTATTAACTGGAACTATCGTTGCTTTCTCATTCAATCAATTACCAATATACCATACTTCAATGTTGATCAAATAGTAGTTCATACCTGCAGTTGTAACAACTTACATCAGTTAATATAGATTGGCTTCGCCTCAATTTATTTACTTGAAGTAATTAGGTCAAATCTATTGTGATCCCTGGCCTCTTGAATTATTTAATTAAATAATTGCAAACTATTAATGTAATTTCATTGAAAAATGTAGTTAAATGCAACACCATATTTCTAATGCACTGAGTAAACTGAAGTTTGATATTCTGGCTTCATTCATCATTGTTCAAGCAAGGATATTTTAGAAATTTCTACTATTCCTTTTGGAATTTAGCCCTGATAAACATGAATAGAACAGACTCATCTTAGATTATGAGTATATTGTTTATGCATCATGTACATCCACATCTGAATGTACTTGTTTCTTAATTCCTGTCATATGTAACTCTTTACTTAAAGCACTTATAACACACATTAATCCTATGTTTATGATTTTTATCTAATGATAAGAAAATTTATCAGTTGAATTTTATTTATAGCTGCCTTAAATTTTTTTTTTGTTCATTAGCAATAGATTGTAGTACTTCTTATTATGGTTTTTTGATCTATTTGGCAAATGAAAATCATATTTTATCTTGCTCAGATTAACTCTTAAATTCGAATTTTTAATGTTATTATAGAGTTTCAGCACTGTTTTGCAATGCCATTTGTAAAACTTGTCTCAGCAAAAGTAATTTCACCCTTGTTATAATGGGTACTATAATAATAATCAAAACATGAGCTGAAACCTCTTCCTCATGATTTACATTTGGATTGGAGGTTCAAGTTAATTCATTTGTTGTTCAATTCAAATTTAATTAATATATCATCAGTAGATAGAGTATGCAAACTATATTGACTTGACTATTCCTCAACGTGTATATCCTATAATCATTTAGTCATACTGTTGATGTCCCTGAATTGTATTTATTAAGGGTTAGTCTACAATGAAAGGAAAAGGCAAATACTAAAAATCTTCACTTGTATCTTGAATTTGAACTATAGCCTAAATCGAAAGCATTTTATTTGAAGGATCTCCTTTCAAATAGCACTCTTCCTTTTATCAAATGTTAGCCTTGTGATAAATTCTGTATTGCAATAATCTTTTTCATTTTCATAATGACTAAGTTTAAATGTAATTTTTATTTATAGGGAAGCACGGGATATAGCTACTTCTAAAAGTTGCTTGTTTTTTCAATTTTGCTACCAAATTTTCAAGCGCTTTTACACTTAATAATGTTAAATGTGCAATTATAGTAACTTTCAAAGAATTTTAATCGAAGCAGCAGAGAGAATTTAACAGCAGCAATGAATCAGACATCTCTAATCACCAAATTATAACTACTGCTAATTAAAAATTCAATACTTAATTGATTATTACTTTCTGTAAACATTGCACAATAAAATTATTATTCTTATGTAGTTTAATAATCAATCGCATATTCTTTAGCAAAAAATATTACAAATATTGGTAATTTATTTTTTGTCATTTCATAAAGATGTGCTCCTTACAACTTTTGTTACAAGATACTAGCACTTCCTTAATGAAATTAATGAGCATCAGAATGCCAACATTTTAAACTTAAGCGTTGTGTCATTGGTAGTAATTGGATAGTTGCTTTAGTTGAAATAATAATAAGCTGCTATCCTAAATTTAATTTCAAATCCTGCATAATTATAGATGCACATCCTTTTATCATTTATTTCTTAATCATATGTTACTTTTTGAGCAATATTTTTTAGAAATATATTTAATTCAAGGGAGATTACATCCTTCTATATTTGAAATCATGAGCAGTGTTGGTTACAATTTGTTTGTAGTAATCAGGTTAAAGTAATGTGCACACATTATTTAATTACATATAGCAAGTATCTAATTAGATGCATAAATTCATATTGCAGCTAGCATGCAGTGTTTGTTCAAACAGGAAGTTAGATTAATGAATACTGCAATAAACAACTTAATAATTGTGAACTGAACTTAGATAATAATTTTAATGCATAAAAATCGATTGTTATGATACCAAATTTTTTCTCTTAATAAATTGTGGCTACTCAAGCTCGCTATGAATTCACTATTGAGCTAACAGATCTGCCTTGGATAGTAGCACATAGTAAATTTATGGATACTATGCTAGACATATATGTAATAAAGTTTATAAATGGCAGAATTAGTATTAAGCATATTACCTAGTTATTTATGAATTAATAAATAAATAAATATGTGTGTGTATCATTTGAGAGCTTATTACTAATAATTACAAAGTGTTTATGAAATATCCAACTGATGGTCCCTGTCACTTCGCAGTATTATCTAATTGAGGTTATTTTCAATTTTTATTAAAGTATATTGAATTCCAGAGCCATTCGAGCTAAAACCATAGTGTATTTTATTTACGCTTATTAAGATATAAAAGCAATATATTAAATTACAAAAATAAAGGACATATCACCTTTTATTTTTCAATCAAATTAACTTTAATTATGATTGCATTCTAGTTATGAACTACGGCTAATAAGATCCAGCATTTATTTTGCTTGAGTTTTAATTTAGTTATTAAAGATAATCAAGACTTTTAAGCTTATAACTTATTTTCTACATTCCTCTCATAATCCACTAATTAAATGATGAAAAATCAAATTTTATTAAAAGCTACAGCAGTAAGGATAATACAGCAATATTTTTTGCATGAACATAAACAATGTGCGAAGGAAGGCTTAATCTGATAGGGTCTAGAATCTAAATCATAGGCAACCTTTCTACAATATGAAATCAAATAAGTCTACCAATCCATCCATTTTCAGCAGACGGAATTGAAGATTCATTGTTTCAATTAATCCATTATTCCATTTCCTTTTCAGAATCATTGCAACTGCTTGACTTTTACCAAACTCCTTTGACCAAAAAAAAAAATAATTTGTTAATGAATAGATTAGTAGCATCTCTGAGAAAAATTTGTAGGATCATTACCGTTATGAATATTGTTGAAATATAACAGCTTTCAGAATACCTGACTCTTGATGATTAGCATAATCATTTTCATGAAATAAGGCTGAATATTTTTATACAAAGCTCATCCAACTCCTCTTTATTAAGTTAAATTAGGATTTCAAGAACTTTATAATACTGTTATTTTTTAGATTTTGCCCTTAATTGTATATTATATTCCCTCCACCTTCACCAAACCTACTACTTGGGGCTTTCCCATTGTTTATTTAATAAATACTTTTTTTTTAATCCTTAAACACCAAAGAATAGTTTTTAATTCATCCATATTTCCTAATTTACTCAGTTAGGCCATTCTTAACTTAATAATCTTGCATTTTGTTTTAATTATAAATAATTTCTTAATTATTCACAATTAAAATATATAAATGAGTTTAAGACATCAACGAATCTAATTTTTAAAATAAAACATTCTATTTAGGAGTGAAGTTCTACCAAAAATGCATGATATTGAAGACTTCATCTAACATCGAACCAGTTTTACATTAGATAATGTAAAAACAAAAGAAACAGGAACACATAGATAAAATCTTGTAATTAATTAAATCAATAATAGTATTAAGAAACTTAAAGAATCGTTTTTAAATTTTATTTTTTTAGAAGGATATTTAATTTTAAGAAATATCTTTTAATTTTATCTTTTGAATTTTCATTTGATTTAAAGTTTATTTTATTATTTAAATATCATAAGATCATTTATTATTCATAATGTTATTATTTCTCATAGTTCTTCCTATATTACTTTGTTCTTAAATATAAAAAAATAAATATCACATTGATTAATAAAATACAAGTTTTGTACTTATTTAAATCGTCTTAAGTCATTTCTCGAGTTACATGGATTAAAATTTAAGTATCTGATACTTGATTTTAGGCATATAAAATAAAGGTGAAATTGATATCATAAATTTCCGTTAGATCAATCTCATATTATGATAGTAATCCTAACATAATATTAGATTCATTTCTAAAAAGGAAATGTGTAGTATTTATCCTTGTGACTTTTCTGTGAGTATGTGAGAGATGATTATAATCATAAAATATTCTTTCTTCTGTTAAATCATATAATAATGTAGCATCAGTATTAACCAAATTCAAAACCAAATAATCATCATCCACGTAATCAAGATTATATTCGAACTGTTATAACGAGTTTCTAATTTGTTTTGACAAATGATAAGAAAAAACAAAACCATTTAAAATATCTATCTAAATTTTGATCATGAAGAAATTATTGATATGCTAAATAAAAATGTTGATAATTATAACATTTTCATATAATCTACATGAAGTTAATTCTATATTTTAAACTTCACCTTTCATTGATAAAACATCTTCAATTCCTTTAGTGATCATCTAAGAGAATAACTCAATATACCCATTTAAATTAATTTAGTAGATTCTTAAAATTGTTTAATTTTGTTTTTGATCCAACTTAGATAAAGCAACAAATAAATTTTCAGAATATTCAACATATTTGATATCTATATTATAATCTGAAATGTTAATGAGAGTAAAATTCTAGTTAAAAATATACAAATAAATCTAGGGAAGACTATTTTATATTTAAATTAAATTTTAACTTTTTATGATACTTTATTTAGAGTTTGTAATAATAAAGTTTGTAACTAAATTCTAGATTTTCTTACAATCTCCATCCATTTATTTAAAGCATTCTAGTAATTGTATTTGTAGTTCATTGCTAAAAATAGAAATACTTAAGAATTAATAATCTGATATCCAAAATACCTAATTCATATAATCATCGATATAAGGTTATAGAATTTGACACACAGTTTTATTTTCGTATAATAAAACAAAAAATGAGAATGGTATTTGTAGGGTTTCACTCTATTATTAAAATTATAATTCTTAAATACAAATAAGCATTTCCTCATCACATGAATTGATTTAGTATAATGATTTTAAAGGATTCTTCAATTCAATTTTTTGGTTGTTTTTTATTGTTAAATTATGTATTGGACCATAAAAAATTTCAGAAATCTTTAATATCAAATTTTGATTCCTTGATAATTTGAAAGAAATTTCACTCTTTAGAGAGTAAACTTAATAGCATTCATTTTAGAATGAGAGAGTTAAATTCAATTCATCTTGAAATTTAAATGATGGTTTGAATTTTAAATTAAATTATGTAATAAGGTTTGTTAAGATACTTATTTTGGTTTCAATTAATGCGCCTATCTCGCTTATGTAATGTTGTCGCATTTGCCCATTTTTCAAATATAATAAATATGGTATTTAGAATTCGAAATAGGTAGCATCAGTGCTTATAATATCTAACAAATCAATTTATTCTTAATTAAAACTGAATAGAGCTATAAAAATAGATTAACTTTGTTCAATTAAAATAGCTAACTTATTTTTAGTGCAAGTGTATTTTAAAGGATTCGAAAATTGATATTCTTCTAGTGTAAAATTATAGAATTATTGTAATTCAAATATATTCGAATAATAAAGTAGTATCGAATTGGTTTAGTTTTGTACTGCAATAATTGAATAAAATGCTTTTATCCCATTTTTAATTGAAATTATAATGGGGCCAGAAAATTCAAAACATTTAATATCTCCTTGAAATAGTTAAACTAAGATATTTGGATATTGTATAAATTTCTAACCTCCTAGTTCTTGATAAAAAAGGATTTATTGTTGCAAAAAAAGATTTTAAGGAAGATACTTTTTCTACATTTATAAAATGTCTTTGGATAATAATAATGGGGATTTTTCATTTTTTATATAGATGATGAGCGAAGAAGAAACTTGATGCGCTCTTATTATTTCAACATTATTTTATAATACTCTTTCATTGATAACGCTATTAATAATTTGTATAATTTTTATCTATTGATTCTTTTAATCAATAAGAAAATAATCTTCAAAATGTTTAAATACTTCAAATTACTTGGTGTTTATAATCATTTCAATCTTGTTTTTTATGCAATTATGAAAATATAACGAATCATCAGCTTAAAAAATTAAAAAATTATGCTAATGCATATATCTTAAATAAGCCTTACTTTTAAATTAATAACTTTTTAGACATTAATAACATTAAATATCTTCTTTTGCCTCTTTCCAAATACTCAAATTAATTATGTCATTATTATTATTACTTATAGAAAAGTTTTGTTGTTGCAATTAAAAAAGGCTTTCTAATCCTATTGTTGTTTCCTGCTTAAGTTAACAATCTTTAAGGATATGGATCTCTTTAAAATACTCCCTTTTCTCATTCGAATTATTTTCATAATTCATTCTGAAACACTAATCTAATGATGAAGAGTTGGTGTTCTCTATTTTTTTAATGAAATATATAAATTTTTATTTAGGTTCAATGAAGCTACTCATAGGAAAATATCTATAGAATTATACCAATTTTTGCTATTTATCTATTTGATAAAATAGGTTACTTTATTCAAAGAAATTTAATGGTGTATTTAAAATTTAGTATCTTTAAATCAAATGATGATCTATTCTAATTATTAGCTATGTTTAATTTTATAGGAAGAGATAATTGGAAAATAAATGAATATTATCGACTTCAAAAGTATAATTTAAGACAATTTCATTTCCAATACTCTTAAATGGTTTATACTTAGTCATATTTGAATATGTAATTAGCAGACCATTCGGATTTGACCTTAATAGTATTATTTTTAAAATTGAATTTTCACTCTCAAATAATTAATAGGATCCTTATTAATTTATTCCATAAATAACTTGAATATAATGATTACCTTCGAAGAGATATAGAATACTTTTTAATAATGGAGATAATTATACATCACTTACTTTTGGAAAAAATTTGAGGACCGACTAATAATCTTACATTTTAGATTCCAAAACAATTTCGATTTGGTGTGTATTAATTGAAAAAATTTTCCAATTTGAACATTAATAAAATGATACTATAAACTAATTCTTACCATATATTTTATTCTGTTTCTTCTTGCACTAATCTTAAACTTAATCAGAAACATCATATTCTATAAGTGGGACAATATCTCCTTGAAAATTTACTGAATATTATTTAAAAATAAATTATTTCAAACAGAATAGTATTATTCTTCCATCTTCTAATTAATACATTTCATCACATCTTTCTTCTGATAAAATATTTGTTTCTATTTCAATGCTCTCTAATTGATGAACGTTTTCACAATGATTCAATGTATCATACCTCATACATGTTATATAATATGTATAATTCAGAAATAATTAACAAATTAATTTCATTTAGATCATATCTTATTCTAATCTATTGAACATTGAAATATAGATAGGCATATATTTGTAAGGAATAGTAAAGGATTTTTATATAATTTCTTTATCAATATGTTCGAGTTTGTAATAATCTTCTTCATCTCCTTCCAATATGAAACAGTCCTTAAGTTTGATTTAACATGTTATTTTTGGTTGCATTTGCAGAGTCTAGCAGGTTATAGCTTCTGAATTTATTTGAAGAGTATTGATTCCAAAAATTATGAACAAACTCAACATATGCTTTATATGTTATGAAAAATAATGAAAAATTATTTTAACTAAAATAATAATTACAGAATAACAATTAGAAAGATTATATGTAATAAATGATTATCGGAATATCCTCTCTTTCAATCTAAAAGGATTTTGTAGGTGAGTTGATTAATAGGTAATAAATATTGGACATACTATCTCTCTTTATTCCACTCTCATTTGATTCATCAAATTTAATTTTTCATCCATGTAATTATACGATTTTAGGGATCTTTCTCTTTATATCAATAACTAAATAATAATCACTCATGAAACCTCTTATTTAGAATTAAGTCTAATTTAGGTTACCAAAAATACAACCTAAAATAGGAGGTTGAGATAAATTATGAAAGAGAAGGATTAACACAGTGCAATTAATCAAACTAATAAGGCTGATTAAATGAAATCATCAGTGACAATGATTAAGATGTAGAAATTAAAAATTAGCTTAAACAAAGTTATATAATTGGTTATTGAGGTGATGATTTCAATTCTAAAAGTGAAATGACTTTTGCTCTTGTGATGAATGCAGCAAGAAGTAGGAATATTATGATTAGTTTAGTTTAGATTAGATTAGCAGGGAAATAAAAGGAAACTTAATCTGAGTTAAATTGATAGAGATATTGTTTTAAGGAGAATGAATAGTGATGCACACAATGTCCTATATTGGTAATTCAATTCCAATAGAAGATTAATGAGGCAGTATGATAAGTTCTCCAATAAGCGCTCACTCACAACCCTAATGAATAGATTAAAATGTTTGTATTTTATCATAAGATTATCCAAGCTTTAATATACAAACAAAAACTCTCATGACCTAACTTTAAATTCAGAGGTTGGATGACCAAACTTCTTCAATTATAAGAAGGTGTAAAGTTTATCAATTTTTATTGCCACTTTAAGTCTTTATCATAAAGGTCCAGATTTTAGCCCTTACACTTTTAACAGTTTAAATTCTGTTTGTTTATATCCTTATCATTAATTCAATTCCTTTCAAGTTATGTAGGTATTGACGAGTTGAAATAAAGAGTTCTTAGTTAATTTGAATTCATTATTTCAAGATGCTAGTCTCAAAATATCCAAATATAATTTAAACCAGATCAAAAAAGATCACTCGTTTTGACTTTTTAGAAATTTCATATTACAATTAATCATTTCCAGGAGTTACTTTTTTTTGCCCAGCCTCTTAGCATTATTGATTGCTTCTAACAGTCTATTGTTATCTGATCGAGATATGTTGATCCAAAGGAGGATGGCAAAATATTTTTGGTGTTTGAGTTCAGGAATGATTAAATATACACTCCTGGTTGGTCTTGAGGCTGATTTATATGGTTGCTCTTTTTGATCAAATCAGAAGAATCAGATTTGTTTGAAGAAGTATGCTTGCGTCAAATTGGTTGAAGAGATCTTCAATAATTATCAATTGTGAAAATCCTCCTGTAGGTTAAGGGTTGATTGAGTTAGAAATTGACTGAGGATTTCAAAGATTTAGAAAACAATTTCTATTTCTGGTTCTCATGGAAAGGAGCCACTTCTTTGATGGCCAAACTCATGTATTGTAAAAATTGCAGATTGAAGGATCATTATCAGCATCTTCTTAATTTGGTTCTGGAACATAGTAGAAGGAAAATCTAACTTATTGAAAGTTTTCTAATCTCAGACCATATTATTTGGTTAAATAGAGCCAAATTTATAATGTATGAAATATTTTAATTGTCTTTTATCTGAATTATAATGAAACTAATTTCTTCCTTAATTCATATATTAGAATTCTAATTTCTATTTATATCTCTATTTCATAAGTATTTTAATATTAAAGACTATCATAGTTTCTAAAGAATAAAATCTGGAGTGATATTCAATTTCAACTATTATTGTATTCTAAAAATATAAATTGTTATAAATCAAAGTTGTAAAGATAATTACTATTTTTCTCTCTAATTTGAAGTTTTTTTATTAAGCAATTATTTATTGAAATATATTCTGAATTGGAAAATGAAATGGCAATTTTATCTTTCAATATAACCCATATAACCAAACATAAAGATTTTACTTCTTCTCTTAATTAAAATCTTAATTATATCAAAAGTTAAATGTCGAAACCTTAAAATAAATGAAAAAAAGTAAAAAATAATCATGGTTGATTCTTCGACATCTATTTAGATATGAGGAAGTTCAAATATGAATTATTTTTAATTGAATTATCGACCTACTATTTGTTTATCAATGATACTCATCTTTTTAATATTGTTATAAAGTTTTTTATTTTTCACTAGTATTGCTTTGTTTTTTTTTCTATATTTATTTCTTATTTGTATATTCTTGATGTTTCAATATTTATTAATTGTGTAATTTATAAATAAATGGAAATAATTTAGAACAAAAGTATAACATTCTCAACAACGATACTGAATTTCAGTGAATTATAAGGTATTCTGTGGTTGTAAATAATTTTTAATTGAGAAACAAAGTGCTTAAGTGACTGTCATCATCGAATTTCATTCTATGAGTTAATTTCTTATTTTGAAATTTAATCAACACTCTTTGTAAGTTCACTTTAAACCATTCTAATATATTAAATCAAAATATTAGAGCATATAATACATATGTTTGTTTTTCGAAAATTTTGTTTCATTTGAAGGTAATGAATTGATCCCTATTTATATTTTTAAAATTATTTAATAAAATACAAGAATATTAAAAATATTATACTGTGAATCATCATCTGGATATTTCATAAAATATCTGTTCTTCTTTTTACATATTTTAGGATTATAATTAAATAAATTTGATTGAGCATTCTAATTAATTTAAAAATTATATTGTATTTGCTACACTGAATAACATACTCATGTCTGAAATATTAACTACTAATTCCTAACAGGACTTGTGAGTATTTTCGAAAGTCAATTCAAAGTTGATTTGCTTTATGTTATAATCATAACTTGAATTAAATTAAATTACTTTTTTATTACGGATGCCTTAAATTTATTGAAAGTGATTTTGATTATTGATTAAGTTTCACATTTTATTTATGTAAGTAATCAGATTTTATCAAATTTTTATCAACAAATATAGGAAATATTCCAATAGTGGAAAAATTCTGATCTACTTATAAATAAGATATAATAATCTATGCTTCCTTCTAAGGAACAAAATCTTCAAATTATTTGATTGATAGATTCTAAAACTAAAGGAGTAAGTAAGTTCTTCATATAATATAATGAAAAATATCATTAAAAATATTACTTAGAAGTATTTTTTTAATTCAATCTTGCATTTTTTCCTTATTTAATGTTTTTCTCCTTGTCTAAACCTATTATTTTTAACTTGTTTCCACTTAATAAATAAGTTTTAATCTATCTTTGGTTTGATTATAATAGAAATTATTATATTTCTACTTATATTGTCAAGATCAATCACAAAATAATAATACAATCATTTATTAAATGGAAATCAAGAATTCTAACTTCAAATAAAAAATATATTTAACATTTTAAATTTTAGTATTTAAAATTTAATAATCAGCCATTATAGAAGAAAATGGGAATAAGCACTGAAGTTATAAAAATACTAATTAACACTATTAATAGACATAAAACATCAACTACTCTATTTGAGGAAGTTACCAAAGAAATGTTCATGATGGTATATTCTTAAACTGATTGCCAATCATTTTATCGCTCTAATATAAAAAAGAAATAAAAGGAGTGTTCACCTTTTCAGTTAGAATAGGTGTTTATATCTGATTAGGCTGCTAAAGAACTAGGTTGACTAAAGATACCTATAAATTGGAATTCCCACTACTTGATTGCCAAATAAATTAGAAATCAGTCTCATTCAATTTGATTTTTGGAGTTGTATAAATAATTTCAGATCATCCTTATAATATTAATTAGTAGGAGAATGAGATTATAAACATCAAAAGGATTTGATTTGATAACCTATGAGATTGACTATGAGAAGATGCAAAGCAAAATTAAATAACAGAATCCCCACATAAGTCAGGGGGAGATTCCTTATGGTGCTGTTTAATAAGTACTATTATTTAATCAATTTAAGCATTAACTTTAAATTTAAATATGAGATATGTATAGGAGAGAAACTTTGATGGGCTTATATTTCTTAAATAAAGTATGAGGTATACATAGAAAACAAATATTGTGAATTCCTTATTATAAGGTAAAATAAAAGTTTGCATACTGGAAAGATTTAAATTTATTAATGTATGCGATTGTCAAATAGTTTTAGCCTTTTAAAGATTGCAAGGACACATATTTATTATACTTTAGCTTAGCCAACCATGAAGTCTTTGAAACTGTATCTATTGTCTGCGACAGACTGAATTATGTCATGTAGCTTGGTTTTTGCCTTCTTTAAAATTTTCATTTTTATTAATTCTACACCTATATTTAAGATTAATTCTTAGGCTTATTGGCTGCTCATTTTAAACTTGTACAATGTAAGAGTTACATCTGATGAAGTATACCTCTTAACTCATTCCGATGACTAATATTTCATTTTAAAGAACTTTTTCTTTTATCATAAATATAATATTAACATTTAGTCATACAAATAATGATAAAGGTAGTATTTTATAGTCCTGATTTATTTCTAAATACTAAATAGTTGATTAAATTTCTATAAATAAAATATATTACTGAAATTTCTTTGATTTTTCAAATACAATTGTGATGAAGAGTTCTATGAGCACAGAAAATAGCTACTTTTAGGCTATGATTTATAAATTATTAAAGGATAAAATCAAAACTTCATTATTAATAATGTTTAATCGAAATTAAAAGTAATTTCATTTTTTACAGAATATTCGAAAGTCGATTATTAGAATTGTATTATTAAAATAAGCCCATCTATATCCAAGATTTTAAGAAATCACAATCTTAATTAATTGATAGAATTTCATTTACATATTCATTAGTTGTCTACCAAAAAACTAAATCATGAAAGGATATTGTTTTAAAATATTAGAGGAATTTAAATTTAATTATATAAATGTAAAGAGCAATCAATTATATATTGACAGTATTATCTTTGCTTTAAATTACAATAACTCTGTAAAGGATATTATATTTAAGTGAATTTTTCATATAATTAAATATTCAAGCTTCTTTTATTTTTAATATATACCATCTTGCTTTAGATATGACATACCTTTCTAATAAACCAACTACCATGTTTTTAAATTGACTAAACTAATTTTCTAAGTACAATAACGCTAGGAAAGTATTCCAAACATCATCTTTTAGATTTTAATGATTTTTCAAATATTTATAATTGATTATTTATTGTATTTCTTTATCTATTCTAAAACTAGCGTCTGCTAAAGCAAATGCAATCAATTGGTTAAGTAAGGCTATCATTACCTATTTTTTCTGCCTATTTTATATTTATATTTTTTACGGTTATTATTATAATATTGGTTGAGTGCATTAGGTTTATTGTTATTATTTTTCAGGAATGTAAATATTTAGCTGAAACTGTCATAATCATTTTAAGAGCCTCCACCTCCACAGCAACTTGCTGAAGACTTTGCTCTTTCTGTTAGTTTCTCTTTCCATGAATTTTACAGTCTGTCATTTTATAAGTTTACAGTTGCTTAAGCTTTAACTCATATATTAGATATTTTAAATATCCAAATCTAACTAATTCATAACTTGATCAATATTTATCTAATTGATCTCGCTAAGATTGAACTTATTCATAAAGTTTGCTTACAAATGCTATTTTAAACATAGAATTTGATTTTAAACAGATGAATCAATTAAGTTTGATAAATTCAATTGTTGTTAATTATATTTTATTGAGTTTTCATAATAAGTATTAATTTATAGGGTGTCAATTTTTAAAAATATTTATTGTTTAAAGATTATTCAGGCTTAAACTTACAGAATATTATATTTATTTTTAATTTTAGGGATCAAAACAATTGAACTTAAACTATAGATTTTCTTATTATTATTCCATTGGATACAGTGCTTAGATTGTAGGCTCCTAATTTTTCTTTTAAATAAACTATTGATTCTGGATTGGGAATAATAGATGCTAAATTTACTAAATTTGATTCTAATCTAAATGCTTGTAAATAAAAAGTCTTAATGAATCTTATAATAGGTCAATCACTTTCTCGTTTATATCTTCCTTATCGCTTACAATTTGATATTTGCCATTTCCTACTTCAACCACTCTTTTGATCAAGTATTAACTACATTCTTGACATATTCCTAATGTGTAGATCCTAGTTTGTACTTGATTATTAGATTAAACCAATTCAATAATTCGATCAGCAACAACCTATCCATCAATAAGCAAAAATACATTCAGAGTTATATTTTTGGATGTGCCATAGCTTGCGTTATATACCATCTTCTTTAATGAAGTCAGTATGTTAGTTTCTTCTACGTCAGCATTCATATTTTCAACATGCCTAATTGCTAATTCTAATGACATTTATGAATATTTTTTGGAGATATCAAAAAATGAATAAAATCACTATTGTGGAAGCACATTATTTAAGAATAAGGTTTAATGATGAAAAATTAAAAAAATATCCGCAATACCAAATGAAATTATGTTAAACTCAGTATAGAAAATGAATTAGAAGCTTATTTCGCTTTTTTGATCCTAGATCCACTCATGGATCCACTTCGATCAATTTTGAAAAAGTAGTTGCCTCTATTAATTACTTAATTGTCAGCCATACTTAAACCATCTAAATATTATGTATCATCTAATGAAACTTCATTAAATTTTGGAATGAAGGTTAATGTAGCACAATATTTTTAATATTGCAAGGCATCATTATCATGCGATGAATTATCAAGATATTAATTTCATCTGAAGAAAAAAGTAAAGTAAACTATTTGGTTGATTCATAGTTCTCAAGAATATCTTTTGTTGATTATATCTAATATTTAAAGTATTATTATTTTTTAATTTCCTTCTGTTTGAAATCTGAACTATTTTTAGCATTTGGTGATTAAAGTTTATGAATAGGAGACTTACAAATGTAATTGGGTATTCAAAATCTATTTCCACTTAAATTTCTTATCTAAATTCAAACCTTAAAATATTAATCTTAAATAATTTAATTAAATATATATGGAGTTCTACATCATAAATGGTAATCATTTTTAGTAATCAAAATGTACATATTTAGACCATATTTAGTTCGTTAAGTTGTCTACAATATGAGCAAAAAATATTTTATTTTAAAAAAATTCATAATATAAAAAATGAAAATGATAACATTTACAAACTAAAATGTTTTTTAAAACTAAATTTGTTATTATTCTAATATAAATTTATAAATCAACTTATTTAGAGTCATGAAACAATCTCTAATATCAGGTGTGTAACTAATTTAGAAATCTTATTCCTCTTTTTTATTTTAAAGCATCTTTTTTTAATTTATTTATATATCATAATTAGTTACTTAATGAAAATGCCTAATAAGCCTGAAATCAACAAATATATTTAAGCAAAACCCAATAACATCTTATTTTACTCGCTTATTAAATCTCTGTAATCTTTTAAATAAAATATAGAAGAAAAAGTAAATGTAATTATAGAAATTTCCATTATAATCATTTACAATTTATCCAATACCTGCAAGTTAAGTCTTACGAAAATTAATGCAATTAAGTAAATTATATTAGTAGTAGTCAACATCAATAATTGGATCAATTAATGATTTTGAAAACATATCAAGAAATAGCAAAATAAAAATTATTTAAGTAAGTAAACAGCCCTATATCTATTAATCAGCATCTAATTCTTTCTTGAAAAGACAGGTTTTAATGAGGATGTAATAAAGCTCCCTGAGACTGCCAAGACCAAATAAGAAAGGATGTTCTGTATTCGAGAAATATTATCCTATTTTGAGGAGGATGTTAAACTTAAAAATATTTTAAATAGCAAATCCCAGGCGTTTGCAAGCAATACGTCTAATAAACCACTTTAGTAAAATTCTGCCAGAAAAGTCAAAATGTAATGAAAAAAATTAAAAATCCAATTGAATGCTTAGTTAAGCAATTTCGATTAAATACTTCTTAGCCTAAAAACTAGATAATGTTAGGATTATATTCTGTAGACTATTCTGAAACTGAGTTTTGAAATTAATCTCAGAACCATAACAAATATAAGGGTGAATACTACTTAGATGAAAAAGAATTGCAGATTAGTAATTAAATGAGCATTTAATTTGTAAAACTGCAATTTAGCATAAGACTCAATAAATTCTTAATATAGAAATCTTTAATAGAATCCATTAATTTATAAATAATCGAAGATTGGTACAATACTTATTAAATTAGTGGCTTCAAAAAAAAGGTAGAGATTTTCGGGATAAATAACATTAATGTACTTTAAATATGATTGATACTGTAAATTGTCTAGAATTTCAATAAAAATTTAAAAATTTCCTGAAATTAGTACAATTACACTGCCTATCCCTTGAGCCATAATCATAGCTTCTTAATATTATGTGAGTTATTTAGTCTTTTCTAAGTCAGATTGACTCAATTTAGAATATTTATTAAGTGATATTTTCTCTGATGGATTGAGTATTTCCATGTCATATGAATTATATGCTTCATTTATCAGAAATATATTAAAATAAGTGAGGCTACTGTTCGTAGAAACAAAGAGTTAAATTTATGCCTGAAATTAAAAGTTTAAGATTTGATTGATTACAGGTTCAAAGTTTGACTCTAACTAGATTTAATATTCGTCATCATTTGTGTCATCAATGCTAAACTCAAAAAGAGACTCCAAATCATAATTATCCTTAAAAAATATTGCTTAAGAGAATGATATTTCAATATAAAATTTATTATATGTTTGGTTAAAGAATTTGACTAACATATAAGGAGACTCAGCAAACTGACAATCAGAATGACTATAAGCTTTTTCTTAACACTTATAATCAATTTCAATCTGGCAATTAGAAGAACAACCATCCACATTAATAAGGTTGCCATCGTCACATTATTCATCGTAAGATTTTATTCCACTGCCACAATCATCATAACATGCATTTTGTATCAGTCTAAAGAATTGCTGGCACTCATAACAAACTCCTTCAAAACAATTTTCGCAATATAGAGGACACGAATATTGACATTTGAAACAACCATCAAATTAAATGTCATTCCCATCATCACATTACTCTTTTTATTATATAATTCCATCACCACAAATTGAATAGCAAATACCATCAATATTCATTTCTCCATTTGGACATATATCATAACAAATACCATTACTACATTTCTTACATTCTGATATACAAGGTAATTAACATTCTTAATTTACAATAATATAAGGTAATGTGCAAACCAAACAATCTTAAAAATTAACACAAAATTAACAATTTTCAGGACAGACAAATTAACAATCCAAGCAATAATCTAAATTTGTATCACATTATTCTACCGACAAAATAGCTATTTAATTATCTCCACAAATATACTTACATATACCATTCATAAGTGACCAACCATCAATACAAAGCAAGCAATAGGAATCAACACATTAAAGACACTAAATCTGACAACTATCTTTACATTTATAGCATCCGATTTCGGTTTAGCTTAAATGAATTCCATCTTCAACTAGAATTACACCTTTGGTAATTTAAGAGATGCATTAGTTTTTTAATAGGAAGTAGTTAGCCATACATTATTTACATTATCCAAGTTAACAGATTTCACAATATAAGGGACATCTAAGTTCAATTATTAGATTATTATATTTGATTCTTGATCTTTCAAGATCACAAATATTATAATATTAGATATCAGCGGTGTCACAACATGTAAATTAACTTAGTTCTTATATTAAATTATCACTAACTACTGGATCTAATCTATTACAACTTAATGATTTGAATTATGTTTGTTTTTCGTAACATTTTCCGTTTACTAATTCATATGTTGGACTACATTACAAGCATTTATCAAAGATGCATTTCTAACAACCTAAAATACATTAGAAATAGCAATTATAACACCCATCATTAGAAAAGTTATTCCCATCATCGCATTCTTCATCTTATTAAATTTTCCCATCTCCACATACTGCAACATCAATTTCGACAAAATAATTTGGGTATTAATTTTAGTCAACTTGAGATGACGATAAAGTAAGTAAATTGTCATAATTGATGTTACATATTCCATTTGAATAATAATAACCAGACTTACATGTCTGACAATTACCAAAGCTACAATTTTAACAGTTTAAAGGACAAGAAAATTTGCATTAATGGCAACCATCAAATGGAATTTCATTTCCATCATCGCATTGTTCACTTGTTGTGATATACTTATCTCCACATAAAGATTCACAAGTTTAGTTTACAGAATTATAATCCCATCTAGTATCACACATTAAACATTCTCCTTTGACACAAAATACACAACCTTCTAAACATGATACTTATTTAGCAAAGCAACCATCAAAAGGGACTAGATTATCATCCAAACATGAGATTAAATTTATTGGTCCACGAAGAATTATTTATACTTCACGGATACCTACTGTACCATCCAGGCAGTATATTTCTAATTTAATTGCATTTTTTGAATTCTCAATTATCGATGTTCTATAATCAACTTGTTTTTTATAATTCATGAGTCCATATTGGTATACATCATCTATGTAAACTCTTACAATTATTGGCAAAGCTGTATAATACTCAACTCTAAATTGAATAATCAAAGAAGAGTGGTCTGGAAGGGTGAGATGAGTTATTGCAGAATCCGTTTAACGCAAGACAAGCATCTTCAATTAAACTATAATAGGGTTACAAAAATTACTATCATTTGTAAAGTCAGAAAAAGATGGAAATTTATTTTTAATCCATCCCTCCAAACCATCATCAAGATATTATAGTTCAAAGAATGATTGCCATAATTTCCACATGATGCAATCGACAGTTGAATCCAAACAGAATTGACATCCTAAGTAGCATTCATTTAATGTTATTTAGAAATTAGTTAACCCCCAAAAGTTCTTAAGGTGTTAAAAATAAAAAATACAGTGTTATCACAGTCTGAGTATAACTCAACAATAATTGAATTCAATGTATGTTAAGGAAAATCATTATATTATGGAGTGCTATAGTCTGTACCGCTTCCACCACATTAATTTGATCCTGTATTATCTGTAAAATACCAAGCCTGAGTCCATTAATCAATGATTATGTAAAATTTTTGTGTGCTTGTTTGCCAATCATCAATTCTTAAGATATTTTAATATTAAACTTCCAGAAGTTGATATCAATACGAACTTTGTAATGCGGTGGCAAGCTGAAATATTTCATTAATGAAGTTTATGGAGATGTCTAGCATCCAAATATCAGAAATCCTCCAAAAATTGTGTTTCCTCCACAATCAGACGTATGCGTAGAGGCACCATTGTAAGGATATTTGATTAACCACCCTAGCTAATGACTTTATATTTACCTTCATCATTAGAACTTGCTGGAGGAGCAAAATTCTAAAGATAATAGGCTTCAACATTTAATCCAAAAAATTGAATAAGGAGGAACTCAATAAACATATAAATAAATATTAATGAAAGTAAAAAGCTAAAGATTTGCATAATATCATAAATAGAATACAACTAAACAGCGAATATCCTTTATTTATTAGAAAACCTTTAACGATAATATTAAGTAAGCTAATTTCTTGGAAAGACTTGCAGCTCTATTGTTTTAACAGAATTTTGAGTTTACAATTAGTTATGACATTTAAAACCGAAATATTTTTTATTTATTTGTTTCATTATTAATTAGAGAACCATTACAAAAAGAAAAAAGAAATCTTTCAAAGTAAATCCATAAATTCATTTAAGAATTGAAGGTTTTTTATGTAATTAAGCATCTCACTAACAATGTTGTTTTGTTCGTTCAAATTCATGGATTTATTTGAATTAACTGAATATTGGTTTTTTTTTCAAAATTAAATTATAAAAGCAATAGACTTATACAAATGTTATTTTGAGATTTTGAAGTAAATATAAGATAACCTTGCATATCAATTTATAGCTAATTAAATAACAAAAATACAGACTTAACTTGTATTGGTTCAAAATTCTCACATTATTGATTGAT